AATGACAACCGACATGAAGTTGGGTCGCCAAAGGCTAGACAGACTCAGTCCCAAAGCATGGATTGGATACTTGGTTAGATATCGGTCCTCCAATATCTACCGTGTGTGGGTGCCTCACCTAAACAAGGTGATAAGTACGAGAGATGTCGCTTTCAATGAGAACGAGGTATTTGATGGAAATAAAGAGCGGTTCCGAGATGACTTGAAGACGGCGACTGTTGAAGAGATACAGGCCATGGTTAACAAATACGCTCTATCCGAGTCCGACGACTATGTCCAGGACAAGGAAGAAAATCCTGATGAACTGTAAGCAGACCAATATCCTCCCCCGACGGGGATACAAGTCCAAGAGGACAAAGAGGAAATAGATGTGGGTATTGGGAATGAGCACCCATACACCACGGCAAAGTTTGCCCTATTACTTTCACTACTGCCTAGTCCTCCGTCTGCCCTGTTATGTCATAGTATTCAGAAGGGGAATAAGGAACCCAAAAATCTTCTCCAAGACCCAGGACGAAAAGAGCTCGAGCCTTGGAAAGCGGCGTTTTTAGCAGGCCTCAAGGCTTTGCCCATAGAACGATTGGGTCAAAACACCCTAGATCGGGCAAGCATTGAGAGAGCCTTGCGAAAAGGATTTAAGCTGTACAGGCGACTCCTGGAAGAAGCGCCACAGCGGCGCGACAAACTAGCAACCCATTCAATAAGACATCTGTTCAAAATGGCCGAAAAGGATCACCTAAAAAGTCATGACGGCATGAGGTCATGGACTGAGATCCAAAAGAAAGACCCATCTATACGAGGACATCAAATCTTGGACTGCATGTGGGTGTATGTCTATAAGTTTGATAAGCATGGGAGGTTCATCAAGTGCAAGGCACGTCTCGTGGTCAGAGGAGATCAACAGAAGGGGCTGCATTCAGAGCAAACGTATGCAGCTACTCTTACTGGAAGATCGTTCAGAATCTTGATAGCCCTGGCGGCCAAGTTTGACCTTGAGATGATCCAGTACGACGTTGTTAACGCCTTTGTGCACGCCCCTATCAATGAGAAGATCTTCATGCAAATGCCACACGGCTATCGCAAGAAAGGTACAATTCTTTAGTTGAATAAGGCACTCTATGGGCTGAGGATTTCTCTATTGTTATGGCAAAAGGAGTTCTCAAAGACTCTAGCCAGCTTGGGATTCAACCCAGTTCCACATGAGCCGTGCTGTTATATAAGAAAAGGAATCATGATATTCTTCTATGTGGACAACGTGATCGTCGCATATAGAAAACACGCACAAGAAGATGTCCAAGACGTGGTTCAGCAGCTTCAACGAAGATACGAGATCACTGGAGGCGAGCACGTTCAATGGTTCCTTGGAATGGAAATCATTCGGGACCGGCACCAGCAAAAGATTTGGCTATCCCAGACCTCCTACATTAAGAAAGTAACCAAGCTAATCAATCTGACCGACAGACTCCCTGAGGTCCCAATGGGTACAGAAGAACTACTGCCCTAGCAAGATCACGCCGCCCCCCACAAGATCCAGAAATACCAACGAAAGATTGGTTCTATCCTATTTGCCTCCGTTTCCACATGACCAGACATAGCCTTTGCAACATCACGCCTCGCTAGATTCTTTACGAACCCAAGTCAGATCTATCAGAATGCCGCCGACCGAGTCATCCGATACCTATACAAAACAAGACACTACTCTCTCTAGTTTGGAGGAGGAGACGATTTAGTGGTGGCCAGTGATGCTTTCTTTGCCAATAATATTTCCGACAAAAAGAGCTCTCAGGCATTTGCTATGACTCTCTTCGGAGGATTGATCGGCTAGAGGGCCAATAAGCAAGACACAGTTACTATATCGACTATAGAAGCGGAACTACTTGCACTGGCTCAGGCAGTCAAAGAGACTCTGTATATCAGCCGGCTGGTTACGGAATTTGGTGTTCAACTCGAACATAAGAAGATCAAAGTGGAATGCGACAATACAGACGATTAAGTTAATGACCGCCAAAATTGCCCTCTTAAAAACCAAGTTGCGGCATGTGGACATACACAACCATTGGCTTCAACAAGAAGTGGAACGAAGAACTGTCAGCATCAAGTACACGCCTTCACCGAAGATGAAAGCGGATGGGTTGACCAAGGCCTTGCCGGCTCAACGGTGGGCAGGATTTCTGGATCAGTTGGGATTGGTAGACACTCGGGCGAGGCAGCTTGATTTGAGGTCACAGGAGGGAGCCATTGAGAAGAGAGAAGGGATTCTGAGTCAAGACCCTGAAGTAATTTACTCTATAGACTAGTTCAGCCAGAGCCGTAGCCTGCCTGGCTGAGGGGGTGTGTTGGATTAAAGGTGAGCCCAGAGGGCACCTTGATAGGTAGACACCGGAACCTAGTTGTTCCGTCCCGATCCAGCCCCCTCTGGCACAAAACTGCCACAGTCGCACGAGGACACTCTAGAGAGACAGAATACACAGACACACTTCAACCTCACAATTGGCTCAAATCTGACACAATCCAACCATCAGCAACATCATGACCTTGACCCCATACTCGAGTATTATGATTGATCTTTCAAGCCTGTTCCCACAATTAGATTTTCCTCAGAATTAAAAAGGTAAATATAGCTATTAAAACCCGATATAATGCCGCTTTTATCGACCTTATAAGGTTTTTTTAACTTTACTTAGCCGTAATTTCCCCCTCAAAATCGAAAAATTAATTAACTAATTCAAGCGTAAATCTTTTAAAAGGTATTGCTTTTAATTTTTTTATTAATTTTAATTTTAATTTCAAAGTTGTAGCGCTTAAAAGCTGTTATAAAAGTATCTCTTAAAAGATTATTAGGTAAGAGTTAAGATAGCTGAATGCTAAAGCAAGGTGATAGCGGTGATTCCAAGAAGTAGGTGTATGAGGATACTTCAATCGATCCTGGTATATTTGTAGGAATTAAGCCTTTTAAGGGGATGTGGTAGTGGAGCCTTAGGGCTCCGATCAGTGACCAGTCGGCCTGATATGCCGGTGGAATACCCTTATACAATTTTTTTTTTTATCTTTTTAAATAATTTTACGGATTAAAAAGTGTAAGAAAGCTGAGCTTAATTTTTCTTATAATAAAATCTATTTTATTATAATCCTTTTTTACGTAAAGAAAAGTCTTCATTGCTATATGTAAGTTTTAATCTTGATAAGCTTGCCGTTAAGTTAATTACATAGCGTTTAAAACGAAATACCGTGGTTTTATTATCTTTTTTACAAGATAAGCCCTTATTTATAATATTAAAAATAATATTAGCTATTAAATTCTTTATATACATAAGAAAATGCATTTTAAGCGGCTATATATCGCTGCGTTACATATAAAAGAAGGCTTTAAAGGAGCTATATAAGACTGTAAATTTATCATTTAAGGTAAAAAACGCGGGATAATTAACAGCTAATTACGTAAGCGCCGCGAGGTAAATTTTATATTAGGAGAAAGCTTAAGATCAGGGCTATGTAAAATACTAATTATGTTCTAAATAACTTTAATATCGGGCTAAAAGCGTATATGTGAACATGTGGGAGTTTGGGTGGTGATGGTGGGGTTTGGCTGTCCGACTAGTGGGGGTGTCCGACTTCTATGGGGGGGGATGGTACAGCATAGCGCCTCCAGCTGACCAACTCTAGAACACTTCTCACGTCCATCGCTCGCCTGGTCATTCTACTGCCCAGCTTATACAACCCGGACCAGACATATGCCCTGACCAAGGGGACGCTGTGGATGTAAGTAGAGCCTACGCAGGGGCTAGAATCATGACTGACGGAATCAGCTGTATCGAGGCCAACCTCCTGATTGTGTGCTGTTGCCTGCCCACACTACGTCAGTTTGTTCGACACGTAGCACCCAGCATCATAGGCGAGAAGAGCTCGAAGGACAGCGAGGCACCTCAACTACATTACGCACTGCACACATCCGGAGGCTCATCGAGAAAACGGGGGTATCAGCACCGGTCTTCGCGTTTTGATACCTTGATGAGGACACAGGCCACCCGTCTCGAAGACGACAACTCGAGCTCAACCGCGCATCAAGACCTTAAGCTCGACACCCGGTATCCTCAGATAACTAGCATCCGTGGTGGCAGGCAGTCGCAGGCTAGTGACGTTGGGCCCGCGAGCTATGATGCCGATGAGGTAGCCCTGAACTCGAAGACTGTCACTTACGAAGTGAAATACGAACCTGCCGGATGACTTAAAGTTCCTGCTAGAGAGACAGTGTCTCTTGAAGGGCACATACCTCTGAACGTTCCGTCTGCCATGAGAATTTGAGCCCATGCAGATCTGTGCGGACTTCAGTTGGCGGAGGGTACGAAGGATTGTTCATAGTTTGCCCGCGAGACGACTACGAGTTGTGTCACGGGCACCGGTGGAGGGATACAACATGTGTACAGCACGCTGCCTAGCTCAATGTTAGTCAATATGTATTCAAAAGACAATTTCCATCCTGAGCTTTGTCGAGTTCTTATCAGAATATGTGCTCGTGGCGTATCTAGCCTGAGCCGATATATTGGTCATCCTGTGGGAAGTGACTCGAGATCTTGACTTCTAGATACTTCTGATTAGGTACCTACACACTCGAATTGCCAGGTGGTCTAAGAGTTGCTGAGGTAAGCTTGCTGAGGTAATCCCAAAGCACATTACCGGGGCCCCTAGGTAAAGTTCCTCACTGCCGCCCTGCATTCAGTTCTTTTTCCTAGTCGCAACCTCGACGACCCTTGGGAAGGATTCGCCTCAGCAACAGCCAAAGGAAAACTCGATACGGACACGAACAGACAACCCGATTCTCGATCGCGCATACATCCATTCTCCGGTCCGACCATCCGATAGTCACCCGAGCGATCACCTACAGCACCCGCGCGACTATCGTCCTCTGTCCCAGCCGACTCCCGACTTGAGCGCCGTCACTCACTCAATCACTCACTCACGAACCTACCAACCACTTCTCGTCCCCCTCCCAAACCGCGACAATGGCCAACTTCCTCGCCTCCATCTTCGGCACGGAGCAGGACAAGGTGAACTGCTCATTCTACTACAAGATCGGCGCGTGCCGGCACGGCGACCGCTGCAGCCGCAAGCACGTCAAGCCCTCGTACTCGCAGACGATCCTGCTGCCGAGCATGTACCAGAACCCTGCGCACGACCCCAAGAACCGGCTTACGCCCGAGCAGTGCCTCAACCACTTCAACGCCTTCTACGAGGACCTGTGGTGCGAGCTGTGCAAGTACGGCGAGGTGGAGGAGCTGGTCGTGTGCGACAACACCAACGACCACCTGATCGGCAACGTCTACGCGCGCTTCAAGTACGAGGACTCGGCGCAGACGGCCTGCGACGTGCTGAACAGCCGCTGGTACGCCGGCCGGCCCATCTACTGCGAGTTGTCGCCCGTCACCGACTTCCGCGAGGCCTGCTGCCGTTTGAATAGTGGCGAGGGCTGCGTCCGCGGCGGGTTCTGTAATTTCATCCACCGCAAGAACCCCAGCCCCGAGCTCGACAACGAGCTCACCCTCGCCACCAAGAAGTGGCTGCGCCAGCGCGGCCCCGACGCCAAGAGCGCGAGCCGCAGCCCGAGCCCGGAGCCCACGCGCAAACGTTACTAGGGGGACGCGGTGGTGGAGGCCTAGGCGGCAGCCACGGTGCCGGGGACGCCAGGGACGACGATGGCCGAGCACGTGTTGTGAGGAGCAGTCTTGGGCCGAACACAACAGACTTACTGCGCGCACCCCCTTCATGCTGAGCCCTTCGACACCCTCGCAAGCAGCAGATTCCGAGGGTGGCCTCTTTACCAAAGACTGATTTTCGGGCTGTACCACAAAAGGGGACGGTCTGGATTGTGACGGATAGCAATCACAAAGACGGGAACATGGCTCGCTTTGGAGTACTGAGGTCTGCTGTTCTTTTACCGCCTTAATAGCGCACCAGAGTCTGTCGCAAGAGAGAAGTGGGCTTCGAAGCTCTTTCGTACTCTATTCAGTGGCTTACTTGCTGGAAGGAAAGGGGAATACTTCCAAGCGTACGGCGTTGGTGGAACAATGGTTTATAGGTATCGGTCTTGTGTACTACCAATTGACTCGAGAATTTCAATGTCTTGATGCAAATCCCACGCAATTATCGAGGAAATCCTGAATGGAACAGCTTTCGTATTGAGTCTGGATATTTGCACCTTACCGAAACTCCTTATTTGCACCTTAAGAGGCTTTCATCAAACTCGATCTAATCTGCTAGGCCGGATGGCCATCGCCATCAGGTTCCGTGTAGTGATGCCATACGATTTCAGATCATCAGGTCCTTTATAACAAGATACGTTGACCTGCTCAGTTAGATGGCGATTGATTAGGTTTAATCAGGCAGCTCCTCAACGTAGATAGCTACCACGATCGTGTTCTGTATGTCGATGCCATATCATTTCAGATCATCATGCCCCTCGCAGCTGGACCTTGGTGAGCTTGGTAGGCATCCCGTCGTCAGATGGCTGTCGAGTAGGGGACCGCGCTAAGGTGCAAATATCAAGACTCTTCGTATTTCTCTCACGACTGACATGCTGGCGGCACGGATGTCCCAAGGGTGCAAAATCTTTATGGAGTCATCGACTTGTTGAGCAACGTGTATTTCTTATTGCACAGCTAGCTGGTAGTGCCCACTAAAGCTTGAACTTCTGGTCTACCGCTACTCTGGGCGCTCTATCTCTGAATCGGATGTATGTACAGGCGGCGACAGATCACGGATGGGGCAAAAGCAGGTCAAGATGCCTGTCCAGACATCTCTGTTTAGCGGCATTGTTACGCATGAAGTAGGCAGAACTGGTATCTCCCGAGTAGCACCCCTTTTCCGATCCCTCAGTGCCATATAATCAAGACATTTCCACCTCATCGGTTGGCGACTCTCTTCGGATTCTAACCCAAACAAGACGCCAGATACTCGACTGCGTCTTTGAACCCTGCTTTCCTCGGAAACAGTCGGATCAACTCTGAGCATCGTAGAAAGCATCACTGCTTTCTTCCGTCTCGGTCCGCTTCATTGCTGGAGGCGGTCCCTTGGCCGGCGGCAAGTCCTTCTTCATATCGCCTGTAAAGTCAATTAGAGGACCATCCGATTTATGCCCTGTAGATTCGAGCATGTCGTGGATGCTGTTAGCGTTGGTGCTCGTATCGTGGATATTGGTGGCGGGCTTGCTATCTAGCTTGGGTGCCGACGCAGCATCATCATTCTGGCTGATCTGGCCGAAGTCGATTAGGTCTCCCGGTCTGTCATCCGAGGCAGGCTTTCCCGCCGTTTTGGGGTTCCCAGCGGAGGCGTTTGGAGGTACGATGTTTCGTTCGCGTGTGTTCTGGCCTGGTATGATGGGGTATATGCCCATGACCTGTTCAGCTTGTTTCTCGGGCGTTGCGCCGTCACTTTCCTAGTCAGCACAGAGCATGAAATTTAGGGTTAGGGGCCGCTCACATCTGAGCGTTGATGATCCATTCCAGCTTTTCCATGTCTGCCCCCTCGCCATCGATATCGGCACGTACCGCCCTGAACAATCGCGGGTGCCAATCTACGCCCCCTGTCGCTCGGCTTGCCGCCTCTTCACGTTGCTTATCCTCGATTTTGGTTTTCTCGTCAGTAGCAACCTCGTGGTTCTTCTCCTTCACCGCTTGCGCCGTCTTCTGCCACAGCTTTTGCGATTCTCGCTCATCTTGCTCTTCTAGGGGTCGCACTTGCGGCTTCGACGGTCTAGCTCTTCGAGCATCGAAGAATGTGTCTTTCTTCCCGTTCTAGAACTGCGTTAGCTTGTAAAGACAACTCTCTGAGGTTAGTGGCTTACTCTGAGATCTTTGATGGTCATCTCCTCACTCCATAAGCCGGATAGCTCGAAAAGAGCCTCCCCAGTCTGTTCGTTTCGTATCGTTCCTCCGAGCGCGTTGTATGTACCGCTGACCCATCCCTTGGTCTTGAAGTCGATCTCAGCCGTAAGGCCTAGCTCGGGGCATTTTACCACGCTATGATCGCCTAATTCGTACTGCATTTTTCCGAACAGGATTCCCCTCGCGTACATGTTGGGTTGCGTTAGCCAGCTACACGGAACTTGATTAGTCTTTGTCCCATATGTCAGACGATACCACTGCAACAACGTACTATCTTTCTCCTTTCGTGGCGTCTTTTCCACGGTTAAGCAAGCTGAGCACGGCAACACCTTCCATTAGACTGGCAGCCGAGTTGCCCAGAAACTTGCTCCTCGGCTTGAGCGTGCCGTCTATGCGGATGTGATGGTGTGGGGCCAAGTAGAAGTAGCTGGACTTGGGCGGGTGGTGTGATGTCTGTTCGGAGATGTAGTAGGCTCGTGTCTCGCCAGGCAAGTCCCAGTAGCAGGAGAAGATTTCGCCCAGGACGGGGTTAAGGGGCTTCTTGACGCCACTGTTGGTTGTGTTAGTCCCGACAGCACATGGTCACCAATACAGGTTTGGGGGAGCCTACGGTGGTCTGATATGCCAGCCGCTCAGGTAAAACTTGACAACCGACACAAAGCGATCGACAGGGTCCTCCATTTCGGGAATGGAGAGGAGCATCTCGGGATGGCACATGAAGCTGTGGTAGACCATGTTAGAATCCTCGTCTAGAGGCTATCGGATATACTCGAGGCGTTTGCCTACTTCGTGATGCGTTCCAGCATGCTTCGCGGCTCGAGTATGAAAGTGGGCAAGACGACGCGACTCAGGTCGGCACCGGGTCGAAGTTGGGAGATGATGTGGGTTAGGACTGCAGACGAGTGTCAGTATTGACGAGGACATGGTACGCGACAAGACTGAAGCAGACATACCGTTGCCCTGGTCGGGCTCCATGACGGTGCTATCATCATTGAGATCGTCCACGCTGCCGGACGATTTGTTGCCTAGACAGGGGGCGATGCAGAGTCAGTAGGCGCACCGGCACAGCACAGAGAGCGAGCGGCATGACATACTAGCATTTGAATGCGTCCTACGACGGCGGCTCAAGCCCGCGGTGATCTTGCTTGCGTGCATGTTGGACAACGGGGCGGGTGTTGTTGTTAAATTGTCGCAATGTGAACGATAGAGAAAGCCCCACGAGAGGGAAGGGGTGGGTGAACCGTGAAGGGACTCAGACAGAAGTTAGAACCCCTCCTTTGCGCCTAGGTAAGGTTCAATTATCGGGTATCGGGTAGCCCAGTCGATCGCTCCGATCATCCGATGACCTCACTGACAATAACGTAGTGAATAGGGGGTTGATTTTGCTAGAGGTATGGAACACCACTGCCAGGAAACGAAGGGGAAAGAATTAAGTAGTGTTGTAGGTGTTTACTGGCATAGAAAAAGGAAGGTTCTCAACAGTGCATGTGGTTCATTATGTGGTGTTGGGAGAAGTTCAGTAGGTAGGTAGTCCGGTAGTCTAGCAAATGCTTGTTGGTGGCGATATCCCCCTACAGCCGGCCCTAACATTGCCCAGGCGTCGTACCTATCAGTGATCGCTCTCACTGGTCAGGAGGTAACATCCGCATGTACAGCAGGCTTCCGTCACCGTGGAGAATGGAGCGGAAAATGACGAACAGGACTGTCAGACCGGGCCACGAGGGATACTACAGGGGTATGATGTATACCCACACAACCTCCTAGAGGCTAGCCGGCATGCAAATGAATGCATGGATACATGGATACATGGATGCAAGGATGCATGGATGCCTCGGATGCAAATAGATAATGGCATAAACCCGCCCATGTCTTGCTACTTGAATATCTCTAGGCTCCAGAATGTGACCCTTATCTGGCCATGTCACCTGCATAAGATGGATGCGTACGCAAACACTTGCAGCACTCCCTATCAAAAAAGAAGGCAGAAGAAGATGGCTTGCATCCAGCCTGCTCTTTGTGCGCGATTCATACCACAGCAGGGCACGGAGCTAGGCTGCATATAATATAGTGTGCAGACAGCCTGCTTTCTCATTCTATGAGCTCTTCATCCTTTTGATCTGATCATCTGGCATGAATTTCGATTTGAATCATCTGTAATGACAGAATTCTATACTCAACATCATTTCCGTCCCCACGAGACGAATATCTTAGCCCCGAGAGCTATTGCGTTCAATCATCTCAACTTTATATGCACAGTAGGTCGGCATGTAAGCAGCTCGGACGACGGCGGGAAACATCAGAAAGCTGGAGTCGCCTGGAACGGACTTTATCTCTGTTCAACGCTTGCTCTGGTCGTTCTAACATGCTGTTCCTCACCCATCCAGCCATCTACTACAGCCCCAGCTCCCTCCAGTAATCATGGGGTATCTTTACATAATTTTGTACGTATGCAATGCTGTCAAGCAAACCCTCCGCATCTTGTATCGTGTTCTCGTATCTTCATGTCCCACGTCCGCCCGCCCCCTCCTCATTTGCCTCTGCTCAGCCGGGACCCTTTGACCGGAGCCGGCAGGACCGCGCAAAGCCGGTCTCGCTCTGTGTATATTGTCAGTTGCAACTCTTTGAAAGAATCTAGGTCGGCTTACCCATGTTGTCATCAAAAAGGATGGTCAGGTCATCATGTTCGCCAGCGAACTCCGGCATGTCGAGACTAATAAAGGCCATGTCGTCCGTCTTGGGCGCCCCTTCAGCCGGAACTCTCGGAAGCGGGAACTTTGCGTCTGCTAGTTTCAAGCCGGCTTTTCCGTTTCGACTGAATGCTTCGAACACGTCTGTACCCTTGAGCGCAAAACCCATGCATTCGCCATGGTGCCACTCTTCGAAGAAGGCGAGGAGCTGCACCGTCTTCTCCCGCTGCACCACCTGAACACGCGTCGTCCCAGCCTCCCACTTCTTATGGATCGGCACCACCATCCGCCGCCGCGAGATGTTCATGCTTGAAGCAATTCCGTCAAACAGTATCGTGTATCCTGTGAGCCCCGCTTGGAAGGCGTGCAGGTCTTTGAAGCTGGGGAAGCGGTAGGTGCGAAGAGTCTGCCCGCGCTGGATAGTATTCTGCAGACTGGCAAACTCCCGGTAAGAGTCTCTGGGCACACTGGTTTCCAGCAACGAGACTGTCATATCCAATTGAGCCTGTCGCATGACCTGCAGCGTGAGGATATCTCGAGTACCGAGTCTCAGCCTCAACTCCCCAGGACCGACGTTGACTCGGTCAGTGATAGTGCTCACAACCCCGACGCCACTCTTATCCATCGAGTCGATTTCAACTCTCAGTTTTTCTGCCAGCACGGTTGGCGGGTTCTCGAGGTACTTGTCATTGATAATGCGCGCACGTTGCCACGGTAGTCGCTGGATAGCCGCGAAGCCCCCCTTTGTGTCAGCAAGTCCTTCTGACATATTCATGCCTTCCAGTGGGACATCAGCGACAACCTCCTCGTCCTGCTGAACATAGCTTCCACTGAGAAGTCTCAGCATCTTTTCGCGCTCCTTGTCGTCGTTGAATGACAGCACCATACGTCCCTTATCCTTCCCGTCATTGAAATCTAGCTGGAGAAGGGGCGCGCGTTGATCGCCACGCAACAGAGCAAACTGGACTGGCAATTGCGGAGCAAAGAAATGCGTGACGCCGCTGAGCGTTCTGATCCTCGGTCCCGTCACCACTGCAACCCGGAACCCGCGATGAAATGTCCTGGTTCCAGTTGGGCTATTCTCTTTCAGAAGTCGTTCGAATAAGCCCAGCTGGCATTGTCCTACGGCTTCCTTGGGGAACGCCCGGCTTTGGGGATTCGAGTCGAAATAATGGAATGCTCGGAGAGCAATGCTGTGTGTCATTATTTCATCCTTCCGAGGATACAGATAGCTTTGCACTTTCGTGCTGAAGTCGTAGATGCCCCACAGCATCTTGAACTCCGGCTGGGAGCATCGAATCACCAGCATGAAGCCTCTTGGCATCTTGATCTCTAGGGAGCTCGCATCTGGTCGCCACTTTAGATCTTGCCACGTCGCACCTGCTTTCTTGTCTGACTGTACGCGTAATGAAACACATCGGTTCTGGCTCGCGACAACAAAGTTCAGGCTCGAGTCGTTGTGAGAGCGAACCACGGATAGGATACAGGGAAAACGGGTCTGCATAGAGTCCATGCCTTGCTCCATCAAATACACATCAGCTGTTATTCGTGTGTAGTTGAAGTGCTTGGTAGTGTCGCCAATAGGTAAAGCGTCAAGTGGATCCATGGTACGAGTGGGTTGCTGCACAACAGCCAGAGCTGATCCCCATGCTCCATTGAGAAGCGCAGTGATATCCTGGCTTAGCGAGGGATACTCCAGCCAGATGGACTTGTCCATGGTCTGAGGAAGGAATGGCTCTTCGGGTGGCAGAAATCCATTTCGTGACATGGACACAGACAGCTTCCTCAAGTTGGAAACAATCGCCTGTCTGACCTCGCCTAACTCTCCATCCACGGGGCTGTATTTGCCTTCTGCTATCTCGGGAAGTGCCTTTTCTGTTAGCCAGTATGCTTTTGCCAAATCGGTGTAGGCCTGATATCGTGCCATGAGGTGTCGCTGATCGTCGGGGTCTGATGGACGATTCCTGATGGTCATCTCTAGACCCGTTCTCCCTTTCAAAAACCACCACAAAGAAGCCCTGCACAGGTCATCTGGACGGCAAGTTTCCAAAGGCTTGAGTTGTTCGGCATACAAACGAAATAGCTCGCTCAAATGCTTGGTACGGGCAGTGAATGTTTCGAAGGCATCGTCTCCTGCCGCAACTACCACCTCGTGCAAGTTTGATCTTGTCCTCTCGGGCGAAGGGGGGAAATAGCCCCGCGACGCGGGATTCTGGGTGATGGGTGTCGGCCTGTAAGAGAGATCGGAAGTTGAGTGAACAGAGTTCGTGTATGTGGACGAAGGGCTCGCATCAACTGAGTTCGTATTGATCCGTAGCTCTTCGGGGGACATGGGCCGCTGCGACTTGATAGGATCATGGTCAGACTTTGGCAGCGCCTCGTGAGCTGGGAGTGGCGGCAACGGCGATCTGGTAGATGGTGCTCGCATTGGTGATGGATCCCGAGTAGGTAGAGGCGGCAGAGGCGATCTCACTGATGGATTTCGTGCCGGCGGCGGTTGCGGGGGCGATCGACGCGCTGGCGGTGGTGGCAGGGGAGATCTCGTGGACTGGGTTCGGAGCATTGTAGATACAGACTCTGATAACGGGGGTGGAGGCACTGGTGCTCGAGCGGACTTGGTTCTCGCTAACGACGAATTGAAATCCTCCGTCGATGGGGGCGGCACGTCTCTGCGGCGCGGTTGTGTTTCACGGATTGGTTCAGGAGAGGAGTTCTGCTCGTCCCAGTCGTGTTGGGAATTGGCACTCGCAGTCCTTGCCTCGGCCAATGCCTTTCCCTCTGCCCGACGCTGCTCCTGCTGGTGAGCGTCAATGAACGAGCGACGATTCTCGTCTTTCCCACTGTCAATGTCCAGAAAACGGGATCGTACAGGCTCTCCGGCCGGTATCGTACGCGGCATGGGAGGCTCAGGAGCACGAGCGGGAGCTGGAGCGGGAGCCGTACTCGAATCCTGTGCGTTGAAATCCGAGATTGATGAGAACCCGGTCTGTGTTCTTCGAATGGGAGTAGGTATGAAGCTGTCTTCGCCCTTTTGCGTGTCCTGGGACGCGCCTCCCGGTCTTGCGTATTGGACACCCTGTTTCGTGGGTGCTGATGATGGCACCGACTTGGATCTCTTCCTCCGGCCGATTTCTACAGTGGCTGCCTGGCACTCATCTCCACCTTCGCCCATGACCTCGGGGTATGTGTCGGCAAAGCGAACAGTCAGTCCCTTGTGTTTCCGCGGGCGTGGTGGGCTGTGGGAGCGGGCGCGGAGACTCTGTAACGAGGGATTCGGATTCTCCAAGTGGGTAGGTTTCTGGGATCGAACAGCCTTGGACGTGTCGAGGGCTAGTGTCGGCGGCCCTGTGTTCTGAAAGGGGGGAGGTCTCGGCGGCGGGTGGGTGACCTGCAGCCTGTCGGAGGTGCCCAGGAAGGAGGAGATCTCGTTGGCACTCTCTTCGTTTGTCATTTTCCTCTCCCTACCGACGCTGCTGCTTCCAAACAGTTTCCCCATCAGGCGGTCACGTCGCGAGGAGCGGCCCTCGGTGGGCGGTTCGTTCTCCATGTTGTGAGGTGCGTGGTTGTCTGGCGGGGCAGCACATGCATATGTGTGTTTTGTTCCAAGACCCCCAGGCTCCCAGGCTCGCAGACTGTCGCAAAGAGCTTTGTCGTAGCGGGCGTGTGATTTGGCGCGGTTGACGACGATTTGGGAGGTTGTTGGTTAGGTCAATTGGAAGAAAGATGCAGGCTGTCCTTTTCACTATTCAGTGCACGACGATCTTGGACCAAGCGGCTGGAGGATTGTCAGGAGTTGGAGGGTCGTCGGATAGTGCGTAGTGTCGAGATAGCGGGTTTGTTTTTTTAGCCTGGCTGGGCAGAGCTGGGATCGTCGTTTAACAGCGGGTAGTGAGACAACCCAGATGTCCACCAAGGTCCAAAGTGGAATGCGACGAGCAGTCCGGTCGGGTCGAAACGGCGGGGATGGGAGATGGCAGATGGCAGATAGCACATGGGGAATGGGAAAGAAGAAAACGCCGTCTGCCCTGATATTCACCACCAACGTGAACTGGCCGTGTATTGTTGTGTGGTCGCGTGCCGTTGGTCGTGTCACTTGGTGATTGACGTTTATGTCCACTGTCCAGTCTCTCCCCTCTCTCGGGTGTCTTCGTATGCTGAATGGCTCTTGCTGGTACCTGGTAAGATCATCAGGTTTCAGGATTGGTACCATCACGAAGTGGCCCGCTGCATCAATTAAGACTCCCCACTGCGGTACATGTACATCGCGGTGAAAGGACAGTACTTTCAGGGGCCTTTCAGGGCGTTTTCAGGGCCATCCGGGCCGCGCTAGAGCTGGAAGTAGCTGCAAGAAACGAACCCGAAATGGGCAAGCTCTTGGCAGGTGGGGTCTTGGGGGTCCTGTAAGTGCAGGGGCTACCCTGGCTTGGCCCCAGCGTCTTCTCAATGGCAACGTGGGGCTTATCGCTCCAGACTCCAAACCGTCGTCTCCAAAGCTCCATTGAAACAACCTGCGAATTTCGGCTCTGGACCGCAACCCAACCATCAACACCTTGAAATAAATCACCACTACCTGCACACCAAATCTCACCCACATGAACGCCTGTCTGCATGCATGCATGCATGCTTACCTCGCTCACCCTCTCGCATAGGTTGCCCTATTGGTCATTTCCTCCTATCTGTGTTTGATGAAGAGACTACAGTGCCTCGATTGGGAAATCATCTGGGACGTGTCTTTACCAACGTCGACTACTGATTGGTGAGGCTCATGACATTGAAGCAAGGGAGCTGTCGTAGATGCATTGTATAGCACGTGGTCTCCATACCATTGTTGTCTATTGCGTGGCTCTCCCGCTTGCCTTCGTTACCCAGTTTTGACACGTTTCAGTTGAGTCAATAGAGCGGTATGAGCGAGTGTCATCTGAGCATCTGAACAATCTTGGCATCACTTGCCAGGTCCCAATATCACCTGGCTGATGAAATGAGGTTGGCTTGGTCTGGATCGCCGGGAGATCTCCAGGTTGGAAGGTTATTACATTACCTAGGTAGTATATTCACGGTCAGAACCACGAGATCATATTTGAAATGTCGTTTGGACTTTCATTGCCGTATCAGCTCCCACGTGTGTGCTGGTGTGGCTTCATTAGAGAACAATCTGGTGGTCACGGCTGCTTTCCTGCCATCAAGGTTCGCACGACGGGTGCGGTTGACGCCATCGTGAACCTTGATCAGGGACAGCTATGCATTCATTGTGAGATCAGGTCGCCATTTCAACTGGCAACAAGACAATGAACAATACGCACGCTTGGCTTCGATCAAAATCCTCCAGTCTTCATACCACCAGCGCGGTCAGCCTCTGGGAGCATGGGGAGTATCAAATGCCAATGCCTGAATCTATACATGTAGATCTGTATATCTATAATGCACAACCGTGGTGGAACGCAAGCTATGACAATACTTCGTCAAATTGAACATGAAGCAAGACAAACAACATAAGGAGGTATCCGGTTCCTATACATCATCTAGCAGCCCTCCTCACAGACATGCAAGCCTCAAACCACAAGATCAGGACGCATCGGCAAAGCAGCCCCGACCACATCATCTGTCTGTCTGACAAGTCCACCCGTGTCAGAGGAAAAGACACTGATTAAATACATACACAGAATAATTCACCACTCGGACCCAACCAGCAGGCAGGCAAACCCCAAACCCCAAACGCCCATCGCCCACCCGATAGGCCCGCCAGAACTGAGACCTGCATATCTGACAACAGTAGGCACCTAACATTAGGTAAACTAACAAATCGGCGCGGTCTAGGGAAGCACAGCATTGAGTGAGCTCCAGGTCCCCAATGGGGGTGCAGTCAGTAACCTAGGTAAAATCAAGCTAGCTAGCCGAGAAGGGCGGGATGAAGTTATGAACCACAGCACCAGCAGCCTTGTGGGGGCTCTCCGATGGGATGGGAGTGGGAGATGGGAGATGGCTTGCCAGTTCTGGTTGCTTGATCCATCTGGTCCTCCTCTATCAGTATATCCTTGGCTAGTAGTGGTGGAATGCCGATTCATGCAATAAAATACGTACAAAAATCGATTATGTTGCCCACGGGCGTTCTTGCTACTGATACACAGGATGTCGATCTGGTCCAAGCCGATCAGATCACTCTATCACAGCCCGTCGTGCCTCGCCCTCACGCAACTTACGCAAGATATGCACCCGCGGCTCCATCCGCGGCCCGATCCACCACCCACCAGTCAGCGCCCTCACCCTCTCCCTAACCCTCCCCACGAGCTCGCCTCGCCCAAACACCCTGTCCCGGCCGCTTTCGACATCTCCCTTCGACGACGCCGAGCCGCCCGGCTTGAGGACCTCGATCCCGGCGAACCCCTCCACCACGCCGACCGTCTCCCACGGGCCCAGAACCCTGGCCGGATCTTCCGCCAGCGCGTAGTCGAACTTCTCCCAGAACTTGGGGTTGCGCAACGTGCCCTCGTCCTCGGTCTTGTCAAAGACGAAAGTCAAGGCTTCGTTGGAGGGGCGCGGGTCGTTCGGCCGGTAGGGGTGTTGGCCAAAGAGGGTCACGCCCGTCATACAGGACAGCACGTCTGTGTGTACGACAACCGTCTGCAGATCGGGAGACGAGGACGACGTGACGAGGCTTCTAAGCTCGGAGAGCGCCTCGCCCCCGGGGTAGTTGAGGGAGGAGACGATGAGCATGGCGGTGCTTATGGTGAAGGACAGAACCACGGAGGCTGCGATCACAGCAGATGCGACTGCGAAGGCGGCTGACTTGGTGCGACGTGTGAAGATGTAGTTCGCCCCTAAAGCCGCGGCTGCCGTCAAAGGAGGCGCGACGTAGAAGATGAAGCGGGCTTCCTTGTGCGGCTGGAGCGAGTATATGGTCACGAAGAGCAGACTCGGTATGACCAGCGCCTGCGCTTGGCGCCTCGTCCCTGGATTACACATGGCGAAGGAGATCAGCGCAATCGAACTCAGTGGGTTCGTTAGGATCTTCGGCAAGGCAGATGTGAAGTAGTAATGCCAAGGTGAGACTCCCCAGTCCGAGGAGGAACCGAGCAAGGCATTGTAGTAGAACCCCCATAGCTCTGGCCAGAGGGGCTTTTGCCAGAAGTACGAGTCGATGGGAATCGTCGTAACCAGCGAGAATACGAAGAAGACCAGTAATGCCGGGATGATCGAATTCAGGGGGATGTTGTGGACCAGTAGGCAGTAGAGGGTTGTGGTCACAAGAAGGATGGCCAACTCTGATCTGAATACCGCCGTGGCGATGGTCAGATGCGCAATGGCCATACTGTAGCGTCGGTTCTGCTTCTCTGGATCAGGACTTCCTACCAACTGCGCGAACGCCATGGTTGCTGTTGTCCGTCAGTCAGGGGCCACTTACTACAACTGCAGGATATCGAACTTACTCAGACCGAAGGCAAACATGTTTGGCAAAGTCCTAGAGGCATAGAACATGACATGAAACTGGCTGGCTTGCAGTAATACATACCACCGCGCCGTCGAGTTTCCAAAAGCCTTTTCCAACTTCGCACCGAACCACAGGAGGGCTACCGCATTGATCATCCCCAAGACTCCTCTCACGATGAGTTGGGCATGTTGGAAGCCAACCAGCGCAATGTAGGGTTGGCTGAGGCCTGCCAGGAAGACTGCCCCGACGAAGGTCCGAGGCACAGCGCCGGGGAAGTCGAAATGGTCATAGTGAGCTGACAGGCGCTGGTGAATGTCCTTTGTGGGCGTGCCATATGAGATGATATCGTGTGTGGCCTGTATGTTGAATGACTCCTCGACTTTGGTGTAAGGGGCTACCAGCAGGTGAATGATGATCACAGCTGGTATTGACAGCATAAGAAGCAGATCTGCCATCAGTGTCAATGCCTCCAGTTGCCAAAAGAGTTATGTGACGTAGCTCACCAATTGCGCCCATCTTGTCTCCTTGGTCTGAATGAGTGCTCTGAAACTTGTGTGTACTTCTAACTAACGAGGACCGTAGTTGTCGGCTGTTGTGAGAAGGTCCATAGGTGCACTCGCAGCTGGAGTTTCGTAGACTGGCTTCGGGATTAATTGTTGGCAGACCTACTGACCGAGTATCTCCTCTCTCATTCCTCTTTCCCGTATGAGTAGTTGGATGTGGTCTATGCCGTGAAGCTCTAGTCCTCCGCGGTGTTGATATTCCAACAGCACGGGAAGCTTCGGCCCCATAATTTTTGCCGACCGCAATGCAATCTGGCGCCGCGCCGTGACACCTGGCCTCGCAGGCTCAACCTCGACCACCAAATCCATCCGCATCAGTCCCCCTCCCCCAGCTCGTCCACAACCCCAGCCAACTCCCCGACTGCCGCCCAGTTGTCCTCTGCCACGATGATACTCTTCGGAAGCCTGATCTACGGTACCTACAACCCTACCTCGGTCAACTCCGCAAAGCAGCTCGAAAGCTAACCGCCATACGCAGTGTCGGTCCTCCTCGTGAATGCGATCGCCATCCTCTCCGAAGACCGCTTCCTCGCTCGCAGTACGCCCAACCCCCCGGACTCCCCCTTGTCTTCCACCTGCGATAACCGATTGTCGCACGAAAAGCCTTGCTAACAAGTACTTGCCCGTTCACTAGTTAATCTCTCGTCCGCCGCGTACGACCCGGCATTCGGAACCGGTCCCGACGCGCAGAGCGCAAAGGGGAAAATCATGAACCTGATCGCGAGCGTACGGACCGTGATGAGGAGTAAGAGACCTGTCTACGTAGCCTTCTGAGCAAGCTATGTGTGGGAGGAGACAATCATGCTGACGAAGAGGACCACAGTTCCGCTCATAGGGATTAATACGGCAATAATACTCTACGAACTGGTGCTGGGATAGGCTATATGGCACTGTAGGGAGGGATCACAGCAATCGCAACTGATATGAATATGTCGACTGGAATCTGGCGTTACGGTCTAGCTGTGTTTACGGCGGGAATACGACAGGGGCGTCACAGTCACGGGTTACGGTCACGGTCACGATTCACATGGGCTAGATCATTCGCGGCATAACAACGAGCATATGAACGCGGAAGTTGGTCTAAGCATTGGGTCAGGCCAGTTGCAGCAGGAGGAGCAGCTTTAAGCGCCTGAAGAATATATCTTACAGAGATACAAATGCCATGTTGGACAAATTCAACGACGCAAACATCATTGCCGGTCCAGGAGTGGATGCAGGCGCAGGTTGCTGTCAGCGGAACGATGCCTATCCCACAACGCACGCTGTGATGTAACCTCAATGTTCGTGCAAATGCTCGACGGCCGTACTGACTCTCAAAAATGCTCCCATGATGACTCCGTGAATGCATACGCGTAGTTTGTGATAGGTGCAGTGCGATGGTCCCAAACTCCTGGGAGTCTGTCCTCACGAGAGAACTTTTTGGCTCTTTTTGCGCCCAATGCCAAAGCTGAGACTCTTCCGGAGTCTGAACTGTTCGGGCTTATCCTGAGCGTGGGATGAGCTCTCACCATTCTGACCATCGTCAAAAACATCGGTGCTGTCTCTCTTCGACTTGCTGAGAAACCCAAAGCTCCTTCTTGACATCGATTTGCTGCCCCTATGCGATCGACTGAGCGACGGAACAACATCCGCCTCTTCCTCTTGATGGACCTCGTCATCGTTATTGTTATTGTTGTTGTTGTTGTTGTTGTTGTTGTTGTTGTTGTTGTTGTTGTTGTCGTGCTTGCTTGCCTCCAAGGCTTTCTTCAAATCCTCTTGCTCTGTCCTCCGGGCATCACGCAACCGAGCCCCTGCCTCTTTTCGTTGCTTCTCCTTAGCTTTGAGCTCTTCCTTCTCCGCCAACTTGCGTGCCTTTTCTTGGGCTTTTGCCTCTTTCTTCTCATCCTTCGACTTGGGCTCCGCCTTGACAGTGTTCGACCCCAGCCGTGGTGCGGGAATCGCACCATCAAGTTGATTTGGTGCTACTGGTAGAGGATTCGTTGGATCGCCCACCATGTCGGGTGCTGTCGCAGCATGATCCAGGTTGACAAACCCTTCTGGTTCATCGGGTGGCCGACCTGGTAGCGTGACCTGTCTAGATATTCCAGAGACATTCCCGTTCGGTTGACGATTCTCTTGCGCAACGCCTGCCTTTTCACTTGCTAGCCTTACTTCCTCCAATCCCTCTTCATCCTGCTCGGCCCGTACCTTTTCGAAGGTTGTCTCCTGATAAAACAACACATACGCGCAGGCCATGCCGGGTTTGTCTCCGAAGAAGTTGCGAACGTAATGCTTGTCGACGGGCTCAACCATTTCATCGTCGAACAAGAGCCATCCCCGATCCTCTGTCTTGATGACTGAGACGTAGTGCCCGTGGTAGGCGTTACCACCGATATGAATAACAACGGCATATAGCTCGTATATCCGGTCAGGGTCGGCGGCATCTTCGGTCGTATTGAACATCCTCAGGTGATAGGGGTATACCACACGATGGAAGAGCTTTTGTAAACGACTGAAGTCTTCCGTGTACTTGAAACGCTTCAGGTGCAATGCCAACACCTTGGGTAACCGCTTGATCTTCATTCGCTTCTCCGCTTCTTGCAGCCCACCGCAATGATCGCAGTGGAATTTGTTCCTCTCACAAAGCATCTCTTCTGCCGAGAACTTTCGGAGGCAAGAGGTGACCGATGCATGTTCTTCTAAATCGATGGACAAATCCAAAAACGTCTCATCTCGTTGGGAAGCCGTCTCGCAGGTTAGGCATTTCGTTTCAGATGTTAAGACACCCTCAAATATATCATGAACCCAGCCTGTCCCTGGAGAGTTTGTCCCATTTGCTGTGCTCTTAGCCGTCGCCCCTAATGCAGTTCTGAGCGAGTCTGCGAGAGCGTCATCAGTGCGGGCTACCTCACGATTCAACAGCCGTTGGGCACTGTTCTCGACGTTGGAGATAACATCGTTTAAGACCAGCCCATAAAACTCGTGAGCGTCCTGGTGCATCGAGGTTCGAAACAACTCGTTGTCGCGCTTGAAGATCTCCAAGAATCGTTGCGGACTGAGAACACCTGTGCGAACATTGCTCTCAACCAACGTTACGAATATGTCTCTTAATGCAGTGAACGTGCACTCGTCCATCTCATAGGCGTCGTTATTTTCCTGGGCCAGCTCCAAGATGGGCCCTTTTAGCATGGCTTGCTTCTTCTTGTATTCTGGCGTGTCGGGTTTATCTTCCGGACGGACGGGTTGATTCGGCGGTGCTTGACCCGAGTTGATCTGTTTCCTCTTCGCGAGGGCTTCTGACGTGGTGAGGCTCTTCTTGCTGTCCGCATCCGCCTGTGCGCTGCCATATGTGTTTGGTGCTCTTATCTGGACGTTCACCCTGGGTCGATTGCCATTAGGGGTATCTGATGGTGATAGCGGCGGGAAATCTAGCACTTGTTCTCGGAATGCGACGGTGTAGTAGAGTGCTTGGACGATCGAGTTGCAATAGCTGGGTCTCAATTAGCAGCGGCTAACAGTATAGCGAGAGCTAGTTTCCCTACCAGGTGTTGCCAAACTGCAAATCATAAGTCAGTACTGTGGTCGCAACATGATACTTCAGCATGAGGACATACATTTTCCATGCCAAAGAACTTGTCGCTCCCATCTTGTCGAAGGGCCCCAGCACTCTGGAGCATCTTTTCTAAAGGAGTGGTATCTGGAATGGGCTCATCCTTCTTTTTCTGCGCATCTTTGCCAGGACTGGCGGTAGCCTGACAGTTCGTCAGCCTGTTCGACTACCACTGACTTGAGCAGCTTTGCGACATGCCACCATGGGGGACGGCATCGCAGCGGGACCCAGGCCACGAGAACTTACCGCAGAGCCCGGCTTCCACTTATTCAGAAAGCTAGCCATAGCCGTAATTCAGGCGATCAGATGGCAATTCCGACGTGGTTAGGACTCGACAGAAGCCAGCGTCGCAGCGCGGCTGCGGGTCAGCGAGAAGACACAGAACCGACGGGAGACGTCATCCGAAGAGCTGGCTGGTTCTTGCTGTGGAAGGCTAAACAGGGGAGAGTAGGGCTCCTTTGCAATGGAACCGAATCACGTCTGAAGCTATACAGCTCGAAATGCTGCTGCGTTGCGTATGGATCGAATCGTGCTGACGTGTAAGTCCCTCAGGTGCGTCGATCGGTAATGGTGGTGGGCGCGCGGGAAAGTGGCGGGCGCGCGGGCGCGGGAGATGGCTGGACGTATGTCTCGGTCTCGGTGTTCGCGAGGATGCGGGATATCAATCAATTGATTAGATCTAAACGGATATAGTACACGCGATCGATGGCAACTCGTACGGTATAGGGAAAAGACAGCATATCATCGCAGTATACACGACAGAAGAAGAAACCCGGAAGGAGGAAAGGGAAGTCGATCGAACTGCTCCAGGGACAAGCACTGGCTTAAGGCGGGCGTTGAAGGATTCGGACCTTGTAATGCAATACAAGGTAGGTAAAGACCGGAAGAATAGCCGGGGTGCGCGAGCCGTGTCTGGCAAGTGATCACTGATCACTGATCACAGCACTTGAGCACTGCCCATCAGTGATGGAGTGGTGCATCCGAGAACACCTGCAGCCCCCGAGTGGATACCTGCCCCTCCATCTGGCAGCCTCCCAGCGTGGTTCGCCGCCTGGAGCAGCCGCCCAGCCCGCCCTGGAGCAGCCCTCCAGCCCTCCAGCTGGCTGGCCGGGGATTTGCTGCCCAGGTCTGAGAGGTGGGCTCCCGGAGCTAAAGATGGGGTAAGATCCCAGCGCCCTGGCAGCTGGCTGGGCCCTCGCGCTATGTATTTAGCGGGCTTTAACGGTCCTCCATTGTCCAAGGCGCTGGGCGCGCACACTCTTCAAGATTGACTCCCGGTCCTGACCTCACACTGTCGCCTCTACGGCTGCGACTATCTGGCCCGATCAGCTGGCTACATCGGACTATGAGCTTGACATGCGAACACCACAAACCCTATCGTGGGGCTTTTCCGCCCAGGTGTGACATCTCAAGACGATCGGTTCGCAACGATGCTTGACAGTCGAAGTTGGAACCAACATGAACCGTCTTTCGCCTATCCCCAAGTTCCAACCGCCTCGCTTACGAATCAATGCCTGCGCTGCTCGCGATTGGGGATAGGTCCGGATCGGATGTTTCGCTGAAAATGGAAACACTGCCCGTCCGGTCATATCCGCAGGTCACAGGTCACAGGCCACAGGTGAGAGAGGACAGCCTTCACCTTTCAACCACTCTTGTCATACGCAGGGCCAGGGTCCGAAAAAATACTATTAGTATTCGTACTTAGTATTGTATCGTGTTAGTGTCGTATTGTATTAGTATCGTATCGTATAGTATTAGGTTTGAATACTATTTAGTATAAATTTGATGATTTTTCTATGATTTTTAAGCCTGTTTTCTTTTAATAAAAAATTCTTTTAAAATGAATTTGTTATCTATATATATATAAAGTGTTTTAAATATTCTTTATTTTATTATTGTCAGATTCAAGGGATCTCCAGGGGTGTATGCCCTGTCGAGTGCTGGCTAGTCAATTGGCTAGTCAAAGAGGCTGCCATGACTAGCACCCTGAATCATACGTTGACTCGGAAAAAGGTGGGCCGGAGGATCGTCTCCGGCATCTCCGGAGCTGTACAAATAGGTGTAGATACCACACAATTGGGATAGCTGAGAAATGATAACAACGATTGCAGCTACCGTTCAAGACTATAGGCTTGTCAACTCTTTGAAATTTGACAATTATTATTTAAATAAAGAAAACACGATATATGTATTCTTCCTATATATTTGAATTTAAATATATATATATTTATTTATTTGTATATTTAGATAAATAAAAACGGGTTCTTAAAAAAATTCTATTTGTGACGTTTTGTATATGTGAATAGGACATAGAAGCCCTTGTTTACTAAGTACGTATAACTATCTCTTACTGAAGAGGAAAAAGAAGATTAAGCGGCACAGCCAAATCTAGTGGGCAACTTGATAAGTGTGTCCGCCCCACAATTCAAAGCCATAGTGGGCCTGGGACAACCAGTCGTCCAGGAGGTCACGTGCTGTCACGTGATCCCAGGACCATCACTAATGGTAGCGACGTAGCAACCATAACACAATTTAAATATGTTCGATTTTATGATAAGAAAATACATAATTTTAAAATATATCAGGCTAGCTTACGTAGGATTATACCTATTATAACAATCGAAAGAATATAGTCGTATATATTTAAATAAATAAATATTAAAAGTCAATAATAAAAATTTACAAAGATCGGCTCAAAGTAGATCGTCGTATATATTTAGGTAAATAAATATCAAAAGTCCATAATAAAAAATTATAAAGGTCAAATCAAAAGTTAAATCATAAAAGGTAAAATGATCAAAAAAAAGAATATTAATAAGTGTAGGATACAGGTGCCGTACAAGTGTGTTGGCAGCTGTTCAAGCAGCTGTATCTAACCAAAATAAGTGGTCAAAGGATGAAAGGGGTGAAAGCACTAGAAGTTATGGCTTTCAGGGTGATAGACAAGGCTTCATTGATTGCCAGATCAATGGATAGGCGAATCTTTGTGCTTTAGTGTGTATTTAGTACTAGATTTGGTCCTCAGATCCGATAGACGATTATGCAAGCAATTCACCCTAATATTGGACCCTGAATTCTGACACTAATGAATTATTTATATTATAAGCCAAGTCGTTTATTAATAACTTCGCTTTGTATTTATTTGTTAATTTAGCTAGTTTTTATTTTATTTCAAAATTTTATTTTTTAAGTAGTAATATTCTCCGCATTGTTTTAAGTTCCAAATTAACTTATAAGCGAGTTATAATATAACTAGCGGTCGAAACCCGGCTTTTTATACGCGTAAAAATAGCTTATATACCTAAATATTGTTTAGTTATAATAGTTAAAACAAGCCACAAAGTACTTTTGATTTTTTAACAAGTTAAAACATCGACTTTATATTAGCTATTAGTAATTATTTTCATACGCTTAAAATAATGAGATATTATTACCTTTCGATTTTTTCTTTTTTCTTTTAAATATTTCATACTTCGAGATATACATTATTATCTTCTATAAATAAACCGTTGTCTTTTGATCTCTACTCTTCTAAAATATTGTTTATATATTTATTTTGTGTACTTTAAAATATAAACGAATTTGTAAAATTCTAGAAGAATTATAAGCCTTGGGGATGTGAGCGGTCGCTGCAAATATTGTTGTCATTCTCAAATATGCTCGGCAGGGCTAATCTACAGCTAAATACCATACTGCACTATACTAGGGTAGATCCACTGTTCCCTTAACAGCCCCCTAATGGGTACTGCACTTAAGGGCACCATATCTAGGATCCAACATCTGACAAAATCTTATTCTAAGATATTTATATACTCTGTTTTATATATTATTATGTTTTAATCCTTATATTTATAGAGAAAGATTTATTATAGTTAAATTAAATTATCAAGATAAAATAAAAGTCTATTTATAACATTATTATACTAATTTTTTTCTTTTATTTCTTTCATTTAAAAATTGTAACTTAAATTAAAAGGCGCCACTTTCAGATTTTATTAGTACTAATTGTATACTAATCGTATACTATCGTATTGGTTAATATCGTATCGTATTGGGTCAATACGATACTAAGTATCGTATTTTTCGGACCCTGCGCAGGGCCGTCTGCTACTCTTCTATCTTCGATGACAGCACTGCTTCAACAGAACCAGCCTTGAGTCAAGCTCTGCAAGCGCAACCGACCAGATCTGGGGCACGGCCGCCGGGGGGATCGGTTACACCATAACATCGGATGTCTGGCGGAGCTCCACTTGCCATGCCACTTGCCATGCTCCCAACCTCGACTTCGCAAGCGATTCGGCCATTGAATGCGTTCCGGGGTTCTAGAGCAGGTGAACGACGGGTCCCAGCACCACGGATACCTACCACTCGACTTGCCGTCAGCATGTCACATCGTTCGCGCACCTCTCATCACACCTTGAGACCCGAAATCGTGTTCATTGTATTGCGGAACGAAAGACCTTCCTACGGGGTCGGCTGACCATATCGCCCCCAACATCCATGTCCCTACCTACCTCACGTTGGAATTTCTCCCAAAGCTGCTGTGACCCCTGCTCCTATGCAAACCCTGGTGTGACGCGGCCTCGACGCGATTGAGCATGATGAAATCAAGTGACAAGTAAAGACGCACCGCTCTGTCGGCACTCGGCCGATATCCTTCCTGAAATGCGGAGGAACAGCGACACAGCAGCAGGGGATTTTCAAAGCTCAGCCTCTCTTGGCGCGTATCTACCTCCTATTATGTCCGAATTCAGAGCGGTTCCATCGTTCCTCCACATAAAGCCCCATTAGATATGAGCTACCCAGCAAATCCCGTATCAACCGAGTCAAGTACCCAAGACAAGAATCGTCGACGATGAAGGCTCGAGGAGCAGATCTCGTCGCCGACATCTTGACCTCTTACAAGATCCCTTGGGCCTGATCTGCAGTTTGGCGGATCCGAGAAAGCGCCGCCGTGCATTCACTCGGCAGCAGAATCAGCCAACAGGCAGACAATTCCATGGTACGCAGCCATGATGGCGCACATGAGCCATGTGTGATGACGAAAGCGGTTGGAGGGACGGACGAGGGCAACCAATCCGCCCATGGGACCATGCTCCCAAACCCCCGCCATGTGGCAGACCCGTCCTTGTCAGCTGTCGTGAAACCAACGACATGTCCTCGCTACTCGTCAGGGCTATAATCGCCATTGACCCACTTTTACGGTCGTGCCTCCCTGTAGGTCATGGACATTGAATCGGTCACATACTTTGAATCGGTCAAAAATAGGATGTGGCTCAAGCACCAAAAATGTTCATTTTCCAGCCACCTCCAGCCACGTCGCCGTCCCCCCATCAAAACTTGCCAGAGAAAACAATCTGGAATAAAACAGCAGGAAATGACTCGCATACGCTGTAAATACATACTGTAATAATTAACTATCAGGCCAAGCTATTAACATTTTAATGGAATTAATTGCAGTCGATACAAGCTTGCTGCAAGCAAATAAGCTATTTTTGACCGAATCAAAGTACGTAACCGATTCAATGTCCCTGACCTACAGGGAGGAACGACCGTAAATGTGGGTCAAGTCGCTTAGACACGTGACGAGTAATGGCTTACATGATGTACCTACGTCGCACTACCAACACACGGGGCGCTGCAGTTCGCATGATCTGACTCGCTGCCGTGCCAGGACGAACCGCTTCCGTTTGAGCGGAACGATACATCGTGGCTTGGCAGCTGATATCTGATCGGCGTCTACAGTTTGTCCAACCGAGAGCCATAATCTGATCTTGCGCTGATCTGGCTCGGTACTAGTTGGCTCTACCCGTCTGGGCCTACTAACCTTCTTTTATTGCTACCGCCTTTTCCAGGCAAAACAACTTCTTGATGCCTACGTAAGGCCTTCGCGGATTGCTGAAGCCAATCATGCAACAGGTGGTCCGTGAGGAGTATTCAAGGTTTGCCTGGAAAAGGCGGTAGTAGAGGTAGGACTTACGTCGTTGCAAAGCGACGGCTTGACCACACTTCGTGATGCCACGATTGTAATACTGAGATACGCCATTGACGAGACAGTTTACGGTGAGATCACTATTGGTTCTGTTGACTTCGGTGTTAGTGTACTAGATATTCTATCAACCGCCTCGCGTTGGTTGACAGCGAATTGAAAGACCGGCAAACGCTTGTAACAAATATCTTGTAACATTTATCCGTAGGCTAATAAGGAGATGTTGGCATATACGTGCAGGCTAATTTGATTTGGCAGTAGAAAAGGGGGTGCGAACGGATGAACGAACGGTACACTTAGCCCTCATGAGTCTCCGTACGCCCCATGTTGGGAGGATTTCCGATTACACGTTAAGAATTGGAATTTTTGAAATAAGCAAATAAGAATAAGTAACTCTGGCTTGTTGAATACTTATTTCAGTGCGCTTATTCCAATTTGATAAATTTACTGTTGTTTGCTAAAACGGGTGGTATGCGGAGACTTATGAGGGTTTAGTGTAGTTGTCGGTGTAAAAGCAAGCGCTGACAGATCTTGGACCTGCCACCGTACATGTATGTCTTGTCGGTCCATCTGCAGCAGAAGCTTACATTGGGCTCAAACACGCGAACTTGACCTACAACTCAGAATTGAATGACATGGTATTGTAAGGAAAGTACGGATGACTCCGAGGGATGCTATATAACGAAAAGGAAAAACACGAACACTACATGAAGACGTGTGAACTCCATTGCGCAACTTCGATGAACACTCCCAACGTTTTCCGAGCCGTCACAGACTGCATTCGAAGCATGCAGGATGACAGCCATCGTGCACGAGTCCAATCACAACCTGAACGCCAGATCTCTGGCCACACATCTACTTCTTCTCCTCCGGCGGAGCACCACCACCAGTCGTCGGCAGGCCCATGAAGATCTTGAAGTAATCGTAGATCATCCACTGCAGGCCAGTGAGCGTCCCGATCATGACGATCCGGACCGGGAGGCCGTTCCAGAGCCCCATGAACCCCATGTCCCTGTAGTTCCGCGCGACGGCGACGCTGAAGCCCTCGCCGGCCTTGAGGTTGGCGTTGAGCTTGCTGACGAGCACGTCGGCCGGGTGCGAGACGATGGCGCAGAGGATACCGGCGAGGTAACCGGCACTGAACGAGACTGCGGTCTGGGCGCCTCGGCCGTATTCGCTCTTCTGCCCTGGAAGCCGGCGGTACATCGCCTCGACGATGGTCTCGAAGGAGGCGAATTTCATCATCGTGTACGGTATCTGACGGCCCCATAGGGGGTACAGGCCCTTGTACAGGCCGCCGACGCCCTCGGCTGCGGTGATCTTGGAGATGCCGTCGACCATGCCGGTGTACGGCGGAGGCATGGTGGTCTGCATGCGGATCTTCACTGCTTCGAAGGGGCAGAGGGCAATGTCGGCTAGGAACTCGGCGGAGGCTGAGGCCGTGAGGTAGAGGACTGTCTTGTACTTGTGGGCATTCTCGGGACCTGCGAGGTCCGAGTATGTCTTTTTGAAGTACTCATACCAACCATACTGTATGAGGCATGTCAGCATTTCGAGTGGAAGCTCCAGCTACTACTCCGACATCATGAAGAAGCATAGACTGACCTTGAAGGCCCCCTGAGCAGAGTAGCCAAAGAATGTGGGACTCCAACCGGTGAAAATACCCCTGAGCCCTTCTTTGCCGTAGATCAGACGCCATGCCTGGAAGTTTCCCTTGTACAGTTTCGAGTCGACCTGACGACGGCACTTGACAAGATCCAGCGGCGTCACAGCCGTATGCGTGAGACCCTAAAAGGCAAATACACAATATCAGCCACCGATCGAAACGAAAGCCCGTATTCGGGTTGGTCAGATATGAGGAGGCCCGAGTGGGTCCGCTGCCACTTACACATGCGAGAAGACCGCCAAAGGTGCAGGCGGCGTAGTACTTGAGCGAGTACAGCTCGATTCCGCCGGTCTTGGCCTGGGCCGCTTTGCTGGCCTTGTCGAACTCGGCCTGGGCCTCGGCGCTCAGCTTTTGCGCCTTGCTCTTCGCGTCTTCGATGACCGAGTAGGTGCCGTACAGCTCGGGGCGGGCCTGGTGTGGAGATGCGCGGGCCGCCGCTGGAGTCCGGAGACTAAGGGGCGGGCTGAATGTCTGCGCCAGGGTGTGGTGATTGGGGAAGAGGCTGGACATTTTGGCATGTGAATCCTGTGATTCACGGTGTTGGCTGTTCGGTGCTGGCACGTGGTGTAGCTTGTATGCACTCGAGTCCTGCTGATCCCAATTGGCTCGTATAGCTGGCAAGAGGTAGAGCAGGAGATGCGATGTTACTTGGCAAAGACTCACTGGAATGTTGGTTCTGGAACTGTTCTTCCGGGGGAGGGTTGATCGAGGAGCAGTTGTCATAGAGATTGTTCGCCCACTGAAAGTTCGGAAAGGAACAGCTCGTCCCCCAACAGTAGTTCCAGAGATTTTTCGCCCAGAGCGAGTTCGCAACGGTACAGTACACCCAGGAACAGTTCCTAAAGGCAATATTTCTCCAGGAACAGCTCCCCCCGGAACAGGCTATAAAGGCACGGTTCGTAAATGAACCGTAGTTCTAGAAACAGTTCGTAAAGGAACAGTTCGTCCAGGAACAATTCGCCCAGTGACAATTCCTAAAGGGACAGTTTGTAAAGGAACAGTTCAACCAGGTAGAATTCGTCCAGGTATACTTCGGAGGGGTATGGTTTGGATCGGAATAGTTCGGATCGGGGTAGCTGTCGTAACTCCGAGAATCGTCCTTGAAGGTAGAATTCGTCCCGATGGGGATGACCGGAAATGAATCTGACGAATCACCCTGTTGCTGTGGGTTAGGCTCTTGATTGATCGATTGATGCTGAAAAGACATACCGAGAGGATAGCCAGCTGTTTTGTGGGTTTCAGACGTTGAAATCAGCTCCCAGGGTTGAACTCACAGTCGGAGGGTATTGTTGACGTTGAAATAGATTTCAACTGTCAATTGAGTATCCGCGGACTGTCGATTGATCGTCGTTTCTCAGCTTGAAAATGGTATGATGTTAGGAAGGTACGAAGTATTGAGAGGATAGCCAGCTGCCGCGAAGGAATGAGAGGCAAGCAGGAGGAGGAGGAGGAAGCTCCGGAATTAAGAGCGAGGTTGCATTCGTCACAGCCTCGACCTATAATATCGAAGACGGGATGTAGCAACGGGCCATACGTACCTTCTCTTAGGATCTCGAAATGATGAACAGTCGAAGCGACGTCATTTGCTTTCATGACCAGCATTACAGCTTTGCATGAGAAGGGGAAAGGGCTCTGTCTTAACATACATATCTCATCCCTTCACTCACGGACTTAACTCCCATGTGGTCAACATTGAACTTGTAGGGCTGACGTCGGCGGGGCCCATACCCAAAGCTCTAATCCCTACGTCGGATATATCGCATGCTGATTGGCAGTTCTATCTTTATATCTGTGGAGGTCAACACTAGGCGTTTTAGCAGTTCCACCAGCATTAGAGGTTAGATGACTTCCAGGCTGAGGACTATCATCAGACGGTCTACTAGCAAGCGTTTGGGTCTTTCATGCTGATGTCTAACCAGAAATCCGTCCATATGGATGAGTCCCGCCAGATTAAATCTGCCTGTAAGAGTGCCTGCCATAAACTTGTGATGAGTGATACGCCCGTGGTATCCACCAAAGGGACGGACGCTGGCGAGGCCGATCACCAGGGAGGTAGGTGATTTGAAGAGCTTCATGTTCAAGTGGGGGGAAATGAGAAAATGCTATTAGCAAATGCGACTACCTTGAGTTGAAGGGATAAATGCCTTGTGGCGGCCAAGAGTCCATATGTCGAAGTGATGCTCACTGATGATTGAGTTGTTACGGCAGCGTGGTTCACGGTTCACGGTTCACGGTTCACCGTCGGCTGGCTAGGATCCATGCGGACCCTTTTGCTGTTGCTCGCCCGCTTTGCGTCGGCGATTGTCAGTTTGTCACCGAGCAGAGCCCCACTTCGAAGTCTTCCGACCTCCAGCTGTTCCAGTCGTCCCACGGTTGCTTCGATGATTATGACCTCAAACACCACGCATACCTACCAAGAAAACCTACAACGACACCAGCAGTATTTCAACCTTTGGTCATTGCGACGAAACTATTGGCCACGCTTATTACCTATAGTCGACCTGATCTAATAAGCACTGCGGAGAAGCTCGGAAGCCTACGGCAAACTCAAGCGCAGCGAGCCAGCACTGCGGATCTACCCACCATCATCGTTCGAACGGACACAGGGGACAAACACCGACCAGTTTTCGGAGATGGCGCAGACTATGACGGGCGCTTCACATATAGGCCCATCGCCGCTATCGGGCAAGACGCCCTTCGTATCCAAGTGGTCGTCGCGGTATCGAGGGGTAAGCCATGTTCTGCCCCAACGCCTGCGCAACGTACGGAGAACCAACAGCTTACCACTACCCATTGAAAACACAGGCAACAGTTCAAGATCTCGAGCCCCCCTCAGCACTCTCCCTCAACCCCTCGGACCCCATCTCACTCGCCCTGATCTCGGCCTTCGAGCGCGACTATACGCACCTGACCATCGTCGACGGCGAGACGCGCGCTCTCGTGGGCTACATCGCCATCCCGGCGCTGCAGGCCCAGCTGGACGCCGGAACGGTGCAGCCCGGGGATTCGCTCTCGAAAGCCATGGTGCGGTTTCAGCGCAAGGGCAGGAAGTACCGGGTCATCACCATGTCGACGCCGCTGGAGGAGCTGGAGGAGTTCTTCGAGGGCGGCGGCCAGAAGCAGGAGTTTGCCGTCGTCACGGACGAGGCGCGGCGGTTCGTTCTGGGAGTGGCTACGCGGGGGGATCTGGAGGAGTTTGTCAAGAGGCGGCCGGCGTGATGGGACCATTGACTTCAATATCTTTGAGACGGAGCAAGCATCTGAATTGAATGGATGGATGCGGACTGAGGCGCAACAAGTCAACAACTGCCACGCACGGCTTGCTTTGAGAAGCAAAGGTGGCAATGCCCTGAACGGGGGTATTTGGGAGCGGTACGGCGTCAGAAGGTTACTGGGAACTTCATCAGAGTGTTGTCCACCGTGGAATCCGTGATTATGATCTGATGCTATCTAAAGCAACAAGCAACAGGAACATACTCAGCACTGCCCGTCGGTCAGCTCTGGGCACTCTCTTAAGATAAGGTCCCTGGCGTACGAGTCTCGCAAGTCCTTGTCCATCCAGAGAGTGCTTCAATTCATCAAAACACCACCTTGGATATGGCATCTTCAACAGGTTGTCTAGTGGCCAGAATGCGATATTCCTCGACGCCACCCAGGGATGTCGACATAGGTGGAACGCTCTGTTGTTGGACCGCCATCCGTCAAGTACGCACGATAAAATATCCACTTCGCTTGCCTGGATACCGTGCGCTAGATGTTCGCCGAGACCGCCATGCCAACAAATGCGATCACTTTAGAGCCTTGGGGAGAATGTCTTGGGTATGGAACGGGTTGAAGGGATTCTTCGCGGGCGAGGCCTGTAGGTTCTATACCAGGGTGCAGTCTATTCATCATACACGCTGCTCAGCCGGATCTTTCTATCATACACGCTGCTTAACCGGACCCTTCTATCATAGTCGCTTAGCCGGTGCCCTTCTATCATATACGCTGCTTATGGACCTTCTGACCGCCACGCAGGCGAGCTTCCAAGCATACTGGCCGTGGATCCGATAGAGATGGGATGAGGGATCCTGTAAAATCATTTCGGATACAGCTTCGCAACCGCTGCCACGTCCTGTTTCGAGGGTTCATTATTGATCTTCAGCTTACCACCATTGGCTGCGACCAAGACCAGCTTCCCGCCATGGGGATCCTTACTGAGGGCGAGAGAGTCGTACATCATGATTGAGTCCCAGTCGAAGGAATCGTCCTCGACGAGTCCCATGGGGAAGGTCAAGGGAAGGAAATTGTGAGCCGAGAACCGATTTCTGTTGGCTTTGTCTTCATCCGTGCAGAGTGTGTTGTCGACGTAGTATGCTCCAAACTTCCTCACGGAGGCTTCGTAATCCAACATGTTCTCGCAGTTCAGCTTCAGTAGTGGCAATTCTTTCTTCCATGCGCTTGGCTTTTGATGCTCGTGCTGCAACCCGAAGACGTGGCCGAGCTCGTGCGCGAAAATAACGACGGGATCGCGCCCGCCGTATTTATTCCCGGGGTCGAACTTCATGTTTCGGGCGTCTGCTTTGAATCCTGTATGAGAACTTGTCGACCCTTGATTGTTGACTTCGTTTCAATACGGGTCAGCATTTATCCACTACCGTCTGATGGATGGAGCGCCGTATCTTGGTAGTACCAAGACACGTTTAGCGAGGGAGGACTCGGACGAGGTACGAAACAGACGGTCCTCTTTCCCAACACCCTTGGGCTAGCGCGAACTATGGCCACTGTGCTGCGGTGGGAGTGATGGGAAAGATATCTTACAGGTGATACGCAGCATGGTTCCATGGTCCTTCTTACAGCTCGGCTTCTTCTTATCCGAGGGCTCGAACTTGAGCTTAGACCTGCCGTCGAGCTTCTTCTCCCACAGCTTCCAGCCCCCTTTCGCGATTTTTAGGACCTCTTTATAGGAGTCTTTATCCTCGGACTCGCCGTCAGGCTCAAAACACCAGACGATCTTCGCATTTGGCCAGGGCCGGCCCAGGGTGCTCGAACCATCTTCGTTGATCGCAAAAGCTCTCCCCGAGAGGTGGTTGCTTTCTCCCGCGGTCGAGAGAGGGCCTGCGAGGGCACAAGACAAGAACAAACCAATGGCGGTGAAGTATCTCAAGGCCATCGGATAGCTTGAACAAGAGGTAGGCATGAAAGATAAAAGGGTACGAACCAACCGTGATGATGACATGGTGTGGTCTGCCTTTATAAACCTCGAGCCCGGGGCGGGTAGGATGTTGAATTGGATCATTGCTCCATACCTACCGCACTTGTTGACACATATGCACTTATCACCACATACCTACCTAAGGTACCTTACCTAGGTAGGTACACTCGGTGTGGCCGACTGCTTGGTGGCCAAGGATGCGCTGTCCAATTGTCCGCCGAATCCCACTACGAACTTTCACGAACTTTTCTAAGAACCTTCTACGAACTTTTCTACGAACCTTGTCACTGACGTGATGTAGCGCAAGTTCTCGGTCCCTAATGCGGGTGGCGAAGATGGACACTCTGTCCACTGCGAGGGCAGAGGCAGAGCACCCGAAGCAAGGCCTCGCAGCGCGCAATGCACCCCGAGGGAGTCCGAGGAAGCCCTCGCGTGGCGAGGCACAGGAGAAAAACACATTGGGCGTATGGGTATGAAAGCGCTAGGAGCGCAAGGCCGGCTGCCGGACGGAAGCCATCATAGGTATCAGACGACCGGGTCCCGTCAACCCAAACAACCGCCACGTCAGGAGCCTGGCAGTCGAGGAGAGCATGTATCACTTTGAAGTCCTGCTTACCAGATGAGAGTGGCGATGCCGGTGATGCCGGTGACGACAGGTGCCACTTGACGAAGGGCAATCAGCGGCACGACGTATGAACGATGAGGGACGGTGTGTACCAATAGACCTTACGGACAGGACAGAGTAGCCACCCCTTGTCACCAGAGAAGTATATAGAATGTCACCATTGGGAGCAGTGGTCTGAGGTTGGACATCCAAGTCCCACGTGGGACGCCTCGAGCGCTGGATCGGAACAGAGAGAAAGCCCTCCGCGGAGGCACGAGGAAGACCTCGCGAGGGCACACACGGCAACCAGAACGCACCAAGCAGTGGTCTGAACCAACTTCTGGCTGTTCACATGGTAGTACACTCCTCGTGACTTGTACGCTCGGTTGGCCCCTGATAGCGCCACCTCACTCGCTCACCAATTACGCGATCCCTAGGGTCGCCGGTGTCGAGTTCAAGCGGACATCGTCTGCAGGTTCTCGTACGGCATCACTCCCACGGATACGTGGCGTAGCCCCCGGAAGCCCCTAGAGGATGCTGCTCAGAGCAAGACGATGGATCCCTCACAGCGGCGTCACCGCGCTTCGGAGACTGTAGGGTTGGGGAACTTGATGGCACGCGGCCTTCTCGATGCCCAGAGGGATCCGAACTACTGTCGGGAGACCAGGCCGATCATGCCCGCGCACAGCTCTCGAGTGCGCGACGCTACATTTCACGATAGCCGCACTTTCGTCTTCAGTCCGGACGGTTGGGATATGGCACTTTCACGGCTCTAGCGGGAGCGACAACGATAGATGGCGTACACTCTACACACAATGGCACGTCGCGAAAACCTCTGGACATCCCGCATGTCACCCGTACTTCTTCACCCTGCCTGGTGGTTCAGCGGGGCCACCATTCACCGTGCTGAGCACGACCAGCTCAGGCCGCCTCTGTTCTTTGACCCGAGCAAAGGATGGGCAGCCAGATAGAGCCTATGCCGCCGCTTTTGGAGGATAGGTAAACAACAGCATCGTTGCAGATATGAATGCGACAAGCCGCATCGAGCCCGCCGCGAGAAATAGCCGCCTCTGTTTCTCCAGCTTCTACATAAAGCGCACGCATGCGAGGTCAGTTGTGCTCTAGAGCCTGTTGGTACGACTTACTTCATTCAGGGTGCTCGAAGGAAGAGCGAACGGGGGGAAGCCTGCCTACTTATCCATATATGCGGCCAGACGAGCTGCAATGATATCGACGATGTCCACGGACGACTCCACAGTCTCGACGACTTGAGCCAGTACATTGGGTTGGGGGTGAAACGGATGCCTATTACGAGAGGGGTGAGGAGCTGCTTGGTGTGAAGTGATGGCGTTTTACGTGTCTTGAAAAGGGGGTAAGAAGTTGGAAAGATGTTAGTATTACGGGGCGAAAAAATATACAGTGCTCGGATCTATCTAGATGAAGGGCTTGTTACGACCCACAAGCGCGGGAAAGGTTTGAGGCCTAGAACCTTTAGAACATATTGTGTGAGTTTACGAGGTTCTTCTTATTCAAGTGATCCTATGGGCTCCCCTAGCTGCTACTTGCTAGACACTGCCATTAGGAAGGCCATAGGTATCAACGATACCAGCAGGTATATAGAACCCTTCCAGAGATGACAGATCCCACGACCTGACCCGTGTCTGAACGCGTCACACTTGCGTCGCAGGTGAGCAGCCGACAGAAGTACAGTACCGCGATTCTCACCCTTCCATTACCAGCACACACAGTGTCTATCGCACACTGAGGTCAGCGTGACCACCCTGAAGCACCAATCACCTCCTGAGGCATATTGTTCGTTCTCTCTCTCGCGTTTTCAACCGAGCCTCCAATGACGTTTTCAAGGCTAGGGATAGCCCGGAGAGCACAGCCTATCCCGATATCTAGGACAGCTCATTCGAGTGGAATGCTGTGCCTGCCATGCGGGAAGGAAATCGCTTCACTCATAACTCACGCTGGGTCTGATAAGACCAGGGCGAGTCCACACACGGGTAGCAAATGGAAATTTACCAAGAGTTTTCCTATTTGCACCTTACCTAAACCCCTTATTTGCACCTTAGTGGGTCACCTACCTGCTAGCGAGCTGCAGCCTATCTGCCAGGCTAGATGGCCACTACGATCAGGTTTTGTATGAAGATGCTACTCAGTTCCAGATCATTATGCCCGCCCTAGCTGGATACGTTGGTGGCGGTCAAAATGCACAGCTTAGCTGAACTGGATGGCCATTACGATCGCGTTTCGTGTGGCGATATCATATAGTTTTAAATTAGCATGTCTATCGGTCGCGTTTAATTAATTGGGTAGCTTTTTTGCATAGATGGCCACTACGATCGGGCTTCGTGTTGAAACGCCATATAATTTTAGATCACCATGTCTTTCGCAGCTAGATGCGTTGATCGCAGTTAAATAGATGGGCAGCTTGGCCGAAGTAAATGGCTATGATAATCGGGGTTTGGGTGTAGACGCTATATAGTTTCAGATCATCGTGTTTTTAGCAGCTGGGCTGCTTACTTGGTTGGTAGTGAGCTTGGTGGTCAGCCTGCTGCCAAGTGGTTGCAGGTGGCTGATTAAAGTAAGGTGCAAATAAGGAATCTCGGTAAGGTGCAAATAGGAAGATTCTTTACTAATGTCTAGCACTGACATTCTTCTGGTACCTGGCACCTTGGCACTGCACAGGTCTAGCTGCGTGCACCTGGGTATGGATGGCTGACTACCTCCTCTCTACCCAGCGAGATTCGCGATGACGAAGACAGTCCCGCGCACATCGAGGACATCGGTCGAACGGCTTCGGCGTACTTGTCAGCACTGGCCTGCAGCACTACTGCCTTGATGGCACGGAGGGCTCGCGCTCGTGGCAGTCATTGCTCGTCATTGAGGTGTCCATTATGGTCGCGACCGCGTTGTTTGCATTCATCTTGCCCGACCTCAGCACGCCGGGCCGCTCGACGAGGAGCACGGCGCCATTCTGCACGGGCGTCGAATGGCCACCAGGGATCAGAAGATATGACTGTTGCCGGGCGTCTTTATTGAAGACTCCTGCTGCGGCGGTGGCGTGGAAAATAGGGGAGCTGAGCTAAGTACATCGGAGTTGCTACTGTACCGAGGACAGACACATATGATATCAGTCGAGGATGCAAATGGGTTTACGGGAGGATGACTGATTACCGGTACCATGACCAGTATCTACCAAGTGTCCAGGATGGCACTCGACGGTCAACGGTTCCTTCAGAACTTTTCGGAACTTTATTATTTATATACGGACCCATTTCCCTCAGCCCAGCATATGGAGCCGCTGACCATTAAGTTATTCTCCTGGACACCTTAGGTGACAGGTCCGTCCTGTGCTGACCACGGCGCCACGCGAAGGCACCTTGAGCCTCATCGGCGAAACCGATTTCCATGCTCGGTTGTACATTTTGCCACAAGAGGATTCTTTACCATGTTCTCCTCTTCGGTGGGGGGTGGAGGATACTAGAGTACCCACGCAGGAACGAAAGGACTTGTTCTCTTCATTTCACAGAGGTGTCCAAAATGGTAAATAGTAGCGCGCCCCATACCCCTACTTTATATATATAGACGTATGAAGAAACTTGATATAACAACATTATGTCATTATTATCGCTTATAGTAATATATCGGTGTTCATCTTCATCCTTTTAAACACTGAATATAAATGTTTACTTAGCAAGTCGGCGTTTTCTGGTGCCTTCCCTGCACCCGTTTCTCGGCATCAACCACGGTTGATACTGACAAATTTTGACGCGTTGACATGTACCACAAGAACTACGGCTTCATATACTCGCTTGGAAGACTTGCATACACTTCCGTTCGGTTGCCATTTAATTAATTTGACGATGTCGCAACCATTGGGCGTACCTCAAGCTCATCTGGGGGTATTTACTAACAAAATAATTGCGAATTGACTGCCATCTACGACAGACCACTAGCTACAACCCCTGCCAGGGTAAAACGTCTGTGTTCAGTATCCAAAGGGCTCTACCCAGATATATAACTGGGGTGGTGGAAGACGTTACTATTTACCATCCTGGACACGTGTAGTAAATCGTACACTTGCTCGGACTACCCGACGATCCACTTGGTCCTCCAACCATCATCATTGCTTCAAAGTTCTCAGATGATACGGTTATATAAGAGAGCAAATACGCTCCCCTAAAGCCCCAAGTGGAAGGCTTAAGCTCTACAACTTTGACGTGGAAGATTGTGAGCAGGCTAGACCTCCTTATTTCTCATCGCTATTCTTCACCTTTTCTCAGCCCATCATCAAACAACCACTTCATAGCCCGAACGATGTTTGGCTCATCCTTGATCACCGGCATTGGAGCATTGCTCATGTCGGGTGCTCTCTCCATCGTCACAGCCGCTCCCACCGACCAATTGGGCGACATCGGGATCAGTCGACGAGTCGAGACAGTGCGAGGCCTACCAGACCCTTTCAACGGCGACCCCTACAGCTATGAAAAAGGGTAGGTGGAACGACGATCTCAATGTTCAACAATGGAACGTCATGAGTACAGGCCACCAGAATGCGAAGTATGCTATGGACCAATTCGCTTACGACAAGAAGGCGGGACGTATATACATCATCTTTGCCTGGAATGACTGGGACGTGGAGCCCCCTAAGAAGCTCGCCTTGCACCAGCTAATGCTGGCCGCTTGAGTGTACGGAGCGGGGCAGTCGCTCAGCAGTATGAAGAGTGTCTACTTCGACAGGGTCAAGGACAAGGAAATTAATGACGCCGTCAAGAAGGCCTACAAGAAAGTAAATGGCAAGGATCTTCCCGAGAATGAAAAGGGAGAATTCGAAATCGATAAGAAGGACGACAAAGACGCTTTCGAAATTATCTACGACACGCGAAAGGGCATGAGGAAGATGCTCGAACAGTACATGCCTGACCGGAGCATCTACAAGTACCGCGTCACCACTTTTGAGGACCCTGAGAGGAATATCATCTTGGAGATCTTCTTTTGAGCTGGTTTCAACTTGATGCCCCGTCGCGACGATGGGTTCGGCCAACGGCTACACTCGTCAGAGGGTTAAGGTACTAGCCAGGTTGCTCATGGAACAGCCAAAATGTAGCAAACTGGCTACTTGGACCACGCGGATGCATAGACATGTTAGAAGATTGCAGGATGTTTTGATGGAATCAGTACATACGGGGTTGGAAATATATAGACATAGACCAATTGTCATTTGCGCTTATCACTGTCTCCCCCGTACCGTACGGGGCAGCAGCTGATAGGGAGACGGGCTTCCTCATGAGGTATCACTATCTAAGGTACTAATTGCGGGTCCCTGCTGGTCAATCAAAAACTTCCTTAAGCTCTGAATACTATTGTAGCTCTTGGATGCGCGTCTAGTCACGTTCTCGAGACCTAAGGTATGTAAAGCATGACCATGAACACGTAGATTACTGCAATTGCTATGGCCTCAACACACTTTGACTTCACACCGCTCCCTTCAGTACCCCTGTGAACATCCTCCAAGAAGATCGCCAGACCAAGCCTAATATTAGTAGGCCAGAATGGCCTCGACGGAGTCGGCGAGCTCCGGGTTGGCCACGGCGACGCTCTTGAGCTTGGCCTGGACAACGTCGTCCCCGGTGGATCGCTTCTTGTACTCGTAGGCCAGAATGGCCTCGACGGAGTCGGCTAGCTCAGGGTTGGCCACCGCAACCGACTTCAGCTTTGCTTGGATGATTGCGTCTGCCAAATTCTGTCAGTGAAATTTCCGGGCAAGACCTCCAATGGTGGCCGGTGTATCCAGACATCCAGGTGACGCAGACTTGCGGGAACTTTGAAGCTATCAACGAGTGGGCGAAGCAACGGCGGGTTGTTGAGTGGATGATGAGCTACGACGTGGAATGGCGACGTACGAGGTACAACGTCACCATGCCGGACCCTGATCAACTGTAGCAGGTCTTGGGGGTTTCCACGTTGCACCATTCGCCAGAAAGGATGTTTGGTTGATAATTTGACTACTAGGTACCTGCTTTGCAGTTGACTTTGGGCGATAAATTGGAAAGTTGCAGGAGCATTTATCCATGATAGCCAAATTGCAAATCGTCTTGCCTTCATTCCTGTGACGCTACGGATATTTTTGGTTTCCATGCTTCTTCAAGCTAGATAACAAAATTACTGTACTGGCTGTTCAGCACGCAGAAGCTACCTGTGCATATCCCATATCTCTACTCGGGCAAACCACACCAGCTGCATCCTTTCATGTAACGTGACCACCAAAGCAACCACTGCTCACACGCCCTCATGGCTACAAGGTGGGAGCAGCCAAGCGCTCGGCCGAGGCTTTTCGATGCGAGATCTTGCAGACAAGGCACTGAAATGCATGGCACGGCATGGCGTTGCGAACATGTGATGTCTTGGCCGGTGCCAATCATTCTGGTCTTCGCGCTTTGCGCAGAGACTAAAGTGAGGCATCGCAGCTATGATCTCATCCTCGCCTTTTCGTCTGATGCAGATGAGAGCTCTGGTCCATTTGGTCTCTTTCGCTCGAAGGAAGGTGTTCAACTTGACGCCGTGGCAGAATCCTGTGCTGCGTTCGTTCAACTGTCTGTAGCTCCAACAGGCTCCGATGGCTCTGATAGTCTAATCGAGCTCTGAAAAGCTCAAAAACACAATAAAACCGGGATCCGACAAGTGATAGTATCCATTGAATAGGAAAGCGATGTACCGTACTCCGGCAGAATCCCCCCTGGTCAACCGCCCAGATGGCCTTGCTGCCAACGCCGTGCTGCGTGAGGGTATCTCCATGCCTGAGCGCCGTATTCCTTGGTGTTCCTGAGTACCTTTATCGTCAAAGGGCGTCCGTAGCCATGGCTCCGTGCCATGGCTTCCGTAACTCCTGAATTTTCGAAGGTATTCAGTTCCCATCTCTCAGACCGAGGATCTTGGTGCTTATGGTGCTGTACGACAGCCACCGCTCGCCGAAGCGCCCTTATATTTAAATGCGTGCGTGTGCCTTCTGCGCTAAGAGTGTGCCGCCTGTAACCCGGCGGACTTCTCTCTCTGCGTGCCCTCGTTGGGGACTTCTCGTGGACTCCGTACATATGAAAAGGGGAGTGCCGTTGAGGCTCTGGAGTTCCCTTTCTTCCGCCGAGGTCTTCTTTATGACCCTGGTGGCTTCCATTCGCCAGCTGGTCGTCGGTTCGCTCGTGAGTGTATCTCACAGCTAGTCCCTGTGACGTACCTCTCGATAGATGACATCGCCACCATCGTCATGGCCGCTCGGTGCCTTCGTCGTCGAAGGGTTTCGCTTCTTCCCGATCTTTTTATGTTCTTCCATGTTCTTTGGTACGGCGGTTTCACTTCCATGTGAGTGCGCTCCTTTCTGTCGCAGTGTATCGGCAGCCAGGTCTGACGATCACCTCCTGCAGTATTAATCCCATCCCTCGTATCGTGCCGATCACGAGGTTCTGTGCTTGTTTCTGCCTCGGCGGCTAGAAGACTTCGTTCGTTAGTTCGGTCCCATCATGGCGTTGATGATTCTGATCTCACTGATGTCTCCGAGTGACGTTCCGTTCGAGGATAATGTTGTGCGTGCCTTCGTGGTTTTGATTCTTTTGATCTCACACGGATGGCTTCCAGATATGTGTGTCCTTCCGTATTTCGCTACGGCGGCGTACCCGGCAGGACGCTCCTTTCTGCCCTGGGCCGGCAGCCAACTGGTCATCACCTGCTGTAGTGGCGATATCAGCCCTCCGCGTCATCTGATGACCGTGAGGGCTCGAGCTGTGCCTCATTCGTTAATGACTTCCCGTGCTCTGTGCCTCACTTGAGAGGGCTTAAAGCTCGATTCGGGGCTCGCACGCCGTGGTGTGACTACCACACGCCGTAGCCGACTGCTACGCGCTGTAGACTTCTACTGACTGATCCTTGTCGTAAATCACATCGTGAATCCTTTCTCGTCGTCGCCCTCATTCGCGAATGATTAGGCTGCTGAGGAAGGCTCCATCTCTGCCGGGGAAAAAGGGGGGTGGTCGTCGACTGCCACGCGCTCTGAACTTCTTGGGACTGCCACTCGCAGTAACTAGATGACGGCTACATGCGCCGTGGATTCGGGAGACGATACAAAGGGGAGTACTCATCTGCTGACGCCTCGGATGACGCGCCTGGAGCAGTCTATCCACGCTTTGTTCTCGCGCCGTAGATCTGACGATGCTACGCGCCGTTGTCAACTTGGGGCTGCCACACGCGCCATGATCTGCGCGGTGGACTTGGGGGATGAGGTGTTCATGAAAGGGAACACTCGCTCTCGAGTCGTCTCTCCTCTGCTAGCGCCCTCGTCGGCGCCCTCATCGGCGCACCCAGCATTCAACAACACTTCACGAGCCCACAGGCAGGCAGTAAAGAGTACAAAATTCCTCTCAGATATTGCACCTTGCCGAAGGACAAAAGCTTGACTTGTGAGAAGAATCATACAACAGAAGGCATCACATGCCCGTCTGTGATAGATAGTTAAATCTACCTGCTCAACGCTCAACGCCCGAACGCATAACTCATACATCGTAGCATACGGTCCCCTACCTCTACTCAGACAGGAAGTCGTAGATCATCTTCATGTTGTAAAACTTGCCCTTCTTTGCAACCACCACATTGCGCGCATACCTCCTCTCGCCCCCGACCATCTGAAACCCCCAGACCTGCGTAGCCGTCCAGTCGGAATCCAGACTCTCGACAAAGCTATAGACATGAGTCTCGCCCTTCGGCCCGCCCCCCTCGCCCTCCTCGATCCAGTCAGCAGCCAAGAACCCGCTCCCATCAACCCAGCCCTTGGCGACGGCCTCACCTCCCGCCGCCACCAGCGCGGCCAGCTCGTCGGCGCCCATCCAGCGGCCGTGTCCCCGCACCGTGCCGAATAGCCAGTCGCTGTGCTCGCGGAACTCGTCGTCCAGCGACCGGTTCTCCTGCGTGCCCTTCAACCCGCCCGTCACCAGCTGCGTGATGTCGATGCGCGTCACCTGCTCCGTGGATGTCGAGGGCGGCTTCGGCGCGCCGATGTACTGCTTTATGTCCAGCGTCACGCTGGCGGCGCCGATGGCCTTGCGCGTCAGCCAGCCGATGCCCTGCATGGAGAGGGCCGGGTCGACGGGGTCGGAGAGGGTCTTGTTCTGTGGTGGCGGTGGTGGTTGATTAGCTGACTGGCTTGGTCCGGCTTGCGCAGTGGGAGGTCACGGCTTTCGGGGCTGGATGCCGGAGGTCAGGCAATAGGAAATGGGTTCCTTACCAGCGCCCACTTGCCGTTTATATCCCCAATCGTCTTCGACGCCGGTGCCGCCATGATGTCGGATATATGGTGTGTTTAGAGGCGTTTATATGCCGTTGTGGTCATGTAGGTAGGTAGCCCCGCGACGAATGATTGATTCTATGGCGGGCTAGATGGAGTCGGCCGTTTCGCAAGATATTCGGAGTCAACAGGTGAAGAGGCAGTCCGTTTGGGCAAACGGATGAAGTCGTGAGATAAAGAGTGATCGCGACTCTCGGAGCTTTGCGAACCTAGCAGCTGCGCTCCGGTCGGCCAGTCAGCCAGTCAGCCAACATCCGATATATAATTTCGTTGAGAGTCTGAGAGCAATAGTAGGTTGACACAATCGGCCGAGGCACTGCGACACCCCGGTCGCTCGGCCGTCACAAGCTTTGGAGGGGTGTTCCTATTTGGGGATGCCTGTCCGGATTGCGGCGTGCGGGGTTGACAGGCAGGTTCCAATGTGATAGGGGGGCTGACTTGATGAGGACGCCATGCCGCCGCCGTTGACGAACGCCCCGTCGTTCTATTTATTCTAGAAACCGAACGGTCCTTGGTACCTATGCCAGCTTGGTGGTGTTGAACACGCGTAACCAACGGCTTTGCTAAAATTCAGTATCACAACAAGGGCCCTGCCCATTGCCCAAAACCCCCTACCTGTAGGTACGAGAGGAGATGATAGGTGTAGTTCCATTAGACTTGGTCCATACAATTACATCTAAGCACTGTCTCTACATACCTCCAATTAGTTCCGTGTGTAATGCTGTATATTCGTCCTGCAACATACATCCCGAGGTGTCTCGTGATAAAGTCGGCATCGTATGTGATCAACATGTGGTAACTTCCATCCTCACTGCAAGCCAGTAGTAAAGCCAGTAAGGTAGTCTCCCCTATCCCGATGTCCAGGGGGGCAAGCAGCTCGCAATCGTAAAGGCACGCAAGCGCGGCCTTTTGCAAATGTCCCGAGGCCGTTTGTCCAACGGCACCTCATGGACGCGTCTCTTTCATGTGATGTGACGCCGACTTGCAGCTCGTCGGGACTGTGATGGAATCCATGCCGGGCTGTAAGCACCACTCATTAGGGTTACTATGCATGTGCATGCAAGCCATGGGGCCTCTTGATGAAGTCTCGGGTTCGGGAAATGTCTTATTAGAAGATTGAAGTCCCTCCCACGACAGGCCGCAGCCCGTGAGGTGTGATCAAGCCGACCACCCCCGGGAGCTTCGTTTATGTATCGTTCCGCGACGGCAAAAGAAAAAAATTGGATATCCTACTCATACAATGCCACTGTTCTTTGCACCTATAGACGAATTTTGGGACAAGACGAAAAACCCGCCACCGCCTCTGGTCCCCCTGCCCTCCTGCCATCCAATGCTCCAACCTCGGCCGTCATCATCGCAAGTCGGTGCCGATTGGCGTCGTTATTGTTCATGCGAGGTACCGAACTGTGAGGTTGCCACTTGGCTGATACGACGTCGTCCTCCTCCATCTTACAAAACCACACTCGGGCTGGGGTATGTATGTTGATTCGGCCAAAGGTAAAAAGAAAAGCCCCGATACGAGGCCAAAGCGCGCGCCACCGAGATCACGGCCACCACTTCATTTTCTTGTAACTTTCAATCACCTCCTCCACCAGCTCCTTGGAGATGACGGGCTTCTGGTACGAGAACCCGACCACCGTCTCGAGCCGGCTGCCATCCATGCTGAGATCCGTGTCCTTCAGCAGTTCCTTTTCCATAAAAGGTGTCAAAGGGCCCGGTCTCGTGATGCCGGCGTCGGCGAGGAGGTCCGCCCAGGGGCCGAGCACGTCATCGTTCACGTCGTCCACCAGGCTGTCCATGTTCAGGCGCGCAAAGTTGCTCAGCAGCTGGCCCTGGAACCCCCATTTGATGCCGAACACCTCGCCAATGATGCCGGCAACCATGCCCTGCGTTGTGACACCCTTGTCGACCACGTTGAATATCGGCGCCCCGTCACCCATGCTTTTAGCGTCCCAATTGGGCTTGCCTGCGTCGTACCAGGCGGCGACGGCCCACAGAGCCCGTGTCACGTCTTCGATGTGTGCCGTGTTCGTACGCAGGTCCTTGGTCCACAGCCACTTCATCTCCTCATCGAGGGCCTGGTATACGCGCGCCAGGCTGAGTGCTGTGGCCACCCACTGCGATGCATACGGGCCGTAAACATGGGGTAGGCGCACAATGACCAGGTTGAGCCTGCAAGAAGAAAGTGTTCGGTCAGCCTCCGTTACCCCGTGTGCGTGTGCATTCTCCTGTCGGGGACCTACCCTTCCATCTTGGCCAGCTCCTCCTCCGCTTGCGCCTTGTATACGGCGATTTTACTCCATGGTTTCGTCTTGTCTCCTTCCTTGCTGGGCGACGAGTTCGGCTTGTACACCATGCCTGTGCTGAGTTCCACAAAGCACTTGACCTTTCGTTTCGCCGCCTCCTTGCCCACCGCTAACGACAAGCCTAGCGACCGTACTTTGTATACCTCATCCTCTTGAGAGTATCTTGTTTCACCACCACAGTTGAAGACGTAATCCCATTGTTTGCCGTCGGTCCGATCGAATATCCGCGCCAGGGCTTCTACGAGGAGCGACAGGTATTAGTAGGGCCATCAAAAACAGCTATCTCGCTACCTGAACAGTGAGCAGGCATGAGGAGGGCGTTGCTACCCCCAAGGACGTACGTTCTTTGCTGGCATCGGCCTGCATGAAATTGCTTCCCGAACATGCCGCTTCGAACTCTGGAGCTAGCCATGCCAGTTGTGGCAGGACTTTGTCCACCAAGCGAAGCTCAGAAGCCAAGCTGTTCTCGTGTATGTGTTTCGCCAAGAACCGTCCAATATATCCCAAGCCTCCAATGATGAGGACCGAAGGCTTTTCTGAAGCCATTGTTGGTATGAGTAGGCCGCGGCAGATTGGGGAATCGCAGAGGGTTCCGACGGAGCGGGTTGAGTTTGGGCGCGGCGCGGCGCGGGGCTGGAGGTACAAAAAATGGATCGAGACCAGTGAGGTCGAGGTCGAGGTCGAGGACGGGCAGTGTTGGCAGAGTTGCAGGTCGACTTGGGTCTGTATGCAGTCGCCTTCAAGAGCTTGAGGAGACAAAGCACCGACGGGGTGATGATATTATGTACTGGTCACCTTGATCAAGTACAGATGCCCATAGAACAAGGGAGTGAGGTCGAATATTGTCAGATGGACAAGGCTAATATTTGCTCATTCGCTGCTTAGGGCAATCAAGTCCGAGCGAAAGCGCCAGCCCTATATATGTAGGCAGCAGGAGCTCCTTTGGTGAATAAAGGGACCTGCTCTCTCTCTCTCAGTGCGACGTCGACTAGAAGGTACCTGCGTGTGCGTGCGTGCGAGACTGGGATGTAGGTTGTAGATACGGTAGCTAAGGTAGCGCAAAGAGTAAGAGAAGGTTGCCGTGGTCCGTGTGGGTGCGCGAGGCGTTCGCAATGTGACGCAGGGGAGGCTTGGGATATGAACTGGATATGAACTACCTGCACGAGGAACCGGTCTGGGAAAGATGGTGAAAGTCGGTAAAAGTGACAAAGAGACAAACAGGCACCCCATATGGGTGGGTATTATTAAGAAAAGAGGCCGCCGCCACGGCCCACTAGTCTTGGTGGTATTTGATGAAGATGGGTTTGATCTCTTAGTTTATTAGGTGGAGGGTGGAGGGAGGTAGGCAAGCAGCACTGAGTAGGCAAGACACATGACAGACAGGCGCAGGTTGACAGGGGATGGAGCATCATCTCAGTGCGTCAGTCAGGGGGGGGGACAGGGGAGACAGGGGAGACAGGGGAGACAGAGGACTCAGGAGGGACCTGGGAGGGAGAAGAGGTGGAGACAGTGCGGGTTGGTCCTTGTCATAAGTTGTGGCTCATTTATTAATAATACAGCAGTTGCCAGTGATGGCAGTAACGTTAGTAGGGTGTCGCTCTTTCCCAGATGGCAGATGGAAACTGGCCATGTCTATATCTCATAGGTATTTCGGTATCTTTATCGTTTTATTATTGCCAATTGAACTTTATCAACCCCGACCTCAGTCATTAGACTGACATTAGGGTTCACCCAGTACAGGAACTCCAGGGACGGCAGCTCCTGAGTTCTGAGCTATGCTGCATGGAGGAAGCCGAAGCCGGTCATTTCACACGAAACATCCCGTGGCTCAAACTCGATCTTCATTCCGGATCGGGAGCTCCTGTTCTTCATCATCATCATCGTCACCCTACCTGCTGCTTGTTACCTGCAATGAAGATCGACCACTCAACCTCGTAAGTGTTCGATTTCGCTTCCCTGCTTGCAAAAAGGGTATCGACATTCAACATTCAGCATGGTCGATGACTACACCACCACCATCACCATCACCACCTGCACTGGCGCACAGCTGCATTACCGGAACTGCACTTGACAGGCCTCCCGGAGCCTCCATCAGACGACAAGCTTCTCGCGCGGAGCCATTCAAACCCCAGGAACCATACATGAGAAATGCTGGTATCAAACCCACGTCAGAGAAAGTCTCCATGCCCCCGGTACGAAAAGATAGGCCTGGTCTGATGTCAAACCTTGGCCCTTGGCGTGTCGAAATTCACCACGTCTCATCAATGAATCATCTCCCGACGAGTTTTGGCGTCGTGTCCGCTGTTCAGAGCTTCACCGCGTCGCTCTCTTCTCATACCGCAGATGTGCGCCTCACGTGTTGACTTGCCCCTACCAAACAAAACCATTCCTCACCCATGGCCGATCTCGGTACTTCCCACCCATCTCGACTTGTACGACATTGTGATTGGAGAAGGGGTCCTCACGAGGCGGTCTGTCAAGACGCGGGCATTCACATTGGGCCGTCCTACTTTTGACCATTCATTTGGACTACTGTGACCTCACCACCTCCCCGCCTCGTACCCCAGCAGACCGCAAATTCGTCGAGAATTTGCAGCTCACGTTCATGTCAACTGTATTCACAAATTTGAGGTACCTGAGATTTGACCACCAGGCGTGCCGGTACTGTGGTTGACATGCCGCGAACCCACAGACACTGTAGGTCAAGTTTCAACGTGACGCGGTAGGGATTGGGAGTGATTCAGGTAACATCCTGAATATGCCAGCAACAGCGCACCGAAACCGCCTGTCGTGACATGTCACCGCGAAGTCGTTCAACGTACCCGCGCCCCATAGGTTATCTCAACGTGCACTCATCGTTGTGCCAAAAATCTCCTCTGCGGCGGAACCCCAGATGCGGGGCTGCCCAAAGTTCCGGTCACTGCCTCATGGGGGGTCGTCAGCTGTTCGTGGAAATGTCGCGTCAATGGTCAGCTGGCTGCTGGTGATCCCGCAAAGGGTTCCAGTTATCCGCTTTGCCAGGGACCTCCCCCTGACCTGACCGAGGCCAGGGGTCCGGCTGAGTTTTTCTAGAAACATTCCATGCATCCGTGGACGATCCCTCAAATCCACCTGCGCGCCACATCAAGCCAAGATCCGCAATTTGGTGCCGATGGAACTCGTTTGTCTCTTGGCTATCTCAACCTGCGACGGAAAATACCCAAAATGACCTACAGACAGGAGCACAGTACAGTAACAGAGTGCTTCACCGGCACGACCGGGCTTCAAAGGGCCTGCGTTACGCAGTACCCGCCCAGACTAATAACCTCGCTGGTACTGACATGCAAGGAGAAAGGCTCTGTGACGAGACTACCACATTTACCTACCACTTTGAGCAACTCAACGGGGGTCCTCTCTCTTTCACTCACCGACTCTGAGCTGTTTAGGCAAAAGCTTGCAGCCGCGAAGCGAGCGACGCAAGGTAATGCCCATTCCTTCCGTCCAGCCGCCTGCACCGGGTAGTTCCCCGTGCGCGTGGGATATGTATAATGGGCTGCCGGGGTGTTCATTATAGACGTCCCGGCTGCGGTCATGACAGAAACCTTCAGAAAAGACAACGAGGGCTGCCGGCCTGCCTGCCTGCCCGCCGTTCGATGATCTGTCGGTCCTGCTGCAGACTCGGGATTACCGTGGGTTGCGATCACGTTCGCTTGATAGAGATAAGACAGTGGCATCAAGGGTGTCTCCATACCGCTGCACATACTGGTGAATCCTCTTACAGCTGTCCAGCGCTCGGCAGGCGACCTGTCTGCAGTCAGCCGGCGCAACCCAATGGTTGTATAAGTTCTTCTTGGGCGAACTTCCTTATGACTCACATTCACAGCAAGCTCAAGATTCCTCAAATCCTTCTGCAGTTGAATAAGGGAAGTCATCCGAGGGCAGCCCGGAGCGAATTTGGAACTTTCTGTTTCAACGTCCCGCAAACATCACTTTACGGTAGTACCCAAGATGGGGACTCGTCGTCACTGATCAGTTCATCCCATCCTGGCCATCCCGTCACGATTTAGTCAGCGACTGGGATACGCAGAGCAAGGCATCCTGTAATAGATCGCCAGGGGGCTGCACCAGGCTAGGTACATCCTACAAGGCATGGGATTGAGAAACGTGGTGATGTTCCATCGCTTCATGATGTGTCATCTTATATTAGATTCGCGTACAAAGTACCTGCCTCAGACCTGCCTTCTAGAACCCGACGGCTTCAGACGATCTGACTTTCTCCTTTCGAGCTTTCCAATCCTAAGCAACCTTGGCTGAAAGAATGGATAGACCTACGAGTACATAGACACACGTGCAATACGGTACGTAAAACCTGAACTCCTACACATGACTCTCATGATTCATTACACCCATCAGCAAATACTTTGACACTTGTTACCGCCCTCCCGGCCCCTTACCTTACTCCTACCCTACCAACGACGGAATCTCGGCCGTGTTTGCATCTCCAGTTTACTTTCCAGAGCAACAATACCACCGCATTCATTCACTCACTGCGTGTCTGGGTTCAGCTCAGCTCGCCTCACCTCGGGAGTACATACTGCTAATAATACGTACCCGAGCGGCACAGCGTCCATGACACGCAAGCCAGACTCTCACTCCCTAATCAAGGCAGGCTCAGGCTCTCAAGGCCAAGCAGGCAGGCAGGCAGAGACCAGACGTGCCAAGAACCGATGATTGATTTTCAGAAGATTCCAAAACCGCCGTGTCACTCTTAAAGGACAGAAGAGGAAGGCCTTCTTGGGTAGTCATGACCGCAATGTTGAGAAATTCGGTAAAATGAATAATGGAATCGTAAATCTGGTCATCTCCTTCCTTCTCTACACCGCTCACCTCTCGCTGCCTCGAATGATGCAGCCGCACAAATTTGATGTATGTACGGCTGGTTACCCGCCGTATGAGGACAACACAGACAAGGACAAGGACAACACGACTGAAAGTGGTAGGCAAACTCATGTAGTCGGTCAATTGGCTGCAGATGGATTCGTAAGACGGACTAGGAAGGTCACTCAACCAGCCACTATTTATTTCAGTGCCTCACTCACGCACTGAGGAAGCCTCGTTTAATGATCTTGGACATGTTTGCTTCGTGGTTCACACAAGTTGGTATTGTAATCTCGCCTCAGACATATTTGCCGGGACTTCTCTTCCTGCAGGTCGGCATCATCTTTCCGATATGCAGATCCTGCTGCTGTGTTCTTCACTCATGTTGTTCATGTCATATTCATGATACATTCTCCTCCAAGGGACGCTCCCTCCCCTCCATGAACTGGTGTGTTCAGTACGGATTGCCGCACTCTTCCGTCTATTGCGCGAGTATTCATTGACTCGCCGTCTGTTCCAAACGCCGTCGCTATGACCAGGCTGTTCATCGTCCCATGCTGCCAATGATGTCCTTCTGCGCCTGCCTATCCCTGGCAGACTCGCTAAGGCTGCCCACGCTGCGCAGGTCGCCCACCACGTCCTTGGCCTTGCCGAAATAGACCTCCTGCAGCAGATTCCGCATCTTCAGCTCCATGTCCTCGACAAGCTTGCCGATGTTGGCGATCTGCTGCTCGTCGCTTTCGGCCGCCAGCTCGATCTCGATCTGGCGCGTCATGTTGCCCGAGAGGTCCATGTCGCCTAGGTTATTCGAGTTTGTGGACAGTGATAGGATGACGGTTGACGTCAGGTTGTACTGCGTGAAGCGTGCTCGGTCTATAGCTTCAAAGACATGAATCGAGTCCCATGTTCCCTCGCTGCTGCTGCCCGGCGTTGCCACTATAGCGGGCAGTGGTAGTCAGCAGTCGGGTTCGGTGTTCTAGAAATTTGAGATATTTCATATATCTTCGACGCCACCGCCTCGTTTGTGTTCCCCGTAACACTTGTTTTGTGCCAGAATACGGGACCACAGATCTGTAGTCTCAGATGCGAGATCTAGACATCTGGTATCTGCAGTCTGGCAATCCGAGACCAAGTCCCGGCGCCCAAATTGGTACCAAGCGGCCTGTTTCGGGTCGCGACCTCTTGTTGGGGCGCCTCGGACTGCCCGTGATGTAACCGGCTTGCCCGCCGCAGATTCAACAAATCTTGGAACAGTTTCTAAACGGCACCAAAGATTGCAAACGGATGCGCCGATCCGCAGTCCAGAAACACATGTATATCGAGAGACAGTAGGAGACCCAGAAGCGGAGACTCACCCTTCTTCAACAGCACGACGCCAGCAAAGCCATCGTCCAGGTTCCAAAAGTAGACGCTGCTGACGCCGCCCTCATAGTACAGCTCGCGGTAGACGTCGAAGGCTTCGTTGGCGCGGACCTCCATGCGGCGGACCTTGTCGCTGGGGACCGCCGCGGCGCTGCTGGCGCCGCCATCGACGGGCGGGTCGAACTCGTTGCTCCACGGCGACCGGTAGCTGTCGCCGTCGCGGTTGTAGTCGCACAGCAGGTATTCGCGGCCCGTCTGGCGGCAGCGGCGCACGGCGAGCGGCTGGTCCACCGACGAGAGCAGGTCCTCGGTCAGGTCGGGCGCGAGGCTGATGAGCGAGTTGAGGTGCGTGGTCGTGTGTTTGGGGTTGAGGCGGCGGAGGAGGTCGCTGTTTTTGTTCGTTCGGCGGTCAGTCGGGATGCTTGAGACGGAGAGGTGGGCGGGCAAGTCTAGATATTGATCGTCCAAGAACCTACTCTGGTCCTGTCCTGCTCAGGGGACGTGGGATAGTCGATGGGAGGCTGCATTTGAGCGAGCAAGAGAGTGTACTTACAGCGCCGAATCGAAAGGGTCGGCGGACGCCATTGTGACTGGAGTGTGACTCGAGTCTGACGGTGGCGTTGTGTACGGTACCGGTGCCGTGTCCCTGAATATCGACGAGGTTTCTTGACTACCTAGGCAGGCTAGGAGATTGCTTGCGGGCTTTCTTGGGTTTGGTTGATGTTGAATTGACGATGGACGATGGTGGGGTTACATGCAATGGAGATCAAGTTCCAACTGGATGGTGTTTTGGCAGCTGGAAGGTGGAGCCGCAGGAAGCTCAGCTACCCCCTTATTCATGGGGGCATATAAGACTGTAAGTTGACGCGGATTTATTCCGCCACACAACCAAACTGCCAGCAAGTCTGAGTACAGTATTCTCTCGCCAGCTCATCAACAGAAATCATCCTACCCCAATTCAGGACAAAGCAGCTGCCGTACTCGACTCTCCAAGGCTGGCGTGTGTGGGCTCGTTGGTGGGGTGTTACGGTATGTTGAGTGGGAATCACTTACCGCATGGCACATGTATCATGTGAGCCCTACGCGCCTACGTAGTGGAGGCTCATCATTATGAACTATGTCGGCGGCATCTTCCATCAAAGCACTTTACTGTCGAAGCACCTTCTTTATCTTCATCCACACTTTCTTAGCTGCCGCCACTAGTACTGCTGCTCATCTACTACCCTCACGGCTGGTCTCAGGGCTGGTCCAGCGATGGCAAGATGGAGGCTACGGATGCCAAACTCGTATACTACACAAATTCGGGAGAATCACTTCGCGCCCTAACCAGAGCGTGAGGCACGCCTCAAAATACAAAGCGTCAGACTTCAGCTTCTCCCTCATCTGGTATTGGCTAAAGCAACCCAAGCTCCTCCAACTTCTTACGCGTGGCCAGCACAAGTGACACCAACTCTTCATACAGAACCTTGATAGAATCTGGCTTATCCAGAACAGGCTCGTCCCACGGCGCGGCCTCTTAGCCGACCACGACCTCGGTATCGTCATTGGACAAGTCCGGCAAGTCCTCAAGCTTCACACACTCGGCCCGGAACTCAACCTCCCCGAGGAGCGTGGGCGTGATCAGCAGCCGTAGGCCGACACTCCCGTGGCGACCTATAGCGAAGCGTGAGCCCGCGCGATCGATCTTGCCCGTCGTCCGGATGTAGTCGTCCAGCAGTTCGTCATTCTTGGTCGACGCACAGGTGATCGTGCGTGCCGACTTTTGTCGTCGCGTTCGCTACCTTGTCCACCAAGTAGACTCCGGAGCCCATCACATTTTCTCCTGAGGCCTTCGTTGGGTCCAGTGTTCCACCTGCCTACCGAGCTCCTCAGGGTTTCCAACACGGCTGGCCACGAGGCGGAGGGGCCCACGGACGAACTGAATTTTCTTGGCGAAAGCGGTCTCTGGTATGATGGTCCCAAGAAAGACCCACCGTCCTCGAACGAACTCCAGGGTCATATGGACGGTAGTACGAATACACGGGGAAGTTCCAATGTCAGGTTCGGAGACACACGGTCACTCTGGAAGACGTTATTTACGTCGACCGAAATCCAATCTCTATTATACGGAAGTGGTAGGCTTTTGCGAAGCTAGTCGTTCACAGCATGCCTTGTGGATTAGAGATGAACCGTCATTCTCCCATATAGCTTGGTCTAGGATGTCGGCTACTTGGAAAATATACAAAGAGGGCCCCAGCATGTAGGGCAGCGACACACGAAACATCGAGGAAATAGACACGGGCGGTTACCATGCTAGCGACCTGCGGGTCGTGGGTTCGAGAGCTATTACTATGGTTGGGTACGAGTGGGCAAGTTGAGGGCACGACTCATTGGTCCGGCAGTGTCCGGTATATAGGACTACGTAAAAACCTCGCTTCTCATCGATTAGTCAGAAGATACTTAACAGCTTCGACTGGCGAATCAGGAAGAACCGCGGGCTTGTGGTTTAGTGGTATAATACTCCCTTAGCATGGGAGTGGTCCGGGGTTCGATTCCCCGCCAGTCCATCGTGTAGAGGTTCAATTCCTGCTGTACCAATGTTTTTGCGGGTCAGAGAGCTGTGGGCGACGTCAAGGTGCACGAGACGGTCAGCCAAGCCTCAGGAAAGTTCTCGCTTAGTACAATTTCTCTACCTAGTTAGTTACCTGTATCTTATCATGCGGCCAAATACTATAAATATAAGTTGATATATAATATGCGTTTCAAAGGTTACGAACTTGAAGTCGAGGCTTGTTAGCGACAGTAAGGGGGTACCTAGGTGGGTACTTTAAATTTTATACCGAGACACACCTCCACAGCGTCCGTTTCCATGTTATTAATAGCAGAATTCTAGCAGCTGATGTCCATGTATCCACTTGTGGACCGTGCTCTATTGAGGCTTAAAGCAGGAACCGTCTCCATGTCCCGAACGCGGTTAGATCATTTGCGCTGCCGGGTGTGGCCTGTTGGCTGTCGCGGTTGGTCATGCCCGCAAAATGCCCGGAAATGCCATGGTCCATGGATAGATCACCCTGTTCCAGGTCCAAACTGTCGCATGCAGGTGCAAATGCATGAGCTCCACGTCTTCAGTTGCTTCAATTGCTGAACACACCTGTGTCCATTTTCAACATTCAACGCCTCATTCACGCTCGCACCCTACCTTACCCTGCGTCACTGACGCACGAACATCCTCCAGCCCAGAGCCCGCGTTGGGATGCATCTTTGCGCCTCCTGAACCGCCACGTCAAATTGTTCCTGCTTGCTTCAACCACCTCGCCCACTGCCTCCCATTCCCATGCCGTCTTGCGCGCCTGCGCTCCGCCCGTCCTGCCCCTTCGAAAATGCAATGGCCGTGGCGCGATCGCGAGTCCAACGACGAGCCCCTGCTGCCCGTGTCCGTTCCGAGCATAAATGGGATAGATCGTGATTATGATCATGGGCATGACGAGCATGTTGAACGGTCCAGATCGACTTCGAGAAGACCGGCGCACGCCAGGACAACTTCGGCTCAGTCTAGGGTGAATCTTCCGTTCCTTGCTGGTGACGTTGATAGCTGGACTGACGACTAACATGTTTACCTGTGTACTTAGTCTGTGGCAGATGGATACTCCTTTATGACACCAGCCGAGACAGCGAAACGTCTACAGTCCTCCTTGACCTACGGCCTGACCCCCGGCGAAGCCCTCTCCCGATTACAAGATTTCGGCCCAAACGAGATCCCCCACGAGGAGCCCGACCCGATATGGCTGCGCTTTCTCATGCAATTCCGAGAGCCACTCATCATTCTCCTTCTTGTCTCGGCCTTCCTCTCCATATTCGTTGGGAACACGGACGATGCCGTTAGCATCACTGTTGCCGTCACAATCGTCGTTACCGTTGGATTTGTACAGGAATACCGATCCGAGAAGTCTATCGAAGCTCTCAACCATCTGGTGCCCAACCATGCCCATTTAGTTCGAGCACAGCCGTCCAAGGCCGCGCCTAGCACCAAGAGTCCATCATGGCCGCCCAGCGCTGATGGCATGAGTGATAGTGATCCTGCAATTGGGACACGGACACCAGGAGAGGAGATGATGGAGGCTATATCCTCCAAAGTCATGGCAGCTCAGTTGGTGCCGGGAGATTTAGTCCTTTTCACGACTGGGGACCGCATACCTGCCGACATCCGAATTACCAAAGCTTCCGACCTGACCATCGACGAGTCGAACCTGACGGGCGAGAACGAGCCCCTGAGGATGACGGCCGACGCCAGGTTTCGCAGCCTACATTCACCCTCGGTAGCCCGTTCTGGAGCGCTGCACCATCCAAGCCCTTCAGCTCTATCCCCTCTACCGTATAATGGGGGCCCGAAAGATGATATGCACAACCACGAGGTCAATAACATCGCACATATGGGCACACTCGTGAAGTCTGGCTATGGTCAAGGCATCGTATTTGCTACAGGTGGTGAGACGCACTTCGGCACGATTGCCGCAAGTGTGTCGGGCACAGAGAGTCCGCGCTCCCCACTGCAGATCAATATGGACCAGCTGGGAAAGCAGCTGAGCCAGTTCTCGTTTGGAATAATCGCCCTGATTTCGGTAGTCGGATGGTTGCAGGGGAAGAAGTTACTTGACATCTTCACAATTTCTATCTCGCTTGCTGTCGCGGCTATCCCCGAGGGGCTACCGATCATTGTGACGGTCACGCTGGCTCTTGGTGTTCATCGTATGGCGAAACACAACTCTATTGTCCGAAAGATGCCGAGTGTCGAAACATTGGGTTCCGTCAACGTCGTTTGTTCTGACAAGACAGGAACACTAACAATGAATCATATGACGACGGCGAAGATGTGGTACTTTGGGTCGAAAGCACCAGTGGACGTCGAGTCGGATGACCTGGCAGCAGAAGAAACACCCGATGTTGCCGCTTTAAAAATCCTACGAATTGGCAATATAGCAAATAATGCCCGCCTTGCCCATGGGACGAAGACTGTTTTCCCTGATGCCCAAACCAAAGACTTTGCCTCCCACACACGATGGGTGGGACAGCCTACAGACGTCGCGATGCTAGATCTTCTAGACAGGTTCAAGGAGCACGATGTGAGAGACTCGATTGGTCCCCGCACAGCTGAGACGCCATTCAGCTCGGAGAGGAAGTGGATGGGTGTTGTAATAGGGGCGCAAGCTGGGAATAGCGAGAAAGAATATGCCTATATGAAGGGCGCGATTGATAAAATCTTGGACGCTTGCGATTCTTATCTTACACCCGACGGGCAGGAGGTCGTGATGGATTCTGGACGTCGCCAGGAGGCATTTGAAGCTGCCGAGACAATGGCCGAAAAGGGGCTCAGAGTCTTGGCATTTGCCAGCGGAGCCGTGTCTAAGTCTACGCGCAGCAGATCGGGCTTCACTCGAAGCTCTACACCCGGGGCCCGGGATGCAAGCCAGAGTCCAGGACTGCCTCATAGTGAGGAGGCGTACAAGAGTCTGACATTCGCTGGTCTGGTAGGTATGAGCGATCCACCAAGACCTGGTGTGTCTCGCTCCATCCGAAAGCTGATGCGCGGAGGCGTCAAAGTCATCATGATCACTGGCGACTCCGCAACGACCGCGCTGGCTATAGGGAACCAACTTGGCATGCAGATTGCCACGCCACGAGAGCATTCGGCCCACCAGGTTGCCGTGAAACCTGTGCTCACTGGTCACGACGTGGACATGATGACTGAGGATGACCTCGCGGCAGCAATACAGACCACAACCGTCTTTGCGCGTACCAACCCCGACCACAAGTTGAAGATCATCCGAGCTCTCCAATCACGTGGTGACATCGTCGCTATGACTGGGGACGGGGTCAATGATGCGCCAGCACTCAAGAAGGCGGATATTGGCATATCAATGGGTATGCATGGTACTGACGTTGCCAAAGAGGCGTCGGATATGATACTCACGGACGACGATTTCTCCACCATCCTTCGTGCCATCGAGGAGGGCAAGGGCATATTCAACAACATCCAAAACTTCATAACGTTCCAACTCAGCACCAGCGTGGCCGGTCTGTCACTGGTCCTCATATGTACCTGCCTGGGGTTCAAAACTCCGTTGAACGCCATGCAGATTCTCTGGATCAGTAAGTCCTCTTTACCCTCTCCCCAATTTCCCCCCTTAGCTAACTCTCGTAGATATTATCATGGACGGTCCTCCGGCTCAATCTCTAGGCGTCGAAAGGGTCGACCCAGACGTGATGACGCGACCACCTCGTTCTCGAAGTGAGCCGGTCCTCACACGAGCCTTGCTTACTCGTGTCTTGACCTCGGCTGCGATCATCATGGCGGGTACGATGGCTGTGTATACACACGAAATGTTATCCGATGGCGAAGTCACCCGACGCGACACAACGATGACATTTACCTGTTTCGTGTTGTTCGACATGTTCAATGCACTATCTTGTCGATCGGAGAGCAAGTCCATCTTCAGAGGCGAAGTCGGCTTGTTTTCGAACAAGCTCTTCAACTGGGCGGTATCTTTGAGTTTGGCCGGGCAGTTGCTAGTCATTTACTTCCCATGGCTCCAAGAAGTCTTTCAGACCGAGGCGCTGGGGCTTTTTGATCTCATAAGACTGGTTGCATTAGCGAGCTCGGTGTTTTGGGCAGACGAAGCAAGAAAATGGTACAAATACGGACGGAGGCGCATGGGGGGATACAGTCAAGCGGTATAGAACGGCGGGCATGTTGCGCAACAGGAAATGAAGCTTTCGCCCCTCCACTGTATAGGATTTGTTGCGTCACGCATAGAACATGTAAACCATCTTGAACATATCTGTGTACAACCCCTAATGCACAAGTAGAAAGTTATCCTAGGTTCATCTTGCAACCTCCCAAGGTTAATCGTGAGGAATTGCCAAGCGGTTGTGATGCGCCGAAACTCGTGTAGTAGTGTCGCATAGAGGCCCAGCAAATTGTGATACCTATTCACTTGGAATACCTGAGATCGTATCGTAACAGATGGGCGGTCGAAACACACATCACACATACACCTTCTGCAATCTTGTCACGTTGTTCGTCTACGAAACGCCTCTGGTGAGCGAAATGGACCTAGCTCTGAGCAAGTTACGTCTATACATAAAAAGCTCTCAACCATAATACGCCTCAAGCGAATTTAACTTTGCCCTTGGAGAGCTGATACATCTCCGAAAGATGTATTTAATAGTATGATATGACACAGTTGTTGCAGCAATCTCTCTCTTTACGTCTGTCCAGAATTTCCGTCACCAAAAGTCCCCTATTCTCGTATACCGCTGCAGTACTACATATACCTACAGAGCAAACCACACAATACCACACCACACTACACATCGAATCAACAGCATCCCAAGATGCGCTACCCCAGAATAGACCACCTGTTGCCCACCATGGACTCATGGCCCACCCTCCAATCCCTCAGTCAATGCGTCCTCGCCGCCACATCCATCTACCTCGCGCCCCTAGCACAACCCCTATCCCTCATGGCGCTCATCGCGACGGCCAACCGTCTGCGCCCGCGTCCTCCGCAGGCCGTCGAAGCCCCGAATGCGCGCCCGGTACAAGCAGGGTTCCTGGCCTTCGTCCTGGCGGCGGCTTACTTGGCGTTCCGCGATACCGTGGCCGCGATGACGGACACGCGGGGCGTCGAGGCTGGGCTTAAAATCGCGCTTTGCTATCGCGTGGCGCAGTGTCTGGAGGCGAGGTTTTGGTTTTTGGGGGGTCTGGTTGTGGTGCTGGGGCGCTGGATGGGGAGGGTGGTGAGGAGGGTAGGGGCTTTGATGGGGGTTGGGGGAGGGGAGACGCGGGCTGTGAGTCCGCTGGGCGCGGAGGGTGCGTCGGAGTCGGGTGGGACTGGAGAGACGCTGCTGGGAGCGCCTTGTGAGCAACGTGAGTCGTCTGGGACTGTGGACAACGAGGAATCTGTCGCTGGTGCCTCTAACGCCGAGGGCGCGGCTGGTTTGAGCCTGACTGAGCGGCCACTGCTAGAGGCCCCCGACAGTGCTGAGTCAACCGCAGCTGATTCAAGTCAGGATACTCCCGCTGACGTGTCTGGAGCTGGAGAGTGTGTGGGTGATGTCCCTGAAGACGGGGATCAAGAGAAGGCGGAAACCGGGGAGCCTTCGCCCGAGGTTGTGGTAGAAATCGAATGGGTGGACGTTGGACGTGACGTCCCGAGTCAGACGAACGGGACTATGAATGATGGCATGATGAAGGGGCCTCGACGAAGAAGCAGGAAGAGGAAACAGGAAGTAGGAGTGGTGGAAACTGCTGAGGTTCCTGTAGGCGATCATGGGTCATCATTGTGAGCAAGGGGTTGAAGATCAATCGTCGATGAGCGTATATGACGGATGCGTCAAGTTCCTTCGCTGTCACCACGTCAAGTCCTCTGCTCTTCTCATCGCTAGGACAACCGGTCATAACCATCCATCCTCAAGTCATCGATGTACCAGGCGGGCAAAGCTGCGGATTTGATATAACTACATAATTATATAGGAGTCGACTATGAGTCTCTCAAAACATGTCCCGAACCGCCAGGGAAACTGTTATCTGTGGGTGCTGCAATGTTCATACGGCAATACCATCAGCAATATGCTGGTGGACAGTGACAAAAAAAGGGGATCATGGCGCATCAGTTGGGTCCCTGGAGATCTATTAGCAAATTGCACTGGGTGTGGACAAAAAGGAAGAAGACATGGCTGACCAATCCGTAACCAACACCTCGTCAAGCTGGTCCATCCGCTGCATATCAGCGTCGGAGATCTCGATAAAGCCGACGTTGACATTTTCCAAGAGGCGTTCGCGCTTGACGCTCTTCGGTAGCGGGACAAGACCATGTTGCAGAGACCATCTGATATACCCCTGTCAGCAATACAGCTCAAGAGGTAAGCGCGCCTCCAAGATCTCAAGATGAAGTTACCGGACTAGAAGCTGCGCTGGCGAGCAAGAGTACTTCTTGGCCAGCTCTACGATCACGGGGTGTCTCATCCGCATCGCCCGCGCCAGGGGTGCATACGCCTCGACTACAATCCCGTGCTTGGCACAGGCGGCCCTAATGTCTTCTCTGGTGTTAAAGGGGTGAACCTCGATCTGGTTGACAGCCGGAGGGATCCGCGGTTGGGAGCTCATCAATTCCTCGATCTGGTTTGACCGACATAGTCAGCTTCAGGGGCCGTTTCTTCGCTGCTGGAAACAGCCATGGACTGGTGGATTGGAGGCACTCACATGTCCGACGCCATAGTTGCTGACACCGCCCGACACGACCTCCCCATCCGTAATCGCATCTTCGACCGCGCGCCAGCTCGTCAACCGCGCCTCGCGCCCGCCATAAGGGCTATGCAGGAGAAACAGGTCGATGTACCCCAGCCCGCACGCGTCGACCGACTGCCTGATGGACTTGCGCACGGCCTGGTAGTTGGAGCTGCTGCTCGCCAGCTTGGACGTGTAGAACACGTCCTCCCGGCTCAGGCCCTCGGTGTTATCTGCGAGGTAGTCGCGGATCGCAATGCCGGCTTCCCGCTCGTTGTGGTACATCTGCGCGCTGTCAAAGCCGCGGTACCCGGCGCTGAGGGCCCAGCGCACGGATTGTGTGGCTTCGCGGCCGCTCATCATGTAGAGGCCTAGCTGTAGCTGGGGCATCAGCTTGCCGTTTGGCAGCTAGGGAGGTATGTGTCAGTGAAAGTTATGTCATACGCGAGGTGGCAGCGGCTTACCTTGACCTTGCTGGCTAGTGAGAAGGTGTTGGATGACATGATGCTGCACTCGGACGAGGCTCATAGAACGTGTTTCTTTTTGGGACGGTGATATTGCAATGTTGGATTGTACTGCCATTATCATTCGAGGTGTCCAGCCCCACATCACTTTTACACACACACACACACATAATTATGAGCTGGTGCCAGACAACCAGAAGTACGTTTTTCGACGACAACGCTCCTAACCTCTCCCTAACCACCGTTGCATGTATTATTCCGTATGTTCCAAGACAGCCTTGAGTTGCTAGTATCTTAGAATATACGGAATGATATATGCAACGGTGTTTTAAAAGCGCTATCGGATGATTACGTGGTTAACGGCAACGATAAGAGTACGATATTTAAAGTTATTATTACTGCTAAAACGTCGCATATATCCATATATATATATATGTACTAATAGCCTTACACCGTACTTATTAATATACAGTTAGATTCATATTTACAACGTTAATTTAAAAGCGTAATAGTATTTTTATTATCGCTACCGTTTAGTCAATATTTTAACTACGAATAACTGTGACGGTGTACAGCTGTATCCACCTGGTTAGATGCTGAGTCATCAGGTCACGTGTAGATTAGATAAGGAACGGGACCACCACATAAGGTGGGTGTACGTACCACACCTTGGCTGGCTTCCCTTTCCTTCCTTACCTTGTTATTTTCGGAATACAACACCAGATTCCCACACAACGCCGCAGGCATTGTGACAATAACCTCGGCATCTTTTAATAACTACGATAAAAGTACGCTTTGTAACTATCACGCTTTTAAGTTAACGTTGTAAATATTCATCTAGGCATGTACAGGTCGACCCCTGAAATAATGTACCGTGGGTCGGTTTTAACACGGGGCTATCTCAAGTACCGGTATAAAAGGCTCAGCGCTCCCCGGGTCTTGAAAATACTTCTAAGTCTTCGATTTTTCTCTCAATTTATGCGTTCCAAGCGTTGCAAACAAGTAACCAATAGTTTTCGCCGGTACATAGTTCTTCCCCCTACCGGTACTTGTGCAAAGAACATTATTTCAGGGGTTGACCCGCACCAATAAGTACGATCTAGGGCTTTTAGTTCATATACGGTTGACATATGCGACCGTTAGTTTGGAAGCGTGGTCGTCGAAAAACGTACTTCTGTCGTTGTGTATGTCGGGTGTGTGTGTGTAAAAGCGACACCTATAATGATAATGGCAGTAACTGGTTTCGGTAGATGTCATGAGCTTGAAGACTGCAGGGAGCGAAGCTGATGTGCCCCGACGTCATACAGTCAAGTCACCCCCCATAAGTCTCCGCCCCTCATCCCTCTATCAAGTCGAGTATCCCATAGACTGGCAATGGGCACCACCTGGTACAGTACATCCAAATGGGCCGTGGTACAGCAAATGGTACCGTGTCCATAATAATCAAACAAATCGTGTTGTTATTGCGCTTTAGAGACAGAGCTCTGATTGGTCAGATATGTGGCTCACGGACTCTCAGCCACATGAGTCGTACTGTACTTAATTTTTGGTGAGGTGGTGCCAATTGCCAGTCTATGGGATACCAATGCTGTATTTATATTAATTAAATAAGCACCCTGGAATAAGCAGCGGTAATCTAAAAAGCCATCTTTGATGCTTATTCCAGAGTGCTTGTACCATTATAATAAATATTTTACTCGTTTGCTGAACGAGGGGTGTACGGAGACTTTTGGAGGTTCAGTGTACGCATGATCGACCTCAATGTTCTGATGAACAAACACCCTGACACCACATTCTGACGACCAAACCTTCTACCGGTATAACTTATCGCACAATCCGACAGGACAGATAGACGCCGTGCGGAGCCACTCTTCTCTTGTGAACTTCATCCTGTTCCATGGCACGTCCCAAGAAGGTTAGAAACGGGACGACTGTCGAGGCGGCGCCTAGCCATGACAGTAGCCCGACCTACGCAGCATACGACAACCTTGCTGAAGGTGAGAACCGGCCCCTCTTTGCACTCCGAGTCTACGACACGACGACACAGCCGGCCGCAGCCAGCGACGACCACGTGCGCTATGCCGCCAAGGTGATATTCGAAAACACGAAGCGGCACCGCTGTTGCACAGGCTGACAGGCACCGGACCGCGTCGAGGTCGTCGGCCTGCCCATGACAGCAGACGTGACCGACGACGAGCGTGCTCAGAGGTGCAGAGAAGACCAGATCGCCGAGGTCGCGGCACGGAAGAGCGCTGGCTTGCAGGACTGGTTTCTACCGGGCACTTACATGACCGATTCCCACTTGTTTGGTATCCATGTTATCACCCGCTTAGAAAGAGGTGTAAGGGCCTCCTATTTTTATGCTCCAATTTGACATACCTTTCGTCATCATTTGCGCTGATTTTCAAGTTTATCACATGGTGGGAAGAAGCCATCCATTCCACTGATCCGCTCAAACGATTCCTGCCAGAGAAACTAGAGGACAAGAAAACATACCCCTTTGGCACACATCTCTCGGTAGTATGGGGCGTAGGCGAGCACGTTGAGATCGATCCAGAAGACGGTGAAGAGCCTTCGCCGGGGATGGAGGTGTCTCTGAACAGAATTATCTACTTGGACCTCGGCTTGTCCTGGAGGCGGCATAGGATGGAGTGGTTCTATAACCAGTACGTCGCGGACGGCGGCCTTGACCAAGAGTTTGAGTCATTGCCGCGCGCTTCCTTGTTGTGATGGTCAATTCGAACTATGGCATGACCGCGCCGATGTCTTCTGCTATGTTTCACATAGTTTCGACAGATATACTGGACCCTCATAAGTCTCCGTACACCCCCCAGGCCGTTCTCAGGATCTTGGACATTCGGGGGTATTTGTTATCCGTGGAATAACAACCTAGGAATAAGCGTTAAGCATGGTTAACAAAATTACAACTGCTTATTCCGGTATGCTCATTCCGATTTGATGAATATACCGTTATTTGCCGGAAGGGTCGTGTACGGAGACTTATGAGGGTTCAGTGTACCTGTTCCGGGGGTGAGACCGCGGTTCATGGGTATGGAAATTCATCTATCTCTTAAGAAACACCGAAGGGAATTGACAAAAGGAAGCTGGATATAGGAGTTGACGGGCCCTTTTATGACCCTTAGAAGTCTCTATACACCACATACCCATGATCTTAGATATTTAGGGTTCTTGTTTGTTCATGAAACAACCACTGTAGAATAAGCACCGAGCATATCTGATGATAATATAACTGCTCATTACGAAGTGCCTATTCTACTGTCTTTATTATATCGAACGAAATCGTCATCGTGCGCAGACGGAGACTTATTAAGGGGGGTTGACTGTGCCTAGGTACGTTGGGCGTGATCCCCAACACAAACGTGACCACAGGTCCCACGTGCTGTTCTCCACGGAGAATATAACAATAAACCACACGCAACGATATTAGCCGTGTCTGGAAGTCTGTAAGCCGTAGACCTGCTATGTGGTACTGCTGAATACTGCATGTGCTCAACAAACCCATGTGAAGTCCGACCAGCCAGGTAAGATAGCTTACCGTGGCAGGCGAGTGGCGTAACGCGTCGGGCCTGCATGCCACTGGGCATTGAAAATCTGCGCAGTGCAAATGGTAGTATAGTAGGATGTAACCAGAAACTACCTGGGTCACTGATACAGAGGTTCAGTCACTAACCGATCACATCAATGGTGAGGTGAGACGGGTGAGACTGGTGAGACTGGGGAAACAATGAATGCTGGCGACAACAAAGGGAGCTTCAGCCACGGCCACAGTGCATTTGAATCTTGCTGCGACTTGGTGGGGTTACCGCAGCCACAGGGGACAGCTGTCAAGCCACACAGCCTCATGCAGGCAAGATTGGACGCATTCAGGCAAGTGACCACTGACATTTGACATCTCACATCAGGCCAGGCGCCGTCAATTCCCCAGCCCAGCCCATTGCCCGTCACGCCTGTGCCCGCCTACCCGATAGACTTTCTGGAGGTACAGACCCCAACCTGGGCCTTGGCCTGCTGCTTGCTTGCCTGCCTCGCCTTGCCGTACCTTGCCTGGCCTCGACGATCTCGCTCCTTCATCATCCACCTGGGCATTCCTTCGCCCTACCAGCCCTGCTTGTACCAAATACCAAATACCAAATACCATTTTCCCGCCCATCGCGTCCTCTCGGCTCTTGTATACCAAAATCCTAAGCGCAAAACAACTTCTCTTCGCATGGTCGCCTACATCGCATTGTTACCACACCGGCCATCCGCTGAAAGGACCTATCACCTTAGTTTCTCTCCTTTGCGAAAGCCGAATCGACGCAGCCGCACCCGTACATGTGCCAGTCAGTACCCGACCAAAAGACCAGCCAGCCACCTGCCACCCGCCCAAGTCGCGCATCGTCGACCACACCCACCTTCAACACCCACATGCTCCAGAGCACCCGACCCTCTTCGTCTCTCTCCGCTCCTAGCCAACTTCCGTACACGTCGCTGGCCGTCCCGTTTTGAGATTCGCGCCGGCGGATGGGGGTTCGGGGCATACGATGCCCGGTGTCGTCATGATGGAGAATGGCACTCGGGACACACCTTCTACGAATCATGACAGACATAACGGACAACTCGCCAATGGTCAGAATGGCCTTGTCAGCAAAACCACCGACGGAAGTGATGGCGGCGCGAACGTCATGGTCAACGGGAACAGCAGCGGGAACGGGAACGGCCCCGCCAACGCCAACACCAACATGGCTGCTACCTCGCGCATCAACGACTTACCCGAAGAGATCCAGCATATTACACAGGGGTACATGCCTTTGGGCGTACTGCTGTCGCGGCTTGCGCAGAATACCCACAACCAGCTCGTCGACGAGATCGCTGCTCTGGCTAAGATGCCTGTGTCTGCGCCTACTGTCAACAGCAACTCGGCCCATCCCGACGGTGTAGACGACACTTCTCCCGAAAACCTCGCCAAGAAGGTCAGATTGTTGAACTTCGTCCAGGAGAGACACGGAGAATGGGTGAAGGCGCTGGTCATTTCAAATTGGAGCAGGAGGGCCGAGCCCGTCAGCAAGCTGATTGACTTGATGCACCACATCAACACCCAGCGAAAAATATACGACGACTCCCTAGACTACATGATCAACATCAAGCGAGACCTTACGTATGCGCGACTACCGAATCCCGATCTGCGCACTGCTCTTCAAGTACTTTCCACGGGTCACGCTCCCTGGATGCCGGATATTAATTATATCGAACCGCCTCCTTTGACCCCGAAAGAGCAATTACACTGGGTCGAAAACCTAAACACGCTGTTGTCACTTCGTTTGAACCTAGAGGACCACGAGAACATCCCTGACCATTTCCAGGATTACGATATCGACTCGGGGCGCGTGACGTTCAAGGTAGCTGGAGAGTTCGAGGTGGATCTCACGATAGCTGACGAGGATTTCGAGAAGCAATTCTGGTTCATCGACTTCCGGTTTGCTTTTACACCAGCGCCCACTGAGCTGTCGGAGTCCTTGAGGATGTACCTCGAGAACAAGGTCAATGAGATGCTCGAGAAGGACGGCCTGTACGGGTGCTTCAAATTTCTGCACGAGTTCGTTCTGACCCACAAGATCACCGAGTACGTGCGCCAGGCTCTGGAATTGAGTAAAGGACGATGGGTGGATACGTTGAAGGTGGAGAGACTCAACCGGGCCATGTCCATACAGTATTGGGCAAACCGCTATCCCCCGGATGGTCCAAGAAGCTGGATCATATTGGGTGTCCATAGCGGCAGAAAACCGGGCTCGCTCGCCAATGAGAAGTCCTCCAGTCATCTCGTGTTGCGTTGGTTCAGGGACAACAAGGAAGTCAAGGACGTAACACTGCCAATCGACAGCGCAAGTATATCCACAGAAGACCTCTTGAACCGCGTCATTGGAACACATATCGAATCCATACTTGGTGCAATTCATGACAGACTGAAGCCTCACGGGCGGTTCACGAAGCGGGAGGCTGGCCTCACCCTCAGGACCTCAAGGGACAACCCGATAGAATCAGCGCTGGAGGTCCAGCTGTGCGACACACAATATCAGAGCCTCCAGATCAGCCCTATTACCGGCCTGCTCGTGATGAAACCGCAATCGAATATATCCCGGATAGGAGAACAGAAGCTGAACTGGGGCACGAGAGATCCTATACAAGAGGGTGTCAATTGTCTAGAAAGCGTTAGGTGCCATTTTGCGGTGGACGAGCTGAACCGACGGGGTAGGAGCATCGGCTGGGCTATGTGCCGAAGCCCTGTGAAGCCGGAGGACGTCAAAGCACTGCTGCAGACAAAACAGCATGCCCATAACCAAGCCATATGGCTACAACGTCAAGGGTGGCCGGAAAATTGGTACCTCATGGTGAGCATGAGCCTGGGCGGAGACAGATGGTGGTTGATTGAAACGTGAGTCTGGATGACCTTTTCCCTGTGAAGCCTGGCTAACAATGTCGCCTAGTATGAGTCACCCAACCGGGCCTCGAGTCTTATCATGCACATCATTACCGCTCAGCTGCGGCACACCAAAGCTCTCGGATAAATTCTTCGCTAATATAACGGCCTTCACTGCTGCGGTAATCTCGCAAGCCACGGATCTCCGAGCATTGCACCAACAGAAGATAGAGCACAAAGCCCACGGGGGAATCAACCGGTCGCTACCGGCAAACATGAAGGTCCCTACTGTCTTCATCAGGCTTTCCGACATGCTGGGAGCACAGCCGCACGGATCAACTAGAAAGGTGCCGTCATGGGCGCTGGATTTTGTGCAGGTCATGTTCACTGGCATGAGCCACCGAATCTCTAAACTGCAATCCAAACTGCAAGAGTCTGGTGGCGGTATTGAGGGAAGTGCAGAACTTGCACGAGAGAGACACCTCATGAAGACACTGGTGGATGCTCGCCTGAAAGTTGCGCATGCAGCCCAGTTTGGCCTCCTCAAAGGTATTGTGGAACGTGACATGGCATTCAACGAACGTCTCGGAGTATTCGCTTTCCGACTTGAAGCGCCACTTGGCAGCTCAATACTGGACACGCTCATCCATCGCGTGCAAGCGCTTGCAAGGCTCGCCGACTGCATAGAAGCCATCCGCCGAAGCGACAGGGACATTCAGTGCGAGGAGATCACTCTCAGCAAGGTCGTCTTCAGCTACAGTGGGAGGCTCAAGTCCAGCAGTGATGCAGTGGCGCCGCAGAAAGGGCATCGCTGGAAAGCAACACTCGACCTTGGTACGGACAAGATCAAGCTGCTGCTTGAACAGTGCAACCCGCAACTGCGAGTGTTGGATCTTTTCCAGAAAATGCTCAATTCGGACCTACGCTTCCGCAAGCTGCCATTCTTCTTGTCAGGCTTATTGCCATTACAAGAGGCTCTGGACTCGGTCGAAGATGCTTGGCAAGGTCTCACCATGAACGATCAGGGTCGAGTTGAAATATTCTCCGCACACCTCGACTGGCTCAACGTTCACTACGTCGTCCCAGGGGCGAATAGGAACACGCCACGGTGTTTGACGATGCAAATCCGGCTTAAAGAGCGTCGAGGTGATGTTCGTTGGCACATCTTTCGTGAGGAACGGGGCCCAATGAAAAACCCCGACGATGAGTTCAAGAAGATACTGCAAAAGGTATGGGCGGCGGAGAATGGGGGTTGGCAATATCTCGGCGACAGCGCCGCCGTGGAGCCAGATGGCCGTGTCGGGGAGTTGGTCAAGGCTATCGATGAAGCAGTCAGACCCCTCGCGACAAGGTCACCGTCGGTCATGAAGCAAAGTCAAGCCAAAGCTCCCCCGGCTAAGAGCCACAACCAGAACCAGAATCATAACAAGACGATGGCGTCGAATAAGGGCCGGCAGCAGCAGGGGGCGGTGGTGATCAATATAGACGACTAGACGGTGAAGGGCGAGGTAGTCGCGCGATGGAAAGTACTGGCCGATGGGCGCGCACTCGAGATACCCCAGAATTAGCGGCATGGGCAAGATGTGCCTGCTAGCTTTCTGCCGCCCGATGGCTACAATGAGACATAGGCCTGAATTTATCAGGCTCCGGCTCTGCAGCGTGATATGAGCGTCCGTAGAATTATATATATGTTCGATACAAACATCTATTCAAATTGTCTGTTCCGCTTCACCAGCTTCTCGGATCAGGCGACGTCCGAGTTTAGCTCCTGTCTCGGCAGATCTTGATCTCGGTGTGGTTCAGGGGCGCTGTTTCGCATCTGCGGACCGTGTGTGGGCGTGCGTTCAGGTGGTAAAGCCGAGCTTTGGAGGCTTGCATTGTGTCGTAGTCGAGTTCAGTGCATGTGGTTGGTGTAAGCTCTCCTCCCGACTCAGTCATACCTCAAGCGCCATTGTAGAAACCTACATCAAAAAAATAAGATATCAACTACGTCTGAGCCTAAGGGGATCACCACGGCTCTATCATCGCAAGAACTACCTACCTTACGGTCCTGTCGCCGGATCCAACAATGTCGTGTAAGCATCCCCGAAACCCCGCAGTCCCTTGTCTTTAGATCCCGGGCTGCGGGGAGTGCCGCTCGCCCACGCCCACGCCCATCCGCGAACGCTTCTACACACCGGCAGCGCGTATGTGAGAAAGAGAAAGCTAACAGAAACCAACCCACCGCAGTCTTCTCCGGCTCCTCCAAGCTGTCCAACGCATCGCCCATCCCACCCGCCGTCCCCAAAGCCGCCGCCGTCGCCCTGCTGCACGACCACGACTTCTTCCTGCGCTGCGACCCGCACTACGTGTCGCACAAGGCACTCTCCGATTCCGACACCGCGTCTGGGTCTGGGTCTAGGTCTGGTTCGGTGAAGCTACCCCCCGGCTTGACGCCTTTGCCGGGAGGGAACGGGGTGAAGGTGAAGGTGAAGGTGAAGGTGAAGGCGTATGAGGTCGTCGACCACGTGCCCAACCCCGTGTGGAGCAGCACCGTGGTCAGCAGGGAGGAGTTTGTGGATTTTGAGGCGGGGCTTTGGGTTAGGATAAGGAGTCCTATGGGGGTTGTTATGGAGACTACTTGGACGGTGAGGGAGAGGAAGAACACGGAAGGGGAGGGTGGGTTGGAGCTTGTCGAGGATGTCGCGATTAGCTGCTCCAAGCTGCTGCTGGGCATTGTGAGGGGACAGGTCGAGGGGAATTGGAGGGGGATCCATGGGAAGATTGTTGGGAGGTTGGTCGAGGATGCTGGGAAGGGGGGGGTGTAGCCTTGTAGGGGGTGATGGGTGATGATGGGTGATGCTGGTAGGTAGGTTTGTGGCATGTGAGGTAGGTAGACCAGGTAGACCTGGGATTGTGACATGCGCTCTGGTATAAAACGATGCCAACCTCATATCTGATGTAGGAATCTTGCTCGGAGCTGTATACTTGGTAGACAGATACAGACCGTGGACTGGTCATCAAGCTTGCTACACTGAATCTCCAAAAGTCTCCGTACGGTCCATCCCTCGTCTAGTAGGCGAAGGGCGAATATGTTGTAGTCGGGATAAGCAGTCTGGAATAAGCATTGAAGAGGGCTTGTGCGATCAAGCCTGCTTATTCTAGGGTCCTTGTCTTGTTAATATGAATATGGCCTTGGGGGGTTGACTGTAGATCAAACCTGGAGTTTACTTAGCCTCTAGCTCTTGATGGGGCTGGACTTGATCATTGGTTGAGAACTGCCAGAGGTTTCGACGAGAGATTCGATAGGATGCTCCCTCAAGAGGGCAGAGTGAAGTACAGGTATGATCAGTAGAGGCTTTGGCAGAGGGTCCGACGAACGGTTCGACATAGAGCCCAACATGGGGTTTCACAAAGATTCACAACAATAGATATTCTTCCACTTCAAGTTCGCCAGCAAGTTCAATCCATTTCCTGTACTAAAACAACAGGCTTTTCATTCCCAGAGTGCAATCCATCGCCCAGACTAACTCCCCATGCCACAAAGGCCGACTAGTTTACCACCAGCAGCTCCGTCAGCTTCTTCAGCTGCTTCTTCGGGACGCCAGAGCCCGGTCCTCCTTGGCCGACGACGAAGTCAGCCAGCGCGTCGTTCGCGAGTCCTGCATCGGCAACGGCACCATCCTAGGGCGCGCTCCGGCGGATTGCTGCGAGGACGAAGAGGTGAGTGAAGTCGATCCAGAGGATCGCCTTGGCGGGGGTGTCGGAGCCAGGGGGCAGGCGGAGCTCGAGGGTGTTGATCTTCTGGTAGATCGGGTAGTCGCTCGACGTGGAAGACTCAGACGACGCGCTCGTCTCGGTGCCGGCCTGCTCATCGTCGTCGTCGTCGGCCGCGGCGGCGTAGTTCTCCTGCTCGGGCTCCTCGGGCTCCTCGTCTCGGTTGTCATCGCCGTACTCGTGGGCAAAGCCGCTCTTGGTGAGGCCGACGATGTGCCAGAAGTTCCAGTGGTACATGCCGGCGTCGCTGGGATCGTGCTGGAAGGTGCACATGCGTCTGACGAGCTCGGTGACCGTCGTGGCGCCGGCGACCACCTTGAGCACGTACGACTTGCTGAAGCCTCTGAGGATCGCGTTGTCCGTGTTGGGCCGGGCCCACTCCGGGTGCTTGTCGCCGGCCAGCGCGCGCAGAGCGTCGTCGTGGTAGACGATGGCCTCAGCGACCTTTCGGAGGTTGGTGATGGTCCAGTAGGGGTTATGGAGATATGAACATGGGTGACGCACGAGAAATTGGTGTGGAAGAAGAAGGGGTAATCCTTGACAACCTCGTAGACCTTCTCGATCTGACCGGTCCAGTTCTTGCGGTCGTCGTAGGTGAAGACGGGCGAGACGAACTCAACTCCGACTGGAAGATGTCGATGTTAGTATTCAGACAGAAGAATGGAGTTTTCAGGACCTATGAGGACTTACCAACGTTGTTCTCTTGGTTATCATCCAGGGAACCGTCCTGAGTGACCCACCACTCCTCGTACTTCGCCTTCGTCTTATCCCCGAGGACCGACACATGGTTCTGGACCCCGGCTTGCTTCAGAGCACCCTCAATGGGCTAGGTAACCATCTCCCAGCTCTTGTATCTCTCATCTGCAGGAATAGGAACGATACTGCCGACGAGGCCCTCCAGCTCGACGCCGAACTTGAATCCCTGGGTGTCAGACATCGTTGTCGAGTGGAGTCTTTGAGCGGTGTCTGTGAGCGGTGGTTTCGAGAGAGGGTTTTAGGAGTGGTCTTCAAGATATGGCCAAGTATGATGCTTCAGGCTGATGATGATGGATGCGTTGACAACCTTCCAGAGTGGGATGCTGGAGATCTGCTGTTCCTCGAGAAATGTAAGCATGGACTGGTTGTTGTCGTTTTTGTTGCCTGGGGCCTGGGGCCTGGCACTGGTTGCTCCATCCATGTGATGATGTCGTCGTCTCCGTATCCTGTTGCTGCGGGCGAATGGCTTCTAGTCTAGCTGCTGTGGTCTGCCATGGGCGTCCACAACACCCCGTCTCCGGGGGCGATTATGGTAGGCAACTGACTGCAAGCCACTTTTGCCAGTGGCAGAGCCCCGTCGAGTCGGTATGTTGATGCCCATGGCCACATCCTGACCCAAATTGCGTTATCGAAGACCAGTATGTCTGATGTTGTCAACAAAGCCGCAATGTCTGCGGCGCCTGGCTAGATGGCCATCATGATCGGGGTTTGTGTGTAGACGCCATACAATTTCAGATCATCATGTCCCTGACAGCTTGGTGGTCATCACTCATAGGCAGTCGTTATGGCCTCTCATGTGTGAGGGCTCCTTTAACCGGTGTTAACTTGATAACTCGATACAAGGCCAACTTGGTCAAACCCATGCATGCCTTTGGACCACGCTCCAAGCCTGTGAATGCTTTAGTAACTGAGGATAGCGTCAAAGAGAAATGTCTTACCTGACTCTTTCATCGGTGACTTTCATTGTGAAAGCATCGTTAACGCGCACCGAGATAGACACGGGGTGCAACTGATTGAAATTTATATGGAAAGGTTTTGCAAAACTCCACCTATCAAACCATATGGTTAGATTTTTTATTCACGTCGCTCGCAGTGAATTAACTGCTATAGACACCCTGGCAGAGGTTGGAGAAAACCATACATAGCTTACAATATAGATGCCTCAGCATATAACATCAATGCGTCGCTAACTATTAATACCAATCAAATGAGCAAGCAATTCTCTACAGTTACATGTACGTGTTGATATTTATTTAATTTTCTTTTATTTAATCATAAGGCGTTAAAAACTAAAGGTAGTAGAATTCCACCAACAATTGTGGGTGGAGGGGTGGCTGGTAGCTGGTGGCTATGTATGGTTTTCTCCAACCTCTGCCGGACACCTGAGAAACTTGGGACGTGCACGGCGCTGTGGCGTCTGTGGCGCATTGCATGGCATTTGATTCCTCCAGTCCGCAAGCAGCGTCGTCTGGCTCGCTGCGAAACATGCGAAGCTGGAAGCTTGTGCCATGCTAAATCCACATGCAGGGCTGCTCTCATAGATTAAGAGAGGCAATCTTCCATGGGCAGGTACTTTCTAGATGATGTAGCACACCTGTTGGCCAACTTGGACAGTATCCTGTAGCTAGAGAAGAGCATAGCCTCCCATGAGGATGAAGCCAAGGCCCAACAGGGCCACAATGATCCGTAGCTACCAAGCCAGCAGACCTTATAAGCATAGTAACTTGGCCGCGCTCAGTCTATCGCGATATCACATTCAATGATGCTCTCACTTGATGAGTGAGACGTGTTCGAGGGTTTTAGGGGACCCTAACTTCGTGATACCACAGCGACGCTCCGGTCCTGAGACTCAAGCACTTGTTGAGCGTTCGCCGACCCTAATATTTTGAGAACCGGGCTGCCTACTGGTATTCCACTGGGTATACTTCATGCGGTTGACATCTGAACGCTCATTGCAGCCACGGTGAACGGTTGAGTAGATGTTGAAATATCCGCGATTCAGGGGTTAAGGGGCTCAGGGGTTGAAGGAAGATAGGGGTCCGGCTTGGAGGGGTTCACGATGGGCTCTCGGGCCTTGTGCGATTACCCCTCCATCTGTTGATTTTCGCTGGCCAATCAGACGCGAGCGCTGTTGAGCAGCATCGTAGCCTTGCAGCCGGGCTGCAGCTTTTCCTCCAAATCCCACATTACGTTTGACTCACAAAACGATAGGTGTAAATAATTGCCGTCTGTTTCTCATTAGTCTCTTCCAACTTCTTCCGTTCATTTGAATGACTTACCTACTCCGCCGCATCTTGACCTCGACCTCTGCAAGACCAAGACGACAGATCCCCCGATTTCCGATTCCGAAATATTCACTTCCGACGTACCACCTGCAAAGCGCGCGATTCACCTCGGACAGTGACCCGCCGTCACAGCCGGACCAATCCGACATGGCGCCCAAGTTCGAGCTGAAGACGCCAAAGGGGACGAAGGATTGTGAGTCTGGACTCTGCGAACATAGCATGAGGGGAAGCTCACTGTCAAAGGGGAGGGCAAGGATATGGTCGTTCGCGACAGGATCTTCAACGCCATTACCACCGTCTTCAAGCGCCACGGTGGAGTCACCATCGACACCCCCGTTTTCGAGCGCAGAGAGATTCTGGCTGGGAAATATGGCGAAGACAGCAAGCTCATCTATGATCTGGCGGATCAGGGCGGTGAGATCTGTTCTCTGCGCTACGACTTGACTGTGCCTTTTGCAAGATGGCTCGCCATGAACAGGGACGTGCAGAACATCAAGCGGTATCACATTGCCAAAGTGTACCGACGAGACCAACCCGCCATGACCAAGGGTCGCATGCGCGAGTTCTACCAGGTATATAAAGATGCCTACATCCTGGGAGACAGCCGCTAATGGTGTCAAGTGCGATTTCGACATAGCGGGATCTTACGATGCGATGCTGCCTGACGTCGAGGTCATTCGAATTATAACCGAAGTCTTCAACGCATTAGGGTGGCAAGGTACATACACGGTCAAGCTCAACCACCGCAAGATTTTAGATGGCATCTTCCAGGTCTGTGGCGTACCAGGTCAGTATACCATACTCTATATCATATTTCCAATGTGGCGTCATGAGCATATCACTTTCGGGTCGCGGTACTGGGGTGTCATAACTTCTCATCGTTGAAGATGGACTGATTACTGATTCGCGACGTGGAATAGAGGACAAGATTCGTACCATCTCGTCCGCCGTCGATAAGCTAGATAAGCTTCCCTGGGCAGAAGTCAGAAAAGAGATGACAGAAGAGAAAGGCCTCGACGGTGAAGTGGCTGATCGAATTGGCGAGTGGGTGGTACTGAAGGGCCAGAAGGATGTTCTTGAAAAGCTGAGAAGTGATGAGAAGATGGCGGCAAACGAGTCCATGAAACAGGGCATGGCAGACCTGGATCTGATGTTCACCTACTTGGAAAGCTTCAACGCCCTCGACGTCGTATCGTTCGATCTGAGCTTGGCACGCGGGTTGGACTATTACACCGGCATTATCTACGAGGTTGTCACTGAAGGGTCGGCACCATCAACAACGCCTGCGCCTGCCGAGGTAGTGCCCGCTCCCAACAAGAAGAAGAGCAAATCGACGACGGATCCTGACGAGGATCGCTCGTCGGACCCCTCAGTCGGTGTTGGTAGTGTGGCAGCGGGTGGCCGCTACGACAATCTGGTTGGCATGTTCTCAGGAAGGACCCAAATACCTTGCGTTGGCATATCTTTCGGCGTTGACCGGATATTCTCCATCACCAAGGCGAGGATGGCTGCAGACAAGAGCTCACAGCAAGTACGGAATAACGAGGTTGACGTTTACGTCATGGCATTCGGTGGCAAAGGCTTCACCGGTCTACTGAAGGAGCGCATGTCCGTGTGCGCGACGCTATGGGAAGCAGGTATTAAGGTTGGTCTAGGACATCTCGAAGCTGTCAAGTGTGCACCCCGCTAACTCGGAATGACTAGGCCGAATATCTTTACAAGGTGAAGCCGAAATTGCCCAACCAGTTCAAGGCGGCCGAGGTCAACGGTGTTCCGTTTGCTATCGTGCTGGGCGAAGAAGAACTTGCAAAGGGTCAGGTGAGGATCAAGGAGATGGGTCTCCAGGAAGGACACCCGGAGAAGGATGGAGTTCTTGTGAGCCTCAGCAATGTCGCCAACGAGGTTAAGCACAAGCTACTGCGAAAACAAGAACTGGATGACATGATGGTACGTGCAGACGGCCTTCGAGTCGTGCACGGAATCCGGGGCGAGGAGGTCAAACCTGAGGAGGTCAAGCCTGGCGAGGCACCTGCGGCAGAGGCGCCGGCCGCGCCGGCCGAAACAGCACAGCCGTGAAGACGCCCACGGGTGTTGATGATGGAATCTGTCACGTGCGTCGCATTCGATTCTCAGTAGATATCCCCAAGCTCTTGCAGCCAGAATAAAGCATCAATCAGTCGCTAATCCGTCACCACATCTGTCGTCAAACTCGGAAGGGTTTGGACTATAATTCTTGGAAGTATTGAGCAGAAGGAGATTATGTGCTCGGTAGGACTGGCGGCCATTGGCAATATTCGAGCTTGGTCACTGTCCGAACTCCACCACGGACGGCAGGGGGAGCAACGAGAACCAAAGTCTCGTGAATCATGGACAGCAGCTTGGACGCCCCGCAATGGTAGGTATGAAACAGATCACGACGTCCACTTGGCCAGAGGGTCTTCTACCTAGTAGGTATCACGACGTCCAGATGCGGCGATCACTAGAGCTGCAAGCTCACTATCGCGCAGGAATCTTACAGCAGCAGTTCAGATCACCAAGGTGAACAGTCTGTAAGCAACGGCGACTCGGACATTAATGACATGTCTTATGCGTCTGGCACGGCACCCATGGTCGAGTTATGACCCATCCGCCCCGTCTGATGGCCTCACGATGTGACATATCAGCACGCGAGCTACACTGAACCCTCATAAGTCTCCGTACACGGCCCTTCCAGCAAACCACGGTAAATTCATCAAATCGGCAAAATCATACCGGAATAAGCAGTTGGATCTTTATTAGCCATCCCTGACGCTTAATCTAGGGTGCTTATTCCAGTATTTCTAACTATCACACTGGTTTGCTGGAATCTTGCCAACATGCGCGTACGGAGACTTATGAGGGCTGAGTATAGGAAACGGTCACTCATATGCAAGTTCTCGGACGTTGGGGAAAGGCACAGCATACCATTGCATGTATATCAGCCGTCAATTAAGCCTGCCAGTCCCTGATCAAGAAGCAGTGACGGCCGGGTTCCCCGGCGTTCATATAGGACGTGCTGCTGGGCGACATACTGTCAAGTGACCGCGATGGCACCCGCAGCTGGGTAAGCGAACCATGAACTTGATAGGTCTGGATCACGGTCGAAAATGAGGCCATTCCCAACCCCGCCAGCCCCGCCTCAAGCACTCGAGATGCCTCCCTACAGAATGACAGTCTACAGACCATGGGTGAAGACGACGAGGTCTGGTACGCCAGGGAAATGAAGCGGACCATTGGGATCGCTCCCCTCGAGGGAAAAAACAACGAAAAACACGACATCCGAACCCCCGCAGTTCACGGACATTCAGACTTGTCGCTTCTGTGGTTGACGCTAATGTGATGCGACGCAGCAACAATCAGTTATCAGTCCGGCCCACGAATTTGTTTCTGAGACAGTGTGTCAGTGTTTCAGCGCCGCCCGCCAGCCCAGGCGCCTTGGACAGAGACAGGCATGGTGCCTCGTGCGCCTGGCAACATATTCCACGCAGTGATTTCGGCAGAGCAAGGGGAGCCGCCGCCGCCGCCTCTTCAAATTCCCCGATGTCATCATGTCACGCTCGCGTCGGTGACGCTATCTGAGCGCTGCCACGGTTCCAGGCCGAAATCGAGGTAATGCGGTGCGTGCCGTGTCCCTTCTCGTCTCTTTCCCTTTCCCCTCCCCCTCCCGCCTGAGATATGCACGCAAATGCAGGTGGTGTGTAGTAAGCCATTGATGCAGAATCTCTCACATTCTCGGAAGAAAAAAACGAACAGGACTATTGGCGTCGCTTCTCGTGAAGGTGGTGCCGTGGTGTACGCCTGCATTGACGTCCACTTTCCAAACAGAAGACTCAGAAATTCCGCGGCGATGCCTGCAAGAATTGTGCAGACGCTCAGGGGAAGTTCTCATCGACCCTTCTTGCAGGCAGGCAGGCAGGGAGACAGGGCTGGGCGGATTGCCCCGGCTCGCCTCTAACTCTTCTCTGCTTCGGGCGTTTTGCGTGAGGATCGCTTCCATCTCCCGGCTCGGGTTCAGGGATTCTCTGAGATTCCTCTCATGGGTCCCCGGTCGCTTGTCCCCGACGCTCGGATCCCAGACTGCCAGAGTTGGGCGGAAGAGTCGTCGTGATCCCTGCTGATGCGACTGTTACTGTGTTACACATGCGGCCCTTGCAGGCATTGCCTATCGGCTCCAATTGCCCGGCCCCTTCTCACGAATCACCAGCCTCCGTACCGCTTGCCTGCCTCCTCCTGCAGTGCCGACCTCGTCTTGCTCGCAGATGAAGTTTTCACGCTGATGGCCGTACAGAATCGTTGAGGTACCGGTAGAGGACCTTGCGCGGGGGTTCGATGCTTTTTCCTCGCCCAGAATCCATCCTGGCAGCCTGGGACACACATTCTCGTCAACTGTCAGACTGCTTTGACCCTCATCAAAAGACGACGACCCCATGCACGGCTAATTACCCCGGACTAGGCAGATGGGACAGTAGCTCGTCGGCACGCCCACAATATATCCACACAGATGTCCACACTTACTATTACTACAGCCATGGCCCATGGACGACGATCTTTGATAAGAAGCAAACTCGTGAATATTACCAAAAGAACCAGCCATGCAGTTTTTCGTAGCTCGGGACTCTTTTTGATTCTTGACTCTTGATCCGCCTTCTCGCTTCTCTTCTCTGCTGTCCGGCGCCCGTTACAGCTGTTAAGCTTGTATTGTACTGCGTACATTACTGTTGTCTTTCTTCGGTAGACCATTCAAACCACCATACAGATCGAATATCAACAAGACCTCGAGTTTGCCGTCAAGCCGAAGTCATTCGTCAGATCCTCGAGTTTGCTGAACAAGTTTGGCCTACACGTGCTTACCTGCCTCTTGGTAAACGAGCTTCAGGCTACGCCCGGTTCAGCTGGTCTCAGAATATTGCTTGTGTTTGTCAAGCAGTTCTCGTTTTTTGCAGCCGCAACGTGAGCCTGCAGACACGGCCTGGTGGTCTCATTAGCACGGCTCCCGACTCGGATCTGCGAGGTTCTTATACACGCGCATACACCCCGACTCGACCCCAGAAGACATACGTCTAGACGAGAACCCTGGAGCACCAAATTGCGAACAGCAATAGACGAGATTTTTGGAAGTCATTCCATTCCTCACGTAGGCTTCTAGGCCCGCAGTCGAATCTTGGACTTGTTGCAAGCCGAGACTCTGGCCACTGCCGTTGCCCGGTCCCCCGTGAAGGACATCATCGCCATTCCAGTTCCGCGCCACAACAACGCCGAATATCAAACACCATTGAGCACCGTCGAGATTTCCAGCTTGTTACACAATCAGACGCACCTACCTTGCCACTGTCGTGTCATTTTGGAGCATTGTGTACCTGCGTACGACCTGCATATACGGAAGGCTGCATTGTCGAATGACAATAACCTGCTAGTCGGTTCAGCTATTGTCTCAATATTGGGTTGAACATCGGACGACGGAGCAAAAGATATAATCGCTCCATCAAGACACCTCGCGTCGCAGACCCAGTGGACGAATCTGTTGCAAGCCATCTTGCATAACATATCCATCTCTTCCTGAACAGCAGGATCACAGCAAACATGGGCGGCTTAATACCATTTCTGCTTCCATCCGCAGGCAGTCGGTCAAGCAGCACCTCTACCCCCACGGAAACAAGACGAAGGTCGTGTCTGGCCCAGTCAACAACACCTTCATCTTCAGCCCTCAGTCATCGTCGGCAACACTCGTTACCTTCAGTCAAGCAGCCAAGACGTGCGTCTTTTGTCGCACCAGCAGCCCTTGCCTTCATCCCATACACTCACTCAGAATGGAAGAGGGCCATCGATGAAGTGAAACGCAAGTACCACGCCCGGAGGTATCGGTCATGCTCGACGAGATGCTGCGAGATATTGGACAGCATCAATGACGTTTCGACCGTCGAGCCCCTGCATCTCATCTATCTTCACTTCTACGCCGCCTCCTCATTCGAGTGGTGTGCACGACCACTATCCACATCCTCCAACTACCGCACCAAACTTCTCCGCGACGCCACGACACATTACCTTGAAGCAGATGCTCTCATTAACGCAACCGAGGAGAACATGGCCGGCCGGAGCAGGTCGCCGTTCTCGGGCTCGACATGCAGCATGAACTCCCCAGGACTGACGGCCAGCTCCAGAACTTCGCTCTCGAGTGCCATGTCCTCACCGAGGACAAGTCTGTTCTCGCTCGATGACGACGTTACCACAAAGCCCAGCTTGAAACGAGCCGTCAAGCCGAAGAAGAAGGTCTCATTTTCTGGCCTTCCCGAGTTCATCGAGTTCGAAGCCGAGCCGTACATTCGCCCGGACAGCCCCACGCTGGGCTTGGAGGGCGAGTTCTTCATGCGAAGCCCCATTAGCCCGGTGTCGTCAGTCGCCGAAATCGAGTCCAAGGCGCCAGCACGAGTACCACTGGAAGAAGTCTCGGAACTCGAGCCCGAAGAAACAGTATCTGAGGTCTCAAGCCCAGCGACCGAGCAAAGCGAGGAACCCGACGTGGAAGACAGGAGTCCCACAGACTACATCTTCGACCTGGAAGTCTTCCTGCAGACGCGGTCGATAAACCGCATCCGCGCCCAGCTCTCGGCGCTGCGGTCGCAGGTCGCATGGCACCGCGACGCCGTGGACGCCCTCCTAGCCATCCCCGACGACACGCCCGCGACGCCCAGCCTGCCCTCCTCCGACGACACGCCCATCCCCGTCCCCGTTCCCGCCGCCGCCTCTACGCCGGCCCCGTCATCATCAAAGCTGGCCCGCTCCAACACGCTGCCTCTCAGTCTGCGCTCGCCCAGAACGGACCCCGCGACTACCAGTACCACAAATCTCGCGGAGAAGAACCTGGCTGGCTACTGCGGCGCCCGGAGCACAATCCCTTACAACGGCAGGCCCGCGTCGGTCATGTCGATGGAGTCGACGACGTCGACGATCCGCGCGGGCGGCGACGAGGACCTCCAGCAGCGCATCGAGCGGCTGCGCGCCGGCGGCTGGCAGCGGAAGCGCTTTGATAGCCGGCGGTACGAGGCGCTGCGGGAGCAGGTTCTTGGGGAACTGAGATGACAGATTCACGAGTTTTCTATCCGCCTATGCCTCCATCGTCGTCCCTGTGTGTGTCTCGCTTTCTAGAGAGAAGACGTACAAAATCACGGCATCAGCATAGCATCACCGGCAGCAGCTTTATAATGAGTTTTATCTCTTGCTAGAGAGATCATTGCGGATACACATCATCCATGAGAATGTATCTTACCAGAGAAGAGACAGGCGGCCGGAGAAGAAGGAGTTAGGACGCCGCTGCAAGGGTGGCAGACCGCAACGGCAGTGAAACGCAGGCATGCGATACGATGTGCTACGATATGATGTCCCTTTCCACATTTTCCCATTAATCCATTCTTCCTATTTCTACCCTGTGTTTTTATGATGTTTTACTACTATTATTACCTGCTGTTCTTGTTACTTTCCGGGCTTGTCGATTAGCTGGGTGAACGGAGTTTTTTTCTTGTTTGGCTTGATTCCCCTGGGGCTATTGATTTGGGTTGGATTTTTACAGACAGACAGACGGATGGGTGGACGGGTGGCAGACTATACGCTGCCGTCGTCGTCGTTGTCATTTTACTCTATTGTTACAATTTAGTACATACCCCGGCTGCAAGGCTGTCGAATGCGCATGCTTTATGAAGTTACATTTCGAAGATCCGGAGTAGGAATGGTGCTACAGTATGAGCGCTGATTCTGTTTGTGGTGTGATGTAATGATCTTGTCGTAGGCGTGTTGCTTGTGGTGGTGCTCTACACTCGACCCTCAGCATGTGATTGCGGATAATAAAATGAACACCTCGACACAAGCAGCGCTAAATTCAACACGCTTCCTCCGGTGCTTCTTCAAGCATGTTATATTCCAACTACAGCAAACGCGCCTCTCTCTGCTTGCTATACCGAAGGTGTACGGAGATTTCTCAGTGTCCGTCCAGTATATCTATCTACCTCCCCTCGAAGTGGAAGTATTAAAGCCAGCTTGTGGAGGGCGAGCTTCAACTCACTCACAAGGTCTGGATATACCATCCCTCTGCATGACGCGACATGCGTGACAGCCTCCGTGTACCCATCCTGAGAAATGGAAGCCTCGCACAACTCGGTGCCCCTCTCACCAATCATCCACCCATCTTTGGGGTTTTCCAAAGGTGTAGTGATCAATGCCTGCAGTCATTCAATCAATCAAGGCTCATGTGCTGCAATGGTACGGCGCCTAAGGCGCCTAAGGGCCCGGCGAAGAGGATTGTTGGTAGGAGATCGTTGGCCGCTGCTGGGGTTGGTAAGCCCCCTTTATGCAACGAACTCATCCCCCGGTGACATGGTGGTGATCGACGGCATCGCACCTAGTCTCACCCCCGTGTACCACACACCTTTGTATAGCATGGAGAACTATACACGCATACCCTTGCAAGAAAGATGGCCATATGGCCTTGCAGAGAGACAGAGTTTTGGAACTCAGGCATTGGTAATGACGACGACCGGTTCGCAACCGAACCCCTCAATTTGAATTACGCCCTGTGAACGACGTTAAGCCGTAGTAGCTAAGTACCTGGGACACAAGAAACTAAAAAGATAAAAAGTAGGTATGCTAGCCCGGTGGATGATCTTCGCATCACATCGAGCATAGTGGGATATTCTTGAGAGAGGAAATGAAGAATTGAAACCATCTTGCCCTCCGTAGGGCCGAGTTCCGTACCGACCAAGCGTCTCTGCAAATTTGAGCCGTGTCGCATAACCAAAATGCTTCATGCTCGTTGGTAAGGCCCTGCATATCAATGCTGCCTTAACGAGTCTTCCTACCCGTAATCACCGGGCATTGCTCAACCACTGAAGCTCTTTCTCTTCGCCTCCTTCTCGACCTCTTCCTTGACTTTCAACGTCTCCTGCTGCTCTTTCATCTCCCGAACCTTGGCTAGTACAACCTCGCGGAAGATGGCGCCTTTCAAGGCACGACTCAATCGACCCGGACCCGAGCCTGATCCCTGAGGCGATTCGGGCTTGTTAGCGCCCTGGGCTTCACCGGCCGCTTTCATCGAATCGTCAGGGAAATCAGGGTTCTCAGGGTCATCTTCCGTAAGCTTGAGCGACTCGATACGGTTCGAGAGCTTAACGAGTTCGATACCACGACGAAGCCGGGCCTTGGCCATATAAGCCTTGATCTCTGGTAACAAGTTGTGGTCGGTAGCAGTATCGCCGCTTAGCCAGGGGTGCTTGAGAGCTTGCTATTTCATAACAGAGTCAGCATCATCCTGCAATAGGATAGTTCAATGTCAAGAGGCACAAACCTGACTGGTCCATCTGTCGTCGGCATCGGGTTGTAAGAGGCACATTATAAAGTTCTTTGCGTCGTCACTGACATCCCTCCAGTAGCGCTCGTGGAAGACGACCTTTGCACTGCTGCATTCATCGATCAAGTCCTGTAGGTTTTCCGAGCGGAAAGGGGAATAACCACACAACAGGGTGTAAGTGATGACGCCCATGGACCACATATCCACTGGTTTGCCGTGGCCCTTCTTCAACATGACTTCGGGAGCCGCGTAGCCAAACGAGCCGGCCATGGTTGTCAATACCTCATCCTTGGTGTCGAGCATCTTGGCGATGCCGAAGTCGGCTAATACAAGGCCGGAGGCGGGGTCTTTGGTACGGTATAGGAGGTTTTCGGGCTTGAGATCTGGGAGGCAGTTAGCAGACCACCACACAATAAGCCGAAGCGTGTCGCATTACTGGACTTACCTCTGTGTACAACGTTCCTGTTATGAAGGTAGTCGACGGCGCCAAGGACCTGCTTGATTGTCTGCGAGGCGTCCTTCTCTGTAAACTTTCCCTGCTCGCAAATGCGGTCGAACAGCTCGCCGCCGGTAGCAAGTTCGGTCACGATGTAATACTTGTCTCTCGACTCGAACCAGTCGACGAATTTGACAATGTGAGGGTGCTTGAGGCGCTGAAGCATGTCCAGCTCGTCCCAGACCATCTTGTCGTTTCCCTTGACGTTCTTCTTCAGGATGATCTTGATGGCGACCTTCCCATCCGGACTGTCTGCCTCGCGCACGATGCCATAGGTACCCGCACCCAGTGTCCGGCCGAATCTGTATTTCGATTTCCTCTCGTAGCTTTCGGGCTGGCCCTGCAGGCGGCTGAACATGGCGTTGACTGGGCGGACTCGGGTCAGTGTGAAGGGGAAAGAAAGAAGCGGGAAACGGACAACTAGGTGCTTAGGGGGAAGAAGTGGCGGCAACAAGAGGAAGACAGCGATTGTCTCTTGTCTCTCACGGGGAACGAGAGAACCGTAGTGCTCGAGGATCTGGGGGCTGAAAGGATGCGATGACCTACAGCTCATTGCGACGTGGGCAGTCGCGGGCAGACGTGGGGTAGTTGCGAGAGTTGCAAGTCGACGGATTGGGTCTTGTCCTGCGAGTAGAGGGGGCAGCGGCGAGGAGAATACGGTAGAGAACCTAAGTGAAGTTGTCTGAAGCTCTCGAAGATGGTTGTGCTGAGTGACTGAATGATATTATCAGGCTCGACTGGCTGACTGACTGGCAGTAGTTCTCTGACTTGAGCCCCTCCTTGTTGATGAGGGATGGGGATGAGGGGTTCCCCTGCTCGATGGAATTGGAGGTGAGTGGTGGGCGGGTGTTGTCAGGTACCGGCGCGTCCCACCTAATAATAGAAGTAAAGGGTGCGGAATCAACCCGGTATGACGCCAGCAATGGTGCACCTGTTTGTTCGTTGGTGACTGCTGGTTCGTACCTAGGTAGACGGATCTACGGCACAGAGAGAGAAGGCGTGGGGAAGAAAGCCATTTTATTTCGTCGTCGAAGGATGGGACCATGACAAGAATGACGGTGGCCGTTGTTTTAATTGCAGCAGGCTGCACCGAGGCCTCTGAGGTGGTACTGAACAGGCACTGAACACCCTCCCGTCAAATAACAGTGCCTTACAAGAAAGCCTTGCCGGGTACTTATGCGAAGAACGGTACGGCGCTCACGCATACATTTTAGCAGGTCGATCCAGGTCACTCTGAGATTTCAGGGAAGCGAGCTCAGCCGCAACAGGGCAGTCCAAGTAGCCGGTCCACTGCTACGGCAGCCCACGACATCATAGCGATTGGTCGGTTTGTCGTGGCTTGGTATGCTCTCGAACAACAATGGAGCCTTCTCTTGTAAGGCTCCCTCTTGCTGGGCTCCCTCTTTGCCTTGCCACGGAGTCGTGTTTGCCTGTTTCCCAATGGGCAACTAGTAAGCAGGGACTTAGCGGACAGACAACACCTTTAACACGATTATGTACCTACATGTTTAGTTAACATATAATTGTTTAAGTCACTTACACCTATTTGTTATTAAACAATGAAACAAGAACTACGTAACGTAATACAAATAAATTGTTAACAACCGTATAAGCAGAATGTTATAACTTTTATTTGTAAAATAAAAAATAAAAATAAAAACCAAACCATTATTTCGTTTTTTATTAATTCGAGATTTAATCGAAATATCGTAACAGCTTGATAATCTTTTATTCGTGAGGCTTAAAAGGATTTATAATCGTTTTAATAAGATTTGAAAACTTTTAATATACGTTTAATAATTTATAACTCGGGTTTTAACTATATAAAGAATTTTTCAAAATATTTATTAACGATATTATTATATTTTAAAAAGTTGAAATTTATCTATCTTATTTAAAGAAAATACTTAAGCATTTTATATCTTGAGGTATTTTTTACCCCTTTTAAAACGTTCTTTAATTATCTAATAATTAAAACTTTCGGCTTTTAAATTAACGCTTTTTATTTTTATACTATTAAAAAACGCGTTAAAGCTTTTTACAATCTTTTTATTCTTATTTTAACTTAAATCCTTTAAATAATACTGTCACAATTAAGGGTCTAATATCAGGGTGAATTGCTTGCATAATCGCCTATCGGATCTTGGGACCAAATCTTGTACTAAATACACACTAAAGCATAAAGATTCGCCCATCCACTGATCTGGCAATCAATGGAGCCTTGTCTATCATTCTAAAAGCCACTACTTTTAATATCTTCACCGCTTTCATCTTTTGACCACCTATTCTGGTCAAATACAGCTGCTAACACATCTGTACAGCACCCTGTATCTCACAAATACCTTAATATTAATAAGGTTTTACGGTTGTTTTCCTTTGCTACGTTAAGATTATTAAACCTTTATTAAAACGTAAAATAATCTTTATAACCAAAAAGCACAAGAATTACTAACTTTTTATTAAAAACGTCGGTAAATGTTGAACTAATTATCGCTTAACTTATTACAAATTAATTAAAAATAAAAACCTTTTCTTTTAAGCGTTTTAAAACTTTATTTATACTAATATAATAATTTATTATTATAATATAAACAATATAACGTAGCTAACAAGCGAGTTAGCATTACAAGCGAGTTGTCACTCGTTATGAACTTTTGAACCTATACAATTCAAACTATTATATCTCTACCAACAACAATGACACCGCGTTATAACGAATTAGACTTACAGCTAGCTGTGCAAGCTAAACAACGTGACCCTTATGTTTTTATATTTTAGCTTGCGAAACTTTTTAACATCCCTCATTCCACTTTGAGCATTAGAATCGGAGGAATGCCACCACGACGTGACAGCATACCTAATACTTTAAAACTTACAGTTCCTAAAAAGAATACCATTCTTTCCTTTAATCTTGACCTGGATACGCAAGTATTTCCACCTATCATGGTCCGGTATAGGTAGCCCATGTGGTGAGTCTTAGAGCCCGGACATGAGTATATGTACCACTATTGAATGTCAAGCTGCCACGCTTGATATTCGACATCCTTTTAGGAGGAACAGCCGTGGCATGGTGGTTATGGTGAGCGTTCCGTCACACTACCTCAGCACAGTTATATTAAAGATATAATAAATCAATTGTTGGCGGCACATAAGGCTGGATGCGTTGGAAAGAACTGGACACAGAACTTCATTAAACGTACATAAGGGTTTTAGACGCGTTTTTATTGGAGGATGGACTACAAGAGGGTCTTAAACGAAGATCCAGACGCGTATTGCGCGTGATTTTGCCAAGTTGTAACAGTAATTGCAAAATATGATATCCAAGATGCGGATATTTATAACTTCAACAAGACTGGGTTTATGATGGGCATTATTGGGTCTGGCATGATCATTATAAGCGCCAAAATACGTGGCAGGCCTAAAGAAGCTCAACAAGGTAATAGAAATGGTCTACAGTAATTTCTAATATTAATGCTGATGGTTAGGTGATCCTGCCGTTTATTATTTTACAGGGTAAAACCCACCTCGCGTTGTAGTATTGCAATACAACATTACCACACAGTTAGAAGGTGGCTGTGCACGAGAACGGGCGGGCTACAAATAAGATTGGTTTGAAATAGATTTAGCATTGTGACAAGTATACCAGACCACGTATGACTGCTGGTAAACGCCTCCTCATCCTAGATGGTCACAAAAGCTATCATTTCCAGGTCTTTGACGATTATTGTCAGAATAATAGTATTATTACCCTTTGTATGCCTGTCCACTCGTCACACAGACTCCACCCTTTAGATATTAGTGTGATGGTTGCTACGTTGCTACCATCAGTGATAGTCCTGGGATCACGTGACAGCACGTGACCTCCTGAACGACTGGTTGTCCCAGACCCACTAGGGCTCTGAATTGTGGGGCGGACACACTTATCTAGTTGTCCACCAGATTTGGCTGTGCCGTTTAATCTTCTTTTTCCTCTTCATCTAGAGATAGTTATACGTACATAGTAAACAAGGGCTTCTATGTCCTATTCACAAATACAAAACGTCACAATTATATGGGGAAAAAAGGGAAAAAAAGTTTTAACTTTTATTAAACTTTTAAATAAATTATAACAGCAGAGACTTTTCATACTGTAAGACCATAACTTTATTATTATTAAAGTTTACCTCTATATTAAACTAACCTCGAAAATTTTACTAGTAGTTACGCGGTTTAAAAAAAACTGTTAACTATGTAACTAATAATAGCTAGTAAAAAACAAGGTTACAGTTAAAGGTTATATTAGTAATTTCTTAATTATTAGTTTAAGCTTAAAACTGTGGCTTTTATACTATTAACATTTTCCCTTTATTATCAAACTTTAATTTTATCATATTTAAATAACTTATGATTATAAAATAAAATATCTCAATAGTTTTTATATAAAGCCTTTTACCCATAATTAATTTATAAACTTTATATAACTTATTATTATAACAAGCTTTTTAAAAGCTTTATCTAAGCCTTATAAACCCGCTTTGATTATCGTTAAAGTATTAATAAAATTTCAAGTTGCATTCTTATCGATAAGTACGCGCCGCTATATTATATTCCTCGGGGTTGTTGCCGGGTTTAGAACTTTGGATCGACCATGCACAACCAGATCCGAGGCGGCCAAGCCCATGTTGGCACCATTAACAACCCGCCTCTCTAGAACAGCTAGTATCTAGACGCATAAACATCTGCCTCCCTATTCGTTCCATAATATACGCCAGCTTGGTCTCACCTGCGTAACGAGACACCGCAGTCCTTTGGCCAACATCCTGAATCGTCCAACGGCCGAGACACCTAGCGCGACTAACCGAGGTTACCTACCGTAGACCTGGGTCCTGCACTGCCTGCCTCTGAGCTCTGACAGACAGACTCTGCCAGCGCATCGTCAACGTCCCTGCCTCAACCGTTCATCGACTGCTGCGCGACAATGTCCGGGCTAGGTCGCAAAAGACTGGCCAAGGAGCTTACCAAGGCACGTTTGATTGCCACCCTGTCAACTGTGCTACGTTGCGCTGCCATGCTAACTTGACACGCCTGCCCCCCAGATCAACAGCGGCCTGCCGCCCGGTATCAGCTTGGTCTCTGCCGATAATCTTGAGGAATGGTTTCTTGACATTGAGGTCCTCGATCAAAACCCCATCTACACTGGTCAACAATACCGCCTGAAGTTCAAGTTTGGCGATTCCTACCCAATCGGCAAGTCTGCCCACTCGATGCCGTCGCTGTCAGGTCGGAATGTGAGCTAATACGAAACGACGCTCACTAGAATCTCCAGAGGTCACGTTCGTCAAGCTGGACAAAAGACCGATACCCATGCACCCGCACATCTACTCGAACGGCATCATCTGCCTTGACCTCCTGGGATCGTCGGGATGGAGCCCGGTGCAGAATGTCGAGAGCATATGCATGAGCATCCAGAGCATGCTGACCAGCAACAACAAGAACGAACGACCGCCTGGTGACGAGGAGTTCGTGCGTGGCAACCGCCTACGACCCAAGGATATCGACTTCTATTACCACGATAACACCGTATAATGGACAAGAGCGTTCGGAATGCTGAGCTTGTGTCGCGTTACAGGTCGCTGCTTTGAGCTAGGCGTTATGCTATGGAAGGGCTTTTACATCTGCATTTTCTTCATTTACATCACGGATCTGTGGCCAGGTTCTGGAAAGACCAGATGTCACCACACGCCGGCCTCTGACATCACTGGCCTCTGCTGGCTGGTTCTGACAGGGTCTCAATGGTCAGAGGTGAAGCCGTATGTTGGTGATGGGGGTTAGACGCAGAGTCGTTGATTTACCGAGATCTTTGGGCTTTCTGCCGTCGATTGGGACTCCCTCAAGATGACTGAAATGCGTAGTATTTGTGGCAATTCCCCTAATGCAGATTGCCATACTCCATAATTGATATGGGTTATCCAGAGACTTGGAGATTCCATGTCCACCTACAAGGTGAGTTTGACACTGGTCGATAGGGCATCCCAGACAAAGAGCTCACTTGCCATTGAAAGGCTATCCCATGATAAGGATTCTAAATCTCAACTCTCTTCCTTCGTCTACTATGCAGAAGGGAGACGTCGGATCAATACATTGGAAAGGTGTCTCTGATCCCGGCTCGTGGCAGCTTATTACTACCTAGGTAGGTACTAATGGTGCCCGTAAGGTACCTATGTAGAGCACCGGTGATGATAATGGTGAGACGGGATCAGTGGGATGGTGGGGCTGTGCCAAATGACGTCGGGGCTAATCCACCTCCGCTGGCCGAGAGCAGACCCGACTGCCCAGTGACTTCCAGGTAATTTCACAGGCTTCCACCTGCACTGGGCAGGCTGCAGCTTGCATCCATGTATGTCGGTAGCTCTACTGTGACCTACCTACATTGACTCTCCGAGCTTCATATTCAAGCTCCAGCTTCAACCTGACCACCCAACTCACAAACACCCCCATGACGAGCTCACAATGGCTCCTCATGTGGGGTTCGACAGCGAACAGATAAGAGACAAGGCTCGCAAGGACCTTCTCTATCTCCTAGAGGGCGTAAGTAAGGCTTCCTCCACCCTGCGACCATTCAGGTTGGCCTTCGAGCACCATGGACATAACAAGTTGCGCGACAGGTCCGCGGAAAGAAGAACCTCGTCATCGAGCGCAGCCTCGCCGGCCCCATAGGAATTATCGCCAAGGTCTCGACACTGCAGGACTATGGCGTCGACAAGTTCTTTTTACTAGAGAACGACAACGCCGACACGAGCCAGCGTAATGTCGTCTTCGTGGCGCGAGGCGAGTGCGCGCGTCACGCCCAGTCAATTGCAGGTCTGTCAGCTCACTGTCTCATGTTCATTCATACTCTGCAACCTACCTTGGGGTCTCGTGGGCAGAATGGATGTATCCATTCACCCTAAGCCATTACCTAGTGACTCGATCAGCGCGCTCTGCTGTGACTTGCGGACCAGCTAGACTGGATGCCATCGAGATGTGCTGACAGCCTTTGTAGAACAGGTCAAGCGACTGCAACGTGAGAGTCAAACCGGCCACGAATTTCACATCTTCTGGGTCCCCCGCCGAACCTTGGTGTCCGACAAGCTGCTGGAAGAAGCCGGCGTACTGGGTGATGTGAATATTGCCGAGCTTCCCGTCTACTTCTTCCCACTTGAGCGAGACGTACTATCGCTAGAACTCGATGACTCCTTCCGTGACCTTTTCCTCTTCAAAGACACGACGCCCGCGTTCCTCATGGCCAAAGCCCTGATGGGCATTCAGTCGAAACAAGGGCTCTTCCCTCGCATCATAGGAAAAGGCGACAACGCGAAGCGCGTATCGGAGTCGCTTGCACGGATGCGACAGGAGGTTCTGGCTGGTGAGGACGCCAGTGAGTCTGCCAAGACTGGCCTCACGCCGAGCAACACGATAGAGAGCGTTATCATCATCGACAGAGAAGTCGACTTCGTTACGCCTTTGCTTACACAGCTGACTTATGAGGGACTGATTGACGAGGTCTGGGGCATTCATAACAACCAGACCGACGTCGATTCGACCATCGTTGGAGCGCCATCACAGCCTGCGTCACAGGGCGCATCGAACACTCCCGCGACCAGTACGACGTCGCGAAAGCGCAAGATTCAACTCGACTCGACGGACAAGCTTTACGACGGACTCCGTGACACAAACTTTGCAATTGTCGGGACTTTGTTGAACAAAGTTGCGCGCAGGTTACAAAACGATTACGATAGCCGGCACGGAACGAAAACAACGGCCGAACTCAAGGATTTCGTGAAGAAGTTGCCTGGCTACCAGGCCGAGCAACAAAGCTTGAAGATTCACACGGGCCTCGCCGAAGAGATTATGAAACATACCCGAACTGATCAGTTCAGTCGCTTACTGGAAGTACAACAAAACCTCGCCGCTGGTGCCGATCCAAGCTCCCAGTTTGACTCGATTGAGGAGCTCATAGCGAGAGACACACCACTGCCTGAAATCCTGCGGCTGTTATGCATATACTCGTGCATATCGGGGGGTATCAAGTCGAGAGATTTTGACCAGTTCAAAAGGCTGGTACTGCAAGGCTACGGTTACCAGCACATGTTGACCTTACACAACCTGGAGAAGCTCCAATTATTCCTATCAAAAAGTTCACCAATGGCCAACATGATTCCTATGCCAGGAGCGGGGACCGCGGTGGGCACCAAAACCAACTACACGTACCTACGCAAGCAGCTGCGCTTGATCGTCGACGAGGTGAACGAGCATGACCCCAACGACATCGCCTACGTTTACAGCGGGTATGCGCCACTCTCTATCCGGCTTGTGCAATGCATCCTGCAGAAGCAGTACCTCCTCTCGGTCACACGTGGCAATGGCGTAGGCGGCGCAGGCACAATAAGCGGCAGTGGTACGCAAGGATGGCGGGGATTCGACGAGGCTGTCAAACATGCGCGCGGCCCAGCCATTGACGAGTTGCAGAAGGGCGAGGACAAGGCGGTGAAGGCCAGGGCTCTTTTATCTGGAGGCGGGGACAAGAAGACGGTATTCGTGGTATTCGTGGGAGGGATCACCTTCACTGAGATCGCAGCATTGCGATTCATAGCAAAGAAAGAAGAAGGTATGGCCAGCCGTCTCATATATATATTTTACGCACCCCCACTAACATGTCGTATTTCCAGCTCGGAGGAATATAGTCATCTGCACGACATCAATCATTAGCGGGGACAAGATGATGGATGCCGCAGTGGAAAGGAATTCATTTGCAAAAGAAGCACCCAAGCCGGCCGCGGCAGCATCTTGAGATGCCGGCAGAATTCGACTTGCTCAGCAGCAAATAGAATCAATATAATTTGCTAGTAACCCGTTGGTTTCGTCTCATGATTATATCAAACTGTGAATGCTCGAATTGAGGGCCGGGACGTTCCCGAAGTCTTTCGCGATATGTAAGCTAGAGAGGTGCATAGGATGCGTGTAGACGCCGAGATGTGTGGGTGGAATCGGCTGGTGTCACCTCCTTAGAGCAGAAACCAACGATTGCTCATAGCAATCAATATACGATTCACTCGTTGATGCAGCAGAAGCAGTGTTTGCGATGATATAGTTGAGAGGGGTGGATTGATCCAAATCAGGCCACACGGTAGGTAGACTGGAAATACTGGTATTGTATGATCGTCACGTGTATCTGGTTGGTAGCACGGAACCACCCGCCCACCCACGCCCACCCACGCCAGCCAACCAGAACCAGCCCTTGGGACCCCCCTTCCAAGTTCCCCCCCAAAAGTCTGAAGTCTCAGCGGAAGGCCTCGCACGCAGTGCATCAAGTCTTGAGTGTGCCCTTCTAGTTCATTCACTCAATATCTCCATATCCACTACCTTGCCTATCATATCCATCTCGAGGCCGACCACAAGCCCTTTGAGACCCAGCGGTCCAAGAACTCGAGCGCCCACAGTCACATGTCGTTGACATCCAAGTTATTCTGATCCCTTCGTTAACTTGACTCCTGAAACCCCTGCTGAGGAGGATCGATGACATTGAGGACATTGAGTCGTATCAGTTTGGAATCTGCTCTAAAAGGTACAGTATAATCCAGCCCGCCACCTACTGTGATTGAACATTCAACACCCTGATATAGCCCCTACTTCAGATGAAGCAATGCCTTTCACAATTGACAATGATTAACAGCAATTGACAGGTTGCCACTTCCCACTCGAGATGCACATTCGGTGATTGTTCTGCAACGGGCTTGATCACACTTGGGGATATCAATCAATGGAATGTTTGCCGGTGCACACGGCTCCGCTTCGCCCTACGAATCCCACACCGTGACGACGTCGTTCAGATCCATATATCGATGCATCTCTCTGAACACACCGAGGCCTGAGCGCACAAGATATGAGAACCATCCAAGAGAAGATCTTGGAGGAGGATCATCGCATTGGAACCGGACATATGATGAATTTGGTCGAGCTAGACCTTCATCTGGAATCGTTACTAGCATCCACGGGAGGTGATTCGGCCAAGAACACCCCTTCCGCCCTGCTCCAGGATACCCACCACACTCATCACTTCGATACATCCACTTCAAGGGGGACACCGCAGACAGAATCCGAGATCGTTGTACAAGTTGACGATATGGACGTGGACGTGGACAGCACCGCCTCCGTCCCTGAAGTAGCAGAGAATTCTGCGTAAGTCTCTCAAGCCACGTACCTGCCCAAAATAAGCCTCATCGCAAGCACTGCTACATATTGGCATCACTTTGGCATATTCTGAACAGATGAATAGGTTCCATCAAGATCACGTCCAGTGGGGCGACTCACAGCTCCTGGGCTTTCAAGAGAATACCAGAAATTCGTTCGAGTCATCAGCATCCGCACCTTCGGACCACTCCGAACTGTCATCTCCCCCCTCATCACTACCATCCTCTAGTAAAGCCACCACTCCTGTCGATATAGGGACTCTGAAGGAGCCGCTGCCGGCGCTGCCTGCTACCAACAGCACACGTGTACCGAGACGAAGATCATTTAATGTACGACCGCGGGTGTCGATCCCGACAGATGTTGCCCCACAGGACTATGCCAACCAATGTATTGCCGCCGCCGAGTCCTCGAGGCTGAACCCGTATGCCCTACATCCAGACGAATACTCGATGCTGAGGGAACACATCAGCCACGCTCAAGTGACTACATACTTGAACATCCGGAATGGTATCCTGCGGCTATGGATAAACAACCCACGCATCGGAGTGGCACGTGATGAGGCTGTGGGCTGTGCCAAGGACTCGAGGTGGTTTGATGTCGCCAGTGTATGCTACGACTGGCTCGTCCGCTCAGGATACATCAATTTCGGCTCTGCAGAAGTCCCCGTGAGCAAGAAGCGATCTAGGAGGTCAAAGCCATCGAGAAGTGGGAAGACAGTAGTCGTTATTGGGGCTGGCATGAGCGGTCTAGGCTGTGCTAGACAGCTCGACAGTCTGTTCAAACAATATGCCAGGCACTTCCAGGAATCTGGGGAGGAACCTCCGAAGGTCATTGTCCTAGAAGGTCGAAACCGCCTAGGTGGCCGTGTGTACTCCCGGGCGCTTGATAGTAGCAACAGCCAACACTTGATTGGATTCCAGGGCCGGCGCCATAGCGTCGAGTGTGGAGGGATGATCATCACGGGGTTTGACCGAGGAAATCCGCTGAATGTCCTGGTGCGAGGACAAATGGCCCTACCCTACTACGCGCTACGACCCGACACTACCCTCTACGATTCGAACGGTAAGCCTGTCGATGAGGCACGCGATCGTCTCGTCGAAAACCTCTACAACGATTGCCTTGAGAGAGTATCAGACTACAAGTTTAAGAGCCCGCCGTCAAAACTCATCGAAGGCAACAGAGATTTGATGGACGAAGGTCGAGATAGTTCATCTGAAGGTCAGAAGACAATTGCCCACGTGGAAGAAGCCACGGCCGCCCTCCCACAAGCACCGCCCGTGGCAGAACAAAGCCTTGGACCTCAAGTTAGCTTGGTACCTGTTTCTACAGACCGTGCGACTGGCAAGACACATGTCGAGCCAGGCACCCCAGCTACCCTCAAGGCAGCATACAAAGCCCGAATGATGGGGTGGGCGCTCAAAGAAGGCGTCACCGAAGACTGCGACTTGCATCTCGATGCAGCTGCCATGGCCCCCAATGCCACACTCGGTTCAGTCATGGACGAGGCGATTTCACAGTATAAGACGATAGTCGATCTTACAGCACAAGACTTCAGGTTGATGAACTGGCACGTGGCCAACCTGGAATACAGTAACGCCACAAACTACAACCAACTCAGCATTGGGGGTTGGGACATCGACGCAGGTAACGAGTGGGAAGGCAAGCACACTATGGTGGTCGGTGGCTACCAAAACGTTCCTCTCGGTCTCGCAGTCTCGCCATCCCGGCTAGACATTCGGAAGAACGCGGCGGTCAAGAAGGTATCCTACGACTCCAGCGGGTCAGAAGCTGCACGTGTGGAATGCGAAGATGGATCAACTATCGAAGCAGATTACGTCGTCTCCACCATTCCCCTCGGTGTGTTAAAACACGAAAGTGTTGAGTTCAACCCTCCTCTGCCATCGTCCAAAACGGACGCCATTGGCCGCCTAGGCTTTGGCATTTTGAACAAGATCATCCTTGTGTACGATGAAGCATTCTGGGATTCAGGCAGAGACATCTTCGGCTGTCTGCGCACACCTCTGTCACGTCACAGTCTGAAGCAGAGTGAATATGCCTCTCAGCGTGGTCGTTGCTTCCAGTGGTTTAATGTTTCCAACACAAGTGGTATCCCCGTTCTTCTTGCTCTAATGGCTGGGGACGCCGGCTTCGACACCGAACACTCTAAGAACGACGAGCTAGTCGCTGAAGCTACGGAAGTTCTTCGCGGCGTTTTTGGTGCTAAAGTGCCCCGACCTGTGCAATCTGTCGTCACACGTTGGGGATCTGACAAGTTTGCTCGGGGGTCGTATTCTTCTGCTGGCCCCTCGATGCGGATAGATGACTATCAGGAGATGGCCCAGCCTGTCGGAAACCTTTTTTTCGCTGGCGAACACACCACCGATACACATCCTGCCACGGTGCACGGCGCTTATCTCTCCGGGTTGCGAGCGGCGTCAGAAGTCATTGATGCTATGCTCGGTCCCATACATGTTCCATTTCCACTTGTGCTCCCTAGGGAGTCGTCATACTCATTATCTCACACCCTGAAACGGAAAGACACTGACGATGCAGCATCTGCGCATGCCAGTAAGCAGGCCCAGATCGATGCTTATGAGCTCGCAGCTTGGCAGCACATCGCTTCGCAGATCGGCGAACGGCCGTGGCGCCCACAGAAGGTTGTAGGTAACGCCTACCTCCTATACAGTAAATCCAGTTTCGAGACCGCACGGAAGCGTTGTGAGGAAGGCCGACGGCCTGGCAAGGGCAAGCCGGCTCCCAATGAAGTACGTGTCATGACTAGTAAGATGTGGAAAGAGGCAGCGCCCGAAGAGCGTAAGCCCTTCGAGGAGCAAGCTGCTGAGCAGAAACGGGTGTACAATGAGTTGCTGAAGAACTGGGAGGACCAAGCTAAGGAATGGGATCAGCGATACGTGGAAGTGAGAGCTGAGTATGAAAAGGATCACAAGCTCATGCTCAATGACGAGGCGCAGCTGGAGGACGGCGGTCGGGAAAGGAGACGCGCCAAGCCGAACAGCTACGCCGAAAGCAATGAGAACGACGTTGAGATGGATGACTGAGCATCTTCTATCATGCTCCTCTCACAATCGTCCGTTCGTATATCTATTCCCGGCTCCAACGAAACATAGGGGCCGGGCTGGGGCTCCTAACCATCTGGCTTCGGGTCCGTCAGCCGTCGGGCGACACTCACTTGCGCTCGGGGCAACTCGGCGTCCTGCTCGGGGTTTCAGTGTCGGTGTCATAGGCGTACAGGTGTCTGCATCATCTGCCGAGGGTCATGGTCGGAGTTGAAGGCCTTGTATTTCCTTTCTGTCTGCTATACCGCAGGCTTTTCTCGCGTTGCGTTGTTCCACGTGAGGCATACCCCGATGTATTGTACATAACTTAGTGCTCAATGGATATGGCTTTCTTTGTTCCATTTTAATTGCAAACGAAAAACGGGAGCTGCGATATGTGGCGTGTGTTCTTCTACGTGGATGGTTAAAGAGCTGTCGCGAGGATTGCTTTTCACAGAATGTCTGTGATCGTGCGAGCGTAAGAGGTGTCTATTGATTTGGCATGTGGTATGTTTATCATACGCAACACGCCCATCTGTACAAAGATGAGTCTTCTAGAAACATCAATGACTTAAGTGGGAAGTAAGCAGGTAGCCCTCACTTCCTCCCAACAGCGACGAGGCTCACTCCCTTCAACTTCCCAGGCTCCGTCAGGCACATCCTCTTCATCTCCGCCACCATCTCCACCTTCACCTTCCCGATTTCCTCTCCACCCATATCGCTCGTCAAAGCAAGCATATGCGGCAGCTTGCCCAGCAGGAACTCGACGAAGGAGCCGTAGTCCTGGAACGTCATCTCGACCGGGACTTCGTGCGCCTCGACATCCCTGAAGCCAGCCTTCTTCAGCTCGCCTTCGATACCCTTCGCGCTCGTCCAAGCTTCAGGCATGGTCGGCATAGTCTTGTCGGGCCGGACCTTGAGCAGGACCTTCATCAGCTCAATCCATTCCGATCCCTGCCACGCCGACAAGCTGAGGACGCCGTCGGGCTGGAGGACGCGCTGGGATTCCGCGAGGCACTTCATCGGATCGGGCGTCATGAAATACACCATGCCGGCCGTGACGTGGCTCTGACTCCCGTCCCCAATGCCATTGAGATCCATGGCGTTCTGCACCTTGCATCCGACCCTCTTCCACAGCGCCGCAGTCGCAGTCGCACTGCTCCCTTCTTTGCTCTCCTCCTCCTTCTCCGCCTTGATCTTCTTGACTGCCCCAATCATGCCTTCGCTGAAGTCTGAGCACGTCAGGCTGCAGGTCCCGGGGATGACGGAGCCGTAGTCCTTGATGATTCGCGACATCACGGGCCCCGGTCCGCAGCCGTTGTCGAGGATGCCGGTGGCCGCGGAGAGGGGGTGCAGGGCGTTGGCGCGCGAGAGCATGAGGCCGATGGGCGCGAGCGCTACTTGCGCGGTGATCTTCGCATAGTCGTTTGCCTGGCAGCCAAAGCGGTGAGTATGAGCATTGATCTCGAGACACAGTGCTCCTGGGCCACTCACTAGGATGTTCCAGTCTTCGCCCTTGGTGTTCTCGAGGCCTGGCATTTTTGCTTTTTGCTTTCGATGATCTTGTGTCTTGTGTCTCTTGCTGAAAGTTTTTGTCGTTGACAAGATCTGGCGTGCAGGTACCTGTCTCAAGCGTCTGAGTCAGTCGTCTTTGCTGAGGTCGCTGTAAGTCTAGCGGAGGTGGATGGGAAAGTTGCGGTGATGATGACGATGAATACAGCAGAGTGCAAGTTTGCAAGAGGAAGAATTCGAAGACGTAACCTTCTTATATACCTACCCACCCGATTGCCTTCGGAGACATTCTCTAGCCGTTGCCTTGCTGCTCTCGTACCTAGACTAACCCGCCTGTCCAATGTCCATTGTGCTGCGGATACATACATACCTCCTACCTCGGAGACTTTTTCCTACCCGGACCTCGGAGACTTTAATAGCAGTAGTCCGATCATGACACGGGATGGTTTGGTTGGCGGTGTGCTGACAGGAACCGACATCGACGACGGTGAGAAAGTTCCATCCAGTAGCGATTAGCGATTCACAAGGTAGGCGAAGACCGCTGCTTCAGGTACCTTGACGCAACCAGATATCTATCTACCTTACATACACGTTACAATTATCTCCACGTGGCTCTGGGACAGGCGTTTGGACAGACAGACCACGCAGCGAGCCCCAGATCCTACCCCCAAAGCTTGAGACTTTTGCTTTGTTCTCTGGGTGCTGGCCTGCCCCTGGCATTTGTGTTTCCGCGCCCCCCATACCCACCCCGGGCTCCGGCCTCAAGCACGTATCATCCATCCAACTGACTGACTGACTGCTGCGGTTCCAAAACCGAGCTCACTGATATCAAGACGATATCTTCCTCCCAGAGCCTTGGGTATGCGGACACTCTGACTCGTCCCGGAAATTCGGCGTTCAGTCTCAGCTCGGAGACTATGCCTTGAAGACTCGGTGCCGGCTATACTCAACGGGTAAGAGCTTGTCTGTGTGTTCTTTGATACGTCGAGTGATCATCGTTGGTTAAGTCATTACTTGAGTCACATACATCCACGCGTTATCATAACAAGGTGGAAGGTCGCGGAACTAGTTTATTGAGGCTTTGGTACACAGAGGGCAATGCTGGGGTTATAGGGTTCTTTGGTACAAAGGGAAAAGGCGATTGAGTGACCACCACACCCCATTTCCTACTCTACTTGCTTCTATAGACAACTTTACATGTCCGCAGAGGCGGTAGCACCGGTGATAATCTCGACCAGTTCGCCAGTAATGACGGCTTGACGTGTTCGGTTGTAGAGAATTTGGTACTTGCTGATCATCTCACCGGCGTTCTTGGATGCGTTCTGGAGTAGTGGTCAGTATCCTATTCGTCGGGGGGCCAGGGGTGTTGGCTAGGGCAATACTCACATCCATAGCGTTTCGTCGGGCAGAGATCTCGCAAGCATGACCCTCGGCCAGAGCCCAGTAGAGGGAGTTGGCAAGGGCGTACTCCCGCAGGTTAGCGAGCAGCTCCTCGTCAACCTCGAAGGCGGAGAAGTTGGGGGACGCGGCGATGGCCTCCTCGGAGAAAGCCTCGATGACGGTGGCCTCGTAGGACGTGGCGTTGATGAACTTGTTGTACACAATCTTGATATCCGAGTAATCGCCCTTGAGCTGTACGACCTGGTCGGCAATAGCCTGGGCGTCGGCGAAGGTGGGAACGTCCTTGCCAATACCAGCGAAGCTGAGAACGATATCCTGGGGGTTGGAACGGCTCATTTGCGCCCTGGACTTCTCACCGATGAGAACGAGATCGGCAGGCTGGTGGTCGCCACCCAGGTGACGTCGCATGTAGCGCGAGAGACCGGAGTGAATACCACCGCAGAGGCCCTTGTCGGAACTGCACACAATGTACAGGGTCTTCTTGCCCTCGCCCTCCAGCGGCTTCGTCTCGGCGGCTTCGAAGACCTGCTGGGAGGTCTGACCGTACTTTTGCGAGTCGCTCATGGCTCGTTGGGCGCGGTTCAGCTTGGTGGAGGCGACAATCTTCATGGTCTTGGTGATCTTCTCGATGTTGCGGATAGACTTGAGACGGCCTTCGATTTCTCGCAGGGTGGCATAGGTAGCGGCATTCTGGGCGGTGCTGCTCGAACGAGACAGTTAGCATTGGTTCTCGCGGTGCGAGCTGACTGACGGAGCTGGATGTCTGGGGGAGGGTTGGCCCATATGGGCTGCGAATTGCCTCATGTGTAGGTATGCATGGGCTCCCTAATCCGACGTACCGAGCAGGGACAGCGGCAGCTCCAGCTCTAAGAGCCGGTCGTGCTGCTCTTGAAAACATGGTGAAGGGACCAAGGGAGTGTATGTTCCACCTCAAACGAAAATGGCTTGCTGGTTGCGATGCAGGGCGCAATCAATTGGTCGATTGCGGTGATCTCAGAGATCGGGTTATTTGGATGAGGTTGATTCTCTATTGTCTGTCTGCAAGACCAGAGCTTGGTCGGCCAAACCTTTCCGGGACTCTGCGGTAAATTGTCGGGTGTTTTCCTTAGACCTCACTGTGTAGCCGCGTAGTTCATACAGTGTATTTGCTCGTGGACACAGGCAGTGGATCAAGCAAACGTGCACAGACCACCTTGGTAATCCCAATCAAAAACAACTGGTTTGGCTGATGCTCTGACAGACCGATCTGCTGCCTGCACCCGCCCGTTGTGAACGCCTGCACTAATAATAAATAATTGATCCCTCCCACTCCCTATCACGATTCACTGGCGCATCCCGATTGGCGCTTGCATCTGACAGTCTGACAGTCAGGTGGCAGACCGGCAGGCATTCACCCATTCACTCCAGAGTCCAGACATTCCTCTGCACGCTGCACAGTATCGGATTCACGGTAATAATAAGGTAATCGATCATCCTTACGGCATTCTTTACTTGCGCCTGCTCCTCCCCCACCAGGACACATTAGCAAGCCAATAGGAAGCCGCGGCCCGTGTAAGCCAGCTAGCTGCCAGCTGTGAGTAGCGGGCCAGACTTCAAATGTGAAGCCTTCTTCTCGACAAGTCCTCGCCCTCGCCCTCATTCTCCCCTTCGTGCCACTTCCCAAATCTCACGGCCGTCTGACACACGCACATTCCCTCTCTTGCTTGTCCTGTTGTCCCCTTCGTCTCCTACTAGACAGTCATTTCCCGTCTCTATAGGTCAGGGTGGTGCACCACGGTGTCACCCACCCTCTTACTGCAATTTTCTGCACTTCCAACACTTCCAACCAGGGCGCCGCGGTCAACGTTCCTGTTGTTCAGACACTTGCGCACCCTCCGCAACCACGCCCTTCAACAACACCAACCGCGATCCTTTCATCCTCCAAGTCTCACGCAGCCCCAACATCAACTCTTTCCACTTCCAACACGCCAAACCCACGCGCCCAACATGTCTTCCGACGACGACATGCCGCTGGCACGTACCAATGGCAATCGTAAGTTGTCTACTCTACTTTTTGCAACTACAACTCTGCTTTTCTATCTTGCTAAACTCTGCTCGCTTTTGGCCTGATTTTCACTTACTTCTTCGACGTCTTTATCCCCGAGTCTTCCCTCATCATAGCGAAGATACCGCGCATGCATAGCATTGCCTTATTGGTTTTGTGTTCCGCTAACTTACTACTGACAATAGTCTCAGCGCCGACCATCTCCAAGGCCGAAGACAAAGCCATGGACGTCGACTCCTCCGCAAAGCCCCTGCCATTTCCGATGTCTGTACGCAACGGTCCCGTTGACACTGGCGATTCTGCGCATGTGAACGGCAACGGAAAGCGCAAATCTCGGTCTTCAATCAGCAATGTCAATTACCAAGAGTTGGACAGTGACGAGGGACCATCTGTAGGTTCACCCCTGGCTTCACCAATACCACGACACTTCCAACTTTGTGCTGACGTGTTGAGCGTAGGCCAAGCGCCCTAGGAAAGTCGACCCTGACGACTCCGACGATGATGTCCCGATCATCAGAAAGAACAGGCTCCCCCCTGCTGCGAGCGAGACCGCTGTTGCCGAGGATAGTGACGACGACCAGCCCTTGAACGCCAGGCTGGCTAAGCAGCGACAATCTATCGAGAAGCACGCCGAGCAAGAAGCCAAAGCAATCAATGCAAAGGAAGCCAAGGCGAAGAAACCCGCCGTGAAAAAGCCCGCACCGAAAAAATCAACTCCCAGGAAGAAGGCCATTAAGGAAGAGTCTGACGATGACGATGTGCCTTTGGCTGGTGCGAAGAGCCGGAAGCGAGCTGCCAATGGAATATCTGGGAAAGGCAAGGGCAAGTCGAATGGCGTTAAGAAGGAAGAATCAGACTCCGACGAGCCTATTCGCAAGAAGGTCAAGGCGGCTGCGAAGAAGGCCAAGGAAGAGAGCGAAGAGATCGGTGAGGAAGAGGATGAAGAAGAGTACGCATGGTGGAACGCCCCCAAGAAAGACGACGACAGCATCAAGTGGGAAACACTCGAGCATAATGGTGTTCTCTTCCCTCCCGATTACGAACCCCTCCCCAAGAACGTCAAGCTCATCTACGACGGTACTCCGGTCGACCTAGACGTCGAGGCTGAGGAGGTAGCGGTTTTCTTCGGTGCAATGCTGCATTCCACCAACAATGTCGAGAATCCGGTCTTCCAGAAGAACTTCTTCAACGATTTCAAGGAGGTGCTCAAACGTACTGGCGGCGCCAAGGATCGACAAGGCAACAACGTTACCATCAAGGAGTTTTCGAAGCTTGATTTCAAACCCATCTTCGAGTATTATCACGGCAAAAACGAGGCGAGAAAGGCGCGTTCCGCGGCCGAGAAAAAGGCCGAGAAAGCCGAGAAGGACAAGATGGAGGCTCCTTTCATGTTCTGCAAGTGGGACGGTCGCAAGGAAAAGGTTGGCAACTTCAGAGTCGAACCTCCTGGCCTGTTCCGTGGCCGCGGCGAGCACCCCAAGACTGGCAGAGTCAAGGGGCGCGTCCTGCCTGAACAGATCACCATCAACATTGGCAAGCAGGCCAAGGTACCCCCTCCTCCCGAAGGCCACAAGTGGAAGGCAGTCCAACATGACAACAAAGCTACGTGGCTTGCTATGTGGCAAGAGAACATCAATGGCCAGTACAAGTACGTCATGCTGGGTGCAAACAGTGCGGTGAAAGGCCAGGCCGACTTCAAGAAGTTCGAAAAGGCCCGGGCTCTCAAGAAGCACATTGCCAAAATCCGAAAGGAGTACAACAAGGATCTCAAGGCCGAGTCGATGGCCGATCGGCAGCGCGCCACCGCTGTCTACTTGATCGACAAGTTCGCACTCAGAGCCGGCAACGAGAAAGACGCGGATAACGAGGCTGAGACCGTGGGCTGCTGCTCGCTGAAGTTTGAGCACGTCACCCTCCGAGAACCCAACACAGTCATTTTCGACTTCCTGGGTAAGGACAGCATCAGATTCTACGACGAAGTCACAGTTGATCGACAGGTCTTCAAGAACCTCCGCGTATTCAAGAAGCCCCCGAAGAAGGCAGGTGATGATATCTTTGATCGCCTTACGACCTCCCAGCTGAACAAGCATCTTTCCAACTACATGCCGGGATTGACTGCCAAGGTCTTCCGTACCTACAACGCTTCCTATACTATGTCGACTCTGCTGCAGGACTTGAAGGTTGATAAAAACACCACTATTGCAGAGAAGATAAAACTCTACAATGACTGCAATCGCCGGGTGGCCATCCTTTGCAACCACAAGCGGACAGTCGGTGCTAGTCATGAGGCACAGATGGAGAAGCTTGGCGACCGTATCAAGGGACTCAAGTATCAGAAGTGGCGCATCAAGCATATGCTTCTGGATGTGGAACCCAAGATGAAGAAGAAGAAAGGAGCAGAGTTCTTCGAGCTGGACCCAGAGCTAGATGAAGCGTGGATCTTGGAGCATCAGACTTTCCTGGTCGATGAACAGCGGACCAAGATTACGAAGAAATTCGAAAAGGACAACCAGAAGCGTCAAGATGACGGCGAAAAGACATTCCCCGACAAGGAGCTCAAGGAACGTCTTAAGGTGGCGGACGAGCTCAAAAAGAAACTACAGAAGGAGAACAAGACCAAGAAGGTCGAGGCCGACATGAAAGGTCCCACCGTCGAGAAGATTGAGGCCAACATCAAGAAGATCGATGATCGAATCCGGACCCTCGAGCTCCAGGCTGCCGACCGAGACGGAAACAAGGAGGTCGCTCTTGGCACCTCCAAGATCGTAAGTTTCCCGTCCACCGCGTCTCCAGCTGATTGATACCTTGCTAATACGTGCTAGAATTATATTGATCCGCGTCTCACTGTGGTCTTCGCCAAGAAGTTTGATGTGCCCATCGAGAAGTTCTTCTCGAAGACTCTGCGTGACAAGTTCACCTGGGCCATCAAGTCCATTGAGAATGAAGACAATTGGGAGTTCTGAGTCAGCCGAACAGCGCCTTTGCCGAAATTTTCATCAACCATACTCATATCTGTATTCAACTGTACAACATATACAATCTCAACCTCAATAAGGTTTAGATAGGCTCATTACCCCTTGATGAGTCACGACCAAGCATGAGCATCGCCAATGTGCCGCTGGTCTGCGTTGATCACGCATGGGCATCAACGTCTTTGGCGGACTTTGAACACCCCATTGGCCGCTCACCCTCACTAGGTTTACCACCTCTTGCATACCGGCATATGAAGCATTGCATTCACAGGTGGTTCTTCACCGCAAGGGTTGTAGGTATTTACCCAACCATTTTGAGATAGACAGATAAATCAAGAAATCATTACCAATATTTGTTCCGTGTTTAATGACATGCCAGTAGTGAGCACTACATGATTGCAGCCGATTAGGACTAGTCCTGCTATGCGTTGTCGGGCGGAAGCTCAGGGGTGATGATGGAAAGGTCATCATCTGTTGTACTACGAAATTTCGGTCTGTTTGAATGACTCAGGCCGTGGGATGCGGATTTGCTCGGTGTCCATTGCCTTGACCTCTGGGTGCTCTAGCTGCGTCATTGTGCTGTCGTCGGGAACACTGCTGTGGTCCCGTGTGATTAGCTGTCAAGTGGAAAGACAAAAGTCGATTGAGACTCATTGTCATTCTTTGCCCTGTCACCCCGTTTCTATTCGGAGCGCGTACACCCCTAGACACGCTCGCATCGACCGCCTTGGTCTCCCTTATATCATGTTCTGTGGCTCAGGGCCCCCCTCTCCTATACCTACTGCCTTCCATATCCAAGCCTGTGCGTCATCTCACAATAGTTTGCAATGGGCAGAATCATTCACATGCCGTTTACACAGGCTGGTGTGCTGTCGCGAAGTATATACGTGAACAGGCACAGGGGACTGTCCCTGCGCAGCTCCCCATATAAGGGAGAGCTCCCCAGCTCCATTTCAGATAAATTTTAGAATGAACAACCCTTTCTTTTATGCTTCCGATAAGCTGTATGCGATATGTGCTCTGTTGATTTGCTATTTAGATAGGCCGCCGTATAAATGAAGTCATACAAGGTATCTATTTAATGTTGCGTTATTTACAGAGAAACCACTTAGGATAATCGTGAACTCGTAATCCTGGGGAGACATCCAAACCCTTCACCATATAATGTATTGATTGTCTTGTTGCGTGTTGAAACCGAAATCTGTTCTCCCAATGAATTTGCTGCTGTCCATTGTCAAGGTTCACGATGGCGTCAACCGTCGTGCGAACCTGGATGGCAGGAAATCAGCCATGGCCACCAGAACCATATAACGTATAGATTATGCCCCGTCCGAAACCTTGATCTCCATTTCCGTGCATTGCTTGTGTTGCTTTCGTGACAACAGCCAGCGCGCCCCGACGTGGCCCAGATAGCTGCTCAGCATCGCGGCGCTTAGTGACCACGGCACGATGCCAAGTATCACCATGTCAGCACTTTCCCCTATACTCCAGCCTACAAAAACTGCCCATATAGCCCATGTGACGAATACCGCACTTTGATATCGGTCTTCCTCTTGTCGCCGGTGGGCATATGAAGACAAACAGCAGCCCAATGCCATACAGGAGCCAAGCATCAGCCCAGGGGATGCGGTTGGCAGCAGTATGGTGTGCGATGCGCTCAACGCGTCTTTGATGGGAGATGAGCACTGCACCCATTAGCATAGCTTACTTCGCCCAACCCGAGATCACGGTAAACCTACCGGTGATTCCCTCTCGGATACGTAGGAGGTGGTAACGAAGCAGCAGACAACCGCAGGAGCGAGCTCTGCCAGCTCTGCCAATGTCGACGCAGCTCTCGGACGTTGTGCATCATCACCTATCGGTGGCTCCTCCACGGAGAGGTGGAACAAACGACATAACTCTGGAGACATAGGGAAAGATTACTCGGCCAGCCGGAGCATTGGGCAGATGGGATCGACGATCCAGGGGCGGGCGGTATGAGGCTCTAGTGAGCCGAGGATATGTCAAGTACCGTGCAGCTCGATGGCCTCCTTATACATCAAGAATCAGCTCGCCTCCTCGCACAGTCACCCGCTTCGTCCTGCCTAGATGACAGCGCGCCTGGCTCGGAGGTCACTTGAGGATCGGGCGAGTTATTTTCGCCGCTTTTGGTGCACCCACATTTGGAGAGACACTTTTCAGCTCCGTTCGGTGAATCAGGCTGCCGTCGATACCCGGTTGGTTTCGTCATCTGTACGCTGGTGGTTGCGGACAGGGGAAAACAGCATAAGCACCGAAGCAGACGATTATTCCACGCGCCTTTGTTGGGCGGCTGGGATAACCATTGCCCGAGCTATTGTTTCACTGCAGGTCTCATTGGCTTCTGACTGCTACACCATGTAACCTGCATGGTACCCGAAGGAACCCCCGGTTTGGGCTGCAAGAGCCTGCAGCATGAGGCACACTCAATGTTACTCATAGGCACTTTCGGTATGACTCAAGGCACCACGCGAGGCTAACCTGCATGCAAAGCGCATCCAACCAGATCACTATGAGGTTTCATGCGAACCGTGAGGCTCTCGCCTGTCTGGAGATGTGGAATAAGGCAACCCACGCCAGTGCCCAAGTTTGCATGTCAGATATCGACGTGGATCGCTCCAAAACCTCACGGCACGAGTCACCATCATCGCACAGACGCGACTTTAGGCCGCAACGCATCATCGAATCCTACGAGTCTATCGAATCCGGTCGTCCGCCTGCAGCACTCGGGTACGGACGCGAACATCTGAGCAGTGCGAACAAGGAGAATGATTTGCCTGCGAGTGAGCCCGGGGAGCATGGTGTACAAATGTAAAAACTCCCGTGATGTAACCGAGAGATACTACCAGAGGCCAGTGCCAATCCAGTGGTCATATATCGGGGTGTACCCGACGAGGTTCGTGCCTGGGCTCAACCTGATACCTACCCGATTGCTAAACCTCTAGTTCCCCCGGGTCTCAGCTATTTGCTTCCTTCTACATTCGACACGTTGTCTTCGCTCATCGTGACGTGATCTGGTGGCGACCTCGATATTTCCAAGATCAATATGGCGAGTCAACGTGTCTTCGCCGCAACCCAAGCCCATCTTAGGATGGTCCACCCTCGTATTGAGAGGCACGGCAAGGCCTTGTCACAAGGAGCCATGATTGGGACTGCTATTGCTTTCCCTGTCGTCCAAAACCAGGGACGATTCTACTACTACCTGTGAGACACCTGACCCCTCGAGCACATTGATAGCACTATTAACAAGACCATAGTACCTTGAGCATCTTCTTGCTGTCTACCTTGATATACAACGCCCTGATGTGGAGAGCTGTCGTCAGGTGCGTGGAGTTTCCCTGCATCGTGCTTCGCTGCCTGTACCAACGGAATCCTGACTTACGAGCGACTCAGATACTTCTTTCTGTCATTGGTCGTAGTCGGTGGTCCTCCTACTATATTGCTCGTGAATCCCGACGTCTCTATGACCTCTTCGGCGGCGCACATCCCACTTCTCATTATGCTCATGAGCCTGGTCATCCACGAGTTCTCTAGGCTGCAGCTGAGGCCCCTGGGAGGGTGGCACCTACTGCCGGAGTCCTCTCCTGGAACACCCGGATCGTTCTTATCACGCAGCCTCCTCTTGGACAAAGGACTGCTTGATGTCGAATCTCAAGATGAGTATATGAGCAACGCACCGTTTGATCACAAGAATCCGTTGTTGGACTTCATGGAAGCCACCGCAGAGCATGACCGCTTGCCAAGTCAGAGATCATCCGATATTACACTTTCATCCGGTGAACCAGGGAGTTTGCCATCCTCATGGGGTTCCTCGGTCCGGAACTTCTTCCCGCATTACTCAGACCAGAGGAATAGGACCCAGGGTTTGGACCATGAACCTGCTGTCCCACGGAGGGAGACTGCATAATGTTGCCCACGCGGAAGAAATTGACGATTGCCATCATTATGCACGCCGGAATGACTTCCAAGGTCGAGGAAGCCACTCATCCGCAGTTTCCTTTCTCTTTTCTCAATGCTCTCCGCGGATTGCCAGACTTGCCCCTTGGATACCGCATACCTGGATTTGGATTTGAAGACTTGCTTGATAATCCTGGAATTACCGGAAGGATTTTGCGACCATTTTTGCCGGACATGGACAATTCAGTGGATACAAGCCCGCGGAAACTCACGAGGACTTTTTCATCTCGGACTACTGTGAATGACAACGCCACACAGCTCCTCGAGGATGATGTCGCAAGGCGGCGAGGGCAGAATCGCGATAACCCATCATTCCCACTACTACTACCCGCTCTGGACCGGATTTGAATGAACACCAAAGTCAGATGCCATGACTATGCATGCTTGCCTGGACCAGAGGCACGCAAAACCGGATTTCATTTTACACCTAGGTACACACATACACTGGGCAACCAGACCTGATCGACAGTGTTCGAGCACTGCGACACGAAAAATGCATTCGACTCTCAGAGACGAGGCGGCTATTTTGATTTATCATCAGCGTTCACCATTGGAGGATCTTTCACCCACGTCGGTATTCTGCCGACATGTGTATGTAGGGCGTTCGAATTGATGTGGCCAAAGTGCCGTCAATGGTGTATATATATATACCTGGATTCACGATTAGAACGGGTGCCCACGAAGCAGCTGCACATACGCGCTCTCAATATACAACATTATTGGACAATCGATCCCATCTCTCAGCGGCATAGAGAGGGTATTTCTGTGGTACGTGATTATCCCGGTGGCGGCGACCAGTGCATTAATTTCTGATATGGAGCTTGCGGACATCTCGTGGGGTTACTGGCAAGAAGGTTAGACGGGAAGAATTCAATCATTTTCGACTACGCGTGTGACGGATGAGCATATTTGGGAGGAAGACCGCCTAAGCATCGAAGCGCAGTGGTTTACGAACCACTGGGGCGTTGCCAACTCTCTTGGTACTCAGTGTCATCTGCTCTGTTGCTCATCGACTTCCACCACGGCAACGAAATGGTCGAGAATCAAGGGCCTGCTCTTTTCTAGGGGCAAGGATACGATGGAGTGAGACAGGACTTGGCGGACAGCTGAATCGACCTGTACTAGGTTAGAGCTGCAAGTGTACATGATATCAACCTGAATATATATCCTGGTACACAGCAGTGGTACTGCTGGAGGGCTGGATTAGACGTTCCCTTCCGCAGCGACTGCATCACCGTCCTGTTGCAACCTCTCGTGGACATTTCTTGCCCGTCGGTTCAATTATCATGAACACGGAATCGCCGTCTGGATGGAGTCGTCAGGTCAGGTCGATGCGATTATACTACCTCCAAGATCTGCACTAGTGGCCGTTCGACCCAAGCTCACGCCCGAGGTTTCGTCACTTCACTCCCACGGCCGCCTACTCCTAAGGGCGTCGTTTCTACCCCAAGGGCGAGGTATTGGCGAGACGCCTGAGCGCGATTCATTTTCAGGGCTAGTACACTCGGCAAGTGAGTTGTTACACAGTCCTTAGCGGATTCCGACTTCCACGGCGACCGTCTTAGAGAGATAATGTTAGCATTCAATTCAATTAGTGTACAGGGTGGTTCAAGTACCAAGACTTACCTCTTGTCTAGATGTACTAACACCTTTTGTGGTGTCTGATGAGCGTGTACTCTGGCACCTTAACCTCGCGTTCGGTTCATCCCGCATCGCCAGTTCTGCATCTCGATTCTCGAAATAGGGGTCCAGTATTCAGGCTGCCCGGTCTGCAGACAGCCGCTGCGCTAGGCGCCGGCCCACTTTGCCGGGCCCTGGCCCCTCCATTGTCCAGCCACCGACGCATGATGTGACAGGGGTCTTCCTTCATCAGCCACACTATCTTGAAGCTGGTTTGTGGATTCAAACGGGCACTAAGCGGTTTCAGCCCCATAGCCCAGCCACCGCCGCGGGTTTCCCATCTGATCCGTCTTGTCTTGGTCTTGCACATCACATCCACCCGTCACCTGGCCAGCCAGCAGCGGCTTCTGGTTGCAACCAAGGAAGCATCGCCAACGCATGCAGCCAAACATCACCAATCGCCAGATCGCCTGCTACCAAGCCTGGTAGCACTCGTGCTCTGGATATGGACTGGACCCATGTCGTCCCACTGCCGTCCAAGGTCCATGGTCTTCCACTCGGCGCTATGGATGTGTCCGTAAACTTGGGCTGCGGCCCTGATGACGATGCATCATCTTAGAAGGAGAGAAATATCAGGTGGCTGGATCTCCATTTTCCCTTCGAATCGCCGTTGAGCGTCTTTGCATCTACCCATAAGAGCCTCTGCCACACCTTTCTCTCCTTCCTAATCCGATTGTCTCGTCTTACATACAGCACCTACCTGAATTTGTCAATAGCATTGTCTGCCATTGACACATCATACCCTGCATTGGTGTACGATAGTGATACCTGACCTATTGTACCCTCACCACACCACACCACCCCAATTGTGCCGACTCCTCTCTGGCCGTTGGCACCCAAATATACTTACCCCCCTCTCCTCCTCACCCGCTACACCTTTCTTGTATACTTTTGCCCTCGAAACACACCACAAAGCCACAATGCTGTTCTGTAGGCCCCGTACTGCAGCGGCAGCTGTTGCCGCGATGCTTTCAAGCCGAGCTATAGCTCAAACATATACATCTTGCAACCCTACGGAATCCAGTAAGTTTGCCTACGCTCACCATCCACCCGATATTCTGTCTGTGTCTAGTTCTGACCCGTGTCCCAGCCTGCGACCCGAACACTGCCCTCGGCATGGCCATCGACGTCGATTTCACACAAGGCGAGGTCAACTCGTTTACCTCGTCCGGCGGCACACCGACATACGGCGAAGACGGCGTGACTTTTACCGTTTCGAAGCACGGCGACGCTCCACAGCTCAACTCCATATTCTACATCATGTTCGGCCGAGTCGAGATAAGCCTGAAAGCCGCCCCGGGCGCCGGTATAGTCTCGACTCTAGTCATGGAGTCCGACTGTCTCGACGAGATCGACAATGAATGGCTGGGCTCGGATACGACAGAAGTGCAGACCAACTACTTTGGCAAAGGCATCACAGGCTCATACAACCGTGGCCAGTTCAACCCGGCCGCGGGTAACCAGGACGAGTTTATCACATACGTCGTGGACTGGACTAGTGAAAGGATTGTCTGGACTGTGGGCGACACGACTGTGCGGACATTGACCTACGCCGACGCGGAAGCCGGCCAATACCCCCAGACTCCCATGCAGGTCAAGTTTGGTGCTTGGGCTGGTGGTGATCCCAGCAATGATGCGGGCACCATCGGCTGGGCGCGTGGTCCCACCGACTACACTCAGGGGCCATTCAGCATGAGCGTGAAGAACGTCAAGATTACCGATTACAGCACCGGCAGCAAGTACAGCTATGGCGACACTTCAGGCACTTGGCAGTCAATCGTATCAGAAGGTGGAGAGATCAACGGCAATCTCAACGGCGCCGGTGGCTTGACTACGACAGCTGTGGCTGCTGCTTCGACTTCGACTTCGACCGGCAACGTGCCCGCCGGAGGCATTGGCGGTACTGGCAACACGGCGACCTCGGGGCTGCCAGCCGGGTGGCATATGACCTCGGAAGGAAAGTTGATGCCGCCGTCCAGTACGGCCACCGTACGTCCTTCTGCCGCCTTCGTCTTCATCTTTACCGTCCTCGCAACCATCGCTGGGAACAGGTGGATCTGATTCTAAGACTATCACGACCTACGATGGCAGAGGCTTCTTGACGACCATCACTGCCCCGGCAGGGTTTACCACCCCTGCCGAAGGGCTACGACTCACAAGGCTTTCCTGTCTCTGCCACATCGGGTACTGGATCGCAGCCGGCTACTACCAGTGCTGTGGCGGCCGTGGTATCCGACGAAGATGTGAGCATACAGACGGCAGCCGAGGCTCCAGACAGGAGCGCATCCAGTCACACATATACGAAGCATTCTCCGTTGTGGCGATCTCCCTGCTTGCCTCACTATTCTACACAAAGCTATGAGTAGAGTGCTACACACGGACTGCATGGCGGTGGTGTAAAATTGCAGGGCAACGACACCCACGGGAGGAAATTAATAAGCATAGGCTCGGAACAAGGAAAAGGGATTGGCATCACACAACAGGCGCATGGAATGGGTCAAGTGACGACACGACTTGAACGAGACAAGGATGGATGAGCTGGACATATCATCCTCTGATAATGCATTGTACAACATGAATAGCATACATAGATTGGTCAACGAGTGCAAACTCGACGAAGACCGCGTACATACACTAGATAGGCACTTCCAAGACACCTAATGAACATACGCACTCAAGCATCTTGGACGTACCTCTGACACTTACGATGCACTTGACAGCCATGGTTGCTTCTAGGCTGCACATGATCTCACGTCGATACTAGCATCAAGGATCACAACCCCGCTGCTGTTGCAAGCAACCTGTGACAAACTGAGAAACCCCTCGGAAAGGTCACGAGAATCAGCTGGTTGGTGATCCATGGATGTTTACGAGATAGAAATGGACGAGGCCGGACGTACCCGGTGGTTACCGCTTCCCACCGCTTATACTCGGTTAGGGGTGTTAGGGGTGTTAGGGGTCAGGTATAGTCAGGACTCAGGGACCCGCGGACTACAGCCGCTATCGCAGCCGTGTGTCAGACTATCAGACCAAGAACCACCAAGGGAAGGGAAGGGCGCCACAGACTTCAACCCAACCAGTCAGCTGCTGTCGCGCTGTTTTGGGAATTTAAGTTCATTAGGGTAGGTGTCAGATAAAAGGTACCTTCTAGGGTTGCGTAACATGATGGCAAGCCTCAAATCATGCCGAGCTCTCTGCTCACTACCACCTCTCCTCCACGCCCGGCATCATCTGCCTGCCACACTAGCTACTATGAGCCGCACATTCTCGACTGGCGTACAACGTTCCGAACCCTCGAACGTGGGCAATGTTGGACTTGCGGACGGAGAAACCATCATCGGGGAGCAGGCTCCCGAACCATTGACCGTCGAGGGCATCAAGGCGCGGCGGGCCAAGGCGGGGAAGCTCATCGCTCCTACGGCGTCTTACTCGGACAGTGATATGTTCAAATCCCCTGTAAGAGACACACCCGAGCCTCATTATACACGTGTCAAGCCACTAACTCACAACACAATAACGCACAGCAGGCATATGAGAAGCCGAAAGCCCGACGATGGGACCGTGAGTTCATTCACTCACTGACCTGACCTCACATCTCATTGCAGCTCACTGACACTGATTCTATACAGATCTTTTAAGCCCGGAGTCCATCGCCCGCAAACCGTGCGTGCTGAAGCTTGCGGCCAAGCACCTCAAGAAGCCGGGTCTCATTTCCCTGGGCGGCGGCCTGCCCTCCGCCGAGAACTTCCCCATCGACGAGCTCAGCATGCGCATCCCGCAGCCGCCGCACTTCGGGTCCAGCACCTCTGCAACTCCGTCGGGGGCCTCGTCAGGAAGCCAGGAGGTCACCATAGGCAAGCACGATACGACTGAGAAAGAGGACGCCGTCTACGACCTCTCCATTGCGCTGAACTACGGCCAGAGTATCGGGTCGGCGCAGCTGCTGCGCTGGGTCACCGAGCACACCGAGCTCGTGTGTCGGCCCCCTTATGCCGACTGGCGGTGTGCCTTGACCATTGGCAGCACGGGCGCGCTGGAGTCTGCGCTACGCATGTTCTGTGACCGTGCTCGGAATGACTCCATCCTTACAGAAGAGTACAGTTTCTCGACGGCTCTCGAGACGGCTGCGCCCCTGGGGATCAAAGTGTTTGGCGTGCGCATGGACGAACAGGGACTGCTGCCCGGTAGCTTGGATGAGATCCTGAGCGGTTGGGATGAGAAAGCTAGGGGCGGTGCGAGAAAACCTACCGTCTTGTATACCGTGCCGTCGGGGCAGAACCCGACAGGCGCGACGCAGGGAGAGCAGAGGAGACGGGACATCTACGAAACGTGTCGACGACACGACGTCTTCATCCTCGAGGACGAGCCGTACTACTTCCTACAAATGCCGCCCTACAAGCCCGCCGCGGGCGGCCCCAACACCAGCGACCCGGCGGAGCAGACAGTAGACGCCTTCCTGCAGGGCCTCATCCCCAGCCTGCTGAGCATGGACATCGACGGGCGCGTGCTGCGCCTGGATAGCTTCAGCAAGGTGGTGGTGCCCGGCTCGCGCGTCGGCTGGGTCACGGCCAGCGAGCAGGTCGTCGAGCGCTACATCCGGCACGCCGAGTGCGCCAGCCAGGGGCCCAGCGGCATCGCGCAGGTCCTGATGCACAAGCTCGTCGACGAGAGCTGGGGCCACGAGGGGTACCTGCGCTGGCTGATGCGGCTGCGCGGCGAGTATGCGAGGAGGAGGGATGTGTTGCTGGGCGCTTGCGAGAGGCATTTGCCCGCGGGGGTTGTGGGGTGGGTGCCGCCGGCTGCGGGCATGTTTGTGAGTCTATGTCTGCTTTTTTTTTTTTGCTTCTGTGCATGAGTCTGTTGCAGACGTGGCCCTGTCTATGCTTTGTGTTTTGCTACTGCTTGTTGCCTTCTGTGCCCCATTGTCATTTGTGTGTCCCGGCCCGAGCCCCTTTTCGCAGACCCAACCCAAAACCCCACCCCTTTGTCCCAATTGTCCTATTCAGTTCAGTCGGCACTCTCCGCTCATTCATATGTCTACATGACCACCACTAACCAATCGCGCAACCCCCCAGCTCTGGCTCAGCGTAGACCACACGCAGCACCCCGAGGCGTCCAGCAAGAGCATCCTCGAGATCGAGGAGGCCATCTTCGACTCGTGCATCGACAAGGGCGTCCTGGCCTGCCGCGGCTCCTGGTTCCGCGCCGAGCAGGAGCGGCCGCCCAGCGGGCTGTTCTTCCGCGTCACGTTCGCGGCTGCGTCCGAGGGGGACATGGATGTGGCGATCGAGCGGTTTGGGGCGGCTGTGCGGGAGAGTTTTGGGATTTGATGCTTGGCGGGACGTAAATGAGTCTTGGTTTCGGGGGTTGTGGCTCTGGTGAACAAGTAGGCGTATTTTGTTGTGCATGGTGTATTGGTGTTGTGACCTTTTTGAAGTCATCTAGTATTGGTTGGTGGGAGAGTTTGAACTGTCGTGTGTTACGCATGATACCGGGTGCATGCGGACGTTGCGGTTTATAGTGGCTTCACTTTAGATCAAGAGTTGACCGGAACCATGAGGCTACAGGTTGAATCTGTTATTCAGATTATGAGTCTATCACTGGCGTCCTACAAAGATACCGTCCACGTTCCAATGCGGTCGTATCACAATGATGAGGCTGGTCTTTGCAGGCAACAATTGTAGACTTCGACTCCCCGGTGTGTTTATCGACTATCGGAGACCATGGATAGCACCAAAGCTGGCGGCAAATCTAGCCGCGTATATATGCCCAGTTACTCGTATCCGAGAAGTCGGGTATCAACATATTTCATGATTCATGTTTGGCAGATACGAGGAACAGTCTATATAGCCATATCCAAAAACGAGTATGCTGAAGTGCCTATGCAAGCGAAACCATGGAGCCAAAAGCGACGGATATACGACTTTAAACTTCCCACCACTGCCCCTGAGCAGCTACTTACTTTTCCGCCTCCCACAGCGCAACCCGCACGCCGTCCCCAGGCTGGATGACAATCTCCGCCTTGAGCGTGGGGTTCCCGCCATCAACCTCGTGCATGAAGCTCTCAACGCGGTCGAAGCGCTGCAGCATGCGCGTCAGCACGTAGCCCATCTCGGTCAGGGCGAACTGCTGGCCGATGCAGATGCGCGGCCCGCCGTTGAACGGGATGTACTGCCAGGGTTTCGGCTGCCACCCGGCCCAGCGGTCCGGGCTGTAGGTCAGCGGGTCGGCGAAGCCGGGTGAGGTTGAGGTTGGAGGGGATACTGGCGGGTACAGGTCCGCGCGCCGCTGCATCACGAGTGCCGAGTACCCGATCGGCGTGTCCTTGAGCACGGGCAGCGGGTCGCGGCCGTCGGGCCCGCCGCCGCGCGGGAGAGTCGTGTCCTTCAGCGCGAGGCGGACGTTGAACGGCACGATCGGGTACAGGCGGAGGGTTTCGTTCATGACGTGCTGCAGGTACCTCATACCCTTCAGGTCGGCGTACGTGGGCGTGCGGTGCGGGCCGACGGCCGCGAGGATCTCGGCGCGCAGCTTCGCGACGACGGCTGGGTGGCGGCCTAGCTCGTAGAAGGTCCATGAGAGTGTGGCGGCTGTGGTGTCGCGGCCCGCGAGCAGGACGGCGACGAGCTGGTCACGGAGAACTTTGCGGTCGCGCGTGAAGGACGCGAGTTCGTGAAGGAAAGTGTAGTCGTGGTCCGACTTGGTCCGCGAGGCCAGCTCTTCCGGGCTAAGCCGCAGCGCCTTGTCGATGTAGATGTCGCACAGCTCGTTGACGACTTTGAGGCCCCGTCGGAACGACTTCAGGGGCACGAAGCCCTGGAGTGGCCCAGCGCGGGCGCGGATGTTCTGCACTCTTTGCACCTCGTTGAAGGCCTCTGCGAACGGCTCCCGGGGGTTGCTGCCATCTCATGTCAGTGGCTCCGTTACACTGCACGTGATAATGCAAGGGATGGAAAAGAACGGTTGTCTTACGTGAGGCATTGTACATCCTTGCCCAATAAGAAGCTCGTCGAGACGTCGAGAGTATACCTGAAGAAAAGATCACTCAGTTCCAGGGGCTTGCCGTTCCCAGCCGCCATATCGACCTCCTGACCGGGCCCGTTCAGCGCGCCGCCGTTCGCGATGGCCTTGAACAGAGTCTCGAGGTGGGACTCGAAGCAGTCGAGGTCGCTGATGCGCTCGCGCGAGAACTGCGGGCGCAGCAGCTGGCGGCTGGCGTGCCACGCCGGGCCGTCAGTAGTAAAAATGCTGTCGCCGAGGAACTCGCTCCACTCGCGGTGGAAGGGCGCGCCCTTGCCGTAATCGTGGAACTGCGTCGCCAGGACGGCCTTGATATTCTCCGGGTCGGCCGTGAAGACGATGCGCCGGCCCAGCACACGGCCCTCGCCCGTCCAGTCCGGCACGCCCTCCATCAGGTGCAGGAACATGTCGTAGTTCTTGTGCTTCATGGTCGCGTTCACCTGCTTCATGATGATGTCGAAGCCTGAAGCCAAACGTCAGATACTTCATCACTCATAGGGCTTTGAGGCTTACCGAACGGGACTCTGCTCTTGATCCGCGGACCTCGTGCGCCGAGCCGGCGCAACCGCGTCAGCTCGTCGACTTTGAGGTAGATCCTCCATAGCACGAAGGTGACGCCGATGAAGACGAAGATGGACTTGGTCGACGCATGGTCCAACCCCTCTTCGACTAAGCCCATACTGGGAACTGCAGGGCCAGATATGGATTCGTGGGCTGGGATGGTTGTTTGACTTGTATAACGAAGTCGAGAGTTGTCACTTGACGCCGAGGGAACAGTTTCCGTTGCGAGTTTATACCGGCAAGACCGGGTTCCGGCGGGCGGTTTGGCTTCCAGTGCACACTGCAGATTGTCCGTCACGTCTAGGGCCTTTTCCAGCTTGGAGCAGTCATGCAGTATAGCCGTGTAGTCCTGGGTTCCGGGGACAGCGACGGGTCAATCACCAAGAAGGAACAGTAGCGGCCGCCGTACACTCGTGAGACGATGTAATTAGAGCCCTCCGTGAACCGAGGAGGTAAACAGAGAAAGTAGGTTGCAAGAACTAAAAGGTACTCCAGGGATTCCCCCGATTAAAGCAAGCGATGGATCATGGTCATCCATGCCGATGGGTCCATTGTGACTGAACATGGACCAGCCCCATTTGAGATGGCCGCTTAGCAGCTTCACCATTGCGATTGTATGAGTGTTTCAGAGTCACCTCCAGGTGCGGAAGTAAGCACACAGGCCGTAAGTAGGCACACAGGCGGGTGTGGTGCAGACCCGAGCGGTCTGGGCAATTCATCCTACTGCATAAGGACCCTTGAATTCTGGGGCATATTAAGAGGGGTTGCACGGCGTCTCGTACAGATAAGGTATGCGGTTCGTCCGAAGAGGGCATATACCGAGGTGCTTTCTGCATTCAGATGGGATGCGGGGTTGTTCTCTAGGCATTTTTTATAGTGGTGCGTGGGCATACTGTGCCGGCGGCAGCAGTATCGCGAAGTCGGGCTATTCTTCAACCCCGAGGTTTGTGACGAGATTGTTCAATGAGAATGGCAGTGAATAGTCGCATTCGTATAATATCAGATTCTCCATGGCAAGCAAACCTCGGCCGCCATGCACGCGTATGACAGATCTACCGGTACATGCATCGTCTTCCCGAGTTGCACTAGATCGTTATTCCCGTTTCAACCGATGAGACCGTCTGTCCTTGACGCGCCTCTAGATCGGACGCCGGCTCGCGCTTGTGGCTCTGCTTGTCGATTAAAGTTGACATCTGAAGATCCAGAGCTCGGGTGGTGAATGGTCTCCGGCCTCACAAGATAGATCTCGAAAGAGAATGCCACTGTTCTTCATCGCGATCGGCGTCAGGAAGTCGAGGTTCACTTCGATGATGAGAATGTAGCATCTGGGAAGATCATGGGTGCCCCGGCTCTCATGTCAAAGCTATGCAAACATGTACAACGAAAGATCGCACCGGGCCATGATCGATGGCCCGGCGACTGGAATTAGGTATGGTGTAAATTTCCAAACCATCATCCTCAAGATTCCCTACCCTTTTCTGGGATATCACCGGATTGCTCCGGGGCGGCGAGGAAAGCTTGAATACAACATCCACCCCATTCAAGTAATCTGGCATGCGCTAGGGTCCATGCCCTGCGTGCAGAACACCATGTGCACAGGAGCGGACTTGATACCTCTCGCGAGCATGCGCTCCCGGAACTCGGCCAGTCTCGGCGCCGCGTCCAGCTGCGTGCGGTTCTGGCCCGAGGCGTCGGTCCGTCCCGACCACAGGACCTCGCCCGCGGCGCTGGAGCGCGGCCATAGGATGTCGTCGATGTTGACCTCGTCGATGGATTCGGACCACGCGGCCACCTCGCCGCCCAGCACGAGCTTGGCCTCGTCGTCCGTGAGGCCCGCGCGGGGGTCGTACGAGTAGACTAGCCTCCAGCCCTTGGCCGGGCTGCACCAGTCGTTGAAGGGGTAGTATGTGTCGAACTGTGCTCCGTTGGCAAAGTTTAGCCACTGGCCGCGGCCGCAGTCAAGGTACTGTTTCGCATTAGCAAATTTGCATATTCGTCTATCTGACAATAGTTTACACAAGAGAGAATCTTTACCCAGTAGTTGTAGTTGCTGGTGATGACCTTGTGGCCTTGTCCCGTGAGTGACTTGATGGCCGCGTCTCCAAGCCACGACTGGACGACCACATCGTCCCCAACCGTAACGTTGTAGGAAGCGGGAATCTCCTCCCAAACCATCGGCACCAGACCAGCCTTTCGCACTCGCGCATGGTGCTTGTCGAAGAAGGCTTGCAGAAGCGGCACGATGACAGCCGAGTCGTTGGTGCCAACTGTGGGATCGAGGTTATATTCGTTGAAGTTGACCTCGTCGCCTCCTGTGTGGAAGTAGGCCGAGTAAGGAGCGACTCTTGGCAAGACGTCGGCCATCAGCTTGTCCAGGAACGGGTCCACGCTGGAGTCGTTGAGTCGAAGCTGGCCGCAGGGCGGTTCGGCACAGTACTGCGACCACGGGGCCGAGTTCCAGCCAGTGACCACCTCCGGATGCGAGAGAGCGGCAACTCCAATGTGGCCGGGAGTGTCAATCTCAAAGATGACCCCCACACCCCGCTGGATCGCATACTCCTGGATGGTGGTAACATCTTTCGGAGAGTATGTCATGCCCTTCGCATACGCCCCCTTCTGGTGAAGCTCTGGCATCGAGGGGATTTCCAGGGGCCACGACTGGGAATCCGTGGCGTGGATGTGGAGCCGGTTCATCTTGTTGTAAGCCATGGCGTCGATGGTCCGGAAGATACTATCGACGGAATAGAAGTTTCTCGAGACATCAAACAGGATGCCGCGGTGATCGTATTGAGGCTTGTCAGTGATCTTCACCGGGGCCATCTTCGTGTATATGAATGGTCCTTGCGAATGCTTGTAGAACAGCTGCGAGAATGACTCCAGAGCCCGCAGCACACCCGTGGAAGAATCAGCCTCAATCTTGGCCGTGCCGTTGGTTCCTACAGAGAGGCTGTAGGATTCGTCGGCTTCACCGGCCAAGGGCTTGAACGTCTTGGCGGTGTCGGTCTTGGTTTGGGTGATTTGGAGCTCCGATATGTAAGTTTTGGCCTTCGACAGAGCAGGCTCAGACGACTCCAGTTCCATTCGCTTGTAAAGCTTCCACGGGACGAAGTTGTCCTCCAGAATGCTCTTCATGACACGCGAAACACCGCCCTTCACGATCTCCTTGCTAGAAAAACCCGGTCCTTGGGGCACGTAGCCGAAAGCCCAGGCGAGCTGTTGGGTGAGCACATTTTCATTAGTATATCTCGAGTCTTCCAACGCGCAGGGTTTGGTAGAAGACCAGCATACATGTCCTCCATTGTAAGTAACAGACAGCTGGTGTCCTATCCACAGGGTAGAGTTTCCTGTGCTGAAAGACTCGGGGGCTGGCCAGATGGCCAATGCGGGTGTCGAGGCGAATAGCAGAAGTGAGAGGTAGACGTTCGAGAACATGTTGGCGCTGTCGAGGAACTTCATGGTTGTTTGTCCTCAGGCGGGGTTCCAAGACATCAAGATTTGATGGAAGGCAGCAATTTATAAGAACTCCCGTGAGGGGATGCTGTCTTATCACGGTTGAACAGACTATTGGCTTCTAGTGTGCTCCTCAGTGACTATAAATAAAGCTGGTCGTTGGTCTCAGCTCAGCGTCAACGGTTTGAGATGAGGCCAGCAGGGTATTGGCCAGTTCAGGTCTTGTGAGCTTGTCGCGTGGATCAAAACGAGTGTTGCGTTGGGTGGTACGGCCCGGTCGGTTCCTTGTGGCTCTTGCAGTAGCAGCGCAACGTTACTATTAGCCTGGGCGCAGGGTGGGCAGTCGAAGATGGCAGATGGATGGCAATGTGGTAGGCGATAAGGTGTGTTGCTAGTGGGACGGTACTTGGGGCGACCTGGGGGCAAGGTCTTGTGCCTCCTGTGCCGCCAACGATCGATCAGGGTCTCCCCTGAGATGTGTAATGTATTAATGTATTTGTGTGAGATTCTAGAAGGGTCACAAGCTTTGGGGGTGTGAGCGGTCGCTGCAAATGTTGTTGTCATTCTTAAGTATGCTCGGCAGGGCTAATCTACAGCTAAATACCATACTGCACCATGCCAGGGTGTATCCACTGTTCCCTTGACAGCCCCCTAGTGGGTACTGCACCTAAGGGCACCATATCTGGGATCCAACATCTGACAATTTGGAACAAAGGACTCTCGAGATTATTAATAAAATTGCTGGTTATGCTGACTCGGGAGTCGGAGCCATGCCAAGTTGCCAACAAGCAAACGGTAGGATCGCCGCTCTTTGAGTGGCTCATCTAAAGGTGGCCCGGTCAATCGATCCTTTCAATGTTGGTTGGTTGGCCAGCTCGTTCATCTGTTCTGCGATCGAAAGACAATCCTTCAGCTGGGGGAACAGGCGTTGATACTCGTAGAATTTATGGTAAGAGATCTTCATAACCTTAGGTAATGAACATCCGTGATCTGACTCTGTATCGTATGACGTCATGCGGAGAATAGCACCTCATCTTCTCCCCGTGACCCGTCAACCTCTCATAACAACGGAACTTCAAGAAACAAAGACCCCATTCGTTATTGCAGCCTACCTCAAGTGCTACTACTCCGTACCATCAGCCATGAACAATGAAGCTGGCCTCATTAGCTCCGAACCGCCAGAGGAGTTACCTGCTCCTTATTACGGTCCTTTATCAATCGTGAAGGTTCCAGTCCCGGCCCGCCTGCAAGGGGCCTGCAAGGGATTCGAAGGCAGCCAATCATCATTGGTCACGAAGAAGGTTTATCTAAACCCTGGATTGGATGAACTTGGCTGATGTCTAATGCCTGATGGATTGGACCATTGGCAAAGTTCATGGCGGTCCACCATCACAAGTACAGCAATACGACCCAAGGCTCTGTTGTCTGGAAGCGTAGCAGCATTGAGGTTGCAGCTCAGCTCGTATCATCCTGAACAACTAAATCCTTCCATGAACGACCAGGAGAGACGGGACCCCACACATTCCTCTCAGCATGCAGTGCAACGTCGAGCTACAAGGAACATCGAAGAAGGGAGGGGGCCGATGATCGGTACCGAAACCCGGTACCGAGACTACCAGCCTTCAACCAAGACACGCCGTGTACAAAGACAAAGAAAAGCATCATCGGCCAGAAGCTATGTCTGGATTTGAAAATCTTCATCCTGAGTACCAACTTGCCCCATCATCATACTTCATCATACATCAAGTACAGAAAGGTAATGGATGACCCGACTTCACGAATCACAGCTTCAAGCCCACATTGACGTGGATTGCCTTGGCCTGCGTGTACGCCGCCAGCCCAGCCTCGCCCAATTCGCGCCCAATCCCACTCTGCTTCACGCCGCCAAAGGGAACCCGGACATCCGAGTCGTTCGACGAGTTGATCCAGACCATGCCCGACTCGATGCGCGCCGCGACGCGGTGCGAGAGCTCGAGGCTCTGGCTGAAGAGCGCCGCTCCGAGACCGTAGGTCGTGTCGTTCGCCATTCTGATGGCTTCCTCTTCGGTCTTGAACGAGGCGATGACGACGAAGGGCCCAAACACTTCCTCGCGGTAGATCTTCATGTTGTCCTTGACGTTGGTGAACACCGTCGGCTGGATGAAGTAGCCCTTCCCTTCAATTGGGCAGGATTGCCCACCAGTCGCCAACGTAGCGCCCTCCGACTTGCCGGACTCGACGAAGCTGAGAATCCTCTCGTACTGCGTCTTCGTGACCTGCGGCCCTTGGAACGTCCCCTCCGCGAAAGGGTCGCCGACCGTGCTCGTGGTCTTGATCACCTCCCGGAACTGGTCCACAAACTTGTCGTAGATCGTGTCTTGGACCAGGATACGGCTCGTGGCCGTACAGATCTGGCCCATGTTGCTCATGATGCCGATGTGCGCCCATTTGGCAGCTTGTTCGATGTCGGCATCCTCGAAGACCAACAGAGGTGACTTGCCACCGGTCTCAAGCGTGATGTTCTTCATGTTGATGCTCGCCGTCTTCATGATGTGCTTTCCGGTGGCCGTGGAGCCGGTGAAGGCAATCTTGTCGATGCCCATGTGGCTAGCGAGTGCTTGCCCTGCTACCGCGCCGAAGCCATTGGTGATGTTCACGACGCCAGGGGGAAAGCCAGCTTTTGGTAGCAGAGTTGCCAGCAACAGGATGGACAGAGGTGTCTGCTCGGCAGGCTTCAAGATCACGGTATTGCCACAGGCGAGCGCTGGTCCCAGCTTCCATGCTGCCATACCGAGCGGGTAATTCCACTGAGTCTCTGTCAGTTATTGGCCGTGAAGAGCCGCATTACAGCATGGGATGCACCTACCGGAATGATCTGGGCGCAGACACCAATGGGCTGTTTGAGGGTGTAAACCAACTTCTGGGGCGTGGTTGGGATGGTCTCGCCGTGGATCTTGTCGGCATACCCAGCATAGTATCTAATGCAAGCAAGGACCTCGTCCAAGTCTCCCAGAGAGTCGCCGTATGGCTTGCCGTTGTCCCAGGTCTCAATCGTGGCGAGAGTCTCCTTGTCCTGCTCGATCAGGTCTGCCAGCTTGAACATCAACCGGCCCCGCTCGGTGCCGGTGATGTCGCGCCATGATTCGTGATTCAGGGCAGCTCGGGCAGCTGCCACGGCCTTGTCAATGTCATCCGCCGTGGCCGCTTCGACCGAGCAGATCTCTTCCTCGTTACTGCGGAGCCGTGTCAGCTGGTAGTTTGAGCTGTGACGGGGCGGAGAGGCGGGGTGCCCACGTTGGGTTGATGCTGGTGACCTTCTCCCCAGAGCTTCCCTTCACAAACTTGTTGTTGATGAATAACCCCGTGGGAAGGGTGAACTTCTTGCCATTCGGCGCTGTGAGGTCGACTTTGAGATCCGCCATGGTGGAGAGGAAACGCGTGAGATTGGTTCGATTCAGGCTTAGAGGGCGTGGTCTCAATGCTAAGGAGGAGGTATTTATGAAGAACGACTTGAACATGACCTCATTTACTACCTAGATATGCGGTTGGCGTTCTACTGGTATGCGGTTGGCGCTGCGGTGCGAATCAGAGGAGCTGTTGGAGGTTCCCCGCATTGGAGCCGTTATCACCGCCGGCGGCCGAGATGCGGCATTAGGAGAATATTGGTGGGGGCATCCCACCAAATCACCTACCACTCGACGGCAAGAGTAGCGGGAACGGCGACCCACGATCTGGCGTTCGTAACACATTGGATCTTCGTCATGTGTTCATGGCTCTGGACTCAGCGATAATTTCCACTTCAAATAGTCCGAGTGACGTTGTGAACAGGTGTAGCTTCCACCCACAGAGTAGGACCCGGAAACCCGGATGGAGATGCATGTTAGGGTGCTCTGCATATCATCATACAGACGATAATGGCAGCTAAGGTATCTGGGCTCACGACGGACCATGCGACACGGTAACATGTTGAAGCCTCGGAGCGGTATGGACCTATGTAAACCCAGAAGTGGTGTGAGTAGCTGCAGGTGAGGCTCCTGTGTAGAAAATAGGGCCATGGCCCATCACCACCACAATCTTGAGTAGGTCTTGGGGTAAGTCACCAGTAGCTCACGTGTGACTGCTCAATCGGTGACTAATGAGGCACATATTAATGAAAACCATAATTGGAAATGAGCAACCATCGCTTGCTTCACTCAGGGGTCGCATGTGACAGATTCACGTTCAACAGTCCTCGACAATACTTGAAGTGGCTCCTCAATACTCATGTCTTCCCTTGCTGTTTCCGCAACATCATGCCCCTCTCGTGTCGCTATGTCAACTGCCGCCTACTCGATATCCTCCTGCACCGTTACATACTCAGGTAAGTCTCCCATATCGGCAGGCTGGCTACACCTGGTCTGATCATCCCGTACTTGCATGTCTGTCCATGAACCCCTCGAGCATATTCCAACTGGTACCTGGAGATTCATTCGTGAGTCATCCAGTCAAGTGGCAATAATCTCTGGCCTGAAGACGTTCATGGTGGTGTGAGGCCGCCCAGGTCAAGTCCACGCCACCACGCAGCCTGCTAGCTGCAAGCCACGTTCAAAGCCAGGCGCCACCCATAGTATATAATACGGGCACAGGAGTCATTCGTTCTCTCTTTCTTCTTCTCGCGAATCCTGGGGAGGCACGATCGTTTTACTCACTTTCACAGCTGTGCTACATGGGCGGTGACGTTCAAAGCATGTGCGTTCGACGTGTTCTATCTCTCATATCAGCATTTCTATCTTCGAAGACGGACGGCTACACAATCTCACGCGAGCATGGAACTTGTTCGATGGCGTCCATGACTGCGTTGTTATGAGCCATCCAATAGTATTTCGTTATGGTTGTCTGACAGTTTGGCAGGACAGTCTGGCAGGTCCAACCCCACGCCATGCAATCCAGATGGCTGCCTGCAAGTCCCGATGTCCAAATTGCATGAAGTTCGCGGATAGGGTTTGGCCGACGCCATGGAAAGCTTATGTACTATCAAGTGACTGTGCTCCATGTGGCGTGAGACAGCAAAGCTTGAAGCCGGCTTGTCGTAGTAGTGCTGGTAGGAAAGGGGCAGTGCAAAACACGCTCATGGGTTGCCTAGGATCTTGCACTATATATGAACCGTGCTCTCCCCTCGCGCTCCTGGTGGAAGTTTACGATTGATTTGATTTTACAACCAAGTTACAACAAAGCAGTCAAGCAATGGCTGGTCTGGAGACTACGGCCACCGTCCTTGGCATCACAGACGGCACGGTTCGCCAGATTGTGAGCTTCTACGACTTCGTCCGCGAACTACAGGGAGCACCTTCGGAGGTCGTAAAAGTACGCGAGGAGACAGAAGCAGTGGTCAAGTGCCTGGGGGGCCTCTCCTTTCTCAAGACTGCGAGCCAGTGTGTTCAAGACAAGGCGAGAGGCGTGGGACTATCCGACTCGGTCGATCAATGTGGGAGGGCGTGTGAGAAGCTGGAACAGGATCTGAGGAAATGGACTGCAGGTGGGATGGAGACGGTGAGCGCTCGGCTTCGAGTCGTGAGCCACAAAGCCAGGATCGCGAAATACAAGGCGGATATTGCGACGGCCAAGAGCACGATCGACCTTGCTATCAGTGTGGCCACCCTGTAAGCTCGCCAGTGTAACCCACCGTACAAATCTAACTTCTGACTGCTCGAATAGGTTCATCCTGGTACAACGAGGGGCCTCCGACGACGAGAAGAAGAAGGCTACCATCGCAGAGCTCAAACTACAGATCGCGCAGACTATCGCCGAGGCCAAACGCGAGCGTGCGCGCAGCAGCAGCGCGCCATGGTGAAGCTGAACGCTTGCGGGCGGGCTACGAAGCAGACCTTCCAAGCGGGCGGACGACAAGGATGGCGATGAGGTAGCTTGGGCGGAAGCGGCAGCAGAAGGAGGCCTATAACAGACTGCTCCTGAATTGTGGCATAGCCGCTAAAGATGTTCGAGAGCTAGGAGCAGTGGATGAGATTGTTGGTGATGTATACGCAGCCGATACTGGGCTGCCGTGCTGGACGTGGATGGCGCAAAAAAAGTTGGGAGTCAGGTTCGAGATCATAGAGTATAGAGGTGAGTTGTTCAGATGATGCCTGATACGGCACCTCTTGACGTGAGTTGACCCAGGAGCAGGTCAGTATAGGATCGTCACGTATAGCCAGGTGGCTATACTAGATGTTAAGCCTGACACGTGTAGCCTCCGCCGACAGTGCACGGCAGCACAGTCTACTTGTACCCCTATCTCGGGGTTTCTCAGATCCGAGTGCTCTCATTCAAGGAGGAAGAGGAAGAGAAGGCTGCACATTCGGGAGGCATCGTTTCATTTCCGCAAGAGCATACTTGCGCGAAACGGATGGTCTGCAACAGCTTAATGAAAGGCATGATGATACTTCAGTGGTGAGCTCAAAGCAATATGTGACAGTAACATGCTAATTGAACGCTGTCTGCTTCGCAAGAAATACAATCCGAGATCGTGACCCTCTGCGCACTGTCGCTGACGATGATTTATGTAATCACTGCCGAGGATAACCAGTATCGTGGCGCACCTCCACCATCGTCAGCGCCTCACTCCCATCCGCCCGACTACCGCTGATCATAGCAGCGAAATCACTTCCGGGACCCGGATATGCATTTCCACCCTGCAACTGTCCGATAAGTTGTTGGACGACACGTTCTGCAGCTGTATTGGCCGCTGCTTCGTTGTCGTATGTGCCACGCACATGGATATCCGTCAGTGATACTCCCCCGCCATAATCCGTGATGTTCAGAATCTCCATCGCTGTATGCGGCGTATGCGACTCTATGACGGTCCAGATAGGACCGGGAAGCCCGCTCGGTCACCAGGCGCATCGTCCGCGTTCTGTTGGGGTCGTTGCGATGAGGAGCGGTGATGTGCTGGAAGCTCATCAGATGGCCATCACGCATGAAGTCCTGCACCGCAGATCTCCCCGCTGGGTACTCGCTGCCGAAGTTGTTCATGATCTGCGGATACACTGCGTCCAGATCACGATAAGGACCGGACAGTGTGATGTCGTATAGATGCGGCGTCGACGTCTTCAAGTAATAAATAGTGTTGGTCCCAGCTTGGTCGTTAGCAGAACCAGCATCGTGTTGGCCTGTCTTGCGCCCCAACTCTGCCATCGTAGTTCGACCGCCCTGAGGAGCAGCCCCGGCTTGGATCTGGCGGCATCGCGTCTTGTGGTCCTGCCAGTCGCGGCGCTGACAATCGCGGGAGCAGTACTGGACACTTTGACAAGCTGCACAGTGCTTCAGGGGCTCGTCAAGGTCCTGCTGTGAAGTGTGGCATCTGCCGCAGGAGAAGTTGGCTGGAGCGGTTGAAGACATGATCCTACTGAATGCGACTGACAGAAATCAAGTGTAAGGTGTTTAGAAAATGGATTTGATGGCAAGAGAGATATTCCCTGGACTCTGAAACCAATGAGACTACATAGTCTTATCCCTGGCTCGCATATCCCTAACCCTATACTTAACTTTAAGTAGAATATCTTCGTTCCTAGAGTGGGACCCCGTGCGCCAATCAGGTCAGCCAATGAACCGAAGGAAACAAGGAGCTGCGCTTGTCGAAAGCACACAGGTAAGATATAAATATATTAGGATGAAGGGTAGGGTTAGGGTCAGAGTCGGGGTCAGGGTCAGGGTTAGGGTTCTCACAGGCTTCAGCGCGCGCGTGTCGTTTTCGCGTTCAGTCATCACATAATTAATCGAGGAAAGCTTCGCGATGCCAGTGGCCTCATCTGGCCGAAAATGGGTAAGCAACTCTCGGGTGCCCTTTGAGCGGACAAGTGGAGGGTCATCAAACAATCTTGGGTTGACTCATCAGGGTAAAATTGTGTTTCTCTTCGGACCACTGTCGATTTGCTTCGTGCTCACCATCTACCCAACCTCGATGAAGGTTCCTTGCACATCGCCCAAAAAACAGCAATCACCAGAATATGACTCGTAGCAGAAGGCGGCGCCTACTGCCCGTGCACATGGCTGACCGGTGTATGGTAGCATAACAACGCTCGCGGAAGATCGGTATGGGGTGGCGTTTGCCGTACGATACAACTGCGCTTACTCTGTCTTGACGTACACAACCGGACCCTTGTACACCTTTCTGCCGTTTAACACATAGTTGATGGCGCACAAGATCGCAACGCCGCCAAACATAGCAATAGCCTGTCGGAAAGGTTAGCACGACTCAGCACCGCACTGCAACTTGCGAAAATGGCGACTCAACGTACCCAGTTCATCGTCACCGCGTTTACCTGAGCAAACAGCGGGAAGAAGCTGATCGATAGCACGACCATAGGGACCGTCATTCCAATAGCGCCAGGGTAGGACCTAACGGCTGTGGCGAAAATGTCGATGAACGGATAGACCGCAGTCGAGTCCACGACTTGCGTGACTACATCCTGGAGCGAGAAGACCATGGTTATGATTATGACGAGCCCGAGGATGCCGTTGAGGATGACTGTCCCCATTATCAGGCGTGAAACGGTCAAAGAGGCGTTGGAGACTTCCTCAGACATGTGTGCCGCACTGTCCGCGCCGATGAAGGCCCCTGCTGCCGCGAGCTGGCCAACGAGACACGCGCCACCGACGGTAGCCCAGCCGCCGTAGTTTTCGAAATCGGTGAAGACTTCGCGGGCGGAGGCTCTGGGCGGATGGCGAAAAAGCTGCAGGGACGGTGTCAGTATTGCAATGTCCAAGTGGCTTTAGTGAGTCGTAAGTCATACCCAATGATGTGGAAGAGCAAGATCACGCCCTCAAAGGACGGCAATCTCCTCGCTCCAAAGGCGTTGAAGAAAATGGCGAACACGCAGACCGCTATGGTCATGAGGCAGTACTGGCTGAAGACGGGTCAGGGACGTCCAAAGCAGCACGTCTCTCCTGGTCACTCACTATGGCTGAGGAACATATTCCGGACTGTTCAGCGTAGCCAGTGTCAAGACCAGACCTCCCGCTTGATAGGCAGCAACAGCGATGAACGCTTGCCATCCCAACGCGCTGAGCCAGCCGGACATGTAGCTCAGGAATGCCTGGGAGGAGGGTGGCGCGAATTCGGAGACCCAGTTTATATCCGTCTCGTCAGCACTTCTATACCATATTGCCACTGCCACCTTGCTTGACGCAGTATACGTACGATACTGCCCGCCTGAACTCGGGGCCATTGATGCCATCTCGGCCATCGACGCGACCACCGCAATCGAGGAGAACCATGTACCAACATAGATCCATATCGTCCCCGCGCGACCGCCGTTGATCAAGGAGAAGGTCGAGGCGGTGATCATGCCGAGCCAAGTGCTCATTACTACGCAAGTAAGGCCCAGGATGGAAAGGGAGTGGAAGGAGCGCTTTACGTTGTGTCAGCCATATCCATGGATCTGCTCACACTGGTGTTGCGGTTCATTCCTTCGAATCGCGATTGTTGCACGCACATTGAACTGCTGGCTCTTGCCCAGACGTCTCATATCATTCTGATCTTGGTCTGTACCCTGCTTTTCTGCGTTGATCCGGGAGTCTCCGCTGGAAACCCATCTCTTTCCCTTCGTGGGCGGCCATTGTTGCGATCGTGTTGCCGATCTACTGCAAGCCGTTCGAGGCGCAAGCGACGATTCTTTTGACAACGGGGTACGAATGACGTGGAAGAACACCGATTCGATCGTGAAAGATTCAAGACAGAATCGCAAGGCAAGACACGACAATCTAGTGATTGCCACCCACGTTGTGCCATGGTGGCACGATCTCTTTACGACCTGGCCAACACCCCTGACGCCGCATGTATCGACGATGTCATCGAACCTACGGGCGGACGAGCTGTAGTTGTAAGTGGCTGCAGATGAGCTTGCATGCAGCGGACCACGGGCTACCACCCAAAGTCAGAAGGGATCTGCTGTGGAGGTATCTCCGATGATCTGATCCCGCCCTCGGTGATAGCGAGGGTGTGCTGCAACAGTGTGGCGTTCACCCGGTCTGGCAATTGTGTTGTTTTAAGTCGACGAACAAAGGACAACACGTTTACACGGATACTACAAACTCGGGGCGACACGAAACCCCGAGCTTGGACGTACTGTACATATTTATTCGAAGCAACTTGCTTCGTGGTAGAAGGATTTTTGAAGCAATCGATCCGGTAGAAGCACCAGCTTGGTTAGAACATACCGGACCGACGCGATACACTTTTGCTCCCATCGCGACTGTAAATGTTGTCAGAATACGTGCTCAGTGCGAATTTAGCCTTGTTGTGATGTTGTGAGCAGTATATGTGTCATCCTGTGGGATCACATGTGATAGCTGTCAGAGGTACCTTTCCCCCCTATTCCAGTAGGAAAGGTACCCCCATCAGCTACCCTTATCCCTCTTCCAATACAGACCGTTCCTAAATCTCACAACTTTGATAGTAAATAAGCTTGCCCCTGTGATACCATGACTTCTCATGGTGTTTTCATGACCTAGACCATGATGGACTGGCTCCAAATACGGTGTGTGCACATTCGAAAGACGCCGTCTCTCAAGTAGGTTCTCCAAGTCAAACACGCGAATATATTGGAAGCATCTAGCAAAGAAATGTCAGTAGATAGGTCGTGGCTGGTGAGCCGTTGGGCACATATGTTGCAGGTGATGGCATAAGCAGTGACCTGGCAATTATTACAGTCATTCACCACCGCGATAATCGCTTATTCCAGGTGCTTATACCAATTTTCATTTTGCAGCCGCTGACGGGAAATGAAGATGGTGCACATATCACCGGAGAAACAACTGCAGGCCTCTGAAAGCTCTGGCCAACCTTGGGTTTGCTAAGTCTTCGGAGCCTGTGGGCCTTCCCAGACCTGCCATTGAACTCGGTAATCTCAGGAGAGGCTCTACATAAAGCTTATATGCATGTCTGGGTACTGGGCCACCATACTTCCATGGTATCTTCAGTGTTTGATCATCCTAGCTATGGCTAGGGTCAGTTGTGTCACGAATTGCTTATGTGTGACCAATGAATCAAGGAGAAGCACTCATATCAGATGTGAGTTCGTTGCTTGTACAGGGGCAACCATGAGACGCCGCCTCTCGAAGGGCCACAAGCCTCTGTAAAGGGGCAATCTTGGGTTGCCACGTCTCAGTAGGTAGCTAGGTATTGAGCAAGATGGCTGGATCCATTGGCGTTGAGGTTGAGTGAGAAGACCAACAGAGTTCAGCCATGAACCACCAAAAACCAGATAAAAACATCGTTGATTCCGTCAAGGTTGCGGCAGAGCCTGAATTGATTCCACAATATCGATACTATCTCTCAATCTGCTGGATTGGGAACACGAAGACTGAGCAAGATAGCAAATATAATTGTCAGCCACCTGCTTCGTTCGGCAGTACCTACCATTGCGTGGCGTGCCCAAGGTTTCCTTAGTCTTGGACGTTTCTCCGACGCATCGTAACTCCCATAATTTACATAGGTATTCAAGCAAGGTCTCGTCTCGTCTCTTTCGCTCTTCCTCTCCCAAGCTGCAACATCACTTCCACAACACAAACTCCTACATCAACACGTCAGCCACCCACAACGCAACATCGCTTTCTCTACGTGGTCCTTGAGGTCCACATTAAGAGGACAATCACCGACTAGTCACCAACATCGCTTCCGCAACATGAACGACCGACGTCGGCAGGGTCAACTACCACCCACTCCAAAGACTTCACCGCCTGCCTGTCTGTCCCTAAAGTTCACAATGACGGACATAGCACCCGAATGCTTGATCGCGCTCGACACAGCCAGAGTGCAGCAACTGCGCCCTGAAGACGTCCCCACTGAAGTTCAGCAGGGTATGCTGGGAGCGCGAGAGATCATGAGAATGCAGTCGCACTACTTCGACGATCGCGACTATGTTCTCTTTCGTCACACGGAGCCTACCCCTGTCGACGACACACCCAAGGGGTTTGGGGAGTGGATTGTGGCTACTGCCACATACCATGTCCGAGAACATGGTGCAATATGGAGGGACTTGCGCGCACTCATGATTGCACGGCGGGAGGTACGAGCGGCCGTACGACGGGACCGAGACTACCACGTAGTGAAGTGGACTGCAGGTGACGCTGTTGGCCACCCCGACGCACTCATGTTAACGACTGCGCTTGCCTCGGATCCGCACCCGTACCTACAACAGGATCCTGCCATTCATGATGGATCAGTCCCGGGATCTCAGGGGGACCTGCAACAGGACCCCCTACCCTTGATCACGAAGCCGATGAATCGCAGCGCCCGAACCCAACCGCAGAACTCGACGGTCACCTCTAGAAGGAGCTTGCGGTTAATACAGGCTGTGGTATTCCACCTAGAGCAAGTCACTTCATGGCAGGAGGGCTTTCCATCCGTACCAACTGCCTTGGTCGTAGCATCGACGTAGTTAGATCGTCCTTTCCTCTGTAGACGAAGCAAATGAGTTCCCATTCATCAAGCACGTGTCGGGCGCCTGTGCTGCGGCGATACTTCGGTGAGGTATTCATGTTGACCTTGAACATGAAGGCCGTGGGGAGCCGCATCGGTACGGCCTTGTCCCAGCTGGTTTGGCTATCCAAACCTGAGAAACGACCTGAGGCTCTCTGGGATACTATGGCTTTTCATAGCGCTGTCTTGACGTAGAGAATGGTGGACTGCAAGTCACACTCCGAATACAATGGAAGCATCTAGCAACGAGACGTCAGTAGGTGGTAGTGACTCGTGAGCCGTTGGGCACATACGTTAATGAGTTGGAATAAAATTGAGTGGCATAAGCAGTGACCCGGCAATTATTCCAGTCATTTACTATTGCGATAATCGTTTATTCTACGTGCTTATACGGGGGTTTTTTTTTTTCATTGCAGCCGCTAACAGGCAATGAAAATGGTGCTTGTGTCACAAGAGAAACGGGCGCACTGTGGCTGACAAATGTGGCTTTGTGGCTGTGCACAGCTACTGCAAAGCCGACCTAAAGCATTCTGTGTCAGCAGCCTACGATCCAATTCCTCTGAACCATCCTTTTACAACAACCGAACGTCATTCTTTCAATCGACACATATCTCTTTCTCCATCTCTCTCAAGACCAACAAAACCACTCTCCACGACCTGTTTTCGCGTGCGCATACAGTCCTTTCATCCTCTTGCCCGCTCCGACCCTGCTTTCGCGCCGCACGCTCGGCACCCCAGTCACGATGTCTGTCGAGATCTCCCTGAACACGCCTCTGGCCGACGCCTTGAACACAGCCATCAAGCCTAAGATCGTGGAGCTTGGTTGGGCACCCGATGGAGATGCGGCTCTCGCAGAATACATTATCCTGATGCTGGTCAACGGCAAGACACAGGCGCAGATCGCGCACGAGCTCTCTAGCGATCTTCTCAGCCTCGGCCCCGACGACCCAGGCGCACAAGACTTCGCGCAGTGGCTCTTTGGCCAGATCGATTATCTCAACTCACAAACGAATGGAGGCGCGGCGCAAGACGAGGTCATAGGAGGATATCAGGATGGAGCAGTTGCTATTGAACAAGACACGGAGATGGCAATGTCGACAGACAGTCCAGAACTCAACGCGTAAGTCCCTGGCACATGAGTGTCTTCCTGTCCCTCAGAATCACGCGTACTAACAGAATGTAGTCCTACAGGTCCAAAGTCTATGAGAAGCGGTGGCAACATGCGAGGAGGAGGCCGCGAGAAGCGCCTGTTCGGTCAAATGAACAAGGCGATGGACCGGACCCACGACTCTGTTCTGCACCGCGTCCGAGGGAATGGCACCGAAAGAATCAACGCCCATAGCCGTGCGCCGCCCACCGGCCCGAGAGGACGTGGAAACAACCGCATGATGAACAACCGCGCCGCCGGGATCACTGCTGGTCTCAACCAAATGGCTGCGGGCATGCCCAATATGCCTGCGCCCCCGGGAATGAATGGCATGAACGATATGAGCTGGATGATGCCAGGCGGTGGTGGCCAACAGGAGCAGATCTTCACCCTACTCCAGCAGCAGAACCAGATGATGGCACAACTACAACAACAACTTGCGCAGCAAAATCAAGGACAAGGCGGCCGAGGCAACGGAAAGTCCCTGTTCGACCGTGTGCAGAACCCGCGTGGCGGCAGACGTGGTGGTTCCCATAACGGCCACCGATCACATCAACAGAGCGACGCCACAAATGCTAGCCAGGCTGCAACCGAAGGTGAAGATGTTGATATGGCACAACCGCGACGCGAGCTTCCCAACCCCGACGCGACGGTCTGCAGATTCAACCTGGCCTGTACCAACAAGGACTGCAAATTCGCCCACCAATCTCCAGCAGCTCCGCCGCACACGACGGTCGATGTCACGGACGTCTGCACGTACGGCGCAGCCTGCAAGAATCGCAAGTGCGTTGGCCGTCACCCGTCGCCGGCAACAAAACGCGCGCATCAGAACGAGCAGGAGTGCAAGTTCTTCCCCAACTGCACCAACGCGAGCTGCCCTTTCAAGCACCCGGAGGCGCCGGCATGTCGCAACGGGGGTGATTGCACTGTCGAGGGCTGCAAATTCACTCATTTGCAGACCATGTGCAAGTTCAATCCTTGCACCAATCGGTTCTGTCCTTTCAAGCACGCAGAAGGACAGCGCGGTACTTTCCAGGACAAGGTCTGGACAGCGGACGGATCGAAGGGTCACGTCAGCGAGCGGAGATTCGTGGATCAGAACGGACAAGAGGAGACGATCGTCCCGGGAGCAGAGAGCGCGCACCAGGAGACCGCGGCTATGGATGAGGGTGTCGCCTAGAAGGTGTCTCCCTAGGTGTAACGAGACGGGAATCAGCGATGAGCATTGTATATTATGGCAAGGCTTCACAGCGAGGCCTTCCTTCGGAGTTTTACGGTCATAAGGCAAAAGTTCGGGACCAGCGCATCAAATATACCCTTGCATTTTGTGATTTGCCACACCTTGATACCAAAACTCAAGTTGATCAGTGACAATGACTGTGACAGTGACTGTGGTATTCCCATGGCACCTAGGATCTCAAATCAAAAGTTTGTATAAGCACCTGGAATAAGCGGTTATTCCCTGCGGGATTCAGTGGAATAACCACCAGATCGCTGTTTATGCGATCACCTGGATGATTTGTTCCACAGAGAATCAGAGCAGCCGTCATACAGTCGCAGGTGGTGGCGACGGCCTCGAATGGCCATCTTACCTAATCACTGGACAGGGGGTTTATGCAAATGATTATGTAAATTGCCTGGGCATTCATAGGTAAGGTACATGTACTCGGCCGTCACGCCACCTCAAAAGATTCATCACGGGTTCCTCACAGCTCGCCATGCAACTTCGACTGCCAATCAGTTCACACATGCGATGACTTCCAGACGCCCAGAGGACGTTTTCATAGCTCTCCTGAGGTCTGTCTATCAGAGAGCACAGCATGGCACCATCCAATGGGGTCCGGCTCGACCTGTGCTATCCTTGGAGCTCCCCTCCACACAACGGCTAAGCTCCCGACAAGCAATTGGGCGACGCGGCCTTCACAGTAGCTCTGGCCATGTCTCGCGTGCGCAAAGACGAGCGTACGCAACCAGCGAGGCTCGGAAAGAAGCGCCGCGAGAGATAGCCGTCCTCGGAGGTGGTATCACTGGGTTGACAACTGCCCACTATCTGGCACGCCATGCCACGAACGCCAACATCACGCTGTACGAAGCCAGCGGAAATCTTGGGGGATGGGTAGAAGCAGAACGAGCACAGGTCAACAAGGGCCAACCCGGGGACGTGCTGCTTCAGCATGGCCCGCGAATGCTCCGATCTGGTGCTTCATCCCAGAAGTACGACGACCTTGTGCTATATGACGTGGTGGGTAACTTCTATGGTGTTCCATGTGACATACTTAGAGCTTTGCTGATGTGTGTGCCCTCCGTCAGCTAGCCAGCCTCGAAATGCAACACAAGATTCGACCGTTCGCCGACCCCGGAAACCGCTACCTATACTACCCGGACCGCCTCGTGAAGCTGCCGTCTGGCGAGCTCAGTGTCGACAACATAGTTGGCACGATACGCAGTTGGCTGAATGACTCGATATGGGACGGGACCCTGCGGAGTTTCTACAACTATTGGACGAAGTACCAAAGGTCACTTGTACCTGGCCAGATATTGCCTGCATCTCCTGCAAAGATGCTCGAAAAGGACGAATCTGTGGGAGAGTTCATGACTAGAGTGTTCGAGGATGACAGGCCAGTCAAGAACATGTTATCCGGCATAATGCACGGTATATACGGAGGTGATGTGAACAAGCTGAGCGCGAAGCACACAATGCTTGATCGCATGTGGTACCAGTTGACACTGCCCGTTCCAGAAGGCCAAATCTGGATGGCCAACAAGGACTGGTACCTCCTCTACGACACTCTCAACGGCCCGAACCGTTTGAAGGTCATCGAGACGGCGGAGAAAGCCATCTCTTGGAATACACTCGCTTTCGACGACGGTCTCCTGTCGCTGGTAGACGGCTTGGTGAAAGACCTGGAGAAACAAAGCAACGTTACCATCAAGTACGATGCCCCGGTCACATCGTTGAGTTACAACAATGATCAAGTCTCTGTAAGTTTCCTCTTGCGCTTTAGGGGATGAACATCCACTGATGCAAGCTGTAGGTGATTACTGCAAAGACAGATCAGCCGAATAACTACGATCAAGTGATCAGCACGCTCTTCTCGAGGCATCTCTCACAGATAGTTCAGCCACCGAACAGCTTGCCTTCGCTGGCTGAGACGCATGCCATCACAATAATGGTCGTCAACCTCTGGTACCCTACGCCTGGGCTCCTCCGCGACATCCGGGGGTTCGGGTACCTTATTCCCTCTTCGACCCCGGATAACGATGAGTGCGCCCTCGGTGTTCTCTTCGATTCGGACCTTCAAACACGTGATGAAGTCCCAGGCACGAAGCTCACAGTCATGCTCGGTGGACATCACTGGGATGAATGGGAGAGTCTGCCGACTGAGGAGATGGGCGCCGAAATGGCAAAGCAGATAGTCAAGCGCCACCTGGGCATTGACGACAAGGAGGAAGTCGTCGTGAGTTCCCGTCTCTGCCGAGAGTGCCTCCCGCAGCACTACGTGGGCCACCGCGAACGCATGAACAAAGCACACTACGAACTTCTCTCCACATTCCAGGGGAAGCTCACAGTCGCGGGTCCCAGCTACACCACGATCGGCGTAATCCCATCGATGCGAGCTGGCTTCGACGCGGCCATGCGCGTCGCCCGCGGCCACGGCCCCCCGTGGTTCCGATACTCGGGTTCGGGTTCGCAGCCGGACTGGTGGACGCCGATCCTGAAGAGGAATGAGCAGACGGGATGGAAAATCCGCGACCATGTGGGTGCCACGGGCTTAGAGGGCTTTACCGAGTCCGAGTTCCACTGCATGTACCCCTCGCCGAAGGAGTCGCTCATGTTCCGGAAATGGACTGGGGCGCATAGCCGCTTCCTGGATGACGACGGCCAGTGGATCACGTCCGAGGGGCAAGAGCCCGGTGGTTTCCGCGTTGGAAATGGAGTCACGGAGCAGGATAAGAATGAAGATGCTTCGGGGCAGGACAGGAAGTAGACGTGGATACAGTATATATATACATCGGCAATACATGCGTAGAGGCTACTTGCTCCAGAGAAAGGGACCCTCTGTGCCCGATTAGAAATTTAGAAAAAGATCAAACGATGGCAGGTGGGCGTCACCGTGCGGGTGTTTCCACGTCCAGCCATTATGAAACACCTGTCCTCCTTGTTGAGGAGTTGGTTATCTGTTGGACTGATTTTACGTCGCAGGTACTGCAAGCCGCCATGTTCGAAAAGCTGCGAGGCTATTCCCTCAGCCCTACGAGCCAGGCTCTTTGTTAGGAGGCCGCAGCCTGCAGCCTCAACACTATCTCGGCTGTGGTGCCAGCGTGTCGGTACCCGCTTGGACTGGCATGTGCATGGTACCGCCAACAACACCAACCATATTGCAGTGGAGCGGATCCCAACATCGCTGTCTGCCGCTTATATCCGCGTCGTAGTAGACCGAGACAAAGGATTTGGCGATGGCTTCCAACACACGGCATGATTTCGGGTCGACACATCCGGCATAACTCTGCCAACACCGACAAATCTTACATGGATCACCTGCTTTTGGCCTTCCGTGGCAAACGTTCTGGCGGTTTGAAAGGTAGCCGTTGCGACTTTTCTTTCTTTCTGAACTCGAGTCCCGCCAACATGAGTCTGCTTCCGGCTTGCGGCTGGCTAGACATCTATCACAACATATGTGGTGGTAGCCACACCTAACCAACCAGGGAGGACAAAGGCTTCAGAATGAGTAGATGCTCTATAAACATGCCTCTTGCAGATAGGTGACAACAGTTCTTCACACTATCACCTCGAAACTCTGAACATCACCAAGCAAGCAATATGTCGGGAACTGGATCCGGAAGTCAGCCTCGCGATCCCACCGAGAACACACACGGCTCAAAGTCACCGGCGAATCCGTCACCAGCGAAGTCATCACCAGTGGATGTGTTTGACGCGTTAGGACAAACGACTAGTGGAAATTCAGCCATGGGTGACCACCACCTGGTCCCGCGCTCTTAAGGCTTTGACAAAGATGTGTCGTGGCTAGGTGGTCAAGGGTTGGGCTCCGTACACACACACTCCTTTAAATTACTGATTGGGTTTCTTTGGGTCTTGGGTTTTTTCTTTTTCTTTCTTTCATTCGCTGGGTTACTTCGCGGACTTTGGGGACTTTACGGGGCGTTAATGGGTAGTCACAGATGCGGTGCTTCAGTATTTCCTTAATAAATCATGACGGTTTTCGCATATGGCTCTGTTGACGCTCTGACGTGACCTAAGACTTTCATGTTGCCATACTCTCGTCGGCTTTATGTACAGGCTCATCCAACTGGCTCTCTCTACCTTTGACCGGCTGAAGGCGGACGTATGAAGTGTGCAAGCCATGATCATCTCCGGTTCCCATACTCGGCCGAAGGTCACCGCTGCCCATTCCGACTCCTCCGAGGTATGGTCATTGTGGCTAAAGAAAGGGGGAGAGGGCAACTGTGGACGAAAGCAAGCGCTAATAGATGTGGGGAGATATACAGCATACTCTGGCATCCAACCAGCAACACGAGCGGAGTTGCTTAGTGGACTTCAAGAAGGACTGTTACTTCGAGGTGAGTATACTAATGCGAGCCACACCTATATGTCTGTCGCCCTGCCGTGTAGCCCGACATACAAGGGGTGGCGTCCAGCAATGAACAGGCTGCTGAGCTTGAGGGTTAGGTTTTATTCGAAGCTCTGTAATCCGTACATCTCGGGGCTGACGCCTGGACCAGAGGCTCTGGTCACCCGTTACTCGATCGATGCTCCGAAACCATTTCCAACCAACTTCCAACACTCCACAATGAACTACAGTACACTTTGCGAGTACTACTTCTTACAAGACCCACATCCGTTCCCAGGACGATCGTTGAAGTAATTTGTCAAAGCTTCACAGCCCGGACGGTCAGAGAGCAGCAAGGTGTGTCACGGCACTAGATGACAGCCCCACATGTCAGGGGTCAACCCCTATATATACCAGAGCATGTTCCCTAGATAGCTTCATAGTTTCCTTTCCTTCTCACGTACCACAACAACGGTAATTCTGGAGTCATCAGCAGTTGAACTGTGGCAACGTGACACCCTTCTCGTGCCCTTGTCGAGCATGTCCCACGTTCACATTGGCTATCAACGACGTTGTTCCGTCACTGTCATTAGCTGGCTTGCCGAGCCAAACATGTACAAAGTCCTAGATGAATCCCATCATGGTGACTTGATGACTACGCTCTGCCACATCTTGCTGGTTAATACAGATACCATCAATCCACAAACCCTCTCTCTACACGGATGCCTCAAATGGGTAAGACTTATATATAGACTACTTGTTACAGGTTTAGGGCGAATTTTGATAGATATGGATATGCATGGCAGAAAAACATAATTTCAAGGACGAACATCTCACGGCAAATGTAACCACTCTCATCCGGCCAAGTAGTCTTCCTCTCTTGACCTATGATAGCCAAACCCATGGCGCGATTACCGATGTTGTTGCCTTTTTCCGGGAAATGACATACTCATATGTTGCTAAGCTCCTAGTGCATATACGTCCCAGGGAGATTCGTAGCTGTGTGTGTATCCTAGGAGTTTATGAACCACTTTCAGGGACGATCATGGAACAAGTAATGGTTTGAAGAACTGCGCGTAACTGTGTATAAGAAAGTAATGAACCATGGAAGAGATCCATGGATCGAAAGGAGCTATATACGAATGGGTCCACCCTGGATCAAGACCTTGGCGGTTCCCAACATATGCCCGTCAGAAAAGAACGCGTCTCCGTCCTCGGAGTTCATTGGCCATCTACCATGGTCATGAAGATTGGCCCTCGGGTAAGCTAACAATTACATCCCTGAATCACAAGTCCTTCGTCCTCGGCCACAGGCGGCCTCGGCGTTACTCCTTGTTCCTTCGTCTTGGGCAGTCCTCAGACATTTCGGTTGCCCAATGCCCAGGACGTCTTGAGGCAGTCCACGTCAAGGCAGTTCAGTCTAGCTGAGCTGGCCACAACAACTGCGATACAACAGCGTGCTAGCAGGTCTAACACTCAATCCCGTATTCCAAGCCGTACCATAAGAAAGTGCAAGGCCATCCTTTGGGACACTCCCAGGAAGGCAGGGGGTTGTAGGATTTCTCGCTCAAGCTGCTGACCAACCAGAGCTGTACGTCTATGCCTCCCACCGTCACCTTGCACGTATCGAAACAGGACGTGACAAAGTTCAGTGGCTGCTTCGAGGGATCCGGGTCGGGTACGCGCTGTCCACTGCAGAGCCGGTCCAGGTCGTTCGGGTTTGCGCAGTCGCAGCCCAGCACGGGCGTATCATAGTCGAAGCGGGCCACTAGTTGAGATGGCTGTGATTGTGGTAACGCCGACGCACCCAAAGAACCCGTCGGCACTCCTCCGATGGCCTAGTCGCCACCAGCTCGGCTATCCGAGCAACTACTCCTCGAGCCCGTACGGCAGCCGTGCCTTGGCTGCGTGGCTTCCTCGGACCTCCACCCCATGGAGTGCTCGATCCACTGTCAGGCGTGTCATCACGGATGTTGCTGCCGCCTTGAGGGCAGTCCCTCGGCGAAGTGGCCCTTCTCGCCGCAGCGATAGCACCCCGTCTTTGGCGAGGCTAGTATGCTTACTACACCTTGTACGTCCAAGTAGACTTAATGCATAAGCTTGTAATATACTAGTATACCAGGCCAGGCTTTCCAGCAGGAAGCTGTCCTCGTTTTGCATGCTCAACCTCTGTAGGTAGGTATGAATTGATTCTATACGAATACCGAAGCTCTTATAGCCGCAAAGGAAAAGCCAACCCATATGCCCTAAAATCTAGCATAAGTAGAGACCTCTATAACCTTGTGTCTTGCTCTGCAAACGCATCCCGAATCCCAATTTACCTTGTTACCTGTTCTAAACTCCCAGTCCTACATGAGGGCTGTCAAAAGGGGTACGAGAAGGCGCCTCGTGCGTTTGGCTGAATCCTATTTCAGGACAAGAGCGGCAGCAAACTGGCCCTGAGACCCGGGGACGTATTTAGGCATGGTGATGACCTTGGCGACTTCCCTGTCGCCAGCAGCGTTGTGGTGATTGGCCAAGGCGACCAGTTTACTGTTGATAACGTCGCTCCCCAACAGGCGCAGGAAGGCATCGCCGTGCTTCGGCTCCCAGACAGCCACCTGGTCGACGGGGATGCCAGCCTCCTCGTAGTTCTGCGCCGTGATTGCCCAGAAACCCTTGTTCATCACGTTCGTCAGGAAATACACCTTCAGATTCTTCGTGTCCGCCTTCGCGACGCTGGCGTATGATTGCCAGGTGATCTCGTTCAGGGGCACGTGTTTGGGGCCGCTCGGCACCCTGTTGTTTCTCTTGAACGCATCCTCGCCAATGATGACCTGACCGCCTGTGTCGTATAGGCCGGAGACGACAGTGTTCGTGTCGTATTCTCCGGTGTAGTCCGCGGCGGTACCTTCATCCCCGGAGCTGCCTTGGGTGCTGCTTACGATGGCGATTCTCTTCAACTCCTTGATGGAACCGAGGTCGACGCCAGTATCTGAGGATTTGAAAACCTGGAGTTCAGGGTGCTCGCTGACAATGGCCTTTTCCTCGCCTATGTAGAAGTAGTCTGGTTCGAGCTTAAAGATGTTCATGAACGATGTGTGTTCCTTAGCGCCCGTGGCGCCCTCATCTACGTCGTCATAGATCGTGGTGTCAGGAGTTTTGTCTTTGACGGCCTTCTCGTAGGCAGCAAGTCTTGTCTGGCCCGTCTCTTTGTACGCGCCCATGGGTCTGACAGTGCCATACCCTGGACCGTAGCCCAGGTTTTCAAACTTATCATCACCGCGACGGCTTCTCTCCCTCCGCTGGAGAGCTACTGGCGTACTGCTGTACTTGTCGAGAGTGTGGCTAGTCGGCTGCCTAATGGTATTCCCAGTGACCGGTTGTTGGAAGCCAAGGATTGCTGCCAGGAGGAGTGTACAGTGCCCGGCAAACAACTTCATTCTGGGCGGCGTTTCAATAGCTTGCGCAGTATATAGGATTTAAGAGCTTGTCAACCTTAGAGAGCCCTTCAAATCGAGGCGACGAGAATAGGTATGAGGACACAGAAGACAGAAGTGTTGGCTTTCCAAAAGCCATCCTTCCATTATCCTTTATCTCCCCGGGCGAGGCGAACTCGCCCGTCGAATTGTAAGCCCGGTCATCCCAGGGACACGTCGTGCTGTTGGGAATGGACCTCAGAGCGGCCTGACCTAGCAGCCCTAGGTGATAATAATAAGTTAGACAATCCCTTCCTACGAGATTTGTGGGGAAAAACGGATCTTCACAATCCCACAAGGCAACAACTCCGCCACTTTATCCATGTACACATCGTAAAATGACGAAAGAGCGTCCATCTTAGGAAAAAACCAACACCGAGCGCTCCTGACACGTTACAAGGCAGCAAGGTCGCGCGATCCAGGTTCATCCACACCTTGCAGCTCACCTATCCGTCCTGATGTGATAAGAGCAGGCATCGAATAGCAGTTTCGCCTCCCGTACCCGCCGAGAACGTGGACACTACGGTTGTACCGAAGTCGTCTCGATTCGGCTATGCCGAGGACAATGTGAGCACTATGGAATCATTGCTCCGAATCTGCGCAGTGGGAGCCAAGAAGAGCCGTCTCCGACACAATAACGGATTGACCTTGAGTTTATTGAGCAAGCAGAAACCCCCATAAGTCCAGAAGCATAAGACGGTGGACCATGGCGCTCTATTTCAGTCCAGAGCAATGGGGCCAGCACCATCGCAGTTGACGGAGGGAGAAACGAGCGCGGTGTCATGATCTTCGTAATAATACAGCCAGCAAGAGTGAAACAGAGGCATCCCAGGAACCTAGAACCCAGAACAAAGAACAAGCTATCTCGAATCCGAAGCCCATGCAACGGGAACAGCTCGTGAAGATACCGGGGAAAGGCTCGCTTTCTACGAGTCCTCCGCACACAGACCACGTCTAAGCAGACACCATCTGGATGTCCTCCACAGGCACAGTGTTCGCCTCTGCCTCCGCCTGGATAGCCGGAATAGCCGGATCCTGCGCTTCCCCATCACCTTTCTCCTCAGCCAGAGCCGTAGTCATAACCTCTGCCGCGGCCGGGGCCGGTGTCATCTCGGTATCCATAGCCTCCACACCCTCAGCTACAGCGGCATCAGTAGCCTCACCGGCGGCCACCTCTGCGCGCTTAGCCTTTGCCCGGCGACGCGAGCGTGAGCGTGACATCTTATTCTTCTCGGGCTGCGGTTGGGGTCCTCCCTGCTCTTCCTTCACTTCACCATCACCCTTCTCCTCCACAGCCGGCGTAGTCGTAGTCGTCGTAGTCGTTCCCGCAGCCGTGGTTTCTCCCAGGGCCTTTTGACCATCCATACCCTTCGCACCCCCAGCCACAGCGGCACCAGCAGCAGCCCCACCGGCAGCGGTAGCCATCTCTGCGCGCTTAGCCTTCCACTCCTTATTCTTCTTCAGGCGATAGCGATTGAGACGCTGGTTCCGCCTCTTCTTCCCCTCGGAAATTTGCGGTCGGGGTCCTTCCTGACCCTTGCTCTCGCCCTTGCTCGCAACCTCAGCCTGTCCCTTGCTCTCGTCCTTGCTCACAACCTGAGCCTGAGCCTGTCCCTCACTCTTCTGACCAATGTTCCAGCCACGACGCCGCTTCGGTCTCTTCCTCTTCTCGCGTTGCGGCTGGAACCCTTCCTGAGTCGGGGCGTCACTCTGACTCTGAGCAGCTTTACTCTCACCGACCACCCCGTCCCCGTCACCGTCCCCGTCCCCGGCCTCTTTCCCAGCACGCTTCTGCGCCGCGTCGTTCTTGTGCCCGATGTCCTTGCCGCGACGGCGTGCTGGGCGTTTTCTCTTAGTGGTAAGTGGCTGGGGGTTTGCATCCGCCATGGTGTTTATATCCGCCATTGCGTTTGTATGGATATGTATGGATGCGGATGTGAGTCTTGCTCTGTATCTGTGCGGGTTGCTCTTGATGTGTATGTCCGGGTGCACAAGCTCTGGAAATATATGTTTTGGGGAAGAGAGTGCAAGTCGAGGAATTGGGATGAGAAGGAATGACGGAAGACCGATATCTGGTCCAACCGTGGAACTCAGGCAGAGGAAAGCAGTGCCCGGTGTTTGGTGTTTGCTTTTGACGGGAAGAAAATTCGCTGCTGGGTGAGTCTGCACACCGCAGGGAACTGCCAGTGGCTGTTATCCGAGTTTTCAGCGGGCTTAGCTGGTTACGAATGTCATCTAGGCCCGCCGATTGGCCGCTGGCTGCAGTATCTGAGATGGTGATTGGTGAACATGATAAGCGGAACTGCAGAGCGCTTGCCACCTGCAGATGTTGTGGCTCAAGTTGAACGCGGTCAGGAGGCAAGTATGTTGCAGACTCGATTATCGAGTTTGCATGTTTTGGCGAGGTGGTTTAGGAACGCAGGACTCCTTGGTCATTCACATCAACATGCCATTTGAGTAGGTATGTTTCCATCGAGTAAAGACTTTATGATAGTATTATAAATAACCAGAGCTGGATGGATATGCCATACCAGGCCGAGGTAATTATCCGAAAAGACATAGTGAAGCAGTATGGTTGCAAGCATCGACTGCACCGAACTGTCGCAAGCAAGCTGCTCCTACGCCCGCCACCCATATAGTACAATCCCGACGTTACATTACCAAAACCCTCTGAACAAGGGCCCATCATCTATCAAGAGCCTGGCTTTGACACTGCAAGGTTATCAGCAAAATATTCAGGCGTCGATCGGAGAAAGGGAAAAGGGGGAAGAGGGAAGTCCACTCACCATATGCCAATAAACCCCCTTATTATTCAGCAACTCCACATGCGACCCCTTCTCCAGGACCCTGCCCTCGCCCAGCACGAAGATGACATCCGCATTCTGCACCGTCGCCAGGCGATGCGCGATCACGACCATGGTCCGCCCCGTCGCCGCCCGCTCGAACGCGCCCTGGACCAGCTTCTCGCTCTCCGAGTCCAGACTGCTGGTCGCCTCGTCCAACAACAAAACGTGCGGCTGGCGGATGAGCGCGCGCGCGATGGCGATGCGCTGCTTCTGCCCGCCCGAGAGAGACACGCCGCGGCTGCCGATCTCGGTGTTGTAGCCCTCGGGCAGCGACACGATGAACTCGTGGATGCTGGCGTCGCGGCACACGGCGTGCAGCTGCTCGTCGGTCACCGCCTCCGGGTCGACGCCGAGCAGGATGTTCTCGCGCAGCGTGCCCTGGAACAGCGTGGGTTCCTGCGCGACGAGCGAGAGGTGCTTGCGGTACTCGTACACGTTGATGTCCGCGGTGTCGACTCCGTTGGCCAGAATCTGGCCCTGCTGGATATCGTAGAAGCGCTCCAGCAACGATACGATACTCGTTTTACCGCACCCGGAGGCGCCCACCAGAGCAGCGAACTGGCCCTTTTCGATGGTGATGTTGATGCCCTTGAAGATCGACACGTTACGGGTAGGGTACTTGAAGTGCACGTCTCTCAGCTCGATCTTGATGCCGCCTTCAGCGTCCGGGATCTGCGCGCTTTCTGCACTAAGATCGCGGTTTCGGGACTCCCGAATACTCAGAATCCGGTTGGCCGCAGCCGACGCCTGCGCAGCGTTTGGGCCGAAGCTGAAGCCCTGGCCAGCTGCTTCGGCCCCCTGGATAACCGCCAGGTAGCAGATGAAGAAGTTCAAGACGTTGTATTCCCGCGAAGCCAGCAGTGTTCCGCCATACCAGAAGATGAGCCCCTGACAGCCCAGGCTGACACTATCCGAGAAGGCAAAGATGAGAGTGCTCCATCTCGCCTTCTTGAAGGCTTTCACAACGTGGCCGCCAAGTAAGTCCTGGTAGCGATCGCAAATGGTGTCCTCGAGAGTGAGCGAAGACACAGTCCGGAAAGCGCCGATTGATTCGGCGGCGAACTTGGAGGACTCGGCAAACACAGCTCCGTACAGTTTCTCGAACTCGAGCTCGTACTTGAAGCGGAAATATCCTGCTAGCAGACCCAACGGCGCCGTGACGGTTGTCGCCACAATAGCGAGTTTCCAGCCGTAGACGAAAGCTATCGTCAGAGCGCCGATGAGAGTGAAGAAGGAGGTGTACACCAAAGCCATATTCAGGCCCAACAACTCCTCGAGTTGCTTCGGATCGCTCCCGACCCTAGCAGTGAGCGTACCAGTCGAGTTATCCTCTTCGTCAAAGAATGTCGTCTTCTGGTAAAGGATTCCCTCGAAGTACTGTTGTCGATAGTGCGATGATATATAATGGGCAAGATGAGTCGTTACGAAGCCGAGGATGAAGTAGGAGAGGCCAGCGCCTATAGCAAGAACGACCCACATCAAAGACCAGAAGTTGGCTTCTCTTGTGAACTTGTCGGGATCCCCGATGTATTGGAAGACAACGATGATTTTAGCGAAGAGGTATGCTTGCAGAGGGGACACCGTGGCAGCACACATGGCAGCAAGTATCGTGATGGCGTAAGAAGGGAATCGCGATCTCTGTTCGTAGAGCAGTCGTCCGAAGCTGCCGGCCAAGCCGCGTATTTTCCATCCCGGGGCGCTTATTGCGTTGACAGTCTCGGATAAGGCCGCACTCTTCTCACGGCTGAGGACCGCGCCGATGTCCTCCTCTTCAACCTCCTCGGAGTCGCTAGCGTCTGCCGGATCGCCGAGCGAAAGCTGCTGGGCGTGGACAAGCCCATAGTAGACACCTTGGTCGTTCTGGAGCAATGCCTCGTGATCCCCCTGCTCAACCACCTTGCCTTTCTTCAGGACCACAATTGTGTCCGCCTTCTTGATCGTTGACAGTCGGTGGGCGATTGTGATAGTCGTGCGACCCTGTGAAACCTTGTCGAGCGCCGCTTGTACGATGCGTTCTCCTCGGACATCGATCGCGGATGTGGCCTCGTCGAGGATAAGGATCTTGGGTTTCTTGATGATGGCTCGGGCAATGCAAATCCGCTGACGTTGACCACCCGACAGCTTCGTGCCGCTATCACCGACGAGCGTCTCGTAACCATGGGGGAGTCGATCGATGAACTCGTCTGCAAAGGATTCCTTGCATGCCTCTCTCACAAGCTCCTTCTGTCGTTCTTCAGGCACGCTCGCTGACTCTGAGCCTATCAAGCCGTGGCGCACGTTATTGTAGATGGTGTCGTTGAAAAGGAAGGGCTCTTGCTGCACAAGTCCAATCTGGGATCGCCACCACCTCAAGTCGATGTCTTCCAGTCCGTGACCACTAGTGCTTATGGATCCTTTCAACTCAACCATGTCGCCCGTCTCTTCCGGTCGCGTAATATTTTCCTCGTCGTCTGAGTAGTCGTCATCGGTGTTCCCTTTGCCCTTGGTCTTCTTTTTCTTCTTCTCTTGCTTCTTCTTCTTCTCCTTATCGATGGCTTTCGCAATTATAGGTTGATCATGAAGAGTGTACCACCGTTCGACAAGGCCGACTATCGTACTCTTTCCAGACCCCGAGGGCCCGACGATCGCGGTCAACTTCCCAGTCTGGATACGTAGGTTTAGTTGGTCCAAGACCTTGACGTGAGAGCGACTCGGGTAGGCAAAGTCAACATCCTCAAAGACGATGTCATCCGTCGCCGAGACATCAGGCTCCTTGAGCTCACCGAATTTCGGACGGGGCGCATCGATAACTATGAAGAACTCGCACGCAGCCACCGTAGCCTTGCCGATCGCGATGAGAGGCGTCGAGACTCGCTCTAGGGAAACAACCATCAAGACGACAGACATCAGCACCACGGTAATAGTGCCAATATCGTCGATGCGGCCTTCGGTGTAGGATTTAGTTCCATACCAAAAAGACAAACCAAATGCCGAGAAAAGTGCGAACCAGACGAGGCCGAATTGGGAAGCCAGCAAAGGCGAAGTCTTCTGGCCGTGTCTCTTGGCCGCTTCGGCCCAAACGGCAAAGCGTCTGGCCATTTGCGCCTCGGCACCGCACGCAGTAACCATTCGAATCGACGAGAAGGTCTCGCTGGCCACGGAGGAGGATCTGGTCTCGGCTTTCGTTTGCCTGCTCGTCCCCCGCAGGGTAAATGGAAGTATGGTGCCAATAACCAGAAGGATGAAGAGTAAGACGCTGCTTGTCACCAGTGCGAGAGCCCAGTTGTAGGTAAAGCCGATGACCGTGGCCGCAATGATAGTTGCCGTGTACTCTATAAACGTGCCCAGTTTCTCGCTGATACCCAGCTGAAGGGTATTAGCCGTTGTGGTAATCGTACCAGCGGCAGCACCAGGCGGCATGGAGTCGAGTACGTGTATCGTCTGGCCAAACAAGCAGCGCAGGTAGTCGAGTCTAATGGCCGCCGACATGCGAATACCGACTATTCGATAGGAGAACTGTTTCTATGAGCATGACTGATAGTCTAGCGACACGACAGGTGGCTGGCACAGTACCTTGTTGATGTAGGTCAGGATGAAGCGGCCCAGAAAAAGGAAGAATATGTACAGACTTGAAATGGACCGTCAGCAATGACCTCCAGCAGCTGACGACAGTACTCACGCATTTCTGTTTAGCGAGGCCGTGAACTCTTCTCTAGTCGCTGTGGGCGGGACGAGAAAATAGCCATTGAAGTTGTTGACCAACGAACCTGTTGAGCCAGTAAGCACTCACGCTATCATGACCTTCGAGCCGAAGTCTTACCAAAGACCACGTTCATCAGCGGGAGAGTCTAGATATGAGAAACATCAGCGCCTGTCCCACACGTCGAGGATCTGGAACGGACATACCACGCCCGCGCCCACGGCTGCGACGGCTGCGGCAACCATGAGTGGAAAATCCCATATCCTTGCGTACTTGAAGATCCTCTGTTTGCGCCGTCAGTTACAACACAAAGGCGTTCGTCGTAGAAAGTAGGCGCTGACGATATAATCACTAAAATTGGCCTCCCTCTCTGGCCGTAGTTTTGCGTCCTGTTGGGCTTCCTCTTCCTTGGTCATTGCGTTGCCCGTCGCAGTGGACGGCGGTTCTTTCTCCATGACCCCTGGGAGAGCCATGGTTTTGGGCTCTAGGGATTCAGGCTCCATGGTTAACGGACGACCATGCGTCGCTTCACTGAACTATTCGTCGCAAGCCTCAGAGACAGAAAGTGAAATAGCAGCCGAAGCGTAGATTATGAGGAGAACTGATGATCAGAGTGGCGCAGTCAAGGCCTATGCAAGGTATATGAATTGACGACCAGGCTGTCGTATACGCCGTGTTCGATGTAAGCGACTGCCGAGAGCGCCGCAGAGGCTAGCAAGGACAATACCCTCCTGGCAGTGCAGAACGCGCGTTGAGACTAACAGATCGTATAAATGCGCAGAGATGCGGTGAAGAGAAAAGAAGACACATTGGTGTTTGCGTGTCCTCAGGTCAGACGTCCCCGAGTCGCATTTCGGATTCTCTCATTCGTGGCAATGGCGTCAAAGATCAGGCAGTCTGCCAAGCCAGTAGGTTAAGGTCCAAGGAGGTCTGAACGGTCCGCTGGCCGAGCTTCAATAGCTACTTCATAAATACGGCGTGATGCATCTGGTGCTGATACTACGGCGGGCTGGCGGGAGGATCAGAAGTCCGGGGTGCCGCTAACTCATCGAATCTCGCTTCTGCCGTGACAGCTGTAATCCATCCTCAAATACGGCGTATTATTCCTTGGCTGTATTTCATTGGGTCAACCCCACGATCATTAGGTACTTATGCAGGGTCCCTTCTTTTTACCTTGGTGACTCATCAAGTTGGCCTACCTTAGCCCCTCCCGAACTTCTCTCGAACCAGTGTATCGGAACAGTACCACCACGGCCTGCGGATATAAAAAGATCAAGCATGATTGATCGTAGAGTCCGCCAAGAGGTGGCCAACGTCATTGTTGTTCTTACTGAACCACCTCTCGAGCGACGATTTCCTATCGAGTTTCAGACAGTTCACAGGAGATGCATCCTCAGATCTTAATCCTTGGCTTCACTGCAGTCTATGGTTGCAAGACGAGGCGTGCGAAAGGAAGCAGTGACTCATTCTCAGGTCACGGCATTTGGGCAAACTCACTTTCTGCTTGTCCGCCGTGACTTGTACAGGTACAGCATGTAAAGCACCTCACACGAAGTCAGGCAACTAAGAGCACTGCACAATTCAATTGTGCACGCATCCTGTTTCGTGTCGGTCGCATCTCATGCAACATGCAGCATATGTAGTCGAATACAGATTGCCAAGCAGCAATGATGAAGTGTTTGGTTGCCATCCGAGTCTACAAGCCAGATCTGTTTGCTCTTCTTATCATCGCGGAACAGAGTCCTAAGTACATCTCGGTTCCTATCCCAGTCGCCTAAAACAGACACATGGCCACCATCATGTTCTGAGAAATCAATACGTTTCGGTCATGTTGAACTCCAGATGACGAGCTTGGTATATCTCATCCGCCCGACAAAGTCTATGATGTCATGCCGTGACTATCTCCGAGTGTAGCCGAATCAACTGTATTGCAAGAGATCAGCAGCTATACTGGAAAGATCCACGAGGCTGCCTAACATATATCACCAAAACACTGCGCTGACATCTACTTACAACTTGTTAGGAGGTGCCGCCGATGTCATCGGCCACTGGTAGCCAGTGGCATCGCTGAACTTGTATCCATAGGACGAAGTGAAGTCGTCCAACACCGCCGGTCCTCGCGAGCCTGTCGTGTGTTAGTCACCAGTGCCCGCAATGGTTTCTGGAATGATACACTTACCGTAAGGGTACTCCATCGGGACAATCTCCTTGTTGTCGTCGAGGTAGTGCAGCAGAGGTGTGAAGATCCTCCAGCTGGCATCGAGCTCGTCATCTCGCACAAAGTTCGAGTGGTCGCCCTTCAACGCGTCCAGGATAAGCGACTCGTAGGCCTCGGGGATCTTCAAGTCCGAGAATCGTCGCCGGTAGGTCAGATCAAGCTCCGTCACAACCGTCTGCATGCTCAGACCTGGTAGCTTGGAGTTCATCTTGATGTAAACACTCTCATTAGGCTGAATGCGCATGACGAGTTCGTTCCGAGGAATGTCCTTGAAGATACCGCTAGTAACATCCTTGAACTGGATTCGAATCTCCGTCTTCTGCTCGTTCAATGCCTTTCCAGCTTTCATGATGAATGGGACACCATCCCACCTCTCATTCTTAATGTAGGCTACGAGGGCGCAGAAGGTAGGGCACCGCGAGTCCTTGGGAACCGTGTCGTCCTCCTTGTAGGAAGGCTTGCTGCCGTCCAGTGATTTTCCGTACTGGCCGATGATGACATTCTTGGGTTCGATGGCTGGGATGCCCCGTAGTACGCGAACCTTCTCATCGCGAATGTCCTCTGACGAGAACGAGATGGGCCGCTCCATGGCGAGAAGTGTCAAGACTTGGAGCAGATGGTTCTGCATGACATCTCGGATGATTCCAAACTCGTCAAAGTAGCCACCTCGGCCCTCCGTTCCAAAAGGCTCCTTGAACGTGATTTGCACGTTGTCGATGTGGTGTCGGTTCCATGTGGCACCGAAGAATTCGTTACCGAATCGAAGGATCAGAATGTTCTTCACCATCTCCTTTCCGAGGTAGTGATCGATGCGGAAGAGCTCGTCCTCTTTCCAGTCAGGTTGCAAGGACTTCTGCAACTCGCGCGAGCTCTCCAAGTCCTTTCCAAACGGCTTCTCGACCTGCATTACTGCGTTAGGCATGCTTGTTTTAAGCCCCGCGCAACAACTAGACTTACAATAACGCGAGCAATGCCTTCCTTGGGGTAGCAGCACTTCTTCAGATGCTGCGAGACGACTGTGAAGACGCTTGGGGGGAGAGCCATGTAAAATAGACGATGGGTCTCCTTTCGGCCCTTTTCGAGCTCTTCCAGGTGTTTGTTGAGTTGGAGGAAGGCGTCGTCCTGGTCGTATTGGCCAGACACATAGCTACATTGCTCGCAGAACTCAGCCAGTTGCCGCTCCATGTCCTTGGTGGGTGTCTTTATGTAGGACTTGACTCGCTTGAGGTACTCCTCGTGATCCATCTTCGTCCGCGCATATCCGACGATTTTGACGTCCTTTGGCAGGAATTGGTTGCGGTACTCGAGTAGTGTTAGCTCGACTCTATTCGGCAGCTTTGCCGACAGGAAGCATGGCACTCACAAGGCCGAACAGCGCGGGGAACTAGTCATGATCAGTCGTGAGCTTCAGAGCTGTGCGGAAGAGATGCATAGGCGGCTTACGGTCTTCTTCTTTGCAAGGTCACCAGAAGCACCGAGGACCACGATAACCGTGTTGTCCTTGAGCTCCAGTGTACTGTTGGGCAACGGGGATCAGTACAACCATCTTGCAGGTAACTGGGCGCAACCTCGGGGTTCATCGTTCATTGCGGTCTTGGACGACAGTTCTCGCAAACAACTCTCCCAGAAGCACCGGGTCTGAAAGATTGCCAACACTATGATGGGATGGGGGGATGGTGGGGCGGAAGGAGGGGTACGAGAGCTTACGCTGCAGCGGAATCCATTGTGTCGGTCGTGGCAGGATGCGATGGCGATGGGGTCTACGGGGTCGGTTGAGGAAAAGGAAAGAGAAGGCAGGACTCGAAATTGTCTGAATGAACAAGACCGAGACAGAGGTAGAGGTGCAGGTGTCGAGGCAGGACGAGGTCGAGGTATGAAGCGAGGGAAATGGGTTGGAAGGGTCAGCGCGGACAGGCCGGACAAGAAGAGCTCGTGGTCTGGCGGCCGGCCTCTCGGAAAGATTTGTGGGCTCTGACACCTGTGCTGTATGGTCCGTCCCTATGATGATGCAGTTGCTTGGTAACACCGCCCGCGTAACAGCTAGCACCGAGTGGTGGGGTAAGCTAGCTAGCTTACTCCCGTCAGCGCCGCCTTCTCCTGCCTGGCACCTTCGCCGGCTCTCCCGTCGTGTCGCGAGTCTCTACCTGCACCCGATAACGCCGTAAACAGCGACAGGCACCCTGGTTACGGTCTACCTCCTACATCAGAGCAGAGATTCTCACATCAGTCTCGGTTATTGATGTTCTGACTGGAAGGAACAGGTACAGGTAGACCCGAGCGCTGATGATGTTTTCAGTCAGTACGAGGGTTTTAAAAACAGCATCCATGCATGTATTTGATGAACATCTCATCAGGTCGGCTATTGCTTCATCTCACACATAAAACAAAATTACCTTAATACCTTACCGCGAGACTGGTCCTCGCGGTAGGATTTGCTTGGACATTGGGTATCCGACGTCGCTGTCCGTGAACAAACTAATAATGCCGACTCCACTGCCCCCGAGGTCGACTCTACTGCATGATGAATGCATCAACCTGCCACTTGACATTATTTGGCAAAACATGCAAGCCCGAAGGATTAGACAATCCCTGGACAACACCACGCAGGCCGATGACATTGGCTGCATGCCAGATGGTTGATAAACGGAGGGTGCGTTCGCTGAGGGATTTGGTGAAATTGGTGGCCTACCTTATGAGCCCGCGAAAAGGGTAGAGGTGTCGAACACTGCATCACGTCGTCGCCCTAGTCCGTCCCAACCCACGTAATGATTTGGAATGGTATAGCGTTATTATCAGCAGCCGCGGCTAAGTCAAGAGCCGCAAGGAAGTCCTTTCTCCATGACCGTTTCTTATTCCGGACGTGGCTTCAGGTCAATGTGTAGCCCCGACTGACGACGCCACAAGCCTGCCGTTGTTCTACCTTTTGGGCGACATCCGGATACTACCTGGGTATCCGGTGAAAGATAGTATACTCTGCCGAGCACTGCTCTAATGTAGGCGGCAGCTTGATGACCGCGGCAATGCAGTTTCGTCACGGAGGCTGGTGTGACGAAGAGATGTAGGTGAGAGCGGTCACGGAGCTGGAGTTTCGCGCCGGTGTTGCAATTCACATTCCATGACCGCATGGGAATTCAGCGGGCGCGGGCGGCGGCCCAGATATAGCCGTAGGTGTTGGGAATTGTAAGGATTTCTGGACGATATGTCCCTGTCGTGAAACCGGCAGCTTCTTGCAACGTCGGTGTAATATGATAAAAGAGCGTCCGCCAGAAACCTCGAGAGCAAAAGCTGTTGGCATTTACAGATATCCGTCTACATCTTGGGGTTCTCCGGCTTCGTGGCGGTGGACGGAGATCTGCTGGCAAGTCTGTGCTAGTCCATTGAACAAGAGAAAGCGTTCGTGATAGCAATGATGATGCATATGTGACAGCACATCGGCTGCGGGCCAGCGTGACCAGCATGCCCATCTCGGTTATCGTGTAACATCAGTCCTGATGAGACTGAGGTGATTACCGCTTCATGAAATCAATCTTGACCTGGGACAGCTCAGGAAATACGTCACCCTTTGCCAAATGGATAAGAGGTAGGTATGCTCCATCAAGGCCGACTCCGGATGGATTGTGGTGAAGATGCGACGGATCGTCAAATTCCTGCCGCCGCCGGTTGAAACCCCCACTATCCCTTCAATGCCCGTTTCGGCACCAGGTAAATCCGTACCCATTGATACCCCAGTTCTAGAACAGTGATTGGGTGCATAGACCCTGTAGGGTCCATTGGTACCGAAACGGGCACTGAAGGGATAAGATGGCACGGAGTGACCGCCGGGGTTTCATCGGAGGCAAGCCACAGCTGATAATCTGATAGTGAGTGTGGCTGAGGTCCCGCTGACAGAGGAACATTGAAGCGGGGCGCACGGGCCACTCTCTAGCACACATTTGATTTTTTTCTGGTAGTGAGCCCTAATTGACGAGTGCCTATCCACTCTGCCACTCTCCTCGCAGTCTGCATGGTCAACATTCGAGATCCGGCACATCACAACGACGACTAACCCGGCAGCCAGCGCACTCGGTCTTCATCAGCAAAAGACCTTCCTCGGATCCCATCACCCATTGGATTTCTGAGCACGGCAGAGAAAATCAGTCAAGATGCCTTCGGAAGCTGGTCACAGACGTAAGTACTCCTCCACAACTCCCACTGCACTCCACAACATTGTGAATATCTTCATGGTCTTACTCCCTCGCGGCGGGGATCTCTTCGCATAATCTCTGTATGCATATTACCAGCCGAGCCTGCGCTGACCTACTTTGCCTCTAGTATACGTCAAGTAAGTACACCCCGAAGCCGAACGACCTCGATTGTCGCGAACTTCAATCCAGTCGCCAAACGCATATCGCCAGCATTATAAAATGCTCTTGGAAAGCGCGAGAGCGGCTACGCAGGAATTGTCGCAGACGCTGACCGGTTTCGATGTACAGGGGTCGCCACTTGAGCTACCAGCGCAACAAGCACACCACCCACCCGAAGACGAGTCTGATCAAGATTGAGGGCGTCGATGACCCCCAGTCCGCCAAGTACGTCTCAGCAAAGAAGGACCTCGTCTGGACTTGGGGCTAACATCGAACAGCTTCTACCTCGGCAAGAAGATCGCGTACGTCTACAAGGGACAGAAGGAGATCCGTGGAACCAAGATCCGAGTCATCTGGGGCAAGGTCACCAGACCGCACGGTACGTCATTGTTACTATGTAATGTCAAGACCGAGAGATCTTGTACTAACTGCCATGCTCTTATAGGTAACTCTGGCGTCGTTCGAGCCAAGTTCACCAGCCCCCTCCCTTCCAAGTCTTTCGGTGCTTCTGTTCGTATCATGCTCTACCCCTCGTCGATATAAGATGGGGTTGGGCCGGAGTTGGTAGTGTGGACGGTTCTCATGATTGGCTGCATCAGGGTTGAGCATGGTCTGCGGCTTCAGCCTTGCGTCTAGCATCAACGAAATCAAGAAAGGAATACCAACAAACTACACCGAGTGCGGCCAGTGAACGGCAGATCATGGTAACGAGCTCGATCTTTCCATGATTGGCGCCGAACATTCGGTATATACGTGCAGAACTCCACGAAACAACGACGTTAGATGGAGCGTCGAAAACAAGGAATAGTGATGATTCCACGGCTTGACGATGATGGACTCTGGACTGGGAATCAGCTAGCGAGTAGATGGCTGGAGCCAACCCAACACGAGAAACCTCAATTGCTGACATTGGAGCGTTCGTGTACACATTCATGGTCAATTCGTCCCCACTGCCATTCGAGGTTATACACCGGCCTTAATCCTCAACACTACAATGGGTAGTGCGTTGACGACTCCCCGTGCCGTGCGACTGCAACGATACAACATCTGCGAAAGGTGACCTCACAGACGCTCTGGGAAAGGGGAGAGCTTCCCACTCCAGTAGCCCGAGTATCTACTACGGAAGACGCTGACGCTATTCAGAAGATCCGCAATAATGTGTAATGGAACCATGGCGACGGCTCACGTCCTCCTTCCTTGTCGTACAGGAGGATTGTTATGTCTGCAAAGCAACCGCAACAAGGGTTGTGAGCCGTAAGTTGCTGCTGTTGGTGATGGGCGAGCTTGTTTCGGATTTGTCTGTGATCGCCAATGATGTTCACAGTCGGTTGCTGAATGAACGAGCGCCCGGGAGATAACGTGTTGCTGCTCAGAGTTGTCGATACCCCAAGGTAGAGAAACAGCCAAACCTGTTTCTCAGTTCGATTCTGTACTCCTTACTGTAATGCTTCTGATTCTCAGCACGGCCCGGCATAGGCACCACAACCACTGCGAAGGGCTTATTAGCTGTGGTGCTGATCTCCTGCCTGCCTGCACGTTCAAGGGTCATATCATATGACTGGCCATCTAACCACCTTGAGTTGATGGCGTTCAGTGCCGTATACCACGGCCTTTCACTCACGTTCGAGCTGGCCGCGCCAGGCTTCGCTCGAGCGCTGGTCTACATGCCATTCGACACGAACGCCCAGCGAAAGTGTCCCTAGGAAATGTCTCCTTCACGGTGGGCTCCCTGTGCTTCAGCTGGTGGTTGCGCCAGGCACTGGTACATATGAGTCTAGGCTTGGGATTAATCGTCACGAGCCACATCTCGTCAGCTAGATAGACACCTCTCTACTTTGCGGAGTGTATGAAATGTGGGCTGTTCCCAGCCGAGGTGCGACGTCACGGTTCGACTTGATCTATGCGTGGCGTGAGTTTTGAGTGAACAATTGTGTTCAATGCTTCCTGTGGCTCGGGGAAGAGTCTCTCACGATGAAACTAACTTAGAAACAGCTGGAACACCCTTCATCGATGGCTCTAGGATTTCGCGCTTTCGCCGCACAGTCTTTGATGATTCGGTCACCAGCCTTCTCTGGCCCGTTCGATGTTGCTCGACTCGGTGGATGTAGCCTTTCCTGTCCCTTAGCTTTCGGCTTGATGGGAATTGGGGTGAGGTATGGGAAGCAGGCATATCTAGCACGGGATACTTCAACCTTCCGCTCCAACAATTCGCTATCTCCTAACCTTGGTTAAAACCTGGACCCCGGGCGGATTTTCTAGACGCCAGCGTATGCCCATTGGCGATTTTGATATCCTAGGTGGTTGAGGCAAACCATGGCCCTGCTCGAGCTCGTGCTGGATTTTCACACGGGATAGGTGGTCTAGCCGTCCCGTCACTTCTTCTCTGACAGCTCTTCAGTGCCTGCGCTTTGCTCCCGATATTCTCCTGTTGCACGGTTACCACCGACTCTTTGAGGTCCCTTTCGCGGTCAGTGATCCACCTCTCAACCCGTCTGTCTCACGGACTCGTGGTTGGTGAGTACGAGGCAAGTTCGAAACAGCATACGGCATAATGAAGGTAGCTTTATGTGGTCGTGCTACTAGAATCACGGGTCTAGGAGGTCTACCATACGGGAAAAGAAACATGCTCTTGAACCAGCAGGGACACTGCAATGTGCTACCTGTGCGTGCGGACGAGGCTTCAACTATAGAAACATGAGTGAACGTCTGATCAACGAGATTATAATGAGCAATCATATGACCAATAAACAGACCATCTGTATACTAGCACTGAGAACAGTCAACATCATGCCTGCTGCGTCGGACGGAAGGCTTCACGGGGGCTTCACAAGCTGTCCCCTGATGACGATCTTCAGAAGCGTGCCAACACCACTCCTCTAGTTCCAGGCAGACTGCTCCTTGACACAGATGAGTTTTGCCCCGAGTACTATCCAATCGAATGTATTCCCCTAGTCAAGCACCAGACTGGCGAAGTGTACACCAGCGAAAACATGAGATGTCGCACCGAGGCCACCAGGGGAGCCCATACGCCCCATTGCGTCCCAAAGAGATGTTGTTAGTGACCCTGATATCCCATACAATACGAGAAAGCAACAACGCTTCCCAAATCGTCGGTCGTCGTATCTTCTATGTCTGGGTGGCAGAGCCTTAACAAGGCCGCCGACGAAACCGTACAGTTCAGACTTCAGCACGAGGAGATGGCACATCGGCAACTTGACCCTATTAGATGTATATAGAAATTCCCTATTCCCTAATTTCTCGAGTCATAGTTACTCCCGCCGTTTGCCCGCGCTTGGTTGAATTTCTTCACTTTGACCTAGGATAATAATATTAGTATAAAGTAGCTATAGTGCAAATAAAAGAAGAGATAATACTGACATTCAGAGCACTGGGCAGAAACCACATTGCGTCAACATCACTTTCTCATCGCAATGCTATGTTTTAATTAGACAGTCAGATTCCCCTCGGGCTCGCCTACGGGTTGCTGGGATGACAATGGATCGGGAGCGAACTGTCTCTCCTGCTGGAGGTAGCTCCACTGCGCATCAGCGGGGAGCCATCGTCTTGAAGGGCGTTCAATGGCACCAGGCCGAAAATGCAGGTCTAGCATTAAGCAGCACCCAAAAGTTCTCGTGACCTCCTTTACTTCGCTCTCGTCGTCGTTTCCACTGCATCGTTTGAGTCAGACAGCGGGCTACTTGCTTCGGAGGAGGGTCTGAGATTCCCGAGGAATCCTTAAGCTTTCAGAGGGGAGTCGTCTATCGAAACTTGAACGACCAGCTGCTACAGTGCAGTAACGTGCCTGGTGTTGAATTCAGCCATAACACCACGAACTCGCCGGAGAGTGGCTATACGCAGATGATATATGATGCCGGCACAAGACTTGTCGGCTACAGCGCGCAGGGTGTTGGGCATATGGTAAGTATTGCTTTCCGTGGGCGTTGGATGTGATATACAGTTGCTGATTTGTTGGAATTCATAGGTCCTGTTCCATGACGCGGAGGTGTTGAAGCTTTTTGGACTCTTGTAGATATGCCAAGACAAAGGCAGAAAGATGCGACAAGTGGCGGAACGAGAGCTCTATTGGTCTATGTCGAGAAGCACACGCTGTCACAGAGAAGATGCTAGACCTTGCGACAGAGCGGCACGTCGCCTCCAGTGACCTCGTCTATGAAGGCAGGATCCGGGTCGAACAGCATGACGTGAAAGTGCTCGACTGCCTGGACCGATTTCAGTGATCGCCAGTTCTTGAACCAGACGAACTGTGTTATACAAGGTTAGCATGTAGATATCGAGGAGCTGACATCTCCATTGCTTACGTGGTCCTTTGGCAGACTCGACCCAAAAGTCTTCTGAACATAGTCATCGATCTCCGCCCTCGCCTTGTCCGTGAGGTCGTCGGTGATAGGATCCTCCTCCAGGTCGAACTTGGTCCACACCACCAGATGGACTATCCGCTCATCGATCCCGTACGGCCAGTCGTTCCACAAGATCTTCACATCATCCCCAAACTCGAAGGGCCTTCCTCTCGGCCAAACGGGCGCTGTCCATTGCAGTCTCTGCGTCAACATAAAGTTCATGACGCTTCCATAGTCTTGTTTCAGCTCCCAGCTGAAGCCCAGATACCTCCGCAGCTCGGAGGGCAATCTCTGGAACTGATCCAGCCGGTTTTCCGCGACCAGCTTCTGGACCTCGGGCCACGTGGCCACGTGGCATTCTGCGTCTGGCGTGCCGATGATGCCAACGTCTTTGGCGCTCAGGTTGCTCAGGTAATCTGGACACTCCTCCGTCCTCTCATCCTCGGGCACGTTCATCTGCCAGTAAGGCAGGAGGGGCCTGAGACTCCCCATTGTAAGCCAGACGGTAAAAATGAGGCGCAAGAGTGGTAATGAATCGTGTTTTGTGACGGTACGAGAAACCTGTTCAGTTATTGAATTGGGGTATCAATAAAAGTCAGGACTCAGATCGTTGAGGCTGGAGCCGCAAGCCTCACGCGGAATATTGACCCGGCCAGCGGGCCGGCGTTAAAGGTCTAGATTTATTTACTAAAATTAGTGGGCGGTCAGGGCCCGTTCAGTGGAGATTAGATAGACCTGGAGCCAATCGGACAGGTTGACGTTACCCCTGAAATCCTCTCACGCCTCTACAGACACCACTGCCGGCAACATTGAAGTTCTACATGTCATAATTTGATGGTCACTAACTCCTCAAAAGGGCTTTTCTTGCAGTGGAAATGATTCAGCATAAGCAGCGGTTGTTTGGTTATTACAGTCACTCTTGATTGAGGGCTTATGCCAGAAGCTTGCGCAAATGGTCAAGGTATCTCAACCGCTTGCCTGTATTGCCAGCTGCGACCACCCCTGTCTCTGGCTGCCAAACCTTTGAATATTCCCAGGCCAAAAGACGGTGAGTAGTATCAGCATTGCGTAGATGCCTGCTGCGCGCTGTGAGTACAATACAAGTCATTCATTGCGTGGCGCAACAATGACTCGTGAGTGCATAGCGTGCCGTGTCAGTGCGCTGGACAATTTCCACCGGCCGGGAATGAGAAGTCTACTATGGCTTCAAGGACGACATTGTGCGATCCAACTTGAGAACGGAGTGAGAATGCGTCACTGGGCTGTGTTTAACACACGAGAAGATGAAGAACCATCGTGATCTGAAAGAAGTTGTTGCTTCCGGCCTGCAGTTCCTGAATCCGCCAGACGGCGCCGGTCAGCTTACGTACCTAGATGACAGCTATAATTGTTCACCATGAACGTGTATTCTTGGGCTGAAAAGCAGGTAGACTTCAATGTTAGTAACGTGGCAATCAAGTACTATCCGTTGAAGTATTTCCAAGCCCGAAGCTGGGAAAACGGGGAGAAATGGAGTAGTTGCTCTGACTCGTGAAGTTCCGCCCAAGCAGCGAACGATTGGTGACTGACATAGATAATGAGGTACAGTAGTGATTCAAAAACAACTGCCTCAGTACAACCGAACCTACATCAATGTACCGGAGTTATTTCGAGCAGACCGTTTTGAGGTCTGCGTCTCACCGCGTTGTCTGACATCTGACATGGAATCCTCTGCATCCCACGTGGAAAAGCCCCGGTCAGCTATTTGCTGCCAACGCATGACGTAGGTTTCATGTGCCATCCGGCCATCCGCCATTCGCCATCACGGTAAAATCCAATGGGTTCCTGACTCCTTTCCGGTCCTGCCACTGGGCCAAAATAGCCGCAGTTGAAGGAACCGGGCTGTGCCTACAGCATTGATTCTGATGAATGGCAACTCTCATTGCAAGACGGCGGCGCTACAGCGCCCCGCAATATTAGTTATCTTCAATAGAGCGGCGCCTCGCCGGCTTCTCAATGTTATGCAGCTGCATGCGAGCCGCCAGCGCTCATCCAAGGTCCAGGTCCAGGTCCAGCTTATTATTGAAATTTGTCCTTGGAGATTTCGGTAGTTTCAGGTCTAAAACTCAGTTCTCATTTTAGTTCCCGCTCGGCTGAGAATAAATAATAATGATTGAGACGGATTTGATCCGCTTGGGGAGAAAGTTGCGCGAGCTGGCCATTGCTTCACGGACTAGCCCGCCACGAAGGACGGAGGCGCGGGAGATGCGCGAACACGAATCAGAAACCCGCAAAGACCCTTGGACGCTGATAACGGCCTCACCAAACAAATAATAAATCTCCATAGCGCAAGCCTCCTGAAACGATGAAGAAAAGAGTCTCTTGGTAGCCGCTCGGAAGATCGCCACCCAATGCAACATGCTCGGCTGCAGTGGCCAGTCGCGGATGGACAGGAGCTGTGGTGATTTCGGTTACCAAGCCATTGCAAGCCAACTTGGAAGTTTCCCTGGTACCTCATCAAAAAGCTGATGAAGCTATTGTGAATGACTCTGGTTACGCGCTAGAGCCCCCACGAGGCGAACTCTGAGATGCTGCCAGGTACAAGTGTCAAATGGAAGGGTAGGCTTTGTGTTGATCGTGTCCAGGGCAACCGATGATCTGAAGCCGCGAAGCCGACAAGAAAACAAGAAAAGCCGATCGATACTCGTACACGGTACACGGGCTTTGCCATATTCGCCCTCTTCATCGTTCTTCGAATCCGTTCTCGCTTCATCTAGAACACTAGCAATATTTGCTAGGTATGTTGATGATCTTCGATTTGTGGCGGCGATGATCGTCGCAGAGCTCCGTTGAACCCCTCCCCCTCTCTTTTGCTCCCCACCCATCTGCCACCTCGCCCAGCTCTTCTCCAATGTGAATGGACGGGAACCCCCATACATGTGACTGCTGCACGAAGGACGCACGATGAGGGCATATTCGAGAGGACGCATGTAGACTGGTAGGTAGATTCCAACAGGTGGATTCATCAGTCCATCTGCTGGCATTGGGCAGGTTCAAGGTTGGCAGGTTGGGGGCGGTGGATTTGGGTTGGACGGCACTCCAGCGAGATGCACATATCACATGTGCAGAAGGCCGTCGGCAACAGGGGCTTTGGGGGCAACGGGCGGCAACGGGGGTCCTCCAGGAAGCAAGGATTTGTTTCATTACGTCAATATGCCATTGTGCAAGCAGTGAACACGAAGCTGAAGCTGATATGGAATCCTCGCCTCAGGCTTGCTCACCGTTACTCCTCAGTTTTGCAGGGGAAACAGCATCATAATAACAACGGACGCGTGGATATCATAAGAACTCCCTTTTCAATTTTGGTCCGTCAGCCACAGTTTGAACCTTGGAAGTTCAGTCTCCGGCACAGGCACAGACACTACAATACCCCGCCATCCCCCACCTCCGGCCATCGTCAAAACCAAGCTGCCGCCCCTTCACAACTCACAAGTCACAACAATAAAACCTGACCTCCTTTTCTTCCCCACTCACCGCCACCGCTCTAGTTCCTCCCACTTGAGATCATAACAAATCGGAGCCTTCGTTCTCCTGTCTCGACATCCCTTCTGCCATTGAACAGCTCTGAATTCTGCTACTCCGTCACAATGGCACAAGCTATTAAGAGCGCCCTGCCCTCGCACCTGAAGGCTTCTATCCCAGGCAAGGACGCGTCCGGTGATGCCCCCGGCAGACACCACGGCAAGACTCGATCACACATGGTACGTCCGCTATGTATTGTCTTGCTTTTGCAGCCTCTGTTTTGGTTCAAGCTTCTGCCCTTCCGCCCATCATCACAAAGAGCACCAAGACACCTTAAGCGAAACCTGCATTGCAGAGCGCCGACCCCGCATCCCCTCAGCTCTCGTCGAGACCGTTTCCCAAGAACTTCGCGGATGCCTCCTCGTCTGGTGTTCGTTACAAGGCGCTGGCAATGTCGGGCGGAAGAACCCTTCAGGCATTGTTATTGTTCACGGCATCCGCACATGACCTACACCCAATACAAACTCAACGCTACTGGAGCCATTCAGAAGAAGACCTGACTCCATCACTTTCTACCACATGCCTCCTCTATTAAGGCTCCACGGTTCTAGCTATTTTGTTCTTCAACCACGTTGACCGGCTGGCACTCAAACTGCTTTCCCCTGACTTTGACTTGGGACTCTCGCCTTGCTACTACACCTATTATACATCTTAATTGTCGCAATCATGGCTACATCGTTAACTGACACACACAAGGCTTTCGAGAATGCCTCGACCAACGTCGCCGCGGCGCAAATGCGCAACTCCCTGACCGAGCTCGCCGAGACGGTGAAGGACCCAGAGGAGAAGAAGGTACAATCACCCTACAATTGCCATGCACCCGCGAGCACGGTGGCTAACGCATGTGCCATAGCTGTTCGAGACCGAGATGGACAACTTCTTTTCGCTCTTCCGACGGTACCTGAACGACAAGGCCAAGGGCAACTCTGTGTTAGTAAATTTCTACCATCCGCGTGCTATGTGTGAGGACTAACATGACACTTCTTAGTGAATGGGAACGCATCGCCCCTCCTGCTCAGGGCCAGGTTGTCGATTACGAGGACCTCTCCAACTCGGAATCCGTCGGCTTCCTCAACAAGCTCGCTGTGCTGAAGCTGAACGGTGGCTTGGGTACCTCGATGGGTTGTGTCGGCCCCAAGTCGGTCATCGAGGTCCGTGATGGCATGTCCTTCCTCGACATGTCTGTTCGACAAGTCGAGTACCTGAACCGAACGTACGACACCAACGTCCCGTTCATCCTCATGAACTCTTTCAACACGAACGACGACACTGCCGCGATTATCAAGAAGTACGAAGGTCACAACGTCGATATCCTCACCTTCAACCAGTCTCGGTACCCCAGAATCTACAAGGACTCGCTTCTACCCGTGCCCAAGAGCTTCGATTCTAACATCAACGAGTGGTACCCCCCTGGACACGGTGACGTTTTCGAGTCGCTCTACAACTCGGGCATCCTAGACAAGCTCATCGAGCGCGGTATCGAGATCATCTTCTTGTCCAACGTCGACAACCTGGGCGCCGTGGTGGATCTGCGCATCCTGCAGCACATGGTCGAGACGAAGTCCGAGTACGTCATGGAGTTGACCAACAAGACCAAGGCCGATGTCAAGGGTGGTACCATCATTGACTACGAGGGCTCCGTCCGCCTTCTGGAAATCGCCCAGGTTCCCAAGGAGCACACCAACGAGTTCAAGTCGATCAAGAAGTTCAAGTACTTCAACACCAACAACATCTGGATGAACGTCAAGGCCATCAAGCGGGTTGTTGAGAACGACGAGCTTGAGATGGAGATCATCCCCAACGGCAAGTCCATCCCTGGTGACAAGAAGGGCGAGTCCGACATCTCCATCCTTCAGCTCGAGACTGCTGTCGGTGCTGCCATTCGCCACTTCCACAACGCGCACGGTGTCAACGTCCCTCGACGCCGCTTCTTGCCCGTCAAGACTTGCTCCGACCTCATGCTCGTCAAGTCTGACCTGTACGCCGTCAAGCACGGCCAGCTCCAAATGAGCCCCAGCCGCTTCGGTGGCGCGCCGCTCATCAAGCTCGGCAGCGACTTCAAGAAGGTGTCAGACTTCACCAAGCGCATCTCGTCCATTCCCAAGATCATTGAGCTGGACCACCTCACCATCACGGGTAACGTCACCCTGCATCGTGGCGTCACGCTCAAGGGCACTGTCATCATCGTGGCGACCGAGGGCTCTACAATCGACATCCCGCCGGGATCGATCCTGGAGAACGTGGTGGTCCAGGGTAGCTTGCGTCTGTTGGAGCATTAGTTTTCACGATTGGGATTCTGCGGCCTATTTGCTCCGCTGGCGTTTCTTCTGACACTACTACTACATTTGGTCGACATCGGGAAAGGTGCGTGTTTTTAGCCCTGACTTTGTACGAGGGCTCCATACAGGTGGTCAATGTGTGCAGCGTCCGGCGAGAAGGAAACCAGCATGGGCGTATACAGAGGCCAGGAAGATTCCACACTAGAGAAGTACTCACTATAAAATACAGTAATTATCACGGATTAATGCCGCTCATGGCCATGACGGGAAGTGACACATCGGACCATCTTTTGACTTGATGGTTATTTCATTAACACTCCCCTTAAAATCATACTTGGCGGCGTGTCCCTTTGTCTCTTCTCATGTCTCTTGACCGGCACGGCCAACTTGCAAAAAGCCGTTGTACTGATTCGACAATTACATGGACAATATCTTACTCTTTGACCTCAATACGCAGAAAGGTGGTTGTACGTAGCAATATGGCCCGCTGGTTCATTCATCATACATATGTACAGTAGGGGTATTGTAGCCCATGACCCGCTCATGATCCGAGTTACCCATCCCGCCCACTTAAGACCCTGCGTGTCTTCTTAACCTTGACTGGCTCATCGTGCCTCAAGTCTCTTGTTCCCTTCCAAGTAAAAGCCCCCGAAGAACAGAGAAGGGAGAGCGTGGCATGTCCTATTTCCCTTTCTTCTTCATGTTCTCCGTACACGAGGGGCAGTACCAGCGGCCCTCGGGCTCGGACTTGAGACCGACACAGGTCCAGTGGAACCACTCGTAGGGACAGGCCGGATTGTCACAGGCCACCATGTCGCCGTACGACACGTGCTGGCACAGACAGTACCGCTTGCCCTCCTCGTCCTCCTCGTCCGAGCCGCCCGAGCCGCCCGAGCCGCCCGAGCCGTCCGACACGTCCTCGTCGCGGTCCGCCATCTCCTCGTCCCCGTCTGCGTCGGCTGACGCTGCTAAGGCATGCTTGGTATGGCTGTGGTGGGCGTGCGGGACGGGCGTGCCGCTACCTGCGCGCGAGCCGGCTCGCGATGAAGGCGCGGAATCGGCGTCCGAGAGCTCGCTGTCTGCTGTCGAGGCTGGCGATCCCTTCGAGTGCCCTGCGCGCTTAACGCGGGACAACGTCGATTTGGATGTCGGTGGCTTCTTACGTCCTACGCCTCCTCCCGGTGTTCCTTTCCGTCCCGCGCCGGCACCTGTTGCCTTCGCAGTACCTCGTGGTCCCGCACTACCTGCTCTTCCCGACGCCCCTGGAGTGCCTGCTTTGGGTGTACCCGGGCCGATAGACGAATGTCGGGCCAGACCGCTCGAAGCTGCGGGGGCGTTGCCAAGGTTTGAACTTGTCCGAGGTCCCCTCTTAGGTACACCACTTCCAGGTCCAGCAGAGGATTCGCGCTGATTTCGGTTGAGGATCATACTTGCGGCGGGGGTCGTGGGCGCGGGATTCGAAATGTGCGCGTTGGCTTGGCTGGTACGGACTTGGGGGTTGGCGAGCCTCGTCCCCGATGGCGTGGCATTGTTGTGGATGGGATTGAGTGGTGTTGACCTTGCTGAGACGGCAATGACTCCGAGAGGCACGCTGCTGTTGTTCGCGGCGCTGGGTCGTATCAATGAGGGTATCTCATCGGGGTTGGTGAAGCCTGGCTCGCCACGATCGCCCAACGCTTTGACCTGAGTATCGAGATATCGTAGATGTTTGTCGTACAAGGTTTCGGCCTTTGTGGATAGTAGGACCTTCTCATTGGCGAGCTTCTCTGCTTGTATGTAATTCGACCTTGCGATGTCGCGCAACGTTGGCTCTCGGGGGTTGGGCTGGTGGCTTCCGTTCGCGCGTATCCAGCGCTGCAGTTTGGAGTCTGAATCCTCAATCGCCTTCACGCACTCGCCGTAGGCGCGGTCCTTGTCGGCGATCTCGTCCTGGATGAAGCGTATCTCTTCGGGCAGGTTGGCGGTTCGGTGGATGAAGTCTTCGAGGATGACGGCGGGGTCTTGGGCCTCGATCGAGGGCCCCATCTTCTTTACGAAATCTATGGAGAGGTCGTCTCTAGGCATGGCTGTTAACCTGGCCCTCGTCGCGGGGCGCACGCTCTATGGATGATGTGCGATGTGCTTTGCAGGAACAGCAGACAAATGGATGCGAGGGTTTGGGACTTGTGAGGCAACGCGCAGGTCAGACGTATTCGCGCTTTCCTCACTCTTCGTTTCTCTGTGTTCTCGCGCGCGACTTTTTGCTGTAGGTATGTGCTCGAGTACCGACGCAAGTAATGGACGAAGTGCAGCAGGGCGGGGCAACGAACAATGACAGTGACAATGCGGCGAAGGAGTGAGCAGCAGTGGTTCTGAGTAGATAGAACAGTGACTACAGGCTGCGATGGCGTACGATGAGGTAGATTGATTATGAGCGTTGGCTCACCTTCCTGACTTCACGGCCATCAGGGAGGCCAGACGGGGTCCAGCAACGCAGGGATCCAGACCCTTATCTTAGAATGCCGCTTTCTTCCTTAGGTTTGTGCAGGCAAAAAACTACAAAATAAGACAGCACGGGTCCGGTTCGGCATAGGATGGAAAAGTAGCAAGCAGCAGGCGGCGCGCACGAGAGAAAGGCCCAGGGGAGTGTGGAGCGCGTAAATGAGGAACAAAGTGGGAATGGACACGATCAATTCCTCCCGTCGTCACGTCAGCTTTCAGCCTCATGTTCCAGATGTTAGGGCTCCGATTTAGAAAATACGTATAGTATATAATACGTATTATACGAATATAATACCGGTATTTTCGCAACTATCCGTATGATGGATCGGAATAACCGGGGTTCCGGGTATATACAGGGGTTATTCGGGTACCAAGGTGCCCGTTCTAGCTGGGTGCCTTGCGACCATGGTACCTGCCAGCGCACCTAACGTACACCCAACCCAAGGTATTCCTGTCCGTCCTGTCCATCTGGTCCATCTGGTCAATTGTCAGGTGTGATAGCTGCGGTCGAGCTAGGAATCCCATAGGTCTGCACCAGCGCATTTGGGTGTGACTTCCATAGTAGCTGGCTGTTACCGACCTACCAATCCCCGACAGTGGCCCAAAGGCTTGAATACGGCTGTAGAAACCATAAAAGGTGCACTTATCGGTGGTGGTTGCTACTATACAGCACTATATCGCTTTAAATACAGCTTAACTATGGGTATAAGGGTATATATAATACGGGGTATCATTTAAATACCGGTATTTTGAGTCAAAAAATACGTATTAATCGGAGCCCTACCAGATGTCCGGCCCCCGGGAAGGCAGAGTGTTGTGCCTTCTGGCAGGGGCCCAGAATACCATGTTACGATGACTAGTATTCTGGATGTTCTGCTTGCTGTCTAGAAGGATGGGAGCTTGTCCCATCCGAAAGGTCTCTTTAGTCTAGATACAGTGCAAACGGTACCTTGTCCCTTGGGCAACAATCCGGCCCAACCGACAAGACACCTGACAGCTGGGATCAGCTGGATCTACAGTGTGGCGGAAAATATCCCCGACGCCACAGCTGGTCGGCCTTACTATTCGCATAAATGCATATTCCCAGCAGCATTGATGCTTCGATCTTTAATCAACTCACGTCTACTGTAGTCTACAACGAGATAACATTCCCACGTTAACGCCACCTGCAATATTCACTCTCAATACGTAAAGTATCGTTACCGAGTACATCCAAAGAAGCTGGAGACCCCGTTTTCGACTTCACTTCCGACTCACCTCATCGCGTATTTTGATACCCACATCTCAGAGCTCGGGTCCAGCTCGGGTCCCCAACGGCCAACACCCATAACGTACAGTAGCCTTTGGGAATATCGCTCGACACGCATGATTTGGGCGGCCGCTGCAGGGACCTTTGACGGTTTTCTTCGAGGCCATCTGCACACAGGCATCTCAGGTTATGGTTCAGGACTTTTGGTTGGTTTCGTGTGCAACCGTTCATAATGGAGTTGGATCCGGCCAACCCGTACTCGTTGCGGCTTCCACGGCCCAACTACCTGCCTCACAATGTGGATGCCGATGAACCTGTCGTCAAGAAGTTCATCAAGCCGTTATATCGCCCGAGCGACATGGAGAATGCCGCCTACCTCAACAAGATCAAGCATTTCGCTCACGAATACGGCATCACGAAACCGAAAGGCAGCAAGGTCTCCTTCCACTATAATGCCGAGATGGAGAAATACCACTTCGGCGAGCACCATCCCATGAAGCCCTGGCGCTTGACTCTCACCAAGAGTTTGGTATCGGCATATGGAATGAATTTCGCCATGGACAACTACACCTCACGCGCCGCCACGTACGAAGAGCTCACGTCCTTCCACACGGATGACTACATCGACCACCTCGCAACAGTGGCACCTCAACCACAACCGCTCGACGTGGAGAACAACAACCCAGACCTTAGATTCAACCTCGGAGGCAGTGACTGTCCCTTGTTCGAAGGTCTATACAACTATTGCTCCATGTCGGCCGGTGCCTCTTTCGATGCCGCAAGAAAGATCTGTTCCAACCAGTCCGATATCGCCATCGCCTGGGGAGGTGGTCTACACCATGCTAAGAAGGCAGAAGCATCAGGCTTTTGCTATATCAACGACATTGTTATTGCTATCTTGCAGCTCTTACGCATCCACGCGCGAGTCCTCTACATCGACATTGACGTACACCATGGTGACGGTGTAGAAGAGGCTTTCTTCTCCACCGACCGCGTCATGACCGTCTCTTTTCACAAATACGATCCACAGTATTTCTTCCCCGGCACGGGCGCTCTAGAGGACAACGGCCCCAAGAGCGAGCACAACCCCGGAGCACACCATGCCATCAACGTGCCTTTGAACGACGGCATCACCGACGAACAATACAGCAAACTTTTCGAGAGTGTCATCTCCAAAGTGATCGAGAAATTCCGACCAGGCGCGATTGCACTACAATGCGGGGCAGATTCGTTAGCTGGCGATAGGTTGGGCAGATTCAATCTTCTCGTAGAAGGGCACGCCTCGTGCGTCGAGTTCTGCAAGAAACTAAATATCCCTCTGGTGATATTTGGTGGAGGCGGCTATACCCCCAGAAACGTCGCCCGCGCCTGGGCCTATGAAACCGCAGTAGCTATCGGCCAGCACAAGAATATTCCCACACAGATTCCCATTCACACGGTCTGGAGGGATCGATTTAAGAATGAGTCCCTTTTACCAACAATTCACCAGATCTTGGGTGAACCTCGCCAGAACCGAAATACCCAGAAAAGGTTGACAGAGATCGTACAGCATGTCACCGAGCAGCTACGCTTCGTGAACGCTGCCCCCAGCGTGCAAATGTCCGTCATCCCACCGGACCTGGGACCCATCAGGGACGAGGTGGAACAACGTATGAAAGAGGAGACTGAAGAGAGAGACGAACTGGGACGTAAGCTGCGGGAGGAGGGAATGGGTGATCGCATGGAACTCTCATGACCATGATCTTCCAGATAGTTACTTATAGCCTCTTGAATCACGTGTCAACTTCACTTAGATCAGCCCTGGCGAGGTCAAGGCTCGACCTCGAGGCTGACTCATCCCATGAAGTGGCTATAGAACCCGATAAAGGGACGGTATAGCCAATGCCTCCAGTGTTAATAATAGAAAATCGGAGCATTTGTTCCATAGTCGCGAGCCCAACCGTGTATATGAGCTCCAAGAATTTACCACTTTACAGGTGTGCTCTTTCAGGCTGGTCAAGTCATCGAGACGATATGTGATGACCGGAGCGTCTTGATAGGCTGTTCAACAGGCAAGAGCTCGAATTCCACTAGCATAAGACGTGTGAAAGGATTGTGTGTCAAACCAAGATTGATTCAGGCCACCAGTGAGGCAGATATCCGATGGACTGAGACGTGCTGTTGGTCTTTACTATTCTACTACTGTACACCTTGCTTGTATACCAGGTAGGTAGTCATGCCAGGTGCCAGGCGGTTGGTGGGCAAGAAACCAATAGCGGAAGGAGCAGAGATCTGGTGTAATTCCAGCGGTTGCCTTTCAAAATGGAATGAGCGCTTAGTCCGGTGATTATTGCCAACTGTTCTTTCCGCCGCTAGGATCCCGCTGCCTGCCTGCCTGCCTGCCTGCCTGCCCTGGCCGTGCTTGCCCTGGACATGCTTCCCCTGGACGTCCAGTCACTTCGACGACCTCTACATCTCAGTCAACATGTCCTCCTCGTAAAGGCACCGATGGATAATGCCTGCAACATGACGACATCAATCTATACAGTACACTTCGTGTATTCTTTTCACATACGATAGCCTCCATCTCGCTCGTTAACAATATCCTCCTACACTCTCGCTTCGATTGTCTGCTCACCCACCTCACTGGCACACGTCCATTGCGCCACCCTCGTAGGCGAAGTTTCCATCGGAGAAAGCAACAAGATGGGGCCCCCTTGCCAAGTTTCAGATAAAACTCTCCGCCATGAATCGCCGCCAGCTTCGTTCGACGCGCAGAAGCTCGAGACGGACACTGAACCTGAATATAAACCCCTCTGGCCCTTCGACCCGCAGAGGCTCGCGGCGCGGCGCGCTCTTCTCAAAAGGCTGACCGCCAAAAAGATCCCGTGCGTCTCGTTCCAACAACACTTCCCAGGCAACTAATCGGCAGCAGCCTCGCTTGCTGACCTCAGTACCGTAGCTTCGAGCAGGACAACGAAGCAGACCTCGTCCTCTCGAGCAGCGGCGACAACGGGACATACAAGATTCACTCTGTGGTATCCCTGGACGCGTCGGACATGATAGGCGAGGCAGTGTACCAAAACGAGCAGAAGCACCAGACTAGGCGAACGCACATCAAAGTCAACGGTCTCTTGCCGTACGAGCTTTATCCCTGCTTATACTTCATGTATCACGAAGGTGAATGCACCGCCCAGGTCATATGTAGTAGACGGCTGACCAAGCTAATTCCCATGCGACTTCGACAGAATACCCTAAGGGCGAACCCGTAGACCGGGCGGTCGGGATGCCCTTCACGTCCAGACATCTGGTTCTGCACCCCACCGAACTTGATCCAATAGACGAGATGTCCAAGAGCGTGAAGCGCTTCTTCACAGCGAGGGAGCTCGAGTGCCCAGGCGCAATGCACGCGTCGACGCTGCAGCTCGCCATCACCGTGTGTACATTTTCGAGTCTCTTATTTACTCATATGGTCATGTCCAGGGCACGAACTTCCTCTTCTAGCCCGTGTCAAGAGCTTTGCTCCCGAGACACGTATCACGAGTCCTTATTTCTCGTCAGAACATCTACAAGGAGTAATTACTGACTTTAATTTGCTAACAGACCGAAGCCCTGGAGCAAGCCGTGATGAACGGCCTAACCAGGGATGTCAAGGTTTTCCAGAAACTCATGGACCGCATCGGTGATAGCTTGAAAAGGATATATGAGGACCCGGACTCGACATGTAATAAACTCAAGACCCTTCGGAAATACCTCGTGCGGCTCATGGTGAGCCTTACGTTAGACCTCTACAAGCTCTACACCACGACGCAGATGTCGGTCATAGTGGAGCCCTAGTACGGGCAACACAAGAAGGCGATCGACGAGGATATTGAAAAGTACCAATATGGTGTTTATTTCGACAAGTACGACAAGAAGCACACGCAAGAAATGGACATGTATCGACGCCGCTTCAAAGACCTGCCGACGCTCTTCAATGTCGCGGTGACTTTCAAAGCGTCCAAGACGACGACCTTCGGACAGACGGTGAAAATTGTCGGCAATGTCGCCGCCCTCGGCCGCTGGAGCCCTAGCAGCGCGATTGCTCTCAGCGCATCTCAGTATACAACAAGCAGCCCAATCTGGACTGGGACGGTCACGTTGCCGGCAGGCCAGGCCGTCGAGTACAAGTACATCGTACTTAACACGGACGGCTCGATAGCGTGGGAGGGGGGCCGGAACCGTTCGTACACGGTTCCGACAGATTGTTCGACCACCGCCAAGGAATCGGACACCTGGCAGAGTTAGAGTGGCCACAGGGCTATCAGAGCGAACAACAATGATTTTCGGCATTTGGTATGATAAACAGCGGTTTGGTTTATCTTTCTTCATAGGTCTGGAGGGTTGTCAGCGAAGGCGTTCTATATGGGTTGCTGGTTTTGTAAGAACAATATGCATAGTCACTTGAACCGGGCAATTGTTCCAGTGCACATGGACTGAAATAACCCATGGATGTCCGCCTGTCCCACGAAGTTTCCCTTCCAGTGAATGCGTACACGGAGGCTTGATATACCTCGCTGATTTCTTTGTAGTGCAACGGGGTTGGTGGCCCCCCAATAGCGTTGCAGAAGGGAACAGAGTTCTGGGAAATAATGACACAGGCCTAGATTGGACACTTGACAGGCGGCATGGTGGCCCCGATGCCGGACAAAGGCCTATTAGCTAGCGCAGCCGGCGACATGCAGTCATCTAACACCCAATTTGATGGATATATTTCCCTCGGAGACGCAAGACAATTTCATGTGCAATCCCTCGAGGGAACTGCCCGTACACCACCCCCTATTGGTCTGTTTTGTGCGCGTGGACCAAGTCAAGGTATCACACAAACGAAGTGCTGCAGGGTATGCAAGCATATGCTCGTTCAATCGTATCTATTGGGTATCGAGAGTAGGAGCCTAATGTATGGGACGTTTGTATCTAGTTGAACGCTGATGCAACGAACACGAACCCCCCTGACCTCCTGCCTCGCAGGCAGTAATATTTATTTACACTGGTTTCACCATGAAGATCTGGACAATATTAGCATTCAACCATTAAAAAAGAAATCCTGTACCAGCCATGTCTTACCTGGTTCAATGCCGCCAGATCTGTGTATGCCATTCTCTTGGAGGCAATGTTACGCGATCGTGCAAAATGCCGGTTGGAAAGGGGCTGCGGAGTAGAAGTGCCGATGGCAACTGGGGTCGACGAGCCGCTCTCTTCCAGCGCGGTAGCTATCGTGTGAGTCGAGGTTGTAGCCTCTGTCGAGGAGTCCGATGCGGCGGCTTGCTGCCGTTTCTTCTCTTTCTTCTCTCTCCTTTCCTTCTTCCTCCTGGACTTCTCTGCTTTGGCGTCGTCCTCGTTGGGTATGTTGGATTGGGCGACTTGCGCGGCGACGTCTTTCGACTTCTTGCTCTTCTTCTTGGGTTTGCTTGGCTCTGTCTCGTCCTCGACTGCCTTCAGGTCCTTTGATCTCTTCTTCTTCTTGGGACTCTCCGCACCTGAATCAGCATTCGGGGAGTCTTCGTCTCGTGACCGCTTCTGCCGTTTCTTCTCAACAGAAACATCAGAAACACCAGCATCACCGGCTTCCTCCGCTTTCCGCTTCTTGGACTTCTTTTCCTTCTTCTGTTTCTTCGCCGGCTCAGCACCAACATCCGCTGAGCTCGACTCCTCCTTGATCGCCTTCTCCAAGGACTTTGAGTCGGCGGATTTACTGGCCGTCTCCTTCGGCTTCATCTGGTCGCCCACCAGAAGACCGCCGCTGACGAACCTCATGGCCCCGTACCTCCTCTCCACAAACAAGCTCGTCTTGATCTCGGAGCGCACCTGCTGCTCCTTCTGTATGACCGCATCAGACTTGCCATTCAACCTGCCAAGAAGGTCGGCGAAGCCATTCAGTCCGGTGCACTCGTCGCTCTGCTTCTGGCGGGGTTTCGCCCCGAGACCGAGGTTGTCGTCTTTCAGGTTGATCTTGATGGGCGCCGAGCTCGCGGCGGAGTGCAGGTGGGAATGCGAGGAGTCCTGGGCGCCGAGGAACTTGCCGGGCTCCCATCCCTGGGCTCGTAGGATCTTCTGGCCGAAGGTGGTCTCGTCGCGACTCCATTTCGTGTTGTTCGGGTCGAATTCGAGTTTCCGACGCCTGGAGCTGATGTGTTAGCATCTGATGAGCAATATGGGGTACTGTGGACGGCACGTACACCTTTGTGCCTGCAAGACCCATTGTGGAAGAATTGGCTCTTGGGAGACGACAGAGCAATTGAAGTCAAGTACAACGGTTCCAAAGTGGTGATACCGAGAATAGGTACCTGCGGCCGGCAAGTGAAGTTTTTGGTGGGGTCTTCACTTTCTTGCTTTTTGGCTGATAGCAGATAAGGATTCAAGGTAGTTGATAGCGCCAGCTACTTGGCAGGTGGCAGCTCTCTCGCCGTGTAAGTCGGGAAGGTGCGACAAATGATTGGCCAATTCCTGCTACTTTCACCTCACCTCAACTCACCAACGCGGTCCTACAACTGAATTTTGTCCAAGAACATTCATCTTCCTGGAACTGTGAAAACTGTCATCGTAATCCTTCCACTTTTCTTTCAAGTTCAAGTCCCCACGAAATAGCAATGGCACCCAACCGCAAGAGACCCACCCCCTCAGGCGAGGCAGGTTTCGACTCAGACGAGGACCTGCTATCCAGCTACAAGCCGCCCACCACAAGCGCGGCCCTCGAAGGCGGCATGCAGAAAATCGTACGCTCTCATCTTCGGGTGGCGAACACAGCGAATCCTCTGTGAGACGTCAGTACTGATGGCCTCTGCCCACCATGACAGGAGAAGCACAAATCCCAACGCAACAATTACCGCAAGGATATCCACAAGGACCACAACGCCAGGCTTGCGGATCTGAAGCAGCGCATCGAGACTCATTATGAGGTCCAGCTACAGGAGATGTAAGTCCAGCTGGATGGCGCAGGACATAACCCGAAATGCTCTGTGTTGGGTGACTTGAAGCCACGAGCGCTTCCTTCACCTCACTGTCTTCTATAGTGCCTTCCACTTTCGCACCGCATCCATGCAATGCATACCTACTATAGGTGTCACACTGCCTTCATATATGTACATTACCACCCTATAATTGGCCACCCTCGCAGCTCCTTGGTGATCATATCCTTCTCACGTCTACATCGACTTCCACCTACGACGGCGTACGTATCCCCATCCGAGCCTCCCTCACGTCCCTCGCCCCCGCCGTCTCCCTCCTCTCCTAACTCCAACCCTCACCCACTCCAATGCCTGCAGACCTCCCCATGACCCTACATAAAACCCTATACGTAACTAACGACCCGCATCCACCAACAGAGAAGCCCACAACACGCAACTCACCAACCGCCTAGCAGCCGCGCTCGAGAAGCGCGCCGCCTGCGAAGCAGCCATCACCAAGCACGTCGAGACGCTGCGTGAAGACTGCGCGCACCTGGCCCTATTGCTCACCGCCGTGCACGAGGGACGCGCCGAGAAGGCGCAGGCGGCAAGAGTCGAGTCTCCTGCCGTGAAGGCTGTTGTCGCTGCTGCCAATGGTGCGCGTGATGGCGCTGCGACTACGGGACCGCGTGGCGGTGGCGTAAGGGACTAGGCTTGGTCCACTGGGAGGTATACGGGATAGGTGCACGGATGGATGGAGGATGGAGGGATGTACGATGAATGAGCTTACGAAATCATGAATGACTGGCTATATGATCAGCTGATAATATACGGGGCGGGATGGGCCGGTAATGGATCTGGTACTGCTGAGACCGGTCATGATGCTGGCTGGTATAAGACGAAATCATATGAGTGGTGGGTATCTGATACGGCTTAGAATCTCGAGGGCAGGGAGTGGAAATCGGGTGGAACACATGAGATCAGGCTTGATCTGCTCGACTGTGCCTCTTCATTCCACCATCAATCACAAGGCAAGGTGGAAAACATATGAGATCAGGCTTGATCTGCTCGACTGTGCCTCTTCATCACCATCAACCACAAGGCACGGTGGAATGCACATTAGATCAGGCTTGTTCAGCTCGACTGTGCCTCTTCATTCCATCATCAATCACAAGGCAAATTCAATATCACAGGTGCAACAAGATTAAACAAGAACCATGTGTGATTATAAACATACATTAGACTACCTTGAATGTGACTAACTGACTGACCTACCGGTCTTCAAACGACCAGTTCGTCATTGGTTCAAACCAGTACTGTGCTCGCATCTGTTTTCTACGAGTCCTGTTCCTCATATCAAAGGGTATATCCTCCAGGCCAGCGTCGTCTGAATCCGCTTCTAACTCAAAGAAAGACCAATCGTTGCTCTCATAAGTCATTGCCGCCAAAGGAGATGCCTTCCAGAATCAGAGATGGTGGTGGTATACGGGTTTGGTGCTGTCCTCAAGACAGTATCAGTTGACTTGCGAAGAGCTGGCCTCGTTCTCAAGCAGCATGAGTCTGCGACACATCTGCTCCACGGATTCGGCCTCCTCCGACTCGTCAACGCCGAACTGACCCTCGACACAGGCCGCCAGCATGAGCTTCTTGACGCACGAGTTGTAGACCAATCCCTCCACGGTACCCTTGGTGATGATGCGAATGACTTCCACGTCCCGGGTCTGGCCGATGCGGTGGGCGCGGTTAGACGCCTGGACGTCTTCCTGGGGATTGTCGGACTGGTCAAACAAGATAATCCTGTTTGCAGCGGTCAAGTTGAGACCAGTGCCGCCAGCTCCGGTAGTCAGAAGGAAGATCGGTATGTGAGGGTTGTCGTTGAACCGTTGTATCTCAGGGAAACGATCAGCCGTGCCAGTGGATCCGGTGAGCTCACAGTACTGGATACCGGCGTGGTGTAGCGTCTCTCGCAGGATATTGATCACCAACTCGAAGCGGCTGAAGACCAAGACACGATCGCCGGTCTTCTTGTAGCTTTGGAGAAGCTCAAGGAGCTTCCGTACCTTGGGACTCTCCTCCCAGGAACGGTGAGGAATGTCCAGGTGGCCGATGTACTTGTGGAAGTCCTTGCACCACAGGTGCAAATCGAAGTCCGACTTCTCCTTCAGGTCGGACAGGAACAGAGCCTTATGGCGATCTTCTTTGCTCTGGATGTATAGTTCTTCGCTCGAACAGTGCTCCCACAGAAGTTCGGTCATTTCTTCAACTTTCTCGTCCGTGAAGTGTACTCGGAACAGCTGATGGTGGATTGCCGCCTTACGGAGCTGCATCCAAGAGTTTGTCGTCTTGATTGTAGAAGCGGCCTTCTTGGTACCCTTGGTTGTAAGGTACTGACCCTTGATCTCCTCGTATATGGCCTTCTGGTCCGGGTGCATGTCAACAACTTCAATTCGCTCTGTCTTTTTGGCGAGGTCGAGGACTTCGTCCTTTCTTCTTTGTAAAATAAATGGTGCCATGATGGTTCGAGCATTGGCTACCCGTTCCTTCGCCAGTGCGGCAAAGTTGTGCACCTCCTTACTGGGGACTTTCGTGGCGAAAATGATGTCAAGTTGATCGAATGTTTCCTCTCCAAACAGTTCAGGCTGAACAAAACGTAACAAGGTGAGTAGCTCTTTGAGATTATTCTGGATCGGAGTGCCACTGAGAACAAGACGCCACTTCGTAGGTACTTGAAACATCTGCTTGTAGATCAGGGTCCCGCGGTTCTTCAGCTTATGACCCTCGTCGAATATAGCCGCATGAGGTCGGAGTCTTTGGAGCCAGTGCAGGTCTTCTCTCTGTCGCTCGACTTGAGAGTATGTCGTCAGGACGACGTGGTAGTCTTGAGTCTCGTCAGGATCGATGTCGCGTCGACCCGTTCCAGAGTATGGGCAAACTGTGAGGTCGGGAGCGAAGCGATCGAACTCGGATAGCCAGTTCTCGTAAGTACTGGTGGGAACGACGATGAGGTTGGGCCAAGGCTTCGTCTTGGAAGCAGGGTTGTGTGTTCCGACTAAGTGAGCAATCATTGAGATGACCTGGCAGGTTTTGCCAAGTCCCATGTCGTCTGCGAGTATGCCACTGTATCTCTTGCTGTGAAGAAGGTTCATCCAGTTCAAACCGACCAGCTGGTACGACTTGAGAGAGATGTCCTCAGCCATGAGCTCTGGTTTCTCCGTGACAGGAAGTGGAATGCCGGCGGCCTTGCTGATTCCATTCTTATCCATGTTCCAAGTCGACATGATGGATTGCAGCTCCAGACCTCGTTTCTCGCATGACTCAATGACGACGCCAACGGAGTAGAAAGCCACAAACCAGGAGGTTAGCTTCTCAACGAAAACCGCACCAATCTGTGTACGAGTAGTCTTGTTCTTGGACTTGGCCTTAGCTTTGTCCTTGCGGGAGACGTTCTCGGCGTCGGATATCGTTTCGAATGGGCGAGCGGCAATCATAAGCTTCGAATCAGCGGCAGAGAATCCGGTGATCTGCGCAAGACTTTCGGCTGAACAAGAGTTCAAGTACTCGAGAGTCTTCTGCTCCTGGTCCAATTGCTGAGTGCTAGGTCGCCTGAAAGCGACAGCGCGGCCATCCGAGTCCGAAGAATTGTCGACTACTGCCTGAGGGTCTGCGAGCTCGGGCTCGGGTTCAGGTTCAGGTTCAGGTTCAGGTTCAGGTTCGGCCTCAGCCTTTCGCTTCCGCGAGCCAATCTGAATGTTGGATTGGTCTGACTCGGCAGAGTCCGTATCCAGATTGACCACAGCGGGTTCTGGGCGACGACCACGTTGAAGTCGGCGACGAGGTTTGGAGTCTGACTCCTTCTCAACGACGGATCTGGTGTCGAGAATTGCCATTTTCTTAGTGGCAAGCGGTTTTGCGGGGGAGTCGTCCTGAGACCGCGCGGGTGTACTAGGCGGCGAGGTGGCTGAAGACGATACAGAAAAGACAGGTGGAGGCGAAGGTGATCTCCTTGTGCGCCCTTGAATAAGACGCCTGCGTTGAGGAAGTGGGTTGGTGGTTGTGGATGAGGCTGCAGACGAATTTGCGTTAGAAGTGGTGGTGCGTGAGAGGGAGAGAGACGACTTTTTTTCCTCAGATGAAAAAGATTTGCTGGGTTTGGCAAATTGAACTGAATCATATGAAGAGTGGGCAGTCGAGGATTTTGCAGGCTGTGTGGATTGACTTGTGCTAGAAGCAGAGGTCTTGTGGGATGATGAAGAAGTAGAAGTTCCCAGCAGTGATGCCACAGCCCGTGAGGTATGCCAACCCACGTCCTTCATCAAGGCATCTCGGCACTCTTGAACAGTAGTCCCAACCCTAGCAGCCGAGACGACGCGGTAGACATCCTTCGTCAATTTCCTCAGCCTCGTGTCGCGGATATCCTTGAGTTCCAACTTGGGTTCCGCCGACCACTTAGACTGGAAGTCGGACTTGGGGACGGGGGCTGCCACGCCGGGTTTCTTCGCGAATGACGACTTCTGAATGTCTCCTCTCATAGGCAAGTCATCCCCAGAACTGTCTTGGTGCTTGTAATCATCATGCAGATCGTCGTCTGATATGCTCAGGTACCCCTTCTTGAGCGGCTGGCTTGCCTTTCTTGACGGCAGACCCATAGGAGGAGCTTTGAAGGAAGTCCCTGCTGGAGCCATCAGAGACCCGACTCGGTATTTGGCGCCTGCATTACTGCCAGTGTTGCCTGTGGCGGTCTTTGCCTGAGACTTGGGTTGGAACGGCGACGAGGCAGGGACTTCGATTGCTGTACTGGGGGAGCTCGGGATCGCGGGTGAGGACGGCAATCGCAGCGTGGTTCGGTTCAATATTTGAGTCGGCTGTGTCGTCCGATTGACAAGTTGTGTCGGCTGTGTGAAGAAGGGTGAGGAACATGCTATCGTATCGTTTGCAAGCTCGTCAAAGGCATCATCGTCCACATCATCAAGCGAGATATAGTCCACAACCCGGCCTTGAGGCTTCCCATTCTGTGCACTTTGGCGAGCCGTTCTTGGTGTACCGGGCACGGGGGCCGACACCTTCTTAGAACTTGAAGGTCTTCCAGACATTCTGGGCAGGTCTGAGGCAACGCGAGGCGCGTTGTGGCGGCAGAAGACACTGAACGCACAAAGGTGAAGAGTCGCACGGAAGAAAGAGGGACTCGACGCAGCTGCCGTTGCGCCCGGTCTTATGGCGGGGGAGGGAGATTATCCTTTGATATTCAATATCTTGTATTCGACAGCGCTGAACAGACACCAAATGATTGTTGGTGGTTTCCTAGAAAGGAAAAAGAGGTTGCCAGTTGTGGAATGTGTGGAAGTGAAGTCTCCGTGAAGTGCAGAACCGGGATGTTTTTTTTGGGGTGGGAGTGGGACGCGATTTAGCGACGCGGTAGCGGCGGCCGGATGTCGCGCTATCAGCTGACAGAGGGGATCGATCTGCGGAGTTAATTGACCTCGACCGATCCGTCAATCGCCCGTGCAGCCAACTCCACCTGTCTTGGGTCCTTGAGTTGTATGACACGCAACTGTAAGTGAGTTGTGAAATTCGAATAAGTCCTTGGCGATTTTCTTCTGCTGTCTGACAATCGCAGGTTTGACGAGAGTTGTGGTTGTACGAGACAAAGCCGAACAGAACAGCGACAAGACCAGAGAGAGAGAAAGCAGAGGCGGCATTTGAAAATTATCGGTCGAAGTTTGGGGCGAACGTGCGGCTGCATTTGGTAGCTTTGTTCCTCCACGCGTGCCTGAGGCGAAAAGGCAGGAATATTTGGTACCGAGGTACCTCATATGAACAATCGGCGGCTCCACTCCAGTCGCTTCGAGCCTTCGATCCCATCCATCGCATTGCGTTATCGTCTTTGAGCCTCATCCGAGTTTGAACCGCCGGACACTTGAAGCAGCCACGCCCCTCCAAGCAACGCCACACGGAGCAGACGTCGACTCATCCATCTGAAAACCTGGGCTCTGAAGAAGAAGCAGGATACACCGAACTCAAGATGACGTCCCGCCGCATCATCTCCGACGAGAAGACCATCCTCGACAAGGATGACCACCTGAGCCCAGGTTCCGGCGCGAGCCAGGACTCATCAGACACCGCGCCTGCTGTTCCCACGTGAGTGAACCATTCAGCCGAGGCCCAGCAACCCCTTTCCTCCGCCACGCCCGGGAAACACGCAGGCAGGGCAACATGCCCAGACAACTAACACACGCATTCTACATGCAGAGACGTCATCATGAAGCTCCTAGCCTTCACCTTCGCCATGGTCATCGTCCCCATCGGGTCGTACTTCCTAACAGTGAACACGATATTCAAAGGTAGGCCCCCAAAACACACTGTGGCGGGCGGGCAATGATGACCAGAAGGAATCACAGAAGAAGTTCCTGCAGCAACTAACCGCCACAGGCAACTCAACCTACGCCGGCGGCCTAGCAGCCCTCATGGCCAACGTGGTGCTGATAGGCTACGTGGTGGTGGCCATAAACGAGGACCAGACGGAGCAGCTGGACGCCAAGAAGAAGGCGCAGGGGAAGAAGGACTGATTCTGATTTCTCATCATCAGTCCTCCCGGAGGTCAATCATGAGATGAGGAAGACGAGAAAGAGAGCCGCACAGTCAGTCGGTCGGTCTCTGTTGTATTTCTAACTTGAAGTCATTGCACGATGACTCTGTTGTACTCAGTCACCTACCTGTAACTAAGGTGGCAGCCATGGCCTATTGAGCGAGGATATGCGTATAGGCAGCGACGGGGATGCTGTGTACCAAAAGATCCGGGGACTTCGACACTGCGGTTGTTGATTCTCCTACCTAGGCTTTGGACGCGGGAGGCCATGTTGGTTTCTGGAATCTGCAGTCATATGTACATCGACTTCACGTTCAAGCCAATGCGTCTCTGATCATCTCCCAGTCCCAGTCCTGAACGCTTGGCCGCCACAAGCCAGTTATCCCTTTATTCCACGTATTAGTTATTATGATTTCCAAGGTAGGTACATGAAGTAGATATAGGACGAACCTGTGGTACCTTTCCCGGCACCTCTAGCCTCAAAATTTCGAAGGACTACAAGATCGATTGATAGGCCACACTTTCATAATTTATATTCACACATGAAAATCAAAATCAGAATCAAGGGGACTTTTGTTCCACTGGAGATTTCTGTTCTCCATGAGCCCTTAGGACACCTAGAAATACGTTAGTTAGCATTGGCTTTTCTTTTCAACAAAACTATAAAGGTTGCGACCAAAGGTACTCACCTGCGTTATGGTTTAACAGATGTGCCGCCCCAGCCAAACTCCCCACCTGGCAATGTCTTCAAACCGGGTCGGCCCGCGAAGGACCTTAAAACCAGAAGTTGGACGTGGATGAAACAAGTGCAGAGCATTAGGATCCCGCCCCAGATGACGTATGGAAACTGGTGGTTGGTGGCTATCAATCTTGGTCGTAAAATGAGTTGCACCGTGCAATTGATGGTGAATTCCACATTCTGAACTAACCATTCGACCAGAATGGCCATCACGAGAGAGTAGAACTAGCGGTCGACAGGTGGTGCCATCTTCAAATGAGATGTATTCAGCGATGCAGGCTCTATGTTTACAAATGACCATAAGCTAGGAAGGCTCTGCCGTCTGGAACCCCATGGCTAAACCGGTTCCCTCCCCTCATGCTGGACATCACAGGTTGTGTGGTATGCCGTCATGTCTCATGAGAAAGGGATATTATGGATGGGTCCTGGGGTATTTGGCCAACAATTTCCTTCTGATCTTCCATATATTCCTAACGAGGTTCGTTGACATGACCTTCCAATCAACACTCGCATCCCAATCGCATGCGTACCGCTCGGCCCTCCACTGATACGCAAATCCTATGCGGGTTGTACGCAAAAATAATGTTAGGCGGCAACCAATTCTGCCAAAATGCTCGCGTCATCGTATCGTAGTCGACGGCCCTCCAAGGAATACGCCCTTTGAAATCCACACATTTGTGAATATTGGAGGGCATCTGACAATATCTGCATGAAGTTCCATCGCCCAGGCCAGACCGCCTAAATGCCGTCCATTCTCGGGACAAAACCAGGCAGGTTGGCTGGCGAATAACGAAGGAGCGTGGCGGGGATTTGAGCCAATGGGGGTATCTTGGTGGGTGAAGACAAAAAGAAAGAACGCGTTTCATCACCAGCGCGTCAAAGGCGTTGGTGTACCGATCCAGTCATCTACGACTTCTTGCTGCTGAATCGTCGGAGAAGCCAACTCTTCCGTTTCTCTCCAGCTTCCGGGCGTTGTTGAGCGTTTCCACTCGCGGGTGCTGTTTTGGAGGGCTTCCTCAACATGCTTCCGTTCTCCTTTCTGGTAACAGGTGGCGTGCTTGCTTGGCCATTACCGGCGCTGAAACTGGGAGCCTGGTATGTGGGCGACTGGCCAAAACTAATACCGTAGTCATTGGTAGGCTCCTGGCGTTTCGGTGGCGAACGACGGTCGATCGAACTGTTCTCACTACTAGTGGGATCGGTTTGGTAACCAGCCGGTTCGCCCATGCTGCCACTCCCAGAAGCTGTCGCAACTGTCTCGTATGATCGATGGTTATTCGGCATAGGGTAGACGTTTCGGTCGGCCGGCGCACGCGGGGCTTGAATGTACGGTTCGGAATGGTTTCGCGAATACCGGTTCCGAGGACCCACGGCTGCATTCCCGTACGGACCGCCATCGAACCCATCATGGTAACTGTCTTTTGGACCCGCCATCATTGCCGACTGTCTGGTATCGAGCATCATGCTGTCTGGCCGCATCGTCGAGGCCGGTCGGCCGCCGTAATAGCTGTCTTGGGGGAAGCGGGGCCCATTATCTGCATAAGGTTTGTGAGATAGAGTCAATGTAGGGTGTGGGGGTGCGGCGATGCTCACTTCCGTAGTAGCTACTCCGTCTGTTCCAGTTGGCCATTGAGTCTGTATCCGCCTTGATGACCGAATTGCGGTTATAGCCGCCATCGATAGCAGCCTCGAAGCTCCTAATCGTATCTAACGGGCGTTCCCATCGATTCCGCGTCGGGTTCGATCGGTCTGGATCAGCTGGAATGCGGATTAGCACCTATGCGACTGGGACTCGAGGACGACAAAACTAACAGATTAGGTTGCCAGCGAAGTCCTTATGCTGAACTGATCGCAACGGAGCCATCTGAATTTCCTCCTGCTGCGCCTGCATGGCTAACATTGGTGTCAGCAATAGCCACAACCTACCACGTACCTAGTATTCAGACGTGTGGAGGAGTCGACAAGGGCGCTTACCAGGCTCTTGTTCGGTCATAGCCATTCTAGGGTCGGCGTGGGTATGTAGCCTCTTTGATTCCTTCTCGGCAGACGACTCTTGGAGACCGACCTTCTGTTGGTGGCTGTTTGCGCTCTTCTGGGACTTGTCAGATCGGAAGCTGAAGGCTCTGGATTTAGGCCGGGTTCGCTCTTGTTTCTGTACCTGGGAAGACTGGGACGGCTGAGACTGATGCTGCTGATAAGGCTGCGGTTGGTGGTGTCGAGGCACTGGTGGCTGCTGCTGCTGGAAGGATGCGTGTTGCTGGCCCTGCTGTTGCGGCGGTGGAGCAGGCAGCGGATGAGGGTTGTAGTGTCGGGACGCCATTCTGTCCGATGGGGAGAGCGCCCTATGTTTTATTGCTGTATCTCAGGATCCCTGAATCCCTGGAAAGGACCGACCAGCCTGGTGGGGATCTGGAGAGGTGGGAAAGTGGACCGGAGGCGGATCGTTTCGATAGTGCAGTCGTCGTGGGTTCAAGGGGCAGGGAGCGATCGTGGGATTAGATAAGTCGTGGTTTCCCGTCGCTATCAACTATCAACACGGCGGACTTGCCTGTTCGTGGACGGCGTGAAATGGTTCTGGGAAGGCCCGGGTAGAGGTTCCTGAAGGGGAGCACACCGCGTTGCCTGGATAAGACGGCCGCCGTCAGGAAGAAAGCCCTTGTTGAGAGCTGTGGTCCCAGCAGTCAGGTCGAGTGAGTGCGACTGGGGCGTCGTAGGTACGGCAAGGTAGGTACAACTGGTGAATCAATCCCCTCTCTACCTCTCTTTTTCTTGTGGACCAAAGGTGTCAACGGGCAGGGCAGTCTGAACACAGGCGAGGACAAGACGTGGAGAAGCTTGTCCTAGCAACACGACAGGCTGAAATCAGAAAGACAATGGCGGATGGACTGGTGATGGTTTGTTGCCGGATGCTGCGGGTGTACGGTACTGATAGCAGTTGCAGGGGCCCGATGTGGTGCTGAGCTGTGGGCTGGCTGACTGGACAGCTGGACTCAGGCTGCGTTGTGTGGTAATCGTGTGGTGCGGGCTGGCGGGTTGGCGCTTGTTGTGGACAGTGGAGCTGGAGGAGGAGAGGATCTGCTGCGTACCTAGCAACGAGTCCCGAGCCTTGTCGTCTCAGGATGGGAATTATCAAGGAAGTGCCAGTTTCGCGTGGCTGTAGGCGGGCTGGGCTGGCTGGCTGGGTGCCGGGGGCGTGCAGCAGGATTCTCTAGGTAGCCTCTAGGCGGCTAGGCCCCTACTAGGCGGGTGCTAGAGAGCAGGTTCAATGGTCTGAATGGTGCAGACGGGAACGACTGCGCCCTCGAAGAGTCGAGAGTACCTGGCCGGCCTGGCTGCAACGCACCATAATGTAGGTACTAGGTACCAGCCGACACAACAGTGACAACCTGTGAACACTAATGACACCGCTGTGATCTGCCAATCAAGTTTACCTCAGACTCCGGCGCCTTGGCGATCCTGTTCAGTGGGACCGGTAACTGTCCGTCGCGATGGCCAACTTGCACTTCTCGATGTTATCAGTGATCTTTTCGACCTTGAAAAGCTTTGCTGCTTGACTCGGATGGAGCGCCGAATATGAAATATCCAGAGCAAGCTCGCAATTGACTTCCAACGTTGGCGGGGAGGCTTGCGAAGGTTTGGCGTGACGTCAATTAGCGACCTCAATGTTTCAGAAGCGACCGTTGGAAAGCCTGAAAAGGTTCCAGCCGTCCCTTCTGTCACCTGGGGGACAATCGAGATAGCCCTCGCACACGACACTGTTTGAGATATACCGAAATGTCCGGCTCTGTTAGTGTGCCGGGAAAGCATGCAGCTTTCGGCGTCCGTGATGTTGGCCAAAGTTTCGTTCCCGTATTCAAAGTAACGAGTGTGGACGTTGAGGGTGCGAAATGGAGACAAAGACTGGAAGACAAGTGACAGATCTCTGAGAGTGTCAACAGGAAGGAGAAGAATGGAGTAGTGATGAATCCTCGAGGAGGCGAAGTCGACTCGTGTGGCCTGATGATGGAATGGCTCGATTGTTTTGGTACATGCGATTCGCCATAGTGCACACAAGTCACTGATGATCTCTGATGACAATTGCCCCTCTAAGCCCATGGCATGTGTGGCCTCTTGGAGTTTCACTGGTCGGGGCGTATTTACATATTACCTTATCAGGACGCACACCCGACGACGTGTTGCATTTATTACCCTCATACCACGCGGCTTGCCGGCGCCTGCCGACACCAAGGTAAGGGAGGCCCCTATGTACCTTTTTAGCATCGTTGAGTTCGCGAGAGCTCTGTTGGCTTACTACTTTACCTACAGCGCGTAAGAGTACTATCACTTACCCTGTCATCGTTCCTATATACTGCGGGATTTGCTTCATGGAAGAAATCCCACAATCTGTGCCGGCGCATAGTAGTATCTAATAATAATATACATATTCTTTTTTAAGAGCATGCAGCGGTCGGGTTGTCGGGTTGTCGGGTTGTCGGGTGTGCCCCAGTGCAGATCAGTGATCTTCTCGAAAGCGTACCTTAAGTGGGGTGGCTCATGCACGGGCCAAGGAATGAGGAACATTGAATGCTGGAATACGAATCCCACTGCCACTGCCAACTGGGCTCAATGCCACCCCACCCCTTGGTTTTATCGAATTGTTTCCCCCTCCACTGTCCAGACCGCAACTCGCGTTCATATCAATCATGACGGAAAATGTCCAGATAAGGAAAGGGCTCCTCGACCCAGCCCCCAACCAAGCTCATCATGTCAGAGCACTCGACCGCCGGTGACCACGCTTCGGCTTGACAGCTTGCGAGGGGTTTGGGCCGAGACAGCCGATTACAACATGATGAAAATCTGCGCGATTCAAGATACCTGGAGGCTGGAGAGACATGCCACGTTGACAGCCGAGGATAACGGAAAAAACCTGTCATGGCTGTCATGGCTGCGAACCTGTCAGACGTCTCCACCATCCCGCAGAGATATCCAACGTCTGAATGCCTGCCAGCAGCCTATCAGAATTGTGGCTGCCAGCCATTGCTGTTGCAGACGTTTCGTTTCGTCTGATTTTCAATAATATCTGCAGAGCACGCTCACGTCACGTCAACACCGAGTCATAGTCGAAGCAACCTGCCGCGATTAATCGAGTGCCACGGTTTCTGTTATATATGCTGCGCTGTACATGCATGCAGGCCACCAGCTCGAATACGGAATACGACAAAATGTACAGTTGCCCTTGGCATTACCACCATCACATGCATGGTGTATAGTGTACTGTCAATGAGTGCGTTAGAATAAGCTCGTATTGCTGCGAGATCCACCACACTTTATTTCAAACGTCCTTCCGACTCCTGATCTACACGAAAAGTTGACCGTCAATACTCCGGATGTCCATACGAGAGGTTGTTCCAGGCCACCTTCTAGAATAGCGTCTCTTCTAGCTTCACGCCGGCGTGGCAATCTTGAGCCCCCGTTGTCGGTCTCGCAGGTCAACATGGATAACCCCAGACTCAGAAGTATGTCTTCAACATGCGTACGGGTTTACAATTCCCGCCCGCAAATGGCCCGCACTGAAATAGCGGTGGTTTTCGCCTCCACTACGAATGCTCGATAACGTCCTCCATCAAGCAGTGGACACAGGAACCATCACGAGCTGCAAATAACCGAATTTACCACTCTGCCACTCGATCGCTGATTATTTCACTGGTTCTCTCACTCACTTCCCTGCCTCGTCGCACCACCTACGTCCTACGGCCATTAGGATATCTGGCTGTTCATTCAGACACCTATTTGCCTCTTGTCATCCTCCGCCTGGACGAGATGACTTACAGAAGCCAGAAACGCTACATACGTGGCAGTCACGGCATGCGATATATCGGGTGAAGCATACCTACCTACCTACGCAAGAACGTTGTAGCTGCCAACAGTTACATGTCTTCAGCAAGGCTTCAATCACCTCCTGCCAGTACACCACCCCTTCCGATATCACATCGGCCTGGATGAACGATTACCGCCTCCCTGAGGCCGAGTAGGCGGCAGAGAGCGCGTCTTATAGGCACTTATATCTCACCTCACTCGACGACTCAGCCAGGACACGTCCCATATCTTCACAGTACAGAGGTTTGTGTCCGTTCGAGAGACGCGTCCCTCTGGTAGGAACTGTAATCGAAAGACTCAGGATCAATACTCAAAATACCCTCAAGGGTGTCAGTTACAATACCTTTTTCGCCTACGTCGCAGGCTATCACCCGCTAAAAAAACACTATGGACGGCAGTCGACATCTTCCTGCCTGCGATAACTTTGGCGAACGTGTCTGCCCCCAGCGGGGAGAAATCGCCCAGCAATATGGAGCTCTTTGGCCTCCCTATGAGTTCCTCTTTCCACCCAGGCGTATCCTCCGCTTCATCGCTATTCGGCGCCGGCCCAGTCCGTACAGGATCACAGCGAGGCAGATGTCTTGTTTCGGTACGTATGCATGCCCTTGCACCTCCACCCTCTTCGTGGCTGGTAATATACTATGCTGTCCTGGTAGAAATAGACGGACGGAGACAAACGGGGCTCGAGTGCAAAAGCAAGCGCTGACAGATCTTGATCTGTTCCCGTATATATGTATTGTCGTTGTGTGTCGGCCACCTTCCTCTGGTGATGGCTGTTATTTCCGTTGCCAACTTGATGTACTACGTAGCATCTTCCTCCAGTCTTTCCAGTTCTCTCTGTATCCTACGCTCCTCCTCCTCGATACTCTGTAGCTTCCGCAACCGCTCGGATTCGAGTCGCAGTTCCTGTTGTCGCGCTAGCAGCCGTGAACGACGGGCAGCAGGTTCCTCTGAAGGGGAGGCGGGCGCTATACTTGTCTGGGCTGGAGACGACTCGCTGCTAGGTGGCAAAGGGGGCGACGGTTCCTTGTATTCTGTCTCGTAACCCCAAACCCCCTGAAATCCCGTGCCCGAAACCCCGGGGACTCCGCCAGCGCCAGTCTGGCGCTCCTTCGGCGCTAATGGTGATCTTTGCTCGTCCTTGGGCACCGCTGCCGTGGCCTCTAGCTCGGCAACTTCAGATTGCATGAGCTCCGCGCGCGCTGGACGTGTTGTCGCGGAGTCCAGCTCTGCCCTCTTCTTGGGCACCGTTGCAGTGGAGTCCAACTCGACAACGTCGGATTGCATGAGCTCAGCGCGCGCTGCATGTTTTGTCGCAGAGTCCAGCTCCGCCACGTCCTTTGCAGAGTCCAGCTCCGTCACACCCAGCGCCGCGCCGTCGAGCTCTGCCTTGCCGCCGTATTCTTGGCCGCCGTCCAGCATAACCGGGACATCTTGACGGTTTGCCTTGGCTTTCTGCTTCTTTCGGTAGCGCCCAACAAGGTATGATCCTAAGTGTAACATAATGAGCATTGCACCCCGGGCGCCCGCCTTCGCCGGCTCTGATTTGATAGTTCCCGCTGTGCTGCTTGCTCCCTTGGGTGCTGCTCTTTGGTGTATCGCTTCCTGCTGCGCTGCTGACACTTGACATCCGTTTGATGTTGGCTCAGACCGGCTGTTAATCGGGAGTTTGAAAGTTCAAGCTTGTCCGGGAGAGCCCGAAATGTGGTGGAGGGAAAGACACTGGGATGAGACTTGATTGATAAAGCTGTGAAGCTGAAAGGCGGGAAGGATTCGCGTCACATGACTACCCCACAACAGATAGGGGTGGACCCTCTTCGCTTTCGTTTCTCGTTTATGTTGTCCTGCTGCTGTCGTGGTTGTGTGGGATGACTCATGAGGCGTCTTTTGAACGGTCCATAAAAGGGGTCCGAGGGAGTTCCGGAATAGGGGCTTGAGCATTGGGGAGGCTTTGAACTAAGGACCTGAGCGACGTAGTTGTATGTATAAGCCCCATATTCCGACCTGGTCATGAGGAGGGCCAGATTACACCGAATTTCGACGAAGCTACACTGAACCCTCATAAGTCTCCGTACACGACCCTTCCAGCAAGCAACGGTATAGTAATCAAATCGGAATAAGCACACCGGAATAAACAGTTTGATCTTTATTGACCATGCTTGACGCTTATTTTAGGGCGCTTATTCCAGCATTTCTAACTATCCTACTGGTGGTCTGGAATCTTGCTAACATGCGCGTACGGAGACTTATGAGGGCTGACTGTATCTAGCCAGCCCAGTCCTTTTTACTTTGATCTGCGATGTATATGACAGGTCGACAGGAGAAACTCTGTGCTCGGTGTTGTGCTATGAGACAACCCCGGTTACGATAATACCAGCCGAGATGCTGCTCACAGGCGCAAGTATACCTCAGTACTTCAATGCTCTACCGTGCCCTGACCCGAAGACAGCCGATGAAAACCCCTTCCTTTTCAGGGGAATAAGAATGAGTCAACTTACTGGCGGTGAATTCACTGTGACATTACCTTGGCATATACGGACACATTGAAAAGCAGTATCATAGCCAGACCAACACCAAACACCACTGGGATTTTCGGAGTTCGTGGCTCTAGTCCAGCCGAGTGTGCAGGAAGAACCGAAGGATACCAGGCGGATAAAGTCGGGCATACCGTGGAGACTATGGTGAGAAAAGCCACGTGCGGGTGTGCGAGAACCTGAATGTGTACGATGCTGAGGCATCGGCTGTATGAACCCCTTATTCCCGGTTTACGGGATGACAGCTCTATAGTGGCCGGTGGATACACGACACGACAAAGCCAGACACTGCGTGCGACGCGGGCTTCAGAACTGAGCCATGTTGTACGTGAAGACGAGGTGTCGCCTCTGCTTCGCATGATCCCAGCCGTGCTTAAGGCATTCAGCAGTTTCTCGAACTATCACACTTGTTTGTCGCCGCTATCTTCTCGCACGATGCCGTTGATCACCGGGAGCTCCCGTATCGGGTTTCTCCTTCCGCAGCTACAGCTATTACAAGGAGAAAAAAATCATCCGTGCGCTTGCACTTGTTAGTACATCTGCGCACATCACAGCAAAATTCTTAATACTTAGCATTGCGCCATTATTTTGAATCTAAACACCAAGGGCAGAATCTCGAGATCCGCTTCGCTCCCTGCAAAGGGGACGAAATCAGCACTCGACGATGGCGGCCCTTACAACCCCCCAGCGATCCATCAGAGTCGCAACGGACACTGCTCAGTTCACCCGAGAACCTGAGCCTAACACTCCTTCCAACCTCGACCAGCAGAATAAGAAGAGGAAGCCTGCCAATGTCCAGGCTCCCCCGACAATTGACCTTACTGGAAAGCCCGCTACCCGATATTATGACATTGCTGTGGCTCCTCAACCCATTTTCCAGCCACAATGACGGATGGGTCACGGACCAGGATACAAGGTACCTTGGAGCCCAACTGGTACCCGTTTGTACCAGATTCGTACCCAACTGGGATGATAGCTACTTCTGGGATGGGGACACCACCCATCCCTTCTTTCAATCAAGCAACTTCCAGAATACAGACCAATAGCCACCATTCGTGACCCTGGTCCTTATTCTGGATACCGCTACCATAAAGCACATTGCTGCCAGCGCTTTTGCACCTCACCTAGAGGACCTTGAGCGCAAGGCCCGCATTAAGCGACCGGTCCTAGGACAGCTCGCTGGCTGCCTGGACGACTATATAAGCACTTACAGCGGACCACAACAGTCCCCAGCACCTTTTATACGCCTATCCGTGTCAAAAGCTCTAAGCCTATTGACACCACCACCACCACCAACACCACGAACGCGTGCGGGCAAGGCCCTGGGGGGAAGTCGTCCAAGCAGGTCTCCTGGGCGGGAGTGGCCAAAGCAGGCCACGCAACAAATTCAGGGGGCAACGCTATCACCTATGCCGGTGCCGGACCCTTCGCCCGCACGTCCCGCCCCGGGGCCTCGGCGTCTGCCCTAACCAGGGATAAGACACGAATTCTGATACGCCTAGATAAAGATCAGTGCATGCAGAGGGAACAGCCCTTCACTCTTTGCTCTGCAATCTGCAAGGAGTTCGAAGACCTTGGGCTAGGCCTGGCTGACTTGCCAGACATCAGCCCGACCAACACTTGTGACGGCCTGCACAGACCTTCCCACATGACAAGCGGATAACATCTCACCCCCCCCTGCGGACCACCCCCCCACGGACCACTCCACACCACACCACTCTCATTCAGATGAAGCCATCTACAACCACCACAGTTGCTAAATACACTAAGGTTGTGGTGTTCTAACCATAATACAGCTCCCAGAATCCGATTCCGGCCCTAAATCTTCACCAGGGACCTCTTGTGGGACCTCTTCGCCTGCAGCGGAGTTCCTATAGACCCTCCTGTTCCTCAGCTCCATTTTGGCCTCCCTTATGTTAGCCATTGTGACGAATTGTTCCCCTGGTGTCGGTTTGACTGCTTTTTGAGTGGTATTAGCCTTTTTAGCCACTTGAGCCTCAAGCAGCTCACATTTGGCCCGTAGATTTGCAATGGTAGCAGCCTGAACATCCATGGCCTTGCCAGCCTTCTGCACCAACAAGCGCTCAAAGGGCCCCCCAAAGGAAGGGTCCTTTCTTTCGAGCTTTCAAGCACTCTCCCGCAAAGCCCGGCTTCCAGAGGGTGTTGTGACAATGGTTTTAGCTACCATCTCGAGAAAATCTGGTGTTGTGGCTCGCTCGGAAGCCTTAGGGTCCCTCTGGCGTGCCTTGGCCACCCCCTTGTCTTCCAGAATCACATATTTCGACTTCAATGCCTCCGCTCTGTTGCGAGGAACAATCCCAGTCTTTTTCCAGGCAATTCTGATGTTGAAGAGCGTCATTGTGTCCTTCCGGGCCTGCTCGTAGCACTCCAAAACCTCCTCCTTAGATGGCCTGAGTCCCAGACGGCCGCTGGGCGTCTCCTGGAGTAAGGTCTTCAACCTCTTTTTTACCAAATTGAAGACTCCCACATCTAACACCTGGACTACATGGGAGCAGTGAGGTTCATAAAAGATCAACCATACTTTGTTTCTCAAGCAGGTGGCTAGGAACTCGTTATTCGTGTGGGAGTCGTGGCCATCACACACCAAAACCACCCATGTGTTGCCGTGGACCTCCCAAATGTGAGGAATAAAGATACATTGAAGCCATTCTAACGCAATGGGATTCGAGGTCCATCCATTGGGCGACGTAATAAACCTCCAGTCGGTGAATTTGCCCTCATTTTGGTTGCTAAATCACTGGGCTTGTACGTTAATCCCTTTAAGAATCACCAGCGGCGGCAAGGTCTCACCAGATCCGCTCACACACTCTAGGGCAGTTATCTATTCACCTTTCTCGACCCTTTTCTTCATAGCCACGTTGCCAGAGGCCTCGGAGACCACCCAATGGGAGTCCCCAACCCCCTGGGCGATTCCCATTTCGTCGACGTTATACCAGCGTGCTGGCATGAGATTAACCACGTCAGGGGCATCACACCGATCAAAAAAAATATTGATATTTGTCGCTGTAGCACTATTCACTCGGTTGTAATTGATAACACAAGACTTCATTATCTTGACTTCCGGGTTTCGAGACAGGAACTTAGATGCCTAATTTTTCCCTAATTCTCGAGCATCCCTGGTGGCATGGAGCATCCGCTAGGCCATGAGACGGAACTTAGAGACTGCCGGAGAATACCCTAGCCGTGCTTGCCCCAGGGCCCAGCTTGCCAGCTTATGTTCGAGATACGGTGAGAGAGCCTGTTGGAGAGCGCTGGTCTCATTCCGCGTTGGGGTGCCAGAGATTCGTCGGTTGACGTACGAGCGACTGATTTGCCATTCGAGGGCTGACGAGCGGACTGGAGCTCCGCGTTGGATGGCCAAAATGGCGGCTTCAGCTTTTATTTGACAGTCGTAAAATGACATCATGAGATTCAGCAGTAGATAAGGATTCAAATAGTGTGCTTTGTGAAAAAAAAGATACAAAAGTGATGGTGTAGATGGTGGATCACCATAATCCTGGTGGTTGGTGAATTACGCGTTTGTGGGTCAGAACGCGCTGGTCCGCGGGGGGGTGGTCCGCAGAGGGGTGGGAGATGTTACTTCCCAATAGGGGAAGGATCTGACCAGAGGGTCCCCTTAAAGGGGCAACCTCCCACTGTACCTATCTCTCTCTCTCTCTTCCTTTCCTCTCTAGTCTTGATATTCTCGTCAATAGAGTAATAGCTGCTTGCTGCCGGCCATGTCCCAGCTCCTCAGTACGCTCGCCGTGACAACACTGGTTGGTCTATCAGGGTGGCAACCAGACAGATTAAGGAACAGCTGCTAAGTCCAGAAACAAAGCTGCGTCTAGGAAAAGTTACAAACATTATAGCAGTAGATGTTCCAGAGCGCTGGTTCACATACATGGTGCCAGACATCCCCTAGAACTTTCCCGACTATGTGAACTTGGGCAACCATATCCAGACACA